AGCAGACCGATGGGTCTGGTTTGTGAGTATATACGCATTGAAGTATAGGGTGATCGACTAACGAGCTTCTGCTTAGGTTCTTGCAAATTTGCTCGGCCTTGCCGGTGTATGCCCTTTCGTTGGGTCTCTATCAGATCTACTCGGACGCCGCCCAGTCGCTATTATTGGAGCATCTCTGATAGTTATTGGAATGATCATATGCAGCACAGTGCACACAATGAACAACTTCATCGGTTTGTATTGCCCGGATAAGCAAGCCTATAGATATTCGCTGACGTGGATACAGCGGGAATGGCCATCGCTGGTGCCGGTGCCGGGGTCAATGAACTGACAGCACTGGCTGCAACCTCCGAGATGGCGCCGACTCGAAAGAGAGGAGTCTATGTGTCAGTCCTTATCTTCACCATCCTACCATTTTGCCCGTCCGTGCTATGGGCCCAGCTTATCGCGTATCACAGCCATTGGCGCTATGTCGGTGCGTTCTGTGCTGCATGGAGCGCCTTTGGTCTATTGATCACTATTTTGTTCTACTTCCCTCCGCCACGAGTCAACTCAGCTGGTTTGAGCCGGAAGGAGATAATTGGACGAGTCGACTTTGTTGGTGGATTTCTCAGCATCACTGGTCTCATTGTCTTTTTGGCCGGCTTGCAATGGGGTGGATATATGGTATGCTTGGAGTCATTTCGTCCGGCGCTATATCTTACTGACACGATTTAGTATCCATGGACATCTGCGCATGTCCTGGCACCATTGATCATCGGGTTCCTTCTGCTTGTTGCTTTTGCTTTCTGGGAAATTTACGGAGCTAAATACCCCATTTTTCCATCTCGCCTCAAGCAAGAGCCTCGAATCCTTGGACTTACCCTCGTCATTACTTTCATCTCCGGTGCCAACTTCTTCTCTGTGCTTATGTTCTGGCCCACGGAATCGTTCAATGTCTACGGTCATGACCCAGTGGATGTGGGTGTCCGCAGTATCCCTATTGGCTTTGGGATTATGGCAGGAGCTTGTATTGTGCTTGCGCTGCTAAGTGTGCTTCGTGGGCACAACAAGGAGCTCTTGATCGTTAGTAGTGTGCTGATGACTGCAGGTGAGTTTCGTCGATGGCTACGAGAGTCTCCAAAAAGCTAAATTGTTTTTTTTCTCAAACAGGATGTGGTGCAATGGCTATCGGCCGCACCGATAATATGTATCAGCTCTGGGGAATTCTCATCCTTGCTGGCCTTGGAATTGGAGGGATTGTGGTGCCAGCCTCGATTATTACCACAATCATTTGCCCAGACGTGAGTTGTCTTGCTGGATGGGAGGGAATATGCCTACTGACATTGACTTTCTCTAGGATCTAATCGCCACTATTTCTGCGCTCACACTCTCTATTCGCGTGGTAGGCGGTGGCATCGGCTACACCATTTACTACAATGTCTTCATCTCGAAGTTTGTGCCAGCGGCAACACATTACATCGGTGGTGTGATGATGAAAGAACTCAACATCACCGACGTCAAACTGATTGGTGAAGCAATTGAGCTGACAGGTGAGTCGTTGCTGGGCGAGCTGCGCACAATCCCTGGTATTGCTGGTAATGAGACTGCATATCAAATGGTAGTAGGGGCTGGTCAGATTGCATATGCTGAGGGATATAAATGGGTATACTATGTCAGCATTGCATTCGGTGGCGTCTCCATTGTGGCCGCCTGTTTCTTGGGCGACATCCAGAAGTATATGACAGACCATGTTGCCGTGGTAATGTGAGGGCATATCCCAATTGCGATTTATGCGAAATATTCTCGCTTCCAGGAAATATCTTAATTATGAGAACAGTGTCTCTAAATGTGATGGGAAGATATCATACAACATAAATCAAGAACGAAGATAATAGTAAAAGAGCCGTAAATAAGATCAACATGGGGCTGCCGATCATGACGCGCCAAGCCCGGCAACTTTTTTTACTCGCGAACGTCCATACACGCAACTTCAATCAGCAGCCATGACATCCCACCCTTCCGCCAAGCGGAAACCTTTCGCTCCCTCAGGTCCACATGGCGCAGCCGGGGCATCTCGCAAACGCGCCAGAACCTTTGATGCACGCACCTTGGCCGTGCAGTCGGCCGACGCCGCCCTCTCCGCCACGGGCGAGCTCGATGTCGCTGCCTACTCTGCAGCTCGGGCATTTGAGATCCAGGCTCTGGAGGAGGGGATGCAGCGCTCGAAGAATGCGCTCACGACCCGAGCCTTCCAAAAAGTTCCCCGCTCCCTGCGGCGGCGGACGGCGAGTCATAATGTGAAGCGAGTTCCGCGGAGGTTGAGGGCTCGAGCTAAGCGAGAGGTATTTATTGACAATAATGTACGAATTGGCAATGGCCATTGACTAACCCGCTGTCTCAACCATGTTAGATGGCCGAGGATAACACACCTACTGTGACGGCGCGCAGACGCAAGCCATCCCGAATGATGCGCATTCGACTCGATACCGCTCGGCGGCTACAGGCTATAAACTCGAAAACAAAGGCCCGACGGGCGGCCGCAAAACTAAGGCGCGACCAAGAGAACCAAACTTCGTTGGAAAAGGAGGGAAGTCATGCCTTCGATATTGCGCCACGAGTTCCCAAGATCAAGAAAAACAAGCTGTCGAGACCTCTTCCCGCAGAGCCTAAGTACCGCAAGCGCCAGAGATCCAAGACATGGCTACCTACTCATCTGTATCATGCAAAGCGAGCTCATATGGCGACGACAAAAGATCCGATTTGGCGTTTTGCTGTTCCATTATCCCCCACCGAGAAAAGCTATCGGCCTACTCACCGTGCTCGAGGCGCCCGGGGTGCCGTGGCGTGGGATATGAGCTATATGTCTACTATTCAGTTGGAAGGAGCGGAATCAGCTATCCAGGCTGTCCTGATGGCAGTAGGTGTCAAGGGGGACAACGTATGGGGCAGCAAGGGGAAGAAATGGAGAGCCGGGACTCGGTCTCTACAGGCCTGGACTTTTGAAAAAGACCATACGAAACGTCCAACTGCACCGGTGACATTGATATGGTGTGCCAAGCAGGAAGATGTTGAGATGGTTGATGCCGACGAACCTCAGCCCAAGTCATCTAAGAAAGATCACCGAAAACTCTGGATTAGAGTCCATCCTTCGGCGTTCCTCCAGCTGTGGACGGATGTCCTTGCGGTATCGAAATCGCAAAACCCCCCCTGTCATGGTCGAGGACCTACGATTCGAAATTGGCAGTATTGAGATCACAGGGCCAGGGTCAACTGAGGCCTTGTTGTCGGCATTGAAACCGATTATTGGGCCAGGTGGTAATGCTTCATCACCACAGAGCCCGGAAGCCATCTGGCCATCTCTTTTGGGGGTCTCGAATCCGTCCTCACTACCGCATAATGCCCTGCTCTCTTTTGCTATTTCAGATCCTCGCCTGCACTTCCCGCCACGCACACTTCACGCCCCCGACAATGAATCCCACATGAATGACCTAGCTGTGTTACTTTCTACATGGCATCCGGACAAAACACAAGGTCCCTCTAAGCTGTTCGACCGATCCACTCGGTTAACAGCGGCTCGTCAGCTCCCGAGCCAGAAGGCTGTCAACCGGCGCCGCACTCTTGCCGGTCCCGGTGAATATCCGCCATCCCAACCATCAGACCCTCAAATTCCGATCATGATACTCGCGAACAAGCCACATGCCCGGGCCAAACGCAGCAATGCCCCAGGGTCCTGGACCGTATTACTACCGTGGAAATGTGTTGTCCCGGTCTGGTATTCAATCATGTTCTACCCACTATCCAGCGGAGGAAACCCATTGCTTGGCGGGTTGAAGCAGCAGCGGCAGCTTGCTTTCGAAGCAGGCGAGGCCTGGTTCCCTGGAGATTTCCCAGGAACACGAGCTGGCTGGGGATGGGATCAGCGCGAGACCGAGAAATCACGACGTGATTGGGAGCGACGTCCTAAGGGGCGACGTCCCGAGTTTGATAACATTTTATTGGGCGATGGTCGTCCAAAAGGCGAGATAGGCCATGGGTGGGCGTGTGACTGGGAAAGGCTCCTTCAAGGGCCGAAACAGGACGATGCTATGACAGAAACTGCCGATGGTAGCTCAGTCAAAAAGGCAACTGCCTTCAAGGAGGCTGAGAAAAACGACCCCACTACTCCCATCATCCCACCCCTCGATATTCACAACATTCGTCTTCCTTCGGCTGATACCTACCAAAGCCTGAGTAAGCTCGACACAGCATCCGTCGATGTCTCCACCCTTGCCACTGTCTATCTTTCTCTCACCACACGTGGCACACCCACCCCCCGTGCGCGAATCTACCGGCTTCCTACAGATCCAGCTCTACGCCAGAAATGGCTCGATCTTGGCTCGGCAAGGACCAAGAAGCCTGGACAACCGAAGCTCTCTAAGGCAGGAAACACTGCGCCCGAATCTGAAGAGGCTCGGCGTCTTCTTGCCAAGGCTCTCATCTCAACTACTGATGGAGAACCTGACTCTGAGCCATTGGAAGTACCAACCGAAGACGATCTGATTGGTTTTGTCACTACAGGAAACTATAATCTTTCCGAAGGCAAAGGGACAGGCATTGGGTCTATCCAGCTTTCAAAGGTATTGGCACCCGATGTCAAGCTCTCTGAGAGAAGAATGTGTATTATTCGGGCCGCAGGGGAGAAGAGCGGGCGTCTAGGGGTATGGGAATTTGTATGATATCAAATTTGATGAACCTTGCCCAGCAGTGGAGATGCCCAATTGTGGTTTAGATACCACCTCTGCCCCAGTCACCGGGTACTTGGTAGATTTTCTACTAGCAAAAGAATAGCCCTCCCAAGGGTTAAACGACGAATGTCCACTGTCATCCATGGATTAACTCTATCCTATTCAGATGAAAACAAATGGAACAAAGAAAAATGCCCGTTCTATACATACAGTACAGCAGCTCTTAGCCCAAAATCAGGTGCCATAAAATGTAGAGACTTCATATCAAGCCGCTGTATTCCCGAACCCACCAATCTAACCCACAATGCGATCCACGAAAGCAGCCTCCATACGCGCAACCTCACGCTTGAAAGCATCAACCTCCTCCCAGCAGTTCAACGGCCGGCGGTCATTCAATTGCAGACAGCTAATAACATCGGAACGAGCCTTAGCAACACCATCATCGAGCTCCACAAGCTTCCTCCGTCCATCAAGCTTGCTCCGCAGCTGCTCGATTTCGGCAGCTACAGAGTCGCGCGAGATATCGCGCTTAACGACAGGCTGTGCAGCGGCAGCGGGCTCCTGCGGCGCGGAGTCTGTAGGAACGGGGTCGTGGTGGCGGCCGGCGAAGGGGATCCGCGGTGCGTCCAGGTTCAATGAGCCGGCTGGGTAGCCCGAGGTGGAGGGGGGCGAGGGGCGCGGTCGCTGCTGTGACGGGCAGGGAGGTGGTGTCTTTGGACTCGGAGATGCGCTTCTCGATCTCGGCGAGGGTTTGCTGCTCGCGTTCGCGGAGGCGCTGCAGTTCCTGCGCGACGCGGTTCTGGATCTCCAATTCCAGGGCTTTGGCGCGGGTGGAGTCGGACTGTTTGGTTGGTGGATTGTGAGATTCTTGCATTGAGCTGGGGATTTGCTTGTAGCCTCGTCGTGCTTACCTCTGAGTTCGATTGGAGTGCATCGACTAGGTTTGAGGAGAATTGGACGGGAGAGTTGCTGTGCATGCATGGTTAGCGTGGTCTGTAGGATGCTTTAGATGAGCTCCTGGCTGTCGCAAATGCTGAGGGAATCTTGAGAGTTCGTTTATATCGACAGGAACCATCTGCCCTTCGCAATTGGCGCCAATTGAAAGGTAGTTCCCGTTCTCTCCACCATCAAGCACGAAATGCCGCGGAAACTGAGATTGAGGTCGGAGAGCAAATACCTGGAGAACACATGTTGTGAGCCAGCCGAAGCCTCAGGCTTAGAGTTTCCAGCACCCATTCTTGGACAAAAAGGACGAGTCCTGTTAAGATAGATAGACAGTGATGATTCGAAATGCCCGCTCACACCCGTTCAGTTCGGAGGATGTTGGAGGTCACGTGGGTTGATTAGTCATCTTCGCAAGGCGTGGGCGCCAGTTGCCGGCTAGTCTCACGATCTCAACATGCATCCTAACAATCAACTACGGTCAACTATATATGATGTACATTGATATAATAGTCGAGCGATATTACGACTTTCTTTAACAGCAGTAGGCCACTCCACCGACAGTGAAGGACCCGGCGCCAACGACTTCAAATACCAAATGCAGGTTTGCAAACAAGATGACGTATTGCAAAGGAGATATATGACGGAACCAGAGAGCAATACTTGGGATGAAAGAGTCCCGAGGTCTTGGTCTGGGCTTAGTCAATTCTTCAATGCTTAACTACATGTAGTAAATGTCCACGGGTATTGCTTAAATGGGGTTGGTGTGGCTAAAAAGGTTATACCAGCCACGATTCCGACACCTCAACGCTGTATGATGGTAAAGCGAACGCTGCGTACTTGGTTTCTGCAGATCCTATTGATATATAGACATATAGGCGACATATTCTGGTGATTCTAGTAGGAAAAGGCAAGTTCGCCTGTACATGGGAAGAAAAAGCACTGTACAAGACAATGTGCCGTATGTTGTATAGACAAAGAATAAGATTGACTACTACGCTAGCGGCATAACTAGTCTCCAGACAAACAAGGTATGACCATGGCCCCTAAGGCTTGGGTTATGTGTTAAATTCTATCAATCACAAAGCTTTATAGCCCTAATTCATGCTCGACGAATAGTACTAAATCGAATCAGTGCAAGATGTCAGACCTCTGAGGCTACATTCAAATGCACATCATAGTATTCTGTTCTGGTTATGAACCAATTGAACTTCCTTATATATACTTCCTTATATATAGTGGGAATTAAAAATGGAATAGTGTTGTGACGGTTAGGAATTTCGATGGTTGAAAGACAGGCGAATCTTACGTAGAACCTGTTCCGGTTGGGAAGAAAAGAAGAATACATATGTACCCATGGAACTACTCCGTACACAGTACGGAGTGCAAATTTATATTAATAAGAGAAAAGCCACATGTCTCATCATCTCCATGGGGTTTCAGACATCCACACTCGGGATTCCGTGCATTCGGTTGACCATTTGGCTCTGGGGCCGAGTATACCGGGATGGGGCCGATCTATCCCGATCTCTATGATGTAAAGTGTGCACATACATCTGTTGTACATCTGCGTATAAGCGCGACATAAAATGTCAATTTTTTTCAAATCACCCAAATCAGCATATGCAGGCATATACATTTTGGGATGCGCGAAATACCAGGGTTATCCCCCGATGTGGGATTTGTATATTCCCGTCCCTGCCCCAGTCTTAACCTGTGTCGCTCACCGGTGAAGTTCGGGGGAAATATGCAGGTTGAAACGATTGACCAGTAATGATGTCCCCCCACATTGCCAAAGTCTGCCAAAATTAAATGTTTCTGTTCATGGCGTCATGGGGAAAAAAGGGAAAAAAAAAAGGCTACGAATGCCCTAGGAATGTAGAGGCTGCTTTCGGTCATAGATGGGATCGGTAGAATACTCAAAACAACATTGAATGTTTGTTGATTTCTCCATTCAAAGAATTGAATTGAAAGCGTATAACAACTATAAGATATAAAAGAATAAAGTAACATTTCTCTCCGGTGAACCCGGCAATTCCCCAAATACCCTAAAAGTACATTGTAGATACTTCATTACCAGTGGCAGTTATTACGGCGGGAAAAGTACTGCCAAGGTATCGGACTGGGGACTGACCTCATGGATACCCCCCTCCGTCATCCCACCTTTTCGCCCAGGTGAGGTTCTGTGTTTCGTGTCTTATTTCTTCTCCCGCTTTTCTTCTTACCTTCTTCTTCCCCTACTCTTTCCCCTTCCTTTCTCCCATTAGCCGGTATCTCAACTCTCTACCCAACCCGGCTATCTCATTTCTTGTCCCACCATGTCTTCTTCACTATTGGACCAAGCTACGCGCATTGCGCGTGACTTCGACTACCCCGCCGAGAAAGTGCAGCGCGGGGTTGCCGAGTACATCAAGCAGTCAAACGAGGGCTTGACCAAAGAGGGCACCACTTTGAGCCAAATCCCTACTTTCGTGACTGCGGTGCCAAATGGCACAGAAAAGGTATGAAGGCATACTAATTTTCCAACGGGAATTGCGTGCTGATTCTATCTGGTATAGGGTCTTTACTTGGCTGTTGATCTCGGTGGCACTAACTTCCGTGTGTGCTCGGTCCTCCTGCACGGCGATACCACCTTCTCCCTCACCCAGTCCAAGATCTTAATTCCTCGGGAATTGATGGCCTCTGGCACATCAAAGGATCTCTTCCTATTCTTGGCCCGTCAAATCGAGGCATTCCTTCGCATTCACCACAACGAACACTTCGAGGCCCACCAGCTCCGCCGACGGGAGGGTAACACCGAAGAGGACCTGTTCGATCTGGGCTTTACCTTCAGTTTCCCCGTGCGCCAGTGTGGTATCAACCGCGGAACACTGATCCGTTGGACCAAGGGCTTTAATATCCCCGATGCGGTTGGTCACGATGTTTGCGCGCTGCTTCAGTCCGCCATTGATGAGTTGGACCTGCCAGTACGTGTGGCTGCGTTAGTGAACGACACCGTCGGTACTCTCATGGCCCGCTCATACACCTCGCCAGGCGAGACTGGCACTTTTATTGGTGCCATTTTCGGAACCGGTACCAACGGTGCTTACGTGGAGAAGACCAAGAACATCACCAAGCTCCAGCACATGAAGGATGCCCACTTCGAAGACTCCACAGGCGAGATGATTATCAACGCTGAGTGGGGTAGCTTCGACAACCACATGAGCGTTCTCCCTACCACCGTGTTCGACGATGAGCTCGATGCCGACAGCAACAACCCCGGTGTGCAGATGTTTGAAAAGCGTGTTTCGGGCATGTTCTTGGGCGAAATTCTCCGCCGCGCGCTCCTGTCTCTCCACCGTGCCGACCTGGGATTGTTCCAGGCCAACAAGGACTCCAAGGTCGTCCTTCCTGAAGGATCCATGCTTTTCCGTCAATGGGGTCTTGACACCAGCATGCTGAGTTTAGTCGAAGCTGATACCAGCGAGGACTTGGTGGATGTGAAGACTGCATTGAAGGATCACCTCGAGATTGAGAACCCCAGCCTCGAAGAGTGCCGGGCTGTGAAAATCATAGTTCACGCCATTGGAAAACGTGCCGCTCGCCTGAGCGCTGTCCCGTTGGCTGCTATTGTCGTGCACACTAACAAGCTTCAGACTGATGATATCATCGACATTGGTGTCGATGGCAGCCTCGTTGAATTCTACCCCAACTTTGAAGGGTATTTGCGTGAGGCTTTGCGCGAAGTTCCCGAGGTTGGAGCTGCAGGCGACAAGAAGATCCGTATTGGCATTTCCAAGGATGGCAGCGGTGTTGGCGCAGCTCTGATTGCGCTCGTCGCTAACAAGACCGAGGGCTTCGAAATTCCCCGCGAGAACTAAATGACCGGACTATCCCATGGCTCCCTTCATTTACGTCTTTTGTTGGTTGCAACTCTTCGTTTTTCACGACCTTTACAGCGCGCTGCCAACCCCTTCTCTCCCCCCAGCGAATTTGAAAGCTGGCTTGGTCGACCTCCCTGATGTTACTCAAAATCTCCGACCTGCCACAATCCGTTACCCCGAAAACAAATACCCTATTCAAGTTCTCTCATCTTTCGCTCATCCAAACCCATGGCAACTCTGTCAGCTGAAACCAAGATTCAGATCTTGATGGCCAACTTGCCAACCCGCGAGAGTTCCCTACCTGCGGGTGCGGACATCCACAATTACCGCACCCCATTCAGTCTACTTCCTATAACAATGTCACATTATATTAGGGCTGGACTTTTCATTTGAAGTCGCAGAGACTTCCTTCGAGGCCTTCCCGGCGTGGAACGGCATGCGATGACAGTACATTGCATTGAACTGACTTCTACACCCATTGTCATCTTCATTTCTTGTCTATTTCTTATTTCACAATTCCATTGCTTTTTAATGAACCTCTCCAAGTAGGTGTACCAAAAGGCGGATAAAAAAAAAGATATTTGCACTAGTCCTACTGGCATTATATCTTCTGAAACATCTCAAAGTCCCCTATTTACTAGGCTCATATCCAATAGCCCGAGGTGCCTGAACAAAGTCGATATGGCCAGCCGAGCCCGTCAGGAAGGACGCCTTGCCACCATTGACACTCGGATCAATCCCAATGAAGTTATTGGGGAACCCAACATCAAAAGTAGTCGCTGCCTCCAAAAACTCAATCTGCTTATCTGTAAGCCGAATCGACAAAGCCTGGATATTGTCATGCAGATGCTCAATCTTGCGGCCTCCAATAAGCGGGAACACATTCGGCGCCTTGCAAAGCACATAAGCTAACGCAATAGTAGTGACCGACTCAATCCCATGCTCAGCAGCAACAGTGGCCAACGCCTCGGAGATATGCCTCTCCTCTTCTGTCTGCTCAGCACCCATTACATTGCGCAGACCCTCACCCGTCTTATTCCGCTCCTCGACCTGCTTAGCAGTCTGGAAATGACCACCACCAAGCACATCCCACGGCGCAAGCGCCATTCCGAAATGCCGCGCCATGGGCAGGATATCGCGCTCGAAGTCGCGGCGCATCACGTTCCACCGCCCCTGGTAAATGGAGAAAGGCGTTTTGCCGTGCGCGCGCGCATATGTGTTCGCCGCAGAAACGATCCACGCAGGAGAATCCGAGATCCCGAGGTACATGACCTTACCCTGCTCGACGAGGATGTGGAGGGAGTCCATGATTTCCTCGATGGAGGTAGTGTAGTCCCACCAGTGGACGTAGAGGACGTCGATGAAGTCGGTTTGGAGTTTGCGGAGAGAGTCACGGACGCTGAGGATCATGTTACGCTTATGGTTCCCGCAGGCGTTAACAGTGTTGCCCTTACCGAGCGCGTGGCTACGGTAGTCGGTTGTGAACTTGGTGGCTAGAACCAGTTGGTCGCGGTTGTTGCGTGCGGCCATCCATTCGCCGAGCCAGGTCTCGGATTGCTCGTTCTGGTAGTTGTTTGCTGTGTCGATGAAGTTGCCACCGGCGGCGACGAAGGCATCGAGCAGTGCGAAGGATTGCTCTTTGCTCATGCTGCCCATGAATCCGCTCCAGGCGTCGCCGATGGACATTGCGCCGAGCTGAAGGGGGGAAACGCGGACTCCTGCGGTTGAGGAGAGAACCCGGTACCGACCAAGAGGGGTGGCAGGCTCTGGTGCAGCTCCGAAGATTTCTTCCATTGTATAGTTGGTGTAATGTAATGTTCTTGTTACGAAGATTGTTGGTGGTGGAATGAAGTATTCTGGTCGGTTGAGGTGCCTTTTATACTTGGGCTTCTTACTTTCGCTAACGGAGTTAATATCTCGGTGCTAACCTTGGAAATACTAGTTTCGTCATCGCATTGCACCTATTAACCTTGGTGCTCGGAATTAAAGCTTACTCGCAACTATATCTCCGTTTATATTGTACGGTCTACTAGATCAGACGTGGAGTTGTGGTCTGTCGTGCATAAGTCCTTAACACTGCCCTCCCCATGGAAAGCTATGGGTATTCCCTGGAATATAGATATCATCGAGGGCTCATCATAGGAGTGCAATGCCAGTATAGATCGGCTAGGATAGGCCCTGTATATACTGTACTCGGGCCATGTAATACACCTTTGAAACACCCCTAAGAATTGGGCGAAGTACCTTGTGACCTATATTGGTTGATTTATGCTCTTAACAAAACGAGTATGGCCATATCAAGAATCATCAGAGAACTATGAAGCATAGCACAACGTAGGAACAAAGACAAGCTTAACCCCGATCTCCGAGTTGCTTCCGTGGTTCCAAGCCGCACTAAACCCTATCCCGTTAGAGTCATGTCAGCTTGAGCTGTCGATCATTTGAGCCTTTCACAACATTGTAAACTCCGCAATTACATATAACGCTTTGTTCATCTGGAGTAAACCCTTAACCCCTTCCTCCATTTCAAACTGCTCGGTCGGATCCAATATTTATCTTTCCCCCCCTGTTTTGTCAACAGCGGTGTACTCGTAATCCGTTGCAGGAACAATGTTTCTCTTTGTGGGATGCTCGAGCAAGGGGCAATGTACTATGCACATCCCCCTGATCGCTGATTGGCGAACGACTGCAACCAAAGACTTGTACATCAGTTCATGCAACAATTAAATAATTGATCACGCTGGTCCTTGCATTCTCCTGACTGCAGCCCCACCTATCCAAACTGAACTGGACATTTCGTTTGTGTTCAAGAGCACATTTTAACTCAGACCCTGTCAAATGCGAACAGCTCCGTTGTACTTTCTGATGGCTTATGATATTCGGGACTAGTGCGACTAATGATAGTTGCATAACCGCTTTGTCAACTGTTGCTATTGAATACTAATCGACTAGGTGGCTCCTTGGGAACTAGACCTCGCTGCCTAATTACGAAAGCAAAAGTCTGCAGGATATGCAGCTTAGTGGAGGATCTCATGTACCACATGGACTCCTGAAATATGATCACAGGGTTCTGCGCAACCTGGATTGGCCCTTTTCTCCTTCCCAAGAAATCCACAGGCAAGGTTTCAGATGAGACCTGTACGAACTGGTTGTGTTTACAAGGTCAACCTTGGCTTATTTCTTTGTTTCCTTTTAAAACTCTGTATTTTCCTCTTCCTGTTCATATGCCCCAACTTTCGTTAATTCTTACTACGGGCTTCTTTTGATTTCTTAGTACTGCTGGTTATTTCCCCTTTTGTTCATCATGGGCTTCCTTGATGCCTTCAAAGTCAAATCTCGCAAGGACGCAGATGGACCTGGAGACAGAGCTGAGCACAACACGGAGCAGAATAACCCGCCACCCAATGATGACACCCATTCCGAGTCTGTGGGTCAAACTTCAAAGCCCTCGAGTGAAAAAGAGAGCACTCTAGTCGATGAGCATTTGATGAGAAATGCGACTCCTAATAATGACACCGACAAAGAGCTTGCAAGCCGTGACACCCCAACGCCCGTTCACAACGACTCCAACAGGGAGCTGGTCACCCAGGAACCATTAGACAAGCAGCCAACACCAGAAGAGAAAAAAGAGGACGATGGCGCAGAAACGCCGAAAGACGAGGAAGAGTACCCAAACGCATGGAGATTGACTCTGATCAGCATTGCTCTCTGTCTATGCGTGTTCTGCGTGGCATTGGTATGCACTACCAGTTTGCTTTATTTGGATGTTCCTATCCAGCTAACACTGAATCCCCTAGGACAACACTATCATCGCAACAGCAATTCCTAAAATCACTGATCAATTCAACTCACTCGAAGACGTCGGCTGGTACGGAAGTTCATATCTCCTGACAACATGTGCCGTGTCCCTGATGTTTGGCAAACTCTACACATTCTACTCAATCAAGTGGATATACCTGATCGCGCTCTTCATTTTCGAGGTCGGCTCGCTTGTCTGTGCTGTCACTCCCACCTCGGTCGGACTCATCTGCGGCCGAGCCATCGCCGGACTCGGAGCGGCTGGTCTTTTCTCGGGCTCTATCCTCATCATCAGCAAGAGTGTACCCCTGGTCAAGCGACCTGTGTATACGGGTCTCATTGGCGCGATGTTCGGCATTGCCAATGTAGCCGGTCCTCTGTATGTTGATCCTGTTTCTTGATTGCCGAATTATGCTAACTTACGGCAGTATGGGAGGCGCGTTCACCGACCACCTTACTTGGCGTTGGTGTTTCTACATTAACCTGCCCCTTGGAGGAGTGACTTTCTTCTTTGTGTTGTTCTTCTTCCAGACACCGAAAGCCATCTTGAAGAAGAACACCTTTAAGGAACAAATCAAGGAGCTGGACCTGATTGGTTCCTTCTTTTTCCTGCCCTCTATCATCAGCTTATTGCTTGCATTGCAATGGGGTGGCACCAAGTATGCGTGGGGCAGTGGACGCATTATCGGCCTATTTGTGGTCTTCGGCGTCCTCGGTCTCGTCTTCATTGGCATACAGATCTGGGCCGGAGACCGGGCAACCGTCCCGCCGCGCCTTATCAAAAACCGTAACGTTTGGGGCTCGTCCTGGTATGCCCTTGCTCTTGGCGCTGCGTTCTTTGTCTTGACATTTTATGTGAGCACTCTTTCCCTTTAGTTCCTCCTTCCCACTCGTCCCAATCAAAGCGCTAACACTTCTTTTAGCTCCCTATCTGGTTCCAATCAATCAAGGGTGCAACCGCCTTGAAATCCGGCATCATGAACCTGCCCATGATCATCGCAGTTGTGGTTGTCTCTATCCTGGCTGGTGGCCTCGTCACCGCTTGCGGATACTACACTCCCTTCATGATCGCCTCGGCCATCATCATAACCATTGGCGCAGGGCTCCTGACGACTCTGGAAGCAGACTCAAATCACTCCAAGTGGATCGGATACCAGGCGCTCTTTGGTATCGGTCTGGGCTTGGGCATGCAGCAGCCCATGATCGTCGCTCAGACTGCCCTGAAGGTCGAAGACATTCCTAGTGGCACCGCTATCGTCATGTTCTCCCAGACTCTTGGTGGCGCTATTTTCGTCTCGGTCGGGCAAAATGTGTTCCAGAACCAGCTCGTCCACAACTTGGCTAAGTATGCGCCGAACGAGGACGCCGCAAAGATCGTCTCTGTTGGCGCTACTATGCTCCGCACTGTTGTTAGTGGTGATGCCCTGCAGCGTGTCCTGGTTGCCTACAATGCTGCTATTGTGCAGACTTTCTACGTTGCTGTGGCAATGGGCGCATTGTCGCTCGTTGGGCCCATCTTCGTTGAGTGGTTGTCTGTCAAGGGCAAGAAGGTCGAGGTGGCCCCTGTTTGAGGCTTAAGTTTGGGCTGGGAAGGATTTTTTCGTGCACATTCTTAATTTTCGCACCGCTTCTATCTTTTTCTTTCTGTCTTCATGGATGGTTTACGGAGTATTGCACTAGGCCATATGCCTCTATCTTTCTATTGTTTATGATAATTCATGCGTACATTAATATCAGATAAAAAGCCCAATCAATATCATTGCTTTGCGCGATCGAATATATCTTTTGAATGATTGCTAATTTATTTCTCGACTGGAAGAGAAGCCTGTCTCCATCTCGCTCAGAGACCTAGACCAGAGTTATCGGTTTTCTTCACTGCTTGGGTCTGTGTAATGGAGGATCCAGCGAAGGGTTGATCCCAGTAGCGGTCGCGCGGTGTCCCGTAACCATTCAACTCAATAGAAGACCCCGGCGTTCTCTAGAAATGCACATACTTTCCGTTACCTACAATGCCGTAAGCCGTGCGTGTTCTGTCCCGGTTCCCCCATTGCCGCATATACTTTTCCAGCTTGGCGAAAGGCGTCTTGGATTCGTTGGCTCCAGGTACTTTTGCCTCATTTCTTCTCTTGGTCAGGCCTCTTGCACTCAATGAACAAGCAGGTATTAATGCGTCCATTTTGAATATTCGTGGTGGCCTTCGCATGGGAGCTTTCAGACACGGAGGTTGCTCTTTGGAGCCCGTAGTTGGCGTTTACAGGCCAATAGAACGCAAGAATCTGCGTCCGGAGACGATAACACGATCTTCGCAACATCCTGGCTCAAGCCTCTCAAGGTATAGTCTGATCAAAGGATCTTGGTTGTACTATATATACAACCAGGTAGTTATAGTATTCTCTCAAGTAACGCTTCTATCGTTGCCTCCCCCCAATTGTCCCCACCCAGTCGTCGTTGGTGGTCGCCTGGGACCCATCTTCCTGCAACGGGGCGGCGACAAGTTGTTGGACTGTGCCCTCCATGCTGATGTGGTTTGGTGAACTAGCCCGCGACGATCTACGGCTGTCCAATGAATCACGTCAGAAAGCACGCTAGGACTTTCCGATCGCGATCCCATCGAGCAGTCGCCATCGTAAACGTCGGACTCGGTGTCACTATCAGCATGGGGACCCTCAGAAGGGAGCGGTCCCGGGTCACGAGCCTTCCCTTTGCCGAGCTCCTGCGGATGGAGATCAAATGCATGCCCACGGGAGCCTGGTTCCTGGCTTCCCACGACGTGGCGGCGCGCAATACCCACAGGGTGGGTGGAGGACTCAAGCAGTCGGAGCACTGCGAGTCCGCACCTGGCTGTCCCTTGTGGCTTGCATGGCCGCGGCAAGCATAAGATCAAAGTTTTTGACGAGGCCTTTGAATCGGTCCTCGGCACCCGCAAGGCGTTTTTGACGCTGCAGGTTAAACCCATAAGGATGAGCTTGACAACACAAAGCAGGTTCCCCACGCAGTGCACCGATCCTCTTCAACTGGAAGTTGGGCGGATCCTGCTTTGGCCCTTTGACGTAACGTATCCTAATGACACACTCCAAATCTTCCACAGTAACTGGCGTGTGCATCGGCCCACGTAACCGGAGGTCCACATCGCCCCATGCTACAAATTCCGATCCTGTGTAGCTTCCCGATCTGATCATGTCGCCCACCCGGCATCCCGTCGCCGTTTGTAGGACCACGCCAAAGAATGTGATGGTGTTTGTCCAATGCCAGTTATCATGTATAGCATCTGACACCCATGCAATTGCCATATCACATTCCGAAATTTATAGAGACATGGGCTTGCTGTGCCAGAGCACTTCGGCGGACTCTTGCCACAGGGTCTTGAGCGTCTCTTCCTCTTCTTTTACCACCTGCGCCCATCGCCCGATGGAGCAAGGCGGATGCGGGCTAGGTGTAGAAGGGAAAAGCCCAAGAGTGACCCCTACAAAGTCCAAATGGGTCACCATGGTCTAGAGAGGCCAAGCTTCCCACAACATCTCCATGAGACCGAAAGTGAGCGGGGAAAAATACCTCTCCATCACAAGGAAGACCACTCAAAGGTTGAAGAACCAGGCTGGAGAGAACGGTCCAACCTGGACGTGGGTCTGGAGCGCACGTATATGAACCTTTAGGGGTAGATTGTGCGAGGCTCGCAAGCGTGGGGAGAAACCACGCCCTTAGGCGTAGACGTAAGCAACGGACATCGAAGGGAGCATCAAGATCGGGAAGAGCACGCATTAGCGAGCTCATATTGAAGGTGTTATTCGGGCCCGGCAGGACACCCGCTAGAGAGGACATGTCGAGAGTCGTATCAGGCAGAGGCAGTGCACAAGTCATCGAAGACATGTTGAATCGTACTGCCGACGTGCGACGTTAAGGAAATGGTCAACCCTAAGGTACTTGACAGCGTCTGAGTTATTTTCGATGGGTCTCCCCGGCATAGTTCAACGTCTGTGAACTGTGAAGGGGGGATAATACCCTCTTAGCTGGGTCGTTACTCGTGGCAACAACATGGCACTGGAGAAGGAACGACACAACGAACCATCGGTGGCAGGTTCAGGCGATGACCTACCGGAGGAAGGTGCGGACCGCGGAGAACGGGACTTATGACGTTGAAGTGAGGATAGTCTGGGAGAAAGAATGAGTCCCAAGTGGGGAGAAACTGAGGCGTAAGTAGGTGTTCGAAGAATGAGACTTAGAAAGTGCACAGCAGATTTCAAGTGTGTAGTATATAGTGTATAGTAGAGAAGACGTAGGAGGATATAGATCAGCTATTCACGGCAGTTTATATCGTCGGCCTTGAAGAAGCGTTAGAAAATTATATCGATATGAGATTCGCAGTAAAGTGGTTTGCGATAGACCTAATATATATTGTTGTCAAAGTAGAAGCATTTGGTCTTTATTGGTAAAAACGCTTGACATATTATTGTAACAATTCCTTTGATAATACAACGCTGAAGTAGCACAGAAGCAGAACTGACAGACCTAAACCCCAGCATATAAACTCAGATACACCCCCCAGATCACCCCGCATGCGCTTCCAAAGACCACCCGTCGATCTACAGGAATGACTGTGTACATTAAGACCGAAACGACAGGCCGGTACTTCAGACGGGCACTCATAAGAGGCCAGAAATCCTATACAAGTCAGCATCTGTGTAATCAACACCGTTGTTCAACAGAAGAGCAACTTACCAAAAGAGCCAAATCCCAGGACTTCGCCAGAGTCTCTCCCTTCAGCAGATTGATGAGAACCACAAATAGCACGAGATTTACAATTGAGGCAGCCGTCTGATCAAAGAAGAACTTCATGACAAAGCTACGCAGCCCAGATGTCTGCGCTCGCGGCGCCCATCGGACATGTTTCTCCTTGTCCTTGTGGCTAGGGAGCAAATCCTCCTGGCGAGACCGTGAAAAGAGAGAGAGCCATGAGCGGGGAGAGAACAAAGATTTCAGTGACCGAACACTGAATGCATTTGAGAGTTCGGCGCGCGTAGGAAATCCTGGATAACGCGCTTCAAGGGCGCGTTGCCAGTAGAAATTGGGGGCCACAATTAAGAGGCCGTAGCCCAGAAATTGGAGCAGCGCCGGCGTGTTTAAAGTGAATGGAGCCTGAGACTTTGTTAATTCTGTCATGTTTGAACACACAGCATAGAAAGTCCTTACTTTGCTGTGCCTTTGATCGATCAATTGTGCCAAAACATTAGCAAGGGCATTGAGAACCGTCGCTTGCACGAATGTCACAATTAATGGGGAGGTCATATTGGATATGTCCCTCCAACCAAATCCATGTAAATATCAATGCCCAAATGTACACAAATGGAAATGAGTCGAGAAGAGCTTGCCAAGTTGCGCAACCGTGTCCTGAGAAGCTAGCCGGTAGGGGGCGGATAAGGCTGAGAGATTAAGCGACACTTGGATGTTTCAACCTTTTATTTTATATCTTCTGCACCGCTTTTAGAAGAAACTGCCTAATATAAAACTAAATTATCTCCGCCGGAACACGACATTCGGTCCATTCTTTGCGGAAGTGAAATGGTCCGTCAACGCCAGGTGGCCCCCCCGCGTCTTCGCCCTGACGATCCGCCAATGACATGTCAAAGAGGAACACCAGCCGCGCCAGAGTCAGCCTCATCTCCATAAAAGCCATGCTCTTGCCAATACATCCACGGGGTCCAATACTAAATGGACAAAATGCATGTCGCGCAGTCTCGATGCTCTCCTTGGTCGTCTTCCAGGACATCCCAGAGCCCATGCAGGTGGCGTCCTCAATCCAGCGCTCGGGGATAAACGTCCCTGGTTCCCGGTAGTATCGCTCTTGGCGGTGGATGGAGTATGTCGGTGTGCCACAGTCTGTGCCAGCGGGTAAGAAGACGCCGTCGACCACAGCGCCGCCTTGCATCACTTCGCGGGGAATCGCTCCGGGTACGGCTGGGGCCAGACGCAACGCCTCGTCGATGCATGCTTTGAGATACACCAGTTCGCCGAGCTGGCTGCTGGTAACGATCTCTTCGACTTCATTGAAGGCGCCGCGCACCTCGGCACACAGCTTGGCCAGTGCCTCTGGTCTCCGAACTAGGTAGAAGAGAGTGGCTGCCAGTGTAGTCGAGGTTGTGTCACTACCCGCAATCATGAGGACATTTGACTCGCCCCAAAGCTCGGGTGTGCTGAGTCCATTGCCGGTCTCCGGATCCTTTGCGTTCAACAGATAATAAAAGAAGTCCTTCTTAGCGTCCCGACCAATCTGAGTACGCTCCTTGGCGCGCTCGTTGGCTTCCACGCGCGAATTCATAATGAAGTTCCATCGGTCGCGCGTCAGCTTGCGGATGAATATCTGGTCCAGACCCCATGTGTCCAGGGGCATCCAAAGTCCGCACTATGACAGAATCAGATAAATGTGCTCCCTAATGATGGAAAAAATAGAAGTGCTTACCACATAGTGCCTGTTCGCAGCACGATCCACCAAGCCAACTTTATATCTCCGAGTCTCAGAAATAAGCATATCAAAGCTCTTCCCGAAGCAGAGCTCGCCCATAACATCGTACGAGAGATAACTAAACCAGTCACCCATGTTCTTGACATTGCCCTTCTGGTCATGCGATTCGAAATCCCCATCATACCCAGCTAGTACCGCACACAGCTGACGCACATGGAGAAGCATCACATCCTCCATGCCTTTGAGAGCGTTCTCCGAGAAAGCCTGGCTAAGCACTCTCCTTTTGCGACCATGCATAGTTTTATCAATGGCATTGTGCGTGTTATACACACCCTTGATGGCGGGGAAAGCATTGTAGAATTTGGCCTTCTGAAGGCGTTTCCCGTGTCCGTAGATATCGTGCAATCCACGGTCAGAGTTGACAGATACAAAATTAGGCGCAACGCGCACGTGTGTTCCGTACTGACTGTGCAGCTTGTGTAGCCATAGATGGCGGTCACCCTTCAGGCCATGGTAGAGCTGGACCCAGGGCGTGACGGATGCGAGGAAGGGGCCGTTGATATGATGAAGCGGGTGAAGGAATCGATTGTAGAGGGTGTAGGCGATGGTCTGAAGGGAGTTAGATTATTTTACTTCTAAGATATGATACTTGGAAGTGGGAGGGCATCAAAATGTATCGAAAGGACAGGATATGCGTACCGCTACGGCTAATAGCCCTACCAAGCCTCCCAGAACCCTCTGTAGAGAAAGGCACTCTAGCACAGATTCAACGAGCATTTTGAGAGATGATCATAAAGGAATAACCTTTTCAAAACGTTACTTTATCAAATGTCTCATAACTTCCTTTATATTCCAGCTACCGTCGATACCCGCCCCCAACCGAACCTGGTCAATGACGACGGATCCGTCCTACGAAACAGGTCGGCCTTTGGTGGTGGGACTGGAACTCCAATGAAGTGTTGTTAATTTCTACTCCATACTGTAGATAGGTTTATGTCTGACTCGGTTATAGGCGGTTGTTTGGGGATGATCTGTACAGGGTGGTTGGTTATGCTTAAATACCCACGCATCGACTTTATGGTATCCGCGGGGAAGTCTGTTTCATGCCTGGTACTTTTGTGGGGATTCGGGTCCAGTGGAGTTGTGATCTAAAGACAAAGGAAATGAACATTTCAACCTGAGACCCTGTGGTGAAAATTGTAGGGGTTCTTTGTCGTTACATAGGAATGCAACATGAATCTATCTTTTCTATTTTTGGCAGGCTGCCGTCATTCACTAACTCGGTCATACAGTAGGATCCCCTGTAGATGTTCCCCTCTATCGACTCCACTGGCTCGGTTTCTCCTTGGAGGTGTGATAGTACCACCGTTATTAGCCGATGTACAGTGGGTAATCAGAGACATCCGCTCCGAGGATTCCACATTTTCAGGAATGCGCCAACACAGTCAGCAACACAGAGTAAACACGCTATTTTGTCGCGCGAGGCTGTCCTGCAGCACCGATGTCGGCGATGAAGTTGGTGATAACCCGAATAAAGTGCCTCCCGAGGTGGTCGATTCAGGATCATGAAGATGGCCCGAATGGTATTTTCGGAGGCTCAAGCTTTGGAGCTGGCGGTTAAATCCATGTAAGATTATGTCTAACTGGCGTGTCCATGTATTCCTCCGTCCAAAATCCATTGCTCGTTGTCGTCGTTGTCATCTTGCACACGTCGCCAAGTCTGTTTTCGTTCGGTCTGTCCCACTGCTTCAGCCTGTTTTATCTCCGGGGCACGCCAAACAGGTCGCATAAGACCACCGGCTGCGAGAAGAGGATTGCGACTGAAAGTGCGTTGTCCTTGAGGGCTGTCCTCCGCACCTACTTCATCAACAGGCTCAGGCTCGCTGACCTCTGGAGTTGGTTCTGCCGGTGCGGAATGATAGACTCGGCGGACCTTGCCACCTTTAATATCAAGACTCATTACAGTCTTCTTCTTCTCCCATTCGGGACGAGCTTTCTCATCCATCTCGCGCTGAATGCGCTGCTGTTTCTTGAGCGCCAACGCTCGTTGGATGGGTGTCATCCACAAGGTTGAGGCGACATTCGGAGTCTCGAAATCCGCCGTTTCATCGACAACCTTTGTTCGGCGGGCGTTCTGCGCTTGGAACTGGAGCAGCTTGTCCCTGTGTGCTTTCGCGGCATCCAGTTTGGAAGGTTCGGACCCGGGAGTAGGTCTGGGACCCCCTTCATGATGAACACCTTCATTGTGTACGCGCATCTTCTCTTGTCCCCGCTCCGCCCGTAGTTCCCGAATCATACCCTGCACTTCTTCGGCGGAGAGGAGTGGTGTGCCGCAGAATGAGCACGGCTGTAATCCCTCGAGTGAGCAAATAATTTTCCCGCAGTTAAGACAATTGGGCGCTGGATCGAATACTGGGTGTAGTGAACCATAGCAGGTGCAGTTGCGTCTCTCCCCGAGACTTGGATTTGTCGATACCTCTAGGGCGGCGATAGCTGCGGTGAGGTCGGAGATATCGTTGGTTGAGAGAGCTGTGCTTCCCTTGGAAGATGATCCGGCTCCTCCACCTTGACGTGTTGACTTGCTCACTTTGGATCGCACATTTGGTAGCATGTCTGAGATCGTAGGGCCGCTCGCGGATGGTGGTGGCTTCGGGGATGATGCAGGTAAAGGGGAGGGAATGCGTGACGAGGCCGAGGACCCATGCGGGGATGGTGCAAGAGCGGGAGCAGTTGGTTTCCGAGAAGACATATAGTCTTCTTCATCGGCTTTCTTGTAGGCACCTCCTACATCGCCGTAGTTGTCTGGTCGGCGTGGTGGGCCGGCAGTGTGCAGCGGGGCCTTCTTTTTGCCCTTCTTGGCTCCTCCACTTGATCTCGATGCATCTCTGTTTTGTGTAGAGGGGTTCTGAGGTGGTCGCTGGGGTTCTCGCCGTGAATTAAACGAGGAGATGAATTCTAGGGCAGCCGGGGAGTCGCCTAGGAGGTTTTTGAGATGGTCGGCACATGCCTCCCTCGAAAGGCTGAGGGCATAGTCGATGACCTGAGAAAGTGAGTCTGGATCCAGCGGGAGAAGCTGGGAGAGACGAGGAGCTGCCCATGCGTTAATATCAGCCATGTTCGAAAATATTTCGGCGTCGTTGTTGAAAGATGAAATGCCCGTCCCCGCACTTATTAAGCACCTCCAGTTCCCGGGGCCGGGACAGGCCCCGGGGGCTAACCACAGAGGCACACAATTTCCAATCAAGGCCCAAATCAACTTCAACCCTGTATCTTGGACTAACCATATATCCGATATCAGCGCATAATTTCCCCTTAGACTCGGATATCAGCCATTACTAGTGGGTTCACTGAGCGCTCTGGGATTAAACCGGGAGCACCTAGGCCACATATGTATAGAATCCATGGATGTGCTGTGGTATATGAACACCTAACGAGATTGGTTATGCCCAGATGATTTCTTAGTGAGACCAGGTTGGAACGTACATGTTAAGCTGTATACCTCATGGACCTTTTGGCCAATGAGTTCAAGGTAATAAGAAACGAAGAAAAATAGTGATATTAGCACAATCAGTTGCATATCGCTTGCAGTGCCTCTGTCAGTTGTATTTCATGTTATCAAGTAATGTACATCCTACAAAGCCCGTGCCCCTCGTCATCATTCATCTATGCAGATTTATTCGAAGGAAAGGTCAAACCATGACCAGACCAAACCAGACCCAGAGACGCCATGGGACATAACCAGCCCATCAAAACAAAGCTCAAACGCCGCGGACATAATGATAGGGGGAAAAAAAGGTATGAAAAAACAAATGAAAGCTTAGTCGGCGTTTTCGCTCTTGATGTCATCGTCGTTGTCTTCAACTGTGAATGATTGCTTGAGCTTACTGGGACCGGGCTTTGTAGTGGAGCCCTTCTTGGGCCCATTCAGTTTCTTCTTCTTCGTTGGGCTGGGACTTTCTTCATCGTCGTCCCCGTAAGGGCGCTTGGGTGCTGATGAACCGGGGCTATTGCCATTGCTAGCTCCACTGTCTGTTGGGGTCTGGTTGCGGCCGGTGCGACCACCACAAACGCAGCGTTCAAGGTGTTGGGCGAGACGGGTCATGACGAAGTAGCGCGGACAGATAGGACACTTGGTGGTTGGAATCTCAGGAATGGTGCTGTCTCGGTCACCCTTCTTTTTCTTTGGGTTCGGCATGACTGCAAAGAGTTTGCCGTGGACATCATGACCAGGCAGGTCGATCATAGGCACATTTGTACAGTATTCAGCGTTGGGATCGGGGGGGGGGCAAGAATTAGCTCCGGTGGTCGGGTACATGAGTCTTGGGAGGCGGCAATCTGGGCACACATGCTCCTTCACGGTTTGCATGGGATTGCCCTTGAGGAAGACCTTCCCGCGGTTGAAAACGGCTGCGTCCGTCTCCATGCGCATACCCGCGAGCTTCTTGGTGTCGAGAACTACTTCTCTCTTTGTATCGGTCGAGGTCTTGCTAGGTGCTTCATCCGGCATGATTGCGTCTTCCTCCGCCTTCTGTCGGGCAAGAACCACCGCGGACCGCATGCGCGCCACCTTCTCTTCGCGGTGGACTTTGGCCACAAGGTCGTGGATGATGTTCTGGAATGTTTCGTTGAGGATGTCGGTAGCCTAGAAAAAAAAATATATAGTTATTAGAACTCGCGTTGCACGACCCATGAAGTTCGCTCAGGGCCATCATACCACTTTAGCGATCGTTCCGGCAGGATAGGTCGGCCTGCGACCACCGCTGCTGCTGGAGTCGGCCATTTTCGGATCGCGGCCGGAGATGGATGCGCCAAATATTTCTCGTCCGGTCCTGATTGACCGACGGCTGTGCCTGCCCGCGACACAGGTAGTGAGTGCTCCGAACCGCTAGGTCCGAGGTTTAGTTCTCCATGTACCGGAAATCTATGCAGGGTTGACGCAATGGGTGCACGGATGTAGGAGAGAAGAAGAAAGAGAAAGTCCAAAACATAGAAGCCGAAATAAAGGAAGGAAGACGACAATAGGGGGGGCCTGAATTGTATGGCCTAGTGTAGGGCCTATTGTCAGTGAGTTTCAATAATGGGGGATGAGGTAGGATTAATAACCAGCAATAATAGGGGAAAGCAATGTGATCAATGAATGTGTTCTATCAACGCAAACAATAGAGAGCAGGCATCAACAACAAGTAAGGCACTGACCTATTGAGGTGTCTATTTGCGAATCAAATATTACTCGGGGAGATGAAGAGACGGATGAGGCTGGAGCAAGTTGTTCACTGGGCTTATCTCTTATCGGATCTCCGCATTCGCTAGGTGCCTCTCTGCTTGTTCTTTCACGAAACCATTAAGTCTTGCTGCAAAATGGCATACCAGCTGTTTGCAAAGAATCAGACAAGGCCCGCGACTTCTTCGACTTCGCTGTCTCCTCCCCGACCAACCGCCATGCTGCGCGGCCTCCCATCCACCCCCCCTCCAGTCCAGCCGCCTCAATCAGCCGTCGCAAACACGTCTGGCCCGAAACGCTCGAAGGAAGAGACCTTTGTCCCATATCCTCATGATACTCCAGGAGGTGTGGTGACTCCACACCCCCATATCACAGTCGAGAAAGTCAACACTGCGCATATCCCTTCGTTGACGCGGATCACGGGCTTGCTCCTTCCCATCCGCTACCCAAACTCGTTCTACACAGCTACCATAACCGACCCAGTGATTGCTTCTATTTCACGGGTTGCTATTTACCATGACCACCCTGTTGCTGCAGCCCCGGGGTCCGGCGCATCTCCCGGGACGGACAAGGTGATCGGCGGCATTCGGTGTCGCCTAGAGAGAGTCCGACAGACAGAGGGCTCAAACAGAGAGACCCAAATACAAGAGAATGGATGTCCCACAAATCTCTACATTCAGACCCTGCATCTTCTCTCGCCATACCGAGGCTGTGGTGTGGCAGCATCACTGTTGAATTCGCTTCTCTTTGCGTCACCACCGGAAAGCAAGGGCAAGGACTCATACCGGGTGTCCGAGCTCGTCAGACATTATAACATCTGCTCTGTTACAGCACACGTCCATGAGGCAAACGAAGAGGGGCTGGAATGGTATATTGCGCGTGGGTTTAGGGTTGACGGTGATGTAGCCGAATACTATCGGCGACTGAAGCCGTCGGGCGCGAAAATCGTACGACTAGATTTGAACTGGAACGAGGAAGACGAATCGTCTGCTTCGACAGAAAGCAATGCTCAGGCTACAACTTCCCCCGACGACGTAGAAGACGAGGACTGGGAGAAGGTGGAGGCGGAGGATGATGAGGAAGATGACCATGGAATACAGCATTTGAACGAGTCGCAAGTCCTCCAAAAGCAGGATACGCCTACGCGCAAGCGCAAGGCTGAAGACGACAACCACAAGCCTCAGGTCGAGTGAGATGTGCTTTGCATGTGTGTGTGGCTTTCTGATATACCTTGGATACCCTTTGCATTTGTTTATACATCTGATTTAGAAGAGTGCGTGTGTTGAATTCCCGCTGCGTGCGGTGATTATAATCTTACTTGAACATGACAAATGATCTCTCGCTATACACTCCTACATGCTGAAGTTGAGCATTAAAAGAACTGGCATAATATTCATATAACTTCAACGCCATGGGTATCGAATTAACAGAAGATAGCAACGCTACGTTAGATGTTATAGTTCTCGGCATGCAAAAAGATCTCGTCTCTTGACGAGTCCATAATCACCTGCATCTGCAGTTTGGCTACCGTGTTGGCGACTTCAACTCGCATGCTCGGTGGACCGCAGACGAAAACACATGCACGACGGCCAAAGGTTTTGGAAAACTCATTGAGCATCTGAGTGATGTTGGGACGGAAGTAATCAGTCCGCCAGTTATCGCGGCCAGGTGGCTGATAATAGGCAAACCGTGGTGCAGGTGCTGGCGGTGGCCTTTGTGGCACAGGTTGAGGTGCGCCGAATCCGAAGTCGAAATTTGGTTTGCCATAGCCAGTTGATGCAGCGAGGCCATGAGGGTTCATGGAAGGCTGGTAATATTGGCGGGTATTGGACGCATGGGTGGCCATGTACGCATTGGGAAGGGCAGCAACACCGTCTTCATTCTCACGGCGCAATTCCTTTTCTAGATCAGGGTTGCCGGCAGCTTCATCGCGTATATACGCAGAGTTTCGTTTATCAATGCCCTGGAGCATGCCATAAATCTTCTCCTGGACCATGTCCCGTCCAACTCGGTCGTCTTGCTTCACTCCGGTGAGGAAGAAATGACAGCTCACGATGTTCGAAGGTGCATAGTCACGGCAGATTCGTAGTTCTTCTCGGAACCATTCCATTGTCTCAGGACTCTTTAGCGCCCAAACCACTTTGACCGACTTAGTGATGGCCTTGCCATCTCGAATCTTCTTGATGAGGTCTAGCAATTGGCTTGCAATGGCAGTAATACCACTTCCTCCAGCAAAGAATATCACGTCGTCAAAAGCAGCCATCTCGCGCTGCATGCCTCCATAGGGCCCTTCTACAAACGCGCTGTATGTTTTGTAGGGCCCATGTTCCAAGGTTCTCTGGAATACTTCGCGTGTGAAACCATGAAATGGACGGAAAACAAGTGTCATATCACGATACTTCTCACCATACGCAGATGGGAAGTCGTCGCTACAAAGAGAGGCGATCGTGAAAGGGTGGCTCTGAATCACGGAAATCCTCGGCAGACGTAGGTAGACATACTGTCCGGGCTTCCAACGCATCTTTGTGGGAATGGTGACCTTGATGGCATTCTGTGGAAGAAAGGTTATGGCCGACTCTTCTCCGATCAAAAACGACGAACGCAAAGGGTGCGTCCAGTTCAAGTAAAACAGCCGGATGGTGTATGAGATAGCCCAAATTGCAAGGGTTGTGAAAAGATAGGCCCATGATGACAGGTAGTTCCTCGTGTGCCAGAAGAGCATCGCTACAAAAATGTACGACACTGGGATATGGACAAAGACAAAAAGCTCATACGCCCAATTGCGAAAGATTGGAAGAGAGTGGATACACAGCACAAGCAGAGGAACTAGCGCTGCAATTCCAGTTCCATACACATAGGCGTGTGGTGGGATGCCTACGATATAGTTGACCAAAGCGCCGTCTTCCCAGATTGGAGTGATGTAAAACGGGACCATGTGAACCAAACTGAGGAAGAGGCAGATATAGGCTGACCAGCGGTGCAAGCCATTCAGCCGCTCGGGACCAAGGCCAGTCATCATAGTGATAAAGTTTGCCTTGGTGCTGAGTGCAACAATCCAGGGGATCATAGCTACTGCGAGCATGCCTGCCCGAATCGCCAGTGGCGGTGACCCCAGCGCAATCGACCAGTAGTATAAGGGCTGTGGCACGAAACAATATAATGTGACGAAGATAAATGCAACCAAGACAATCGCCGTAACTGCCAGAGACGGGAAAACCAGCTCTATCTTCCCCACCCTCAGGACGGGAATTGGTCGGTAGAAGATCCATCGCATAAAGGCAATTGCCTTGTTCAAGGGAACTATCGTAGCTAGAATCGATTCACGCCTCTTAGGCGGGGAGACTGTGGTCGGCGATGGAAAGAAATGGGCGTTGGAAGCATCAGTTCCTGCACTTGGGAGTTCGTACTCGTCCGGTACCGAGTCATCGCGAAAGATTTCTGGTCGGTTTTCTTTATAAAGGGCAATTCGCATCTTGTCGCCCCATTTATGCCAGCATCGGATAAAGATTGTGATTACCAGCAGCACGACGGCGAAATAGACAAATCCCACTCCGTATTTTGCTGACTTTGACCATGGATCTCGCTGCATTTCAGCTACCTCAGCTGCAGTCGTCGATGCCGTGATCGCGACATTGATGCGCTTGGCGATAGTGCCCAGCATTTTGTGCGTTTTTCGGCAACACTCGACAGCGATACTTTGTTCTGCAATTGCTTCTAGTTAGATCGATCTCAAGATACAGTCTTGTACAGGGTATCATACCTTTAGGTTCACCTGTGCGCAAGAGGCTTCCTCTCTTGTACTATAGTCGGACCGAGCTCATATCTTTACTGGAGCTATGAATATTGATGTCATCAAAGTCAAGAAGAAAAGCAATTTCTGGGGGAAATCCTATCTAAATGTATGGAAAAATGGAGGCGGGGGGTCACACAAGCTTGCATTCTCGGCATTGTGATAGCATAAGCCCAACAACGGAATATTGTGGCTGGTCAGACACTGAGCCAATGGAAGACGGCGATTGCAGACGGATTTATGAGAACACAGGCGTCTCGCCATGGTGGTAGTGGTCAGAGTGCATACGGAGGGATATTCCAGTGATGTGTGACGGTTTAGCGCTCTGAAGCCCAATCACAGGCGGCGATATCAGCAGCAGAGTGACTGGGGGTGACCGAGCCGCATTAGCGTGGTGGGGAAGATCCAGGACACTCAGGTTATCATTTTCTCACTGATATTCATGTCGAAAATACCCATCCAATTATAATTGAACTATAATGCAGGTGTAGTTCATAATCTCCGCCTGGTCGTGCCGGTTATTGGCCGGAGCCCTCGTAGTCGTTCCTCCAACATAGGTATGTATAAGTAGGCACGAGCAACTGGGTTAGTGACTGCGACTCCATGAAAAGCTATAGAGATCGAAGAAGCTGGCTATGCGGAGTATACGTAGCCGAAGCGAATAGCAACCAGTAGTATACTGTAGTTCCCTTGACGATGACCGCCACAGTAAGATATTGACAAATGACAGAACTTTAGTACCATTCCTACCTGGCCACTTAGAGACGCCAACATTTCAACATTTGTGAGGGAGTCATGTCGACTTTGGAGGTCAGGCACTGCGCCGATCCCTGCATAACGGCAATGATCTTGTCCCGTTGTACGGAGTATACAGCAGACAACTGCCGTGTCATATTCAACCTTGGAATATTTGATACCCCATTATACAGGAATTTGTAATTCGCTCCTCTTCTAATATGAACAATACTTAGAAAACTTCAAGTTGGGTCCCAAGGGCTGTCAGACGGTATTGTACACATAAGGGCCCCGCGGAAGTCTTGGCAGATAAACTCCACTTGGTGCCTGAGGTATCACTGACAGCTTTGGCCGCCTTTGATAATAAATTATTCTGCCATCTTATGCTCGTCGGCTTTTTCTGCGTCTTCGATCATTTCCATATCAGTATTTGACAAAAGTAGACGCATTCTACTTCGTCATGGCATCCTCCACTACTCCCGTTAACCCGACACCTCCGTCATTATCACTTCCACCATCTCAATTCGCCCGCCTCCAACCCCACGCCTACCTTCTCGCCCACCTCTCTCCTCCACCAGCGAGCAATCAGCCCTCAATCCGCGCAAATGGTCGTGCCACCTCACAATTCCGTGTCACATCTGCCAATGCTGGCTCTCTAACTCACACAAATGGCAGCGCAGTCGTACGAATCGGCGACACAGCCGCTGTCTGCGGCGTTCGCGCAGAGATCCTTCACACCAAGGACATCGCTTCCTGGAGTGTATTGCGGGCCTCATCAGAGCAAAATTTCGACAAGTCAAATGACATGGGAGTCTCAGAGTCCCAAGACGAGGAAGATCGAGGCCACATCCAAGATCTGAACCTACTTGTTCCCAACCTTTCTCTCAGCACTGGCTGCGCGCCAGGCTTTACGCCCGGTGCACCACCTTCTGCGCTGGCTCAGTCACTCTCCCACCAAATCCTTTCTCTCCTGCACTCCACTCGTCTCGTGAGAGCAGACGACTTGCGCATCTGGTACCAGCCACCGAATCTGGACTCGGAGGAATTCCGCAATGCGGGCGAGGGGATGGACGTGGATACAGAACAGAGCGAGGACCCCGAAGGGGAGATTAAGGCATTCTGGGTGCTCTATATTGATGTCATGATCATTTCTCTGGCTGGAAACCCATTCGACGCGGCCTGGGCCTCTGTCTTGGCTGCGCTTCGGGACACAAAGCTTCCCAAGGCATGGTGGGATGCTGATAATGAGACGATTCTTTGCTCGGATAATGTTGCCGATGCGCGAAAGTTGTCTCTGCGTGGCTTGCCTATTGCTAGCTCGTTCTGCTCTTTCGAGGGCGATGCCGCTGCTGGTTGGAGGGCGGTTGCCATTCCCGATGCCGAAGAGCAAAAGCAGAAGAAGGGCGCGCAGCAAAGATGGATCCTTGCGGATCCGGACGGATACGAGGAGGGATTGAGTCAAGAGCGGGCTTCTGTAGTTGTTGATAAAGAGAACGGGAAAACGGTCATTGTGAAGATGGAGAAGCATGGTGGCTGGACTGTGGATAGTGATGATCTGCGCCAGCTTGTGGATGTTTCTGCTCAGAGATGGGATGAGATGAAGCGGATACTGGATCAATGCTGATCGAATTGATGTGCAATACAGATGAATGATACCACTACAAGGATTTCTTACCATTTTGCTTTTAAATGGAGCTATGCATCGGAGTAGGTCTAAACGGTGGCTGGCATGTCGACAATACATGAAATAATAGATTTGAGCTAATACATGCGCTTTGTCCGATCAATTGATCAGATCTCTAATTGCCTGATTTCTTGCTCATCATGCTGCGTCGCCTTCTCTTCAACGGTGGTTCGTTGTCCCGGTTGATATCCCTGGAAACAGACACATCTCCATCCTCTTCCTCTGTGGAAGTTGTCGGCAGATTAGCCTGGGTTTCACGTTTGGACTTGCGAGGAATTGATACGGAGAAGGAGATCAGGTCCGAACTGGCACGTTCCTTTTTGGGCTTCTTCGTCTTGGTACCACGCCCGCCTTCTTCAGACGGTTTAGTTTGTGATTTTGAGCCATCGATTTCCTCTTCTTTGGGTTTTTCGGTCTGTGTTTTGTTCTCTTCTTTTGATGCACGCAGGTAAGCACCGGAGAAGATGCGCATGAAAAGGCTCTTCTGATCTTCGGGAGAAGGCTTGTCCTCAGGTTCATCTGGCTTCTTTTCCTCTTCAATTTCCACCTCCTCGGCATCGGAGAAGTCCCACATTGTATGAACCTCACCTCGAATAAGCGCAGTGCCCCAAAGCGATGTCAGAACACCCGGTACCAGGTAGAGAAGGGCTGGTTGGGCATGATTCGAGTATTGCATGGCAAGGAGGGTGGTGACCATCCCTACAACATAACCGAATATACTAGCTTTGAAGTAAACCTTTGGGAAACGCCGGGCGTCGTGATAGGGGGGGGCTGAAGTTCCGGCTGGAGTGGCTTGACTGATGGTGCCCAGAACCGCTCTCCCCAAGCGCCGGTTGCCGACTGATACTCAGGCTTGACAGTTGCCCGGTCTGACCCTTCAGGACGTGCCATATGAGCACCTTTCCGCTTGTAATATAGGAATAGATCGAAGCGAAGTGCCAGCCCAATCATCATTCCCGGAATGACAATGTCACCCAGTCCAAGCATGGCCAATGGCACGGAGCCAGGGGCATCGCGAGAGTTAGGCGGGCGAGGAAAGAGGAGCTTGATTGGTACATCCAACTTAGTTGCAACAGTGACCATCAATGGAGTGAAGAAGACGAAGTATATATCATAGAAAAATAAGGATCCCAAAATGAGCGTCCCAGTCCAGAACGTGGAGGGAGACATGAACTGCAGGGTGCCATAGCAGAAGCAGAACCCGAGGAAGTTGGTCAACCACCACGGGTTTTCCACGAATGCGAAGTATCCTACAGCAGATAATGCAGAGATCCCGCTGATGATATCAAGGAGACCAACGAGGCATTTGAAGTCAAATAAACCACGTATATGAGCTCGCACCTTGAGACGCTGATAACAGACATTTCGGCATTTCCAAAGCAGTCCTCGTACCATACACGGGAGGGGCACTCGGCTGAAAATCCCAGGAAGAGGTGAGTGCCGGAACTTGGCTGGATAGTCCTCAGACGCCATGAAAAGGCGTTCAGATTGTTTTGCTTTCCACAATTGTCCACCTTGACGATAGTATCTAGGGAAAACAAATGAACGAGTCATCAATAGCACATCCTTCAGGAATGCAAATGCAAAGAAGAGTCCCATTTGAGAGAAGTAAAAACTAAGGACTTTATTCAAAATGGCTGGATCTTCCAGCCATTTGATCACCAAGTATAAACCGCCGAGGGTGAGTCCTGCAGTCAACGGAAATATCAGGGCATCTGATGGCTCAAGCCCTTCCATCTTCTGCAAAGGGCCATGTCCCTCTTCATCATCTGTGTCATATTCATCTTTATCCTTGTTGGCTTTTCTCTTCGGAGGTTTAGCGGCGGAGGAAGGTCTTGTCAGAGATGCATGTGCACCGATCCAAATTGGAAAAAAGAGCGGAAACAAGTAGGTGTCCGTAAGTTGGAAGAAGTGGTCTCAGACGGTCGAAGTGGTAGAGGGCTTGTCCAAGTAGCTCGGCGATAGGGCTGACGTCGGCCATTGTGGACAGGAACTTATAGACCGTAAGCACGGGCAAATGACAGTTAATTGAAGCCAATGAACAAGTTAAAAAATGAATGAATCAGACCATAATGGCCACGAAGGGTTGGTAAAGTGGGGGATTCTTTGAGGTCTGTAGCCTTCCTGGGAAGCTTCCTAGCACCACAGCATAATCTACGTCACCGCTTTCTGCTCACATCCATATTACCTTAGTTTCTTTTACATTATCCATTATTACGATTCATCTCGTCCTTTCTTCCAAGTTCCAAGCTCATAGGTATCTAGATTCTGCTTCTTTCTATTTTTTATTATACGCTGTATGCGTATTTCCTTTTCTAGAAAAGAATTATCACATCCATAGCTAGGGCGGTACCATCTTTCTGCCAGACAAACTGGGAATTGAGTTGATCCCTCAGCTATCGCAAACTCTCATCTTTCAGCTCTGTTTACGATTCTACGCTCACATATTCATCATGACAAGTGAAGTGGCTTTTGACACATCTATGGTAACTTGTGCCTCTTTGTTCTCTCAAGATCACTCGCTAACCCAGCGCAGGGTTCCTTCTCCGTGGAGCTCTACAATACCCATGCACCAAAGGTATTAGCCCCTTTGCAGCTTCTAGGGAACCCTTACTAATCTCTTGCTCTTCAGACATGCAAGAACTTTGCGACTCTCGCCGAACGTGGCTACTACAACAATGTCATCTTCCATCGCATCATTCCTGACTTCATGGTCCAAACTGGCGATCCCACTGGCACCGGTCGAGGAGGTAGCTCTATCTACGGCGAGAAATTCGAGGACGAGATTCATGGAGACCTGAAACACACCGGGGCTGGAATCCTGAGCATGGCGAACAGCGGACCGAATACCAATGGCAGTCAGTTCTTTATCACTCTTGCGCCGACACCCTGGCTGGACGGAAACCACACGATTTTTGGCCGAGTGAAAAGTGGCATGAGAGTGATCCAGCGTATGGGACTAGTCAAGACCGGTGCGGAGGACAGGCCAGTGGATGAGCTGAAGATCATTCGGGCTCGGGTGGTTGAAGCAGGCACACAAGAGTGAGAGTCGTGCCGGTGTGGCTTATTCCATCGGATTAAGGTGGAGGGCCATGCACGTCAAGTATCTTCTCCCGGAAAAAAACAGATGTTGCCCAATTTGGAGAGTTTAGGTTCCATCTGCGATGCAAATTGCAGGCACAACCTTCGGCGCGCCCGGCCCAAGTCAGGCCAGGGCAGCATTCTCTTGTTATTGTCTCAAGGTGCTCTATGCAAGCCTCCTGGACTCTACAAACTACAATATCAGAGTGGCATAGCAATGTACCACTCTAATAATGAGATTATGGATGTATCACTACAAAACGAACCGCTTCCATCAAATGTCTCCATCAAGAGCAGCAGATACAGAGTGACAAGAAATCTTATCTACCACTCCCAAGCGAAGCCCAGTGAAGGACTGCGCCAATGAAGACCAGGCTACCATAGTATAGTAACCCGTTCTGTGCAGAACACCAGGAGTGGTATGGAGAGAGAAAAATGTTCCGCCGAAATTTCGGTTCATATAGCCGTGCAGCCTAACCTCTTTGGGAAATGCTGAGTCATTCATAGCCTTAGGCATTATTTACACCTGAGGCAGAAACATTCTTGGCGAATATCCAGATATGCTCTTTCCAGCCCTAATTGCATGATCCTCCAAATCCAAATATGGCTACTCCCGTACTTATGGATCATGTTTCAGTTTTGAACGTATGTATTTCGTATGACTGATCCAGAAAATTATCCAGAAAATGTTTAATTCCTGGATCAAATAACTCTCTGGTCGATAACATACTAGGCATACAACATAGTTAAAAGATCTTGAAGATAACATCGCAGCAAGAAAAAGTGCCAGAGATTGGATAAAGTGGTTAACTTTGACCGGCTAGCTCTGAGCTTAGTCTTCTTTTTCTGTTGCGGCTGATTAAAAAAAGGAGCTCAGCTCCAGAGCTCCCGAGTTTATCTGCTGAGATCGCCATCATCGCCATCATTGCCATCCAAGTGTAAGCCTGCTGATCACATCAACGCAGAATGGCGGCCAGGCTTTCCCGAAGCCTGCCACATGTCAACCGCCGTGTCTTCACTGGGTTATCTTCCCGCGCGATACCTCGCGTAGCGAACGCCAGTGCCCATGCTGGCTTGGTGGCACATCGCAATACCTGGAATCTCGCGCCTTGGACCTGCCGCGTAACACAGGCTAATATGGCGCGATATTCCCATACAGCTTCTGATTCGTCAGTCAAACCAAACGCTTCCATTGCCAACGCTACCTCTTACAAAGGATCGAGCATCACGGAGAAACATTGGATGAGCCAGGACTTTCCGGTCGGTACGGCCCTACTTGTCACTGCGTCACAGTCACGTCGCTAACCAAACCAGTGGACACCTTGATTGAACCACAAGCTGTCTTGCATTTTATTGAATTCATGTCGTGTGGTATTCTACCGAACGGGGAGAAGACCGATTTAGCTTTACTCGATCCAGATGAATTCCCATTGTTCATGGCCCCGAGTTCAGAGTGGGCGCCTGCGCCATTCAACAAGGACGCTCTACCAACTATGCAGAAGGCCATAGAACGGATCACGGCCCCGGAGGATTTCAGCGGGCTGTGCCGTATTGGACAGAATATTGAATTTCCCAAAAGTCGAATCTGGGGAGGTCTTGTCCCCGTGCCTGCATCACGGTGGCGCGAAAAGGATCTCAACAACCCGGACCATTTCACGATCGCTCATGAATACCTGACCTCTATCATTGCCGTCTTCGAGTACCTAAATAATCCTTTGATCAGGACTAACATGCGCGACACCTTCAACAAAATATCCGGTGACTTCGAAGAAATGCAGGACGCCTTGAATGCACGGCGCAAGGCCGAAGGCAGCCTTTCTCCCGATCTCAACATTACTGCTCTTTGGGAACAATTCATTCGCGCACAGTACGAAGTCATGACCAGCACCGCCCATTCCTGGGTCCTAGCTCGCGTTGCCGAGTTACGTGAACGGACATTTGACAGCTTCAGTGCGATCTGGGCCGAAAATCCAGAAAGCCCAGAAATGGAAAATTTCTCGCAGCGGTGGAGCGACCTTCTTTCTGTCACTTCAATGGCAGATTTCAATATTTGGATATCCATGGATGGGTACAACGGCTACCACGCGCCCCCCGAGATTATTGCTGGGCTACACAACCCTGACCTAAAGGACCAAGACAAGAACTATGAGCTTTCCCAGCCCCTGCTTGACCGAATCACAAAATGTATCGAGGCTCAGAACGAGTCTGGGACGGTTCAAGGCCCAAGTGCGACAGAGAGTGACGCGGCCCGCCGCGAGCGCCTTTCCCTTAGCATAGCAGTGCAAGATGAACTACGTGAGAAGATACGCGGCCGGGTGCCATCGCCACAGCCACCTGCACAGCCCTGGATCCAGCAACTCCTTCGGGCGCAGGAGACGAGCTTGAGCATGGACTCGTGCGAGAGACCTGACTTCGGCTTCGGGTTAGCGATCTACCGCGCTGCGCACAAGCTCTCCGCTGAGCAATGGGAAAACCTACAGCGGAACTTGGAAGCTCACTTGTCGGCATGGGGTGATGATATCCAGGGTGCCGATGAGCTCAAACCACTGCTCAAACTGCATTGGTTCGACTGCGAGGAACTAGACCCCGACACAACCAAACCCGTAACAGCAGCAAGGAGGTACGACGGTCCTAATCTTCCATGCCAAGGTTTGTATGAGCAAGGAACTAATGCTACTTATAGACACTTCCAACAAATGCGGTCCTCGGACGAGTGGAACCTTACAATAGCACCATCTGTTTTCCTTCTCATCGATCACATGGGCGTTGGCTCATATACCAGCGACAAATTCCACCCCTCCAAAGAGGACACAAGCCTCCTCAATGGGGATTTCCAAGGCCATGTCCTGGCTGTCGACCCAGACTTCGATAGTAGTGCCAGTGCAAACGCAAGTGCAGACAGCATGGCATATGAAGATCCCCAGGATGAAGGCTTTAAATATCCGGGTCAGATGCGCATCTTAGGTAACCTAGTCTGGAGCGAGCTCTTTCCCATGGTAATGCTGCAGTCTGTGGGACTTGAGAATCTCTGGCTCCAGGCGCGGGAACATCCGACAAAGGTGTATACAGGGCCAACGGTGCCGAGTCAAGTTGAGCCATGGAGGGAGATGAACGCCATAAAGACGCATATGATGGATGGCTTTGTGGAGTTCCTAAAAAGGAAGAACCCCACCTTAGCAGGAAAAGTGGAAGGGTTGAGGAAAGAGGGGACTCTTTGATTTATGGAAACCTCCAGGGGCCCTTTCATTACGATATCGATCACCCCTGCCGCCCTCGATCTAAGGTGTGGAAGAACATCTCGATGTTTCCGACATGGAAGCCGATGTCGGGCGCTTCTGAAAGCAGTGTCCTTGGGGTTAGTAATTACGTGGAAGATAGAGCGAAAAGAAGAGCGAAAATTAAAGTCGCACATCCATATGGGCGGCTCGATTACATCAGTAGAAGTTGCTGCAGCTATGGCCATTCACTCTTCTTCATCCTCTTGATCAAGGAAATAGAAGATAGCTCCGCTCAGTGGCGCAGCAATAACACTGCCATGGTCTTCATCTTCATATTTTCTTCGTACGACTGACCGTACCCGTCCACCCTGCAGAAGTCGAACAAACATCTGGTCGCAATTATCCCCCATTAGACGTTCCTTGGCTATTGCCAACCGTTTCTCATATTCTTCCAAGAACCTATTTTTCTGAGATATATATGTTTGTGGTCAAAGTAATGGAGTTTGATGGCTCAGTTGATAATCGTGCACAATGATATAAAGGAAACGATCCTCCTTCGATCTGGGACTTGGGACTGCTGCTTCTAGACCAGGGCCGCATGGGAAGCAGAATGGAGAAAAGCTCTAGCTGTGAAATCTTTCGATAGTTATATCCTTATCGAGCGTATAGGGGATATCAAAGAGGGTAGGGTTTAATGAATGATAGAAGGCTCAAAAACGAATGAAATGGATGTGTAATATTCAATTTATTTTCCCTCTCCTCATACTGATCATTTTCTTTTTCTAACACGGGTAACCTGCAGCCAAGTGTCGTCAAAGAATTTCAAGAAATGTCAAAGCAGACAAAGCCAATGCCTCAATTCCGGTCTGCAGGGTAGGCTCAATTGCCGGGGCATACATAGTGCTGTGAGTTGGAGGCAGATCTCTCAACTTGCCTTCTCTATTTGCCTTCTCCCATGTCCCTCGGTCTGTCACGCCAATATTCCAGTAAACATATGGGATTGGGTTTTGACCGGGCGGAAGTGAGAGAAGCACAAAATCAACCGCGACGATACCTGGTGGCATAACCTGAATAGCCTTGGATGATTCACTTTCATAGTACGGTTTTAGCAGTTGGGTGAATTGACTCGTTGCGACATCATCGTCGTCAGTAGCTGAGCTGATTTCGGTCAAGATGGCTGTTGACTGAAGTGGGGCGGGTGACCGCCTTCACGCGCATTTCCCGCGGTTTTTGCTCCAATTTTTTCTTTTCTTCTTCTTCTTTCCCCCAACAACCTCACCTTTGTGGGATTTCCAGCATCCAAGCCTATGGAAAGACAGGGAATATTTCAATTGACCTAAATATTCCAGTTCTCAAATTCATGAGAACTTGAGCTGCCAAACTTGGCTGTAATCCTGAGACTTACCTGCAGCTAGCACTCTTGTTCCTGATTTTCCACACCATGGAAACTCTGTCAGACACGACTTGGGATGTGGTCATTGTTGGGACTGGGGTTTCCCAGTCACTTCTGGCGCTGTGAGTGACTATCCTAGGGTGGTTGTGAGTTGCACTCACACTCCCAAAGGGCACTCTCACGATCCGGAAAGAAGGTTCTTCACATGGACCCAAACAAGTACTATGGTGGTTCAGATGCAGCCTTCAGTCTTGATGAGGCCCAAGAGTGGATAGAGAAGGTCAATAAAGGTGAGTTTCCTGCTGTGTGTGCCTGGTTGGTTCGAGGCTAATATTCTGTTACCAAACAGACACAGATACATCACCGTTTAAAGATGCCTCGATCCTCAAACATGATGCAGCTCCGTCTGACGATACAGGCATTCCTCCCAAACTTGCGTCCAGTCGTGCTTATACTCTGTCCCTCTCCCCCTATTTCCTATATGCCCGTTCTCAACTAATGTCAGCGCTTGTATCCTCAAAGGTCTTCCGCCAGCTGGAGTTTATGGCTGTTGGAAGCTGGTGGATTTATGCACCTGGGCATCCAGATTCTAAAAAAGATGAGCTCGGCGCGGAAAAGGTACTCTACCGAGTACCTGGCAACCGGGAGGATGTGTTTGCTGCAAGTCATATCAGCATGAAGTCCAAGAGAACCCTCATGCGACTATTGCGTCATATCACTAAACCCACTGAGGATGAAGCTTCAAATGAAGGCGACGATACGTCAATGCCATTAAACGATTATCTAGCTTCCCAGTTCAGCGTCCCGGAAGAACTTCACAATCCTCTGCTGTCCCTGTCCCTGTCGCAGCTGTCCCAGCAAGATACTCACGCCAGCTATGCTTTGCCCAGGATCCAAAGACATCTGTCATCCATTGGCCATCTTGGCCCTGGGTTTGGAGCTGTGATTGCTAAGTATGGCGGTGGAGCTGAACTACTGCAGGCCGCCTGTCGTGCATCCGCTGTGGGAGGGGGTGTATATGCCCTGGACACCTGTCTTGAGGATTGCTTATGGCGCCACGGCTCTGAATATTCAGAGCATCGTTTTCTATTGAAACTGGCCAATCAAGGGTCTGTTCAGGCGAAACACTTGTTTACCTCGGCGGCGGAGACTTCTCCCAAAGAGAGCTCAACCCCCTTGGCCGAGGTCGCCCGCTCGATCAGTGTTGTGTCGGCTACTTTCCCGTCTCTTTTCCCTGTTGCAGTCGAAGGTGCTCCTGTGCCCGCAACTGCAGTTCTGATGTTCCCAGGGGATACGTTGGGGAGCCCCAAATCCCCGCCGGTCTATCTTCAGGTTCATTCGAGCGACACTGGCGAGTGTCCACACCAGCAGAGTAAGTCATCCTGTGTGCAGTCTTGCCTAATATGTTCTTCCTCCCCGCTCGCATGATGATTTTTTTCAAAAACTTATCTACATTGCCTGAACTTGCTATGTTGAAAACCTTTTTACCTGATCACGAGCATCCTCCTCCAAACTTGATTTTGTCATCAATATCGTCGTTCATGTGGCTAATTGATTGTCACAGGTGTTATCTATTGCAGTGTGGCACTCCCTGGGCCGGAAGGTCAAGCACTTATCGAGGCCGCCGTGGATAGATTAATTCAGGCGGAGGGACTCCCTGCCCGCGTGTTGTGGTCCTTGCGATATACCCAGAGCGGTCGTCTCAGCAATGGTGAGCCCCGGCGCCTCACTGTTGAGGACGAAATTCCTGACTGCTATCATTTCCCTCCATCGAGCCTCGACTTGGCATTCGAAGATGACACCCTTGACCTTGTAAAAGAGGCTTGGAAAATAGTCGTAGGAGATGAGGCTGATGATGCCGATTTCATGATGTTTGACGATCGCGAAGGCACTTCTGACCAATGATTCGTAGCATAGCGTTCGTTTTTATTACACTTTTACTGATATATCCCTAAAGAAATAGTTGACGAGATTGTTCTCTGTTAAAAATGATCGTCATATAAAATATCCACTGCTCCGAATGCCTTCAACATATGTGTAAAGCTTAGATTAGTCTGCTGTGCCCACCCCACACCGTGTTGATATAATCCATGTGGATAAGCCGCTTTTCCAGGTCTTGCCGGTCTTGTTGCAAGCGTGAGTCGGTATATTTAGAATATATGAGTTGTGAAATCCCGGACAACTGTAAAATGCAATGTCTGCCGATGGTGACGCAGAAATAATATCGGCGCAAACCAGTTGGCAGAACGCCCCATACGTCATGTTAAGGACCTGATCGTTGGTATAGATATTTCGAATATCTGTCGGTTTCCTAAATGCAGAATTTAACTAATCTTTACTAGAACATAGCTCACCTCCGTCTCTGCTTCTCCTATCTTACACTTTCATTGATCACAGATAAATCCCCAGCAGCCCTCGCAATGCCCCTGGATAATGTCACCAGTGGTGTGACCGGACAAGTTCCTGTCGACAAAGTCCAATCAACAACAACCGGAGTGGTCAAGAAAAGCGCACCAAAAAAGCTAAACCGAACAACCAAAGACCTGACCGACCCTGCCGTCCCAGGTCAATTCCCTTCGGACGATGCTCCCCCGAAAGGCGAAGGCATCGACAACAATATCTCGTTTTCATCAATATGGTCCACCATCACAACATGGTTCTCTTCGCTATTCCCCCAGGCCCTTGATTACTTCGAGTCCTGCATACAGAGCTTGGTCGCCAGGCTGCTCCCTCCGCCCCGTCAAGCCGCGATATATGAAGCTGCATTGAAGCGCCCTGCGGCAACAAGCTTGATCGTCTGTGAAATGATTTGCTGTGGGGTTCCTATACTGGTATTTTTGGCTGGCGTGTTGGTCTTCGCCGCGGTGTCAATACTGCTCTGGGCTGTTCTGTCATTGCTCATTCTTGGTCCGGTTTTGCTGGTCACGAGCATGATGGGCATATGTATGTGGGGATGGGGTTGGATTCTCTATGGTTTGGTCAAGTGGGTTGACCAGCGGTTCTTGGGTGGTGTGATTGCGCGTTTTTGGCTTCCTCGGACGCAATCGGAGTCGACTGATGGAGAGGATCAGCCTGAGGAGAAAAAGGATGAGTGAGTCTTGCATTTTCTTCAGAGAGAGAGGACATGTGGTTCTGTATAGTATACGCATTCTGAATTATATAGCATATAAGATTGACATTGATTTTGAACACCAAGGGTATGATATTCTGTTCAGACAGACCCTCATACTACCTGAAGAGACACAAATGGTACCCCGGTGAAACTCTCAGGCATCGTATATGTAATGTTGTAAAACACAAATTCGTTAACAGAGTGATCAGTGTTGTAAGTGATCGTATAATCCGGTTGTGCATTTGTTGAGACCTTGAGATTCAAACCAGGTAGACCTTCCAGTCCAGTCACATTGAACCCGGTGTTAACCGTGAGACCACTGAATAAGAAGTTGAAGGAAACCGGACCATGTGCAGATGTTGCATTTGGATATGAGATGTTCAGAGACCTAGGGGCAGCCACGGCATGAATAGACGACTCTGTGACCCAGTGTGAAATGCAACCAATCTTATCGTCGTCAATAGCCCACTGAATGACGGCAGGATTGAATTGACTAGGGTTGATAGCGGGACCTCCGACAACTGTCTCAGCAACCGTTTCTGCGCCAATGGTCACGTCCTTAGACATCCAAGCGGTGATATTGCGAGGGTAAACATCAAAGGGGGGCGAGTAAGCCTGCGAAGTATACATATGCTCGCCGGGGAATTCAAGCAGATTTACCTTTGCCTTTGGGGGCAAAGATTTCACCATTTCAGGCATTGACAGAGCGAACAGAGGGTAAAACGCGAAATCGTCTTGATGAAACATCCCTAGTTCCTGCTGAGGGACAGGAGCTTGTTCGCGGCCAATAACGCCCCAAATAACAGCGCCAGTGAGAGACGCATATTGTTTCATATCGTAGCCATATGAGCGATCCCAAGGGCCAGCAACGTTCTTCAGATTTGCATTATAGAGCTCAGCGAGTTCATTCCAGCTGTATTCGAGCATCTCCGGTCCATACTTCTTCAACAAACTGTCGCTTGTCCCGTACTGGTTCCAGAGAGCTAGTGCCCACATGGCAACGCCAGCGTATGTCGGAGAATTAAATTCAGACAATGTGTGGTGCATGCTCCAGAGGTCGTAGATTTCCTGTGCGAAGTTCTCACCGGAGCTGGTCAAGTTTGCATCTCCGACTCGTGCGCCAACCCAGTTATGGAGAATGGTTCGCATCAACCAAGGATTGGAGTAACAAGGATAAGAATTGTCGCCATCAACTCCACCAACACGGTAGAGATCGCCCTTGGCCGCGATGTGCAAGGACCTTTCCACCTTGGAGACCGTCACTGCTGGGAGAAGGTGGCCATAGTCATTCAAGGCCACGATCCAGGCACAGCCCACAAAATCACGAATGTTTGGATCCCACTGACGATATCCATATTAGCAACATAGTGGACTAGACCAGGAATCACCGGCTTACCGAGCTGTATGGGCCATCATCGGGATATTTCAGTGTCCCAGGTTCTGGTTCTGAAGGCGCTTGTTGATAATTCCCATACCACTGTTTAGATGGGTCGAGATATTGGCCAGAGATGACATTGTCGAAGATGCGGATGGCCTTTTCAACATCGCCCGGCCCGTTTCTCGCTAGCAATTGGGGCGCATACCAGGCTGTGTGCCGACTATCATAGCGTCCGCGACTACTGGTTGATGTAATCAGATAGCCGGCCTCATCATCCCAGTACTTGTCATTCCATTCGATGGCAGTATTGAACATGTCAACCGCGTGCGACGACGCACCGAACCTGGATGACCAGCTGTCTAGTGGAGCAGCAGAGACAATGCCGGCATTTTGGACAGCATTCAATCCCAAGAGAACCAGTGATAGCTTCATGATGTGTCGGAGATTCCCCGATATGAAAATAGTAGGCAAAGAGTGAATTGCCAAAGAAGCGCAATTTCTTTCGCTCTACGTCCCCTGTCTCCTTGCTGTCTTTATAGTGTCTTCAATTTGGCTTTCGGCATATCTCATTTTAGCTTAGCTGCATTGATATTACCGATGCCTATCGTATTAGTTTAGTTCAACGATATCCGGTGATTCGCCGTGATCTCCGAGTATGCCGGTTGGCTTCCGGAGAATTGCCGATTTATACCTTTCCCCGCTCAAAAGATTGGAGATCTGCAAGATATAATTCCACCTATCATCGATACAGGTATACAAAAGCTGCAAAGAAAGATAAGAGTTCCATTTGCTACGCATACGCGTTAAAATTACTTAAGCCACTTGGAACCGACAGCGACAATCTGATCCCGTCGAGACACAAACAATGCAGAAAGCGCGAGAATACCAACCCCGAAGGCCCACTTTGAAACAGCCGAAGTCGTGTCATTGCCATCCCGGTCAAACGGCGGGGTGACCGGTGCCATCATCTTGTGAGCCTTCTGGACCGAGTAGGGGGGGATACCGCGCAGCGAGAAGCGCCTCCATCCACGAAGGCACGGCGTTGATGTGTGTACGAAGATGAGAGAAAGTTAAAATACCATGGGGGCCATGATAACGTCCCTGGCCGGAGTTTCCAACACCACCGAATGGCACGTCGCGAGCAGCTATATGGAGACCGCAGTCGTTGAAGGTCACACCTCCGGACTGGGTTTCGTTCAAGATGCGAGCCTTGTCGGCATCTTGAGTAGTGAATGCGTAGATCGCGAGTGGATGCTCTCCTGCACGCGTCCAAGAGAGAGCGGTATCGAAGTCGGCATCGACGATTGGGAGGATCGGACCGAAAAGCTCTTCGGAGAGAAGGGAATCGCCGGGCTTAACTCCGGTGACGATGGTTGGTGCGAAGTATCGACTTTGAGGAATTCTCTGACCACCATAGACAACTTCTCCGGAGGTCTGTTGGAGTAGATTGTCAAGGCGGTCGAAGTTGCGCTCGTTGATGATGTGTGTGTAATACTCCGGGTTGTTGTCTTTGCCTCCAAGGAACGTGTCAAAGTGTCGAATCAAATCAGCGACAAGGCGGTCTCGTAGGCTCGGGTGGACCAGGACGTGGTTTACATTCAAGCAAATCTGTGATCAGTCAAGATGAGTTAGCTTCTGATAGCTGGGGGTGAATGGCGTGGGCCTACCTGTCCAGCATTCATAAATTTAGTTGCGGCAATGTGTTTTGCGGTGAGATCGAGATCCGCCGACTCTGCGACAATAGCAGGACATTGACCACCCAGCTCGAGTGTGACGGGGGTCAGATGCTTTGCCGCTGCTGCATGGATGATTTTGGCAATATTGGGGGATCCAGTGTAGAAGATGTGGTCAAATCGATGTTCAAGGATGTACCCCATTTCTTGTGGACCAGCAGAAACACACCGGATCGCATCTTGGTCCATGTACTGGGGAATAATATCCATCAGGACATCTTGGGTGGCGCTTGCCACATCCGATGGTTTGAGAATAACGGCACATCCAGCGGCAATCGCGGCAATCATGGGCTGCAGGAGCAGAGTGACAGGGAAATTCCATGCGCCGATAATCAGAGTCACACCAAGAGGTTCCTTGCGGACAGTAGCTCTTCCTGAGGAAGTTGAGAGGATCGGACTTTTCCGGTCTCTCATCCTTGGTCCACTCATCCAGTTTTTTGAGAGTGCGAAGAATATCGGCCTGAGTATTAGCGCAGTCGCCGGTGTAGGCTTCTTGATAGTGCTTATGCAGATCGGTATAGAGGGCATCGCAGATGCGCTTCCTGTTGTCCTCGATCATCCACCAAGCACGCTTCAGTTGACGACGCCTCCATTCCTTGTTCTTGGTGGTGCCAGATGCAAAAGCACCCTGAACACTTTGATACGCCTAGAGAATGTGAGCGATCTTGAATACATATGTACCTAGTATGGATGATATTTACCTGATCAAATTCGGCCGTAGTGCTGAATCCCATGGTGAGCTGATGTGGAGAAACCCCCCTGAAAGGAACCTTGGAAGGCTGAAAGGTCCAGTTATAGGGTGGGGTTGACCCGTTTATCCCCGTGCACCTCACCTGGGTGCTTTTACCGAGGACCCCGGTCCGAGACTGCACTTCATTTGATACAATAAGTTGTATGTAATCCTGAATGTGTTCGTGTCAAGGAAGTCAGGAGACTTTGAGGTACGTATTCCATATCCACGTTGGATGTTCACTAAAACAAAGGGTAAACTCGAAGTCAGTGGGGCCGAGTAGCTGTGAAGGCACTTGCCATCTGTCATTCCAATTGTTTTAGGTATGTAGGTATCAACTAGCAATCTTGAAAAGGTATAACCAAGTAGGTTCCCAATCCAAGCCCCTATTGCCACATGAAAGCAAAAGATAAATCCCAGAGTGGATAGTCCAATATCAGCGAATAAGAATGAATATGAATAAGAATGCCAATGAGTACTATGTGCTTATCTCCTTGGCTCGCATATAATAGGAGAAAACCCTCCGCTCATGCGGGGTAGCCGTTAAAGAATGACCGCGATTTCAAGAGCTCGTACAGGCTGTTGGACATGTCGAGCACGACGCATCAAATGTGATGGTAATTTCCCATTAAGCCCTGCACAAGCACGGTCCTAATCGAAACCTCGTTAGAAACCCATCCAATCTGCCGTCGTTGCGCCCGTAACAATGCCCCATGCGGATATGGACTTCGTCTCGTCTGGCATGAGGAATCTTTAGCCCGAGGCATTTGCCATGGAAGAGCAGGGGTATGGTCCAAGCGAAAAGATGCTCAAAAGAAGGAATCGTTAGAGCAGGTGGACGATAAACTATCGCTACAGCCTGAGCATACGGGCGCTGATAGAACCTGGATGTTTTTGAACACGACTATGATCGATCTCCAGATCTATTTCGATGGTACCAAGCCGAGTTACCAGGGAATAAAAACGTTTTCTCAACCAAGCCCATTGTCGCCTTGGCTGAATACCATCTCTCCTGGCCAGCGATCAGATTGCGATCCTGCGCTTATGTCCTATTTCGAACACATCATCTGCAGCAGTTCAACTCTCGTCGATAATGCGAATTACAATCCATATCGATATCTCATACTCCCCATGGCCCTACAGTCCGAGGGGCTATATCATGCCGCCCTAGCTATCGCAGCCAACACCCTCAAGCTGTCAGAACAGCGGTACCGGCTTCCGGCATTGGAGCATCACCATCGGGCAATAAATCACCTGCGCGGTCTATTGAATAAAGACAACTGGACGGAAAATGAGCTGGATGAGATGCTCGGTCTGGTCTTGATGTTATGCTGGTTTGATGTACGACCACCCTTGCTTCCTTGACGAGAGAGCCTCCTAATTCCTTGCAGATATCAGATAGCAGTCGTCCTTCATGGGTCACCCATCTCAACGGGTTCCAAAATTTAATTCGGACACGAAAAGAACGCCCCGGTCGCTCATGTCACAGTCAAGAATTGGCTAGTTTCTTCAATCGCTATTTCGCCTTCCACATAGTTCTAGCCCGCACGGCGTTTCGGATCACTCCTCCTTCATCCCATATATCACCTCTACCGCCGGACAGTATACTGGAAAAATCAGATACGATTGATCCATACATGGGATTGAGCCCTGCTCTCTTATTGATGATCGACCAAGTAGCCGAACTAGCGTGGACTCGTCAGGATGGCAACATAAAAATCAACCGTAAAGATGTTCATCAACTCAAGACGGATCTCGATAGCCTTCAACAAAGGATACCCACAGAACATATCGATCCTGACATGGAGTGTGCTGCAATCGCTGAAGCAAACAGGCTCGGGGCCCTTCTTCTTCTGCACGAGATCTGTTCCACCAAACCGCCTATTAATCGCTCTGGTGTCCCGACACTGGAGTCTGAGGAGAAGAATGTCTATGTTGAACGGATACTGACCTTGATGTTGGAAAAGAAAGTAAATATGATGCGTACTGCAGTTACGCCCTTATGGCCTCTCTTCTTGGCAGGGTGCTGTGCTCACAGGGAAGAGGAGAGGGTCGTTGTGTTGCAGTTGCTTAGAGAGCTGGAGGGTATTCGCCGATTTGGGGTATGTGTATTTTTTCATATCTTTCCTATTGGTTGGCTAACATGTCACCGTTTCTCAGAACATTACCCCTGCGATTGAAGTTGTCGAAATGGTTTGGCGCCAACGGGATCTGTCCGTGCAAGATGAAAGAAAACTCCAGAGGAGGGTCAATACACAGCAGCAGAGAGAGCCCTTGCAAGAAGCCCGTTTCTCATGGGAGCATGCAATGGTCATGCTGGGCGGGTGGAAACTAAGCTTGACTTAAGCTTCTACGTGGTTAATGAGGGTTTTGTTTATTTTCTGTTCAAGTGAAATGATCTCAATTTGAATAGCCAACAGCCAAACTGTGTCTCAATTGTTCGACTGCATTCTACTCGCACCTATCTAGACAAATGATCGGTAACGGTTTGCAAGCTTTTGCAGTTTTCACCCATCTCGTCGAGAGTATAATCTTCTTTGGTCCAGAACTGCTGATCTCTTCAATTATCGAGTGCACCTTTGGAATTTCTTTCTTCAGCTGATGTGGAACCTGAGAAAGTGCATAGAAAGGGTGAGGAGCGATCTTGAATTCTTGCAAGCACATGGTACTGCTGATACTCCGCAATAATTCACCCGTCGTGAAGTCGGAACTTCATTTTGTCTTGTTGATTTTAGTGAACGCTTCACCATGTGCAGCCGGAGCCGAAAGTGTTGAGAAGGCTACGCAGAGAAGATTTATGTAAAAAGACTGTTGAATTCTGAGTGGAGCCTACCGAGAGAGACAAGAAGGGAGAGAAAGAGAGGTAACTATGTATGTAACTAGTTAGTCCTGTCACTCATTGGTGGCCTCACAGATCAGGCAACAGAAAGCAGATTTCCCCTCAGCTTATCATGACTCCTGTATTATTTGGACACTGTCTTTATCTGTTTACGCAAGAGTTAGGTTTCAGAAGACGTTCGTGAAAGGCCAACTGAAGGGGGCAGACAACTTACAAAAGGCAACATGATCTTTGATATCGGCCGCTGCATCATACGGATCCCGATAATACCACGCTGCATTTTCAAGCGTCCGCCCATCCACCTTCAGATGCCAGTAAGAGGCGTAGCCTTTCCAAGAACAAAAAGTCGACCGATCCGAGTCTTGCAAGATGGAATCGTCGATGATTGCTGAGCGGGGAAACTGTACGATGTCAAATTAGTCAATCTTAGGGGCGAATTGAATCTCGTGGGAGTTACATAGACGTTATTCTCTACAGTCTTCCAACTCGCTGTCTCCGCGATGATACGGTCACCTATCTTAGCGAGGGCTCGGGGCATATTGATCGAGAGATGAAAAGATTGTTATGCCGATATTCTTTATCCAAATTATCAGATGGTAGAAATCGACCAATATAGAGGGGCCATATCCCAGTCTGACACAAGATCTTGGTTTCCAAGTTTCTTGGCATAAGGTCACGGGTTGAACCATTTGTCCATCAGTCCTAGACGTATAAAGCTCAAGGACCACGACGTGTTATCGTGATCTAGCAATCTTCACTTGGTTCCAATCATCAATCGTTCATTATCTTTTTTTGTTCTGTTCAAGGAAATGGCGTCTTCCTTGTTCCTAGGCTTAGATGGCGAACCCATTAGTGACAGCGAGGTCCTAGGATATGGAAGAACAGGGGTAGTCATCTGCCGCGACAATTTGGCAATCGAGATTCCCTTGAGGCATCCCTGGAGTAGCGACACAGACGTGCAGTCAAATATCGAGGTCATTGAGCGTGAACAAGACGTGTATCATCGTTTCAATCAGTTTCCAAGGGAGCAAGTCAATCATATCGTACCCTGTCTCGGGCTCAAGAAGAATTCCACTCACTTGGCTTGTATGGAGAATGGAAACCTACGCAATTACTTGGCAAAGAATCAGCCATCTCGTGCAGTTCAGATTACATGGTTTCGTCAAATGGCCCAAGCCCTTGAACAGGTTCACGATAAATGTGTTCTAGTAGGAGATATTGCTAGTCGCAATTTTCTGCTCAATTCAGATCTATCTATCAAAATATGTGATTTCAGCGAATCTTCTCTTCTACCCGTTGGGACTGTCACGGAAGTGACCGACGACGACGGGTATTCAATTCAAACAGACATCGGGCAGCTTGGTGCAGTAATATACGAAGTGATCACCCGACAAGAATGCGACTTCGATCTCTTTCAGGGGAGGTATTCCCCTGGACGTTCGGGCTATCTGGCCACCTCGAGACTCGCTTCCTAGCACTGATGGGCTCTGGCTTGGCCCAATTATTGCGAGATGCTGGGTGGAAGGAGGGTTGCAAAACGCACATGGCTTATCACAGGCACTGGGCTCTGTGGATTTATGGGAATCACGGATGAAGGTACCGGTCTATAGGACAACCTATTGCCTATAATCCGTTGGAGTCACCATGACCATGTCAAAAAGTCGACCGTTATGCTAGCAGCTGTCCTCACAGTTGTCGCATTCGTTGGTTCTCGGAGCAAGAAACAATCTTGCACCAGGGGTTAATCTTTCTTTTCTTGGCTTTGCTTACCTATAAATTTTCTATTATAAACCGAGGAGAGGTGGACACGTATGCAGCCAACAGGCAAGCCGGTCTTTCCTTTGTTTGTACAATCCCGGTAGGCAGCCAATCATACCCCCCCTGGTCAATACGGGATCTGCGATCGGCGCAGGAGATGGGTCCAGGAAAAGCCTCAAATGAATAGTTAGTGGTCCTTCTGGGAGACAAAGGGGCTCATAACATGTAGGGAAGGCCACCTAGGAGAGGTATCTGCGAGAGAAAGACTGTCCTGTACTTTCATACAAAAGGAACTGGGTGGGAAGAGGAGGGAGGGATAGAGAGAGAGCTTTCTATGGATATTTAGCTAGATATGTAGCAAACAGATGTCTGTCACAACGGATACCTGATTCCTCAGACACCCAACAGCGGATCATAGTTTAGCAGCATGGCTTCTTTCAGGTATCTGTCTACCCTTCCAGCCCGTAAGGTCGCTCAACTCCATCTCCGGGTCCAAGTGCGCCAGGTCTTTCGCAGTGCTCTTTTGTCCAGCCCTCCATTGCCATTGACGCACGATCTCCTGGTCAAGAGTCCCCTCGAGCAAATCTGCGACATATTTTCCAACGACAGGAAGGAATTTAAACCCATGTGCCGACCCGCCGGTTGCCAGGAAAAGACAATCGTGGGTAGGGTGAGGGGTGACAAGGAAATGCCGATCAGCTGTATCAGCATCCCAGCAAAGCCGCGTATAGCAGAAGGGTCTATCTGCAAGCTCGGGCAGCACGCGCCGCAAGTTCCTGCGCATTTGAGCTTCGATCTCGAGGGGGAGGCCATCGGTGGGTGCCTGAACGAAAGTATGTGGAACAGAAGTTGTGATACCAGACTCGGTGGTTTGCACATTGGTGATGAATTGACTATGAGCCATCTTGAAGATCCCATCTTCTTGAGGTGGGAAGAAGTAGCCCAGCTCAAGGTTATCCATGATGGGCATCGAGGCATAATGTTGCGTTTCGGAGGGGGTGAGTTGGATGTGAGCAACGCTATGTCCCTTGGCAGTCAACTGACCCTTCACGTCTAGCAGTGAAGGTGTCCAAGCTCCTGCGGCCAAAACGACCACGTCCGCCTCGTGTCTCGTGCCATCCGCAGTGACAACTCCCTTGCACTTGCCCGTGGTATCATCCAGTACCAACTCTTGCACTTTCCCCTTTGTCTCCCCCGAAACGTACTTTACCCCGTTCTTCTGAGCAGCGCCTGCCATCCGTTCGATAGCTGTACCGGCAGCTGCCCACCCGGCCGTTGGGTTCCACACATTGATATTCCACCCATCCAACTTGCCCGTGACAACAGAGAAGCGAGCACGAATCTGGTCCGGCGTGAGCCTCTCAAGACCCTGTACTCCTAGCTTCTTACATGTCTCAATCGAACCCTCGACAAAGGGCCGAGACAGGTTCGCTGCGCTGAGAATCCACCCGGGGACATGGTAGAGCCCACGAAACAGCGGCCAAGACCGCCACGCTTCAATCGACTCAATTCCAAGACGTGCATATAACGGCTCGTTGTAGTCGCTGCGGATAATCTTGCTAATATCGGTAGAAGCTGCTTCGCAGGAGGGAGGTGGGTATGGGTCCAGGACGCGAATGGAAGTGTAGCCGCGCTGTGAAAGGTGGTATGCGGTCGAAGTGCCAAAACAACCAGCGCCAACGATGAGAATTCGCGCATCTTTGTCCATCATGTGAGTTGAATTGTTTCCGTGACTTGATTTAACCTCTCAAACTTTTGAGGGTGGCGCCGCCATATTTATTGAGACATTTTGCTCCGAGCCGCCTACTTTCCGAGCATCTCATCTCGCTACCAGCTTCCTCGCGCACAATTGTATACATCATGAAGATATTCGTAGGTGCGGGGCAAAAATCTACTGCTTCGTTCTAACCTTCCGATAAAGGTCTCACAGCTCGGGGTAGTCGGAGATTCTCCGAGTGGATAGTACTCGTTTCGACCTGCATTCTTTTACCCCAACATCTATTTCCCCAAGAAATTACCCAGGCACTTAACCTTCCTCGATTCCATGTTCTTGGGACTGACAATTACATCATTCAGGGACTATCAATTCCAAAATTATGCCAAAGATGACATGTCCGGTTGAACGTCGTCTCATTTGTCACTATATCCATCCTTATCAACAGCAACCCATATCTCCACACACAGTCACTAATAAGTATACCGGAACGACCGTTTTTCTTTATCAGTGAGATCTGAGAATGCGACAACTTCCGATGTCTCCACATTTGACTGGGCTTCCTTATCACGGCGGTTATTTTCCCATCGGCAAAGAACTCCATAGGAGAGAATGGAAACTATAGCCACAACAAGACAGCCCAGAAGACCCTCATATCCTCGGGAATACGAAGGAGCATCATCGGAACGGAAACACTGAGGACCAATGATATTGCCAATACAATACGCCAAGAAGAAGATGGCGTTCATGGTCAACTTTTTGCTATGGCCGCTGGTGTTGGCCATTGGAAGCGAAGTGGACAGAACGTATGGCGCCCAATAGGTGTAGAAGACATAGTATGCTGCCAGCAGACCTTGCTGGTTCTCACGTGGCAGCTTCCACATCAGGATCGCACAGATCATGGGGACCAGATTGGCAATGGCAATGATGTTGCAACGGGAGTTGGGTAAGCTAGCAGCAATAAAGCCCAACAGAATCTGCCAAACCGTTGCAAGCACACCGGTGGGAATACCCAGTACAGTAGTAATCAACGGGGAATACCCCAGACCGGTCACGATAATAGCTGAAAAGGTCACCAGACCACCATTGGGAATGTTCTGGGCCAGCGAAAACAGCGCCAGAAGCCAAGTCTTGGGGTCGAGCAGACACTCCTGCACTTGATACCACTTGATGGTTTTATCTTCCATGCCGGTATTGTTGTCTTTGACACGCTCGAGGCAGACAAATTTCTCGCGATCCGAGAAATACCAGCATTGCACGGGTGAATCGGGCAAGAATATGTACAATATGCCAGCCCAAACGAAGGAGAATACACCCAGCACAATGAAGAGCAATCTCCAGGGACTTAATGCCGTATTTGTTTGGCCGATGCCGTAGCTCACCAGACCGGAGAAGACGGAGGAGAGTTGATTGAACCAAAACGCCACTCGAATTGGCTGCTCGCTCGTTTTCCACCACATAACCGTCAGAATACTGGAGATTGGAAACACAGCGGCTTCCGTCATGCCCATCAAAAAGCGCACCGTGGCTAAACCGGCAAAGTTCTGCGTTGCCGCGGTACACAGCAGCAGAATTGCCCACCCCAAGACCATGCCCACATACAGTTTGGCCACAGGAAGCCGCTGGATGAGCAGTGCTGCAGGGTACTCAAAGGCGAGGTATCCAAAGTAGAAAATTGAGCCTACCCACGAGTACTGATCGCCAGTCAAGTGAGTGTCTGTCTTCATACCGTAGATCGCCGCATTTGAGATAATGACTTTATCAATAGCGGCTAGAACCACTGTCACCATGACCAAGGGAATGATAATCAGATCAATTTTCCACAGCACGCGACGTGCTTCAGTCTCGGTGACAGGTTCCACAGCGATAGCCGGGTCGAGACGAGCGAGGAATTGTGCTGCAACATCTTTGCCATCGGTTTGGTTTTGGGCTTCAATGATCTCTCCTGCTCGGGTCTTTTCTTGACCAAGTGCGGGTTGTATCTCCGGAGTGGCAGCTTGCTTTTCGTCTGCCATGGTATTGAAGTAGATGATCTTATATATCAGGTGGTAGGAAGGGGCATGTACACATCGAAAACGACGAAGATAGTCATTTGGGATGGTTTTATACTTCAATCGAGCATAGATGAACGTGAAAGAAAGCCACCCAGGTGGTTATCTTCAAAAAGTCAGGTGAATTAGGGTTTGGGTGCGACAGGAAGGTCGGAGCGACTGATAAGCAGTGCTTCTCCGCGTCTCCCTCCCCGCTCTGTCTCGGCATCCACCAGCCGATTGGATTAGATTGTGGCGCTTTTTTCCTAAAGTACTTCGCTTCGACCTGCTGATTAGTCCCAGTGGAGATCCATAAAAGGAAGCCTTGGTCCTTGCTTTCTCAGGGCAGAACATATCGCACATCATGTCTACTCAATTGGATGCTCCAAGCATCAAGATCGCCATCGGTGAGTTGCAATCTCACAATTTCTATATATAATACAAGTAGCTAATACCTCTTCCAGATCGTGGCGGTACTTTCACCGACTGTCTAGGTATTGTTGATGGTCACGATGAGGAAATCGTCGTCAAACTGCTTTCGCAAGATCCAACCAACTACGCCGATGCTCCAATTGAGGGCATTCGGCGTATTCTGGAGAAAGCAACAGGCAAGACCTTTCCTCGCGATCAGAGGCTCACAACTGCCGATTTCTCCAATGTTAGCATCCGCATGGGTACAACAGTCGCTACCAACGCCTTACTAGAGCGTAAGGGAGAACGTCATGCGCTCTTAATCACGAAAGGCTTCAAAGATGCCTTACGTATTGGAACCCAGTCGCGACCAAAGCTGTTTGCGCTCAATATCCAACGTCCTGATGTCTTGTATGAGGACGTTGTGGAGGTTGATGAGCGTGTCACAATTGAGGATTATCAACAGAATCCCACTCCAGATAAAGAGAGTCTGCAAAAGTCTTTGCAGTCAGATGCGTGTTTGAAAATGGGCGTTAGTGGAGAGGTTATTCGCGTCTTAGAACCTCTTGACGAGAAAAGCACAAGACAAAGCCTTCAGCAGCTGTACGAGAAGGGCTATCGCTCTATTGCGGTCTGCTTGGTTCATTCATACACATTCCAAGACCATGAACTTGCAATTGAGAAGATTGCAACGGAAATCGGTTTCACCCAGATATCGCTATCCAGCCAACTGCTACCCATGATTAAGATGACTTCTCGTGGTGCTTCGGCGACTGCAGATGCATACTTAACTCCAGTCATTCAGCGTTATATTCAAGGCTTCCGCTCTGGATTCAAGGACGGACTCAGCTCTGCCGACACGCGCTGCGAGTTCATGCAGAGTGATGGAGGTTTGGCTAATTTTGAAAAGTATGTTGGCAATTACCTGGAATTCAAAAAATTGATTTTGCTAATCCTGTAGATTCACTGGTCTTCGTGCGATCTTGTCTGGGCCGGCAGGCGGCGTTGTGGGCTATGCGGGAACTTCTTTCGATGAGACAGATAAAAAGCCTGTCATTGGGTGAGTCTGGATCACCTTATTTTATACAATGGTCAACTAATTCTGCAGATTCGACATGGGTGGTACTAGCACAGACGTCTCGAGATATGACGGAAAGTTGGAACACACCTTCGAGAACACTATCTCCGGCGTGACAATAATGGCACCCCAATTAGACATCAACACAGTAGCCGCGGGTGGCGGCAGCATCCTCTTCTGGCGACATGGATTGTTTGCCGTTGGTCCCGAGTCTGCAAGTGCCCATCCAGGACCAGCGTGTTACCGCAAGGGAGGCCCTTTGACTGTGACCGATGCCAACCTTTTCCTTGGCCGCCTTCTTCCGGCATACTTCCCTAAGATCTTTGGCCCGAACGAGAACGAAGCTCTCGATGTCGAAATCACCCGGAAGAAGTTCACGGAGCTCGCTGGCAAGATCAATGCTGAGACCGGACAAAACAAGTCTCCAGAAGAGATTGCGCTGGGTTACATTCAAGTAGCCAACGAGTCTATGGCAAAGCCTATTCGAGCCCTCACAGAGGCTCGTGGGTACGATACTTCCGCGCATAATCTGGCCTGCTTTGGTGGTGCCGGAGGACAGCATGCTTGTGCCATTGCCTCTTCGTTGTCTATTGGGACTGTCATCATCCATCGATTCTCGTCTATCCTATCCGCCTATGGCATGGCTCTTGCGGACGTTGTCCATGAGGCCCAAGAGCCAGCATCAGGAGTGCTGGACCAGACAGCCATGAGAAGCATCACCGAGCGTATTTCTGCGCTGAAGTCTAAGGTCACTATCGCATTCACCACGGACGGCATTAAGGAGACCCAGATCCAGCATGAAGTCTACCTCAATCTGCGGTACCAGGGTACCGACAACCTGCTGATGGTGCTCGAACCTAGTCACGGAGACTTTATTGCTGAGTTTGTCAAAGAGCACAACCGCGAGTTTTCCTTCACATTTCCCGGCCGCAATATTCTTGTTGAAGACATCAGAGTCCGTGGCGTTGGAAAGGCAACCTCTATTGCGCCAGAGGCACCTCAACAAGAACTCAAATCAGTCAAGAAAAAGCCGGTGGGCCCAGAGAAGCAGGATGATTCATCGTCTGTGTACTTTGCCGGCGTCGGTGAAGTTACTACGCCGGTCTTCTTCCTAGATAACATGGAACCAGGATATGTCCTTGAGGGTCCTGCGATGATCATTGACAAAACTCAAACTATTGTTGTTGAGCCAAAGGCGACTGCTACGATTCTGTCTCGACATGTGATTTTGGATGTTCAGTCTTCGAAGAAGCAGGCTGCCGATGCAACAGTCGTTGATCCTATCAGATTGTCCATTTTTGGTCATCGCTTCATGTCTGTTGCTGATCAGATGAGTCGAATGTTCCAAAAGACCTCCGTGTCAACAAACATCAAAGAGCGACTAGACTTCTCCTGTGCCGTGTTCTCTCCTGATGGGAAATTGGTTGCAAATGCGCCAAACGTGCCAGTGCATCTAGGAAGTAAGACCTCGTTTTGAAAGTATTGCTTGTTAGCCAAAGGAATGGTATGCTAACGTCTTCTTCAGGTATGGAGTATGCTGTCCGGTATCAGCATGAGAAATTCGGAGGCAATTTGAAGCCTGGCGATCACATTCTCACCAACCATCCTCTTGCCGGTGGAACACATCTTCCCGACATTACTATTGTCACTCCAGTCTGGGATGGTGAGGGCAAAAACATTGTCTTCTATGTTGCCTCCCGTGGCCACCATGGTAAGCATGAAGCTGTTCTCCTTCCCCTTTACTATTTGCCGTGTCGTTCTAACCAAATCCAGCTGAAATCGGTGGGATCGCCCCGGGATCTATGCCTTCAAACAGCAAAATGCTGTACGAAGAGGGTGCCATGACAATGGGCTTTAAGGTAGTATCAGAAGGCCGTTTTGACGAGGAGATAGTCCGAAAGTTCCTATATGATGAGCCCGCTTCGTACCCCAGCTGCAGTGGTACCCGCACATATAACGACAACGTCTCAGATTTGAAGGCGGCCATTGCAGCAAACCACAAGGGTGCACAGCTCCTGGAAGCTCTGGTGATCGAGAACACATTGGAAGTAGTCCACTTCTACATGGACGCAATCAAGCGCAACGCAGAGGTCGCCGTCCGTGAACTGCTCAAGTCCATTGGCCGCAAGAATAAGGGAGTTCCTCTTCGATTCTCTGACTTCATGGACGACGGCACCGAGATCAAGCTTGAAATTCGCATCGATTCTGAGACAGGCTCTGCCGACTTCGACTTTACAGGCACGGGCCGGGAAACGTTCAACTGCCTCAATGCCCCCAAAGCCATCGCCCACTCAGCCATCATCTACAGTCTGCGGGCGCTGATTGATGTTGACATTCCGCTCAACCAGGGCTGTCTTGCCCCGGTCAATGTGATAATTCCCTCTGGCACACTTCTCAATCCATCTGGACATGCCGCCGTCTGCGCCGGTAATCCCATTACCTCACAGCGTATTACAGACGTCGTCCTAGGTGCTTTCAACGCCTGTGCTGCCTCCCAGGGCTGCTGCAACATCATCTCATTTGGTATGGGTGGCGTTGATCCTAAGACCGGCATTGAAGTTCCTGGATTTGGAGTCGGCGAGACAATCTGCGGCGGCTCAGGTGCTGGCCCATCTTGGAATGGCACCTCGGGCGTGCATGTGCACATGACAAATACACGCATCACAGATGCAGAGGTCTACGAGCTGCGGTACCCGGTCATACTCCGCAGGTTTTGTATTCGAGATGGCTCTGGTGGCGTTGGTCGCTTCCGCGGTGGGGATGGTGTTATCCGTGAGCTGGAGTTCCGTATGCCTCTTTCGGTGTCTATGCTCAGTGAACGGCGCGTGTATCGCCCGTATGGGTTGGCGGGGGTGAGGCTGGACAAGCAGGCTTGAATCTTTACCTGAAGAAGGAGCTCGATGGAACGGAGAGAATGATCAATATTGGTGGCAAAATGGAGCTCGTGGTCCAGCCTGGGGAGCGGATTCTGATCCATACGTGAGCACATCCTTCCCTGTTTATCTGAAGATATATGCTGACAATTCATTTGGCTTAGACCTGGAGGTGGTGGCTGGGGTAAGGCATCTGACGATGAACTAGCGACGAGCGGCAGCAAGACTCATCAGAATTCGTCGGCTTTCCAGCCCCGAGGAAGTGTGCATGCGTTCAGTGTTGCTGCCGAGGCGGCAATGTGACGTGGATATATATATATACGGATGGAATATAGATGAGAATTTTTACTGACTCCAATTATTTGAATTAGCATTATGCTTTGATGTATTTTTATTCATGTTAATTATATGCAAATATACAAATATACAAATATAGACATCTAAACATCTAAACATCTATAACGCCTCGGTCTCAATCCCTTGTAGAATGCCCAGCCCGCACAAAGGGATTGACATAAGCACCTCCACAATCCTTGGAACGTGGACCAACTCATTCAACGCCTTGACCTTTTTGTATTGAGTATGGTTTATGGCAAAACATGGCTTTCACTCGTTTATTGAAGATCCCAATATTCCTCTTCACTGTTGCCCTGGGTCTCGTTATTTACCAAGCGTCTCAATCTTCGTCCCTCCAATCTATTGCATCATCACCCGAAGAGCAATCTGTGTCGTCCTACTTTGGGAGCTGGAAAACGTGGTTCCATCCATCTCAACCTAAAGCGACAGGCTCAAAGCAGTCTCTAGTGCAGGGGTGGAATGTGCTCCACCACCTGGGAGGAAATGGGCCCTGGATTGAAAACGCCGGTGAAGGGGCAGCTTCGAATCTAGCACCCCCAGATGGCTGCTCAGTAGACCAAGTGCATTTAGTATGTCTAATTACAATTCCTTACTATGATTATGCTAATACGATCTAGTTATCTCGCCATGGAGAACGATATCCAACACCCTCTGCCGGGAGTAGTAGGTCAGTCCATCGGTTAGGAGTAACATATTTTAATGTTTCCCAATGACAGGACATCTCCAGTTTCTGAAGCGAGTGAAGGAGATAGGGCTACCCCTGAATGGCTCACTTGAATTCTTGAATGATTGGACCTATTTCTCCGACACACCCGAAAGAGACTTTGGGGAGTTGACCAGCACAGGCCCTTACGCTGGAACGCTGGGTGCCTTCAGGACTGGTGTCAGATTCAGGACACGATATAGAGATTTAGTCTCCGAAGATATCCGCACGCGTCTATGGGCAAGTGACTCGGACCGTGTGATTGATACAGCCCGTCATTTCGCCTCTGGATTCTTTGGCCTGGACTGGGAGAGCTCTGGAAAAGCACAGTTGCAGGTTATACCTGAATCTTTTGAAAGGGGCGCAGACACTTTGACTCCAGGTGATACCTGCCTCAAGTATCTCGAGGATACTATACTTGGCCATGACAATGGCATGGAGATGCTTGCACAATTCCAGGAGACATACATTCCTGCAATTGCAAGCCGCCTGATCGACGAGGACAATGTCGGACTGAACAACCTCTCAAGTGAAGATGTTTATGGCATGCAGGAGATGTGTGGGTTCGAGACTATGGTGCGAGGAAGGAGTCCATGGTGTGAAGTGTTTACGGAGCAGGACTGGTATAACTTCGAGTATGCTCGCGACTTGTTGCTTTATTACCGTGCTGGACCGGGCAACCCATACGCTGGTGCGATGGGATGGCTTTGGTTGAATGCAACCACTGGACTGCTTCACGATGGACCGATCGTGGGAAGCATGTTCTTGAGTTTGTAAGCCCAGCCCATCATTCGTCTCGTGTGAAGCACATTTTGCTAATTTGATACCCAGTGTACATGATGGCGATATAGCCCCGTTCCTCACAGCACTAGGAATCTTCACTGGCGACAAGAAACTTCTTCCCACCCATATTGCCGCAAACCGGGAATGGCGCATTTCTCCCGTTCTCCCTATGGGCGCAAGGGTCACAGTTGAACGATTATCTTGCTCGCCAAATCACGAGGATCCGTACGTCCGAGTTAATATCAATGATCGAATCATACCACTGCCTTTCTGCAAGTCAGGTCCTGGGGAGTCTTGTCCTCTCGATCAATTCGTGGAATATGTTCACCAACGAAGACACGAAGTGGGGGATTTTGCAGAACGGTGTGGATTGGACGGGGACGCTGGACATATATCATTCTTGCATCAAAATTGACCTAGGTAATGCGACTGGCATCTGGAGTTGATTTGTATTTCCCAATTTAGCATCATCTGTGATATGTTTCCATATTAGATAGAGATGTTAAGGTTGAGGTTTAAATTGAATTGCAAAAATAAAATAAAAATTCTCATTTAATTGACGAAGGCAACTCCTTTTTCTCAAAAATAAATCATTAGATTGAATATAAAAGCAGAAATCATGGAAGTTTTTGTAGATATGGCCCCACGTGACCGTATCCCGGCGAACCAGTGTTTACCAAAAGTTTTGGATCCCTCGATGCCGGACAAATTTACCCTTTTGCGCATTATCTCGCAGAACCTCCCTTTCTCGAGCTCTCACTTTTTCACGTCTCTTCCCTCCGCATTCACCCTATCCCTTGACTACATCCCATCTACCGTCATGGAGTACCACTCCGTCCCACCGGAGGAACGCGCCAGAGACGAAGATGGCAACCTCCTCCCTTGGGGTTATGTCTACAAAGAGTATGTCCGATGAGATTTGTAGCTCCTTTCCTATCAAAGCTGACCACCTCCTTCCCAGTGAATCTCGCAACCCTCGACGACCACCTGAAGAATCAGGACCCTTCGGCAAGAGAAGAAATGCTCGATACGATAATGCCCGCTCACGAACACGAACTGGAACACCAGCAAAGCGCGAGAACCCCAATGTCGCCGAGTTTGGTCGCCTATTCTCGCAACAACAGCAGGAGGAGGAGAAAACACACGGCTTGCCCAAATCATCATCGTCATCCAGTCTTGACAATCCACGGAAGCAAACAGAGAAGGTCGCCACCGAATGTATACTCTATGGATACAAAAACAAGGACAACGAGTGGAAGGTGATCGACAAATACGAGCGCATTTCCCAGGGCATGATCTGCGAAGACTACCCTCGCAACGACCCAAATTCAGCGAACCAATACACCCAGCTATTGAGCGGAGGCGACGTTGTCATCCGAAACCTGTCGGCCGATGCGAATCGCAAGTCGAAGCGCTATGCCGGTGGCTACCACTGGATCAAGGTCACCTACGACTCGACCCAGTCGGCAGACCGCGCCTGCTTCTACTCGCCACAGGAAATTGATGGGCACATGGTCTTCTGCGAGCTCTACAGTGGCCACGGCCCAGCCGAAGACGCCCCCATCCCTGCAGACTCTGCTGCAAGCAGTCGGATTCGCAATAAAGCACCGCGCACCTTGACTACCTCACACTCGACCGCCTTCCTCTCCAACTCCAGCAAAGACCAGGACCGCATGACACTGCCTCGATCCTTTGCCATGAACAACCTCTCCAGTGTACCGGATATGCCAGAGGACGAACGGCACTCGGTCGATTCCTCGACGGTCGCTGGTACCTCCGATGATACAACTACATCCACTGCAACCTCTGCAACTGCCACTGCCACTGCCACACCCTCATTCCAACAGGGCAGTTTCAATACGACGACTTCTTCGTCGACATGGACGACAGGGGCTTCGTCCAGCAACGATCGCACCTCAGTCCATCAACGCCGAGCTCCAGGTCAAGCCGAACCCGCCCCCGACAACGAATTCATGACGCACATCCCAACCGTCCGCCGCACCAAGCTGCGCCCCATGGTCGAGGCACTCCCTCCACAGCCAACCATGACCGAGCGCATCCTGCGCTCAATCCCCATCCTGAGCTGGTTCACAGGTGACATCGTGGGCGAGGGCCCGCAACTCCGCGAGGACGGCACATTCGATTCGGAAAAGTCTGGCCTTTATTGGAGGTTCTGGCATACGTTCGATTATTTCCTGAGGACGGATATGTGCGGACTGAAGGAGGATAGCTGAGTCGACATGAAGGCCATCAAGTACTATGGAAATGGAATACCTCTTTGTCTTTTATTCACTACATCACGGATCTTTCACCACAATTGCGAAGGCTTGGGCGCGATCAACCTAAAATCTGAATCGCTACGCAGCTTGAGGGTCAGTCCTCAACAGTACTTCGCGCGTCGCGCATTGCATTGAGGCCAAAGGCTTTGTGGTAGAATGGCTCGGGCGTTAGTCAATGGATCATTTGTACGATAGCTGCTGATGCAGACATAATGAACTGTCCTGTCGACGAATCGCGCCCAAATCGACATACCGTAGACAGTAACATGTACAATTCTTCATACTTCTTTAACTTTTCTTCGGATAAATCATCGAACTGTCAGAAGTAGAATTCCTTCTTTCCGTCACCAGGTGCACCAATAGCCCCGACACAGTATAAACGCACCTCTCAATCCTGCCCGTGAGGAAGAGACGAAACAGCAAGAAAAAAGGGCAAAAGAGAAAAGGACTCAACAAAAACAACTCTCAAACCGGAGCTTAAATTTCATTGATCATAGACGAAAGTTTTTAAAGACTCGATTTAGTTCGCATCTAGGCGTATTTATTCCTTAGTCTCGAAGTTCTCGCCCTCGACGAGGTCGGGGATATCATCCTCCTCGTCGTCCTTCTTATCGCCCTGCTGCTTCTGCATGTTCTGGTAGCTCTCGGCGAGCTTGCGCAGGGAAGCGAGGGAGTCGGGGCCGAGCTGGTTCAGGATGTTGGGAACGAGCTCGGTGAGCTCCTTCTCCTCACCGTTGCCGTACAGGGCGAAGGTGTTGGAGGGGACGGCGCCGTGAACTATCGCGATGAGTGATTAGTCTTTTTTGCTTTCTTCCTTCCTTCCTCTTTATTTCCTTCTCCTTTGCTTTTGTGTGTTGGAAGGCCAAAGTTGGTTTCCGGGTGGTGTCTACTCACCACGGGGGTTGGCGAAGTGGATGACGTTGCCGTCCTCCTTGAACATGTTGACCTCCTCGATGCCCTGGATGGGCTGGACGTTCAGCTTCTTGAGAGCGGCCTGGAGCTTCTTGTCATCGGCACCGGAGTTGCGGACGACCTTCTTGACCTTGCGGCGGGAGTACCCTTGCCACTGTAAAATTGTTAGTTGATTGGACATTGGTTGAGAAATGTGGTTGTATCGGTGCGGACGAGTGGGTGGATGTGCGTGGTGGGGGAATGAGTTGGGAGGGGGGCGAAAAGATCGAAGGAATGCGAGGATCCATGACGAGGCCGAGAGTCAAACTGGACACCGGATTCTCTCAGCCATGCGATATATATCTTCGGTTCGATATTTGGGATATAGCGACGTCGCATAAATTCCAGGTTCGAGAATCAAGAATCCGTAGTCTGACTATCGGCTGTGTCGAATCCGGGTATTGCAGTTCGAAAATTCATTTCCGCCATAGAGAATCGAGAGGTCGGGATTAAAAGGAGTGTTCTAGACAGAATATACATACCCTATCAAGAGAAATCATGTTAGCTATCAACCTTGCACAAACATCCACCAAGACATGCAAGTAAATTGCAGGATTGAGATATGACCAAGCTCCAGGGCCACCAATTCCATAAGAATCACAGCTCCACGTCATGACCCAGATCATATCTCAAGCTCCAAAATCCTTGAAAATCCCCAAAAGAGACAGAAACGTACCGATGCGAACGCTCGCCTGCATTCTAGCCAACTTTGCCTGATCCATGATGAAGTCGGGAGGGGTGATCGCCTGGTGCGGGATTAGCTGGTAATTCGGTGGAATTTAGGGACAAGAGATTCTGTTCGATTATTCCAACAATTAATCTCTGCGTACCGTTAATAAAGGGTTGAGGGGGAGATGGTAGGAGGGAACGTGAAGTGGAAGTGGGTGGAATGATGATGCATCCCCAATGAGTTTTGTGTGGGGAGTTGGACCAGAATATTCGCTAATGCGCCGATTTGGGTTAACGGGCAGTCTTTTTGTTTAATGTCTACATTCTGATATGTTTTATAAATTGATTCTATTGGAATATCATCTATCTGTTCTTTCTGGTGATTTTGGCTCTTTGCAAAGTCACAGGCTTGTTCGATTGTGGGATATTGACGCTCGGCTAAACCCTAATCGGGCTGATCTCGAGTAGATGAGATATATCAAGAGACATAGTCCATTTTCAACCAACATTCGAACATTAGACTTATATTGACAGGTTCTATATATTTCAATATCCTTATTGCAGAAATTCCAACCTTGGTATATCCCCAAAGCCACAGCAGTGGACACAGTTTCATTCCATCCAAAACTACTAACTATTAACTACTAACCACTAACCACTAACCTTAGCTCTCTCCTTCTTCTCTATCTCAATCTGCTTCTTCTCCCAATTACTAAAATACTTGTGCCATGGATGCTTCTCCTGGAACCCAAGAAGCTTCTTTATCTTCGCATTGGAAAACGGCGCCTCAAACTCCTCCATCTCGCGCGTGATAGGTATATCCGGGAACTGCGATTTCAAAAAGTCCTTCGTAGGACTAAGATTGGTAATATGGTCATTGGTAGCATTGAAGATCTGAAACCCAAGCCCATCAGTCCGCAATGCCGCCTCACACATCCCGCCCAGATCGCGAGAATCGATATACGACCACCCATGCACCTTCCACATCGCCGGCTCATGCACATAGCTGTAGAAGATCTCTTTGTTGTACTCCTCGGGCTCGATAACCCGCCCAATACGCAGGATGTATATATCCACCCCGAAGCGTGCCGCAAAACCCCGCGCGATGCGCTCCCCGCACAGCTTCGCGATCGCGTACGTATCCGTCGGGTTAACGTCTAGGTCTTCGTGGATCGGGAACGAAGGGAAGTTTTTATCGCCCTGCGCGAAAGCTACTCCGTACACTGTTACGCTGCTCGCGATGATGATCTTCCGGATCCCTAGCTTGCACGCTGCTTCAATGATGTTGTATGTGCCTTGCGTGTTCGAGCGGAAGGTCTCGTTGTCTGGTACGAGCATGTTGCGTGCGTAGCCTGCGAGATGGATTACGGCGTCTGGGCGTGGCGGGAGGCCTTCCGGGAAGGGCTCGCGGAGTGCCCATTGGCCGGACAGGGCGTTGAACACTTGGCCGCTATCGGCGAGGTCGGTTTTTAGGGTGTGCACCTTTGGGTGTTCTAATGGCATTAGGTCCAGATTCAGGATTATGTGTCCGGCGCTGAGGAGCTCGCTGATGACGAATTGGCCTGCTTTGCCGGAGCCGCCGGTCACAACAATGTGGCCCATCCTGGTGATAGCGTCTGGCAGACACGGGATTGGGGGTTGGGATCGCCGCTTAATAGATGCCTTGTTTGATTCTGGGGTCTTTGAAATGTACAAGCTAGGCGAGCACTTATTTAGGGACTAGGGCAGCATGACCGACAACGAAATCATCATGATGCCATTTGCCTCCATAGGCGGGAGAATGGCAGCGCGGATTTTAAAATGCAGAAACAAGCTAAATCACCGATAACATTTTAGTCATTTTATATATTCATCATAGATGTCCCGGTGGTTCATTTTCGCTTCGAAACTTGAGCCTCGGTCCAATCCCAGAGCCTGTGAGCCAACTGCGCGTCCTGCACAGTCGCAGTGCCACCACTGCGGTAGCCAATGGGAGTATAGTAAGCTCCATTGATAATATTCTCGCTTTGCGTGCCAGCCGCCCAAAGAGAATTCAGGGCTCCAGTAGCAACACTGCGGAAGAACGTGGATCCAGCAGCAGCAAGACCATGTTTCATCACTGAGTTGAGACTCTTCGTGTGGCCATAGAGCCCGCTATCAACCGCACCAGGATGAACAGCAATAGACAATATATCAGGATGCCGGCGGGCCAATTCGGATGCAAAGAGGATGTTAGCTGACTTGGAAGCGCCGTAGCGCGTCCAGGTACTAGAAGCCAACAAGCCAGGGGTAGATGTAATCTCCTCAAAGGTGGAGGGGCCAACAGCGTGAGCCGCCGAAGCGAGAGTCACGACCCGAACATCGGGGACCTCATCCTTAGCGCGCTGAAGATCAACCGTCTTCTGTCAGGGTAGGCAGAAGCAGTTTTGTGAGTAGGAAGTGACCAATATGGTTTGTGCCGAGCTGGACTTCGAAGCCCTCCTCCGTCGTGGTAGGAGGGTTGCCCATCGTACCCGCATTTAGGATCAGGATATCTAGGCGATCGCTATCGGACTTGAACTTGTCTGCGGCGGCGCGAATAGATTTGAAGGAAGATAGATCGAGCGCGAGGAAGCGGATATCGGCGGGGAGGAGAGCTGGCTCTGTAACGATTCAATTGATTCGCGCGCTTTGCTCTCGGTACGGGCGGCCATGTAGATACGCGACGGGCGATGCTTGGCAAGTTGAAGGATGGTCTCTTGGCCTATACCGGCATTACCTAGGTCAATCAATCGCGGTGTTAGTGTTCTGGAAGCTATAGATATGTAGATGCGATGGATATAGAAAGAGGATATGTACCTCCTGTTACAAGGATGACCTTGCCATCCAGGTTGCGAATGTCGCGCTCCGGCTTGAACGAGGGCCCTAAATAACCGAAGGTGGCCTCATTCAGGGTCGGGCCAAAGCTCGATAGTGCTTCCCGAGGATGACGCAAGCTATAGGTCGCGAAGCCACGAGTGGCTATAATATCACGGAGATCCATACTGGGTGCGATCAGCTTGAATGAAGGATATGAGGAGTAAAAGTTGAAATCAGGTTAGCTCCGGGACGGGGAGATTAAGTAGCCATCAAAACTTAAGAATGGCCTGGGGCCAAGGAATGACATCGTTTCTTTTCTGCATGTGAAGTGTACGGAGATGGAAAGTTTTCAAGATCTCCTGATCTTATCAAGTTTTTCTATTGGTCCATACAGGGATTCATTTCTGGAATATCCAAACCTGAAGACTTCTTTAACTTTGTAATATAAAGAACATACCTAGGTAAAGAAACAATAAACCTTTTGTCCACGGGTATTTTGTAGATCTTTGTATATCTCATAATTCGTCGCCAAGCTAGTAGTCCAGTCCTGCAAACCCCCCCGCAGGTTAAACCCCCCCTCGTGTCTTGAAACTCCCCTCTCTTGGCCACCTGTCCTGCAGACTTACTTTTTCTTCTCTTTTCCTCGAATCCTAGAAATCCAAGGATTTCGGCCGTAACACAAAATTCTGAACTGTTTCGGCATAGTCTCTTATCAAACAATCTACGTTTCAGTTCCCGCAATTGAGACACGGAATATTTAAACCACAATGAGGTTTCTTTGCTTGCACGGCGGCGGCACCAATGGCGAAGTAAGCACTATGCAGTAGCTTTGATATAGAAAATACTGACCGGCTACAGATTTTTGAAATCCAAATTGGAGGCCTCCGCCAAATACTAGAGAAAAGTGGGCACCGCTTCAAATTCATGAACGGCAAGATAAACGCCAAAGTCGAAGAGGGTAAGCTTGACTACCCATAGCTATTAACCCCACCTAGCCCATCTATTAACCCAACTCCAATCCAGAACTTGAAGGAATAGTGGACGGCCCCTTCTATAACCACTACACCCGAGGTACCTCACCAGGCTCTAGCGTCCTCGAAGCCTTCGACCATACCAAACGCTTCATCGCAGAAGAAGGCCCCTTCGATGCAGTGATAGGCTTCTCACAAGGCGCAGCACTAGCAGCCTCACTTTTAATCCACCAAAAGAAGACGCAACCGGCCGAACCACCGCTATTTCGTGCTGCGGTGTTTATCTGCGGTGCGGCACCATGGGAGAGTTCCGGGCTGGAGCATATATCACCGCAGCCGGACACGTACCCGATTGCCATTCCGACGGCGAATATTGTTGGCAAGGCGGATCCGCTGTTCGCTGAGGGAGTAAAGTTATTTGAGCTTTGTGAACCCGCTAAGGCGGTTTTCTATGATCATGGTTCTAAGCATATGGTTCCGTTTGATATGAAGAACACGGAGGAGATGATTAGGGTTATTGAGGAGACTGTTGCCAAGGCTATTAGGGGTTAGCTGAGATGGATGCCCAGGTGGGAATTTGGAGATATTATGATATCATAAATAAAGGCAGCGGTCTAGGTGGAAGCAAATTCTAAACTTGCAGCCCTAGATAGCAACAGCACCGACATTTCCGGTTTACTCTGCATTTGTTGGGGCCCTGGCAGTCTCATCTTGCCACACTTTTGTCTATCCAACTAGGAAAGGAATACTGAACTACTTTGACATCCTGCGTTCCACTGAGCTTGTAGTGATTCTTGGCATATTGGGTTAAATGGGGGAGTTGGAGAACCTTGAGGACCTTTGTATAATGATTCGAGACAGGTTTTCTGGTATACAGCAAGATCTTCTTAGTGATGCCTATATCGCTGATCGATCTATATAAAGATGAGATCTTCAGGTGGATCGACGAAGATATTCGAACGGTTAAACAAAGTTGCCTTCTATAACAAGGAGAAACGCAAATACTGACGGGGGAATTCCGATTGAATTCGATGGAATATACCACACAAAGCAGTGTATACCGAGTCGCTTGGAAATCCCATCAAAGTACATGAAATAAATATCTCATCAGCCTGAGTTCGTGACTTTCAATATCGGATTTGACCAAAACGTTTGTCTTCTGTTACAGTCTGAGGTTTCATACATTTATCATCGAGTTACTAAACTGATCATGAAATGTCAAATCAACCTTGGAAAGGGTCTGGAAAATGTGACCCCCAGGGCTAATCCGCGTTACTAATAATAGGTGGACCCGTGGTCCCCCGTTTGTCGAGCAACACGCTTCTATCGGCATATCAATAGGCAACCATATAACAAAGAGCTTTACGATTTATGCAGTGAAAAAATCACAAAAATCGACATATATGTAACTTTGGGTAGATACGGAGTAGTTATGCGAAGAATAGAATACAACTTACTATCGTCTACTCTTGTTCATCTTTGTACTGTAACTCTCACATTGTGCCTGTTTGCGGTAAAGAAGTTCCCAATGTTAATGGAAGGACACCGCGGAACTATCTAGGCCAAACTAATGATGAGTATGTCCTTTGCCAGCAATAATTGCGAATGATCATAGACTTGAAATTAATTAACCTTTAAGACCCCAAACACAAAAGCCGGGAGCCTACGTAGCATGTTTTGTACTGTGAAACGCCACAGCACGTGACTCTGGGCAAAGCCGCCTCAGCGGCAACTTGTCAGCTTCACTTCAGACAACACCATTAATCCTTTCACTCCGTCCCTCGCCGTTGCGCTACATCCTAATCCTTATCGTTCTACGATAATCTCCTCCCACACCCACGATCCGCATCGATTCTAGTCACCCAGACTGTCCCTTCGCTGCGCTTCCCCATCAAAACAATACAACCCCTGCTCCCACGAGGTCGTTTAGACACTCCCAATCTCCGGCCAATCCAGATCTGAGATTCTCTCAAATTCTTTCACGACTCACATAATGGCTGCTACCGAACAACCCTATGACCCTTATATCCCCTCTGGCTCCAGCGGAGCCCCTGGTGCCACCGGGCAGAATGGTAACCAGCGAACCGCCGCTTTGCAAGCAGTAAGTCAATCATCAACGATCTCTTGGCTCCTAGCAAACCTAGCTATTGAGAAGACACATAAATGCTACCTGGTGGATGGTGCATGCTTGTTGTCGTGTTGATATATCAAAATGCGAAGGCTGGGGCAATTGATACCCGCAATGGGGCTGACATGGGTATCTTCTATAGCAAATCGATGATACCGTCGGTGTGATGCGCGAAAACATCAACAAGGTCTCCCAGCGTGGTGAGAACTTGGATTCTCTCCAGGACAAGACCGACAACCTTGCCGTCTCGGCCCAGGGCTTCCGCCGAGGTGCCAATCGCGTACGCAAAGATATGTGGTGGAAGGACATGAAGATGCGCGTGTGTCTCGTCATCTGCGTGATTCTCCTTCTCGTTGTCATTATTGTGCCGTCCGGTAAGCGCTCCCTGGCATTCTCCTGACTTCCCAGCTCGCCACTAACACTTTACATAGTGATTGCCACCAAGCACTAAGCACCTGAACTGCGCGCGACTTACGACTTCTCTTTGGACATGGAATCTTGAATTTTACTGGGCTTACTGTTGTTGGGGCCGTGTGGCCTTTTCCGTTTTCTTCGCAGCCGCTAATACCTCCTGCTGTTTTTTTATGGGCGTGTTTTCAATGACCAAATCCTCCTTGACTTTTACATGCAACGAAACGAGATCATCCGATTTTAGGTTGTGTCGCTACGTGGCGACCTGTCGACGGGTGAAGATGTAAATGATACTTCCATGACGCCGTGTTTAAGTATGCTTACTACATTGCCATTTGGGTGCTTCTCACTGCAATGAAACTCCCTTATCATGCTCTTATGCTCTTTTTCAACTCCCCAGTCTTGCTGGAATACCCGAAAAGCATTATATTTGTACGAGGTAGAACATTAGTGTAGATCCACACTTGGATGAACCAGTCAACATCCACTCTGGTGCATGTCGATTGAGTCTCGGTTGTCATGAGGATGCGCAAGTGGTCATGGAGAGGCGACTGAGTCTGACAGTACATCGGAGTGTCTCAATTTTTGCCTACCATTTATATTGTTATTCTGTAGACGAGGCCGTTTAGTAGCATAGCACAATTACTAGTCCATGTGGCTCAAGACCCATCTGACCTGTGAGGTTCCAATTCGCCAATAAGATCCAACAAGGAACCCGTTATATATGCCCGAACCCTTTGGCATCAAGTGTCTGTCTGCTCATTATTAATCTAACTTGATCTAAATATTCCCGTGGTTCTCTCGCTATAGGAGCGCAGCAGCGCAAATCTTGCCCCTCATGATGAACTCTTCGGGAATTCATCTACCGAAGGCTGTTGAGCAGGGGTAAGAAAAATCAGATAATTCTGGGAACTCTTGGCACGAGAACAAGTGTCCACCAAATCCTCAATTAGACCACTTGGAGAGGCCCTCGCATTTACCGTCGGCAGGACGCCCAGAGTAGATCCAGTCCGAGCGGAGGAGAAGTGGATAGCCGTGACCCAAACGCAACGAGTAAGAAGAAGGGACAGGATCAGATAACTGAGACTAAACCCAAGCAGGATGACGTTTCAAGATCTCCGAGCAGAAGAAGTGGGCTCTTTCGGAGGAAACACTCTCGCTTGAGGAAGTCTAAAGAGATTGAGAAAGAGATTCCAAGGTTGATGTATCCGAAAGTGAAGATTCTTTTTTCTTATACTTTTTGGTCCCGGTTACGGCGCACAAATGTTAATATGCACTTATATACATGTAGACTAAAGAAGTCAAGGAACATCACTCTATACTATATTAGTATAAAATTCAATATGAGATATTAAAAAAAAAAAGAATCGGAATAATAGGCTCATGAAAATAAAAATCAAATGCCGCACGTAAAAGGGAAAAGATGGAGATAAATCACTGGCTACTCGCTAGACAGGGGGGCCCACCGCCTTCTCCCCGTCATCGGGCCAAGTTATCGCTCCGAGGCCCGGCCGATGATCTGAAAAATATCTCTTTTTGACTCAGCGCTTTCTCACCTTCCCTACCTTCCCACCTACTTATACATATTTGGGGCCTCTCCCACCCAGGGCCGACCGTGAGACCGTTGAGGCTGCCGCATGTGCGTTGCCAAGATGATGTCCCTTCGCTCCGCTGTGCGGAGAGCTTCGTGCAAGCCCCTCCGTTCTCTCTCCGCACCGACTGCTCTGCGAGTCTCAGCAAAGACTGCCTCCCTGCGCCAGACTCGCACCTACTCCCGCTCGGCGGATCCTCACCTGACCAACACCCGCAACACCGTCGTGCAATTGCTGAGCAATATTGGCTCTAAGCGCGAGGTCCAGCAGTACCTGTCACACTTCACCTCCGTGTCCTCTCAGCAATTCGCCGTGATCAAGGTTGGTGGTGCTATTATTACTGAGCACCTCCAGACCCTGTCATCCGCGCTCGCATTCCTTAACCATGTCGGTTTGTACCCGATCGTCGTTCACGGTGCCGGCCCCCAGCTTAACCGCATGTTGGAGGCGGCTGGTGTTGAGCCTCAGTTCGAGGATGGAATCCGAGTGACTGATGGTAAGACCCTGGCCCTCGCCCGCAAGCTCTTCCTGGAGGAGAACATGAAGCTGGTTGAGGAACTCGAGCGCATCGGTATCCGTGCCCGTCCCATTACCGCCGGCGTCTTTTCGGCCGATTACCTCGATAAGCCCAAGTATAACCTGGTCGGTAAGATCGATGGTGTTGACAAGGCCCCCATTGAGTCGGCTATTGCCGCTGGATGTCTGCCCATCCTGACCTCCATGGCCGAGACCCCCGACGGCCAGGTCCTCAATGTCAATGCTGATGTGGCTGCCGGTGAGCTTGCCCGCGCCTTGCAGCCCCTCAAGATTGTCTACCTGGCCGAGAAGGGCGGTTTGTTCAACGGTGACACTGGTGAGAAGATCTCCGCCATCAACCTTGACGAGGAGTACGACCACCTGATGAGTCAGTGGTGGGTGCGCCACGGCACTCGCCTGAAGATCAAGGAAATGAAGGAGCTCCTTAGCGATCTGCCTCGCTCCTCTAGCGTCGCAATCATTCACCCTGCCGATCTTCAGAAGGAACTTTTCACCGACTCTGGCGCTGGTACCCTGATCCGCCGCGGTAACAAGATCCACGTCAAGACCTCTCTGTCCGAGGTTGAAGACATGAAGGCCCTGAAGGAGGTGTTGGTCCGTGATCGCGAGGGTCTTGATGCCCGTGCTGTTGTTGACCGCTATGTCGAGGGCATGAAGGAGAAGGACTTCAAGATCTACTACGACGATCCTATGGAAGCTCTGGCCGTTGTGCTGCCCCCGCAGCCCAACTCCCAGATGGCTCACTTGGCCACTTTTACCATCACCAAGTCTGGTTGGTTGACTAACGTTGCTGACAACGTCTTCGCCAGCATCAAGAAGGACTTCCCCAAGCTGGCATGGACTGTCAAGGAGGATGATGAGAACCTGACCTGGTTCTTTGACAAGGCCGATGGCAGCTTGAGCCGTGATGGCCAGGTCCTCTTCTGGTACGGTGCCGAGAACGGCGAGGAAGTGAAGCAGCTGGTCCAGGAGTTCAACGCACACGGTCGCCAGATGTTCGGTGACATTAACCTCGAGGCGCGCCTTCACCGCGCTGCTGAGGCTGCCGCCAACATTGGCAAGGGCTTCGGCGCTAGCGGTGCTTCTGTTGAGCAGAGGCGTGCGTTCTCGACCACCACCAATGCCCTGCGCATGAACCGTGCCAAGCGTCCCGCCGTTGCCGTGAACACTTTCCGCACCTATGCCACTACCAACCCCAACCCTCCTCTTGGAGAGAAGAACATCTCCAACACCCAGCCCGCCAAGGTTGCTCTCATTGGCGCCCGTGGCTACACCGGCCAGGCCCTGATCAACCTGCTCAATGCTCACCCTAACATGGATCTTCGTCACGTCTCATCCCGCGAGCTGGCTGGTAAGAAGCTCCAAGGCTATGAGAAGCGCGAAATTACCTACGAGAATCTCAGCCCCGAAGATGTGCGCAAGATGTCTGCCAACGGTGACATCGACTGCTGGGTGATGGCTCTGCCCAATGGTATTTGCAAGCCTTTTGTCGATGCTGTTGACGAAGGTTCCCAGACGGGTAACGTCATTGTCGACCTGAGCGCTGATTACCGCTTCGACCCTAAGTGGACGTACGGTCTTCCCGAGCTGGTCGAGCGGTCTAAGATTGCCCGGGCTACTCGCATCGCCAACCCCGGATGCTACGCCACTGCTGCTCAGCTTGGAATTGCTCCTCTTGTTCCGTTCCTTGGCGGCCAGCCCACCACCTTTGGTGTTTCTGGATACTCCGGCGCGGGTACCAAGCCCAGCCCCAAGAACGACGTGCAGTTCCTTACCAACAACCTCATCCCCTACAGTCTGACTGACCACATCCACGAGCGTGAGATTAGCTCCCAGCTGGGCACTAACATTGCGTTCATTCCTCACGTCGCGGTTTGGTTCCAGGGTATCTCCGTAAGTGCCCTTTGGCCGCTCATTGATCACTACACTTGCTAACATTTATATCAAGCACACCATCAGCATCCCTCTGAAGCAAAAGATGACCTCCCGTGATATCCGCAACCTCTACCAGGATCGCTACGCTGGTGAGAAGCTCGTCAAGATCGTGGGTGAAGCCCCTCTTGTCAAGGACATTGCCGGTCGCCACGGTGTCGAGATCGGTGGATTTGCCGTCCACTCCAGCGGCGAGCGCGTGGTTGTCTGCGCCACCATTGACAACCTGCTGAAGGGTGCCGCCACCCAGTGCTTGCGTAAGTGTTGAATTCATCTACTTCATCAGCCATGACGCTAACGAATTCCAATAGAAAACATGAACTTGGCTCTGGGCTACTCCGAGTACGAGGGCATCCCTCTCGACTAAGCTCCCACTCAAAGTCAGTGACGAGTAGTTACCGGAGTGTGTTTGTGTGTTGTTCTTGCATGTCTTTTGTCTCATACCCCCCGTGCATCCTATACATCGCTCTGGGTTGGAGATTTCTGGGTGCTCTCTATCTATTTTCGGATCTTCCATAGTTGATTATGTCTACGCTTATACATTTGTGTCAAAAGAGTGCGGTTTCTGTTGGTCTCGGTCCATTTTGCCCCTTAGAATTCTGCTGCCATCCTTTCAGATGGCTCATCGTTTTTCGTTTCCTTGTGCTCAACTGACATATGGTTTCTCAAAGAGTCCCAAGAAAAGTAAATTCTGCTTTCTCCTAATGCTGGCGTTTGATCTTAGTCCCCGGCGACTTGTTCCCTGCCCCAGGACCATATGCGAGTCGATTTGGTTTATTGAACGATTGGGAACGTGGAATTCCAATCGATTGTAAGTAGAGAACAATGTACTTTAATAGGAACCTTTGACTCGAGATCGCCAGCGTGGACCGTGTGTTGGGACACAACGCATCTGTTCACGCCTCAAGGTACCAGTTGACGGCAGTCAACTACTGCCAGTGCACCATACCGTACGTATATCGCCGGCAGAACATTTCATAGTATTAGCATATGTATATTTTATTGACTATAGAATTGAGATACCGTAGAAAGTGAGATATCAAAAGTAAATTGGTGTTATGGAAGGTCAAAATTTAGTATGGAAAATACTATATGGCGTGGCGCACTGGCGGTTGGAGACTGCAGTACCTCGAGGTCTTGTGCTCAGGCTCGCATATCAAACCTCACTTTCTCCCTCTTCCCTGTATCCTCGTCTTCCGTAGTCTGACCCGTCCTCGTCGATCGCACCGTCATCGTATCTTCCACTCTTTTTCACCCAAAGAATCCATCTATTCCATCCATGGAGGAGAAGAGCTTCCCTACACAAGGAGCTCAAGTCGGCCCCGGCGATCAACTTGGCTTCCTAACCATCTCTCATTCCAGAGACACATGATGACGATAACCCAAGTCTACCTGAATGATATCAATATCCTCACTGCGCCTGGATTAGTCTGGCCTCCTTGTCCAGCACGGATATCCTCCACGCATCTAACGGCAAGTCCTCGAGATCGTGAAGGGCGTGAGATTCAGACCCAGGCCTGACACTCCAACTTACGAATCCAGTCTATCTAACCGGATTTCGACTTGAACCGCTTTTCGAAGCCCATAGGAAGCCAGATACCTCCCGAAGCGTTTCGAGACGGCCAGAATGAGCGAGAACCGGAGACAACTTCCCCCGCCATCCCTCATGGTCCGCAAATTCCTCGAATACAAGGCCTCGGATGATGCAAAGTCACATTTCGCATTCCCAGCCAGGTCCCCTGGATGTCCCGAAACAAACTGGCCGCAGACGCCTTTCAGTGAAGGTTATTCTTCTTCAACGGGACACTGATGGACCCTTCCACACTTGCTAGAGTTGTGCAATTGCTCGAGCCTCTGCAAATGCGACCAGCCAGGGTAATAGGCTACAGGACCAAGCTCTGGGGAAGGTACCGCCATTTCAACCACTTGATGGCTTAGCCTATGAAATACGTCTGCCGGAGCATTGGGAGCGGCTTCGTGCCTATTATTCCGATCACTATGATCTGGTATGGATTTTGCTTGACTTTGCTGATACAGGAGAAGAGGAAGCCCAGGGTTTTGCTTTTGAGTGGAGGGGACATCCTGAAGAGTTGCGAGATGGGAGCTTTAGCCTGGAAGAGTGATCTGCACACTTGATCGCTCAGCAGTGATTTGTCTTGCCTCCCTCCCCCAATTGACCTCTACAGATCCATAGTCTCAAAGATATTGTACTTATGAGTCGAGAATGCATATCTCGTTGAGGGTCAACCAATGATGCAAATTGACTGCCTAGAGCCTGCCATATAAGATAGGCTATGATGCGTAAGAACGAAGAAATTAGAAATTCAGAATGGAAGGAAAGATCGAAGTGGATAAGGAAGAGGAAAGGAAATACTTGATGTTCACACAATGTGTAGAATGGAATTTGGAGATCAAGGCTTCGTTCCTGGACTGTGAAGTTCTGCTTCTGGGGGTCACGCTTCTTCTCTGATTGTGCAGCAATCCCATCCCACTGGGACTCTCTGACTCTCTGACACTCTGACCCTCTGACCCTCTACCCGAGGCGAGCATCTTCCTTTTAAGGTAACCCAATTACTACCTACTCTGTTTTCCTGAAAACCCACTCCATCCTACTATTCTTGCTGCATCTCCAAGCCGTGTGGAGATTCGAGGGCCTGGGCGTCACTCGAGTCCATTTGCATTGCAACCATGTTCTACAGCCATGAAAGTAAGTCGACAGGTTCCCCATGTGCAATTGTTATCTCGGACCGAACGCTCATCTGCTTGTCATGTTCTAGTCCTCACCTCACCAGAGCACGGTGTCGCGACAATATGGTAAGAACATCCAGGACTCCCACAGTTCCACACCCACGACTAATAATACCGCCTCCACAGGCTAGTCGCAACTCTGGGATCCAGGTCCATTGCCAGAAGATTAAACCGAAAAGCCATCCTGGATGTGGACGTCCCCAATGCATGTCGAGTTATTATCAATCCCGATGCACCCATGGCCCTTCGGCTGCAGGGGAGCCTGCTGTAAGATCTGTTTCTCAGTGATGTCTCCATGGGTATGCTAACAACTTGCCTGTATTAGGTACGGTGTTTCTCGAGTGTACAATCAACAGTGCGGGTACACGCTGCTCGACACACAGGCGATGCATGACAAGATGGTTTCCAAGTTGAAGATCATCCCGGGAAGTGGCCTTGATCCCGCCGCTGGCCAGACCAAGTATGCCCCGTTGATTGGTGGTATAAGTCTACAAGACATTCGTCGGGTACTAACCTTATCCCAGGCCCAGCAATCTTATCTTACCTTACGACCCGTCTTTCCTGCCCGAGACAGCTCTGCCGGGACTCGAAATTGACTTCTCCTCCTTCACTACCACCACGGACGATAGCTCGAGCCAACTAAGTGGCCTCTGGATCAAGTCGCCCAACAATAGCTTGTCTGGGACTTCACAGCTTTCAAGCTTGCACCTTGAGCTCCCATCGGATGATATCCTGGGTGAGGGTACTATCCTAGGACTTGATGAGATCAATGGGTCTGCGCAGAAGAAAGACCCTTTCGGCAACGTGACGGGGCTAGGATTAGGCAATGAAGAGGGTGTTCTCCTTCAACCTGACTTTGAATTTGACGAGGATGGCAATATCATCGAGCTCGATACCAGAGGGAAGTCTCCTCATGCAAGGAAATCCACCGTTGGTCCGAGAGTAAGTGAAGAACCGACAGACGACCAACAACGCCAGCTCTGCGAAGATTCGGTGAGTACCAAACATCCATGCCGCAACCAAAAAGATGTCCACTGACTCTGGTCGACAGATGCAGATTGAAGACGAGGAAGTCAGAGTGGCTGATACCAACGACATGATGGATCTCGACACCCGGACCGCAGATGCCGCAATTCTCCCGACAAATGAAGGACTTGGTGGGGTTGAAGAAACAGTTGAGATTCAAGCAGTGAGGACCCGCCGTGTCAGGCGCCCAAAGGAGATCATCTCTGACGACACCACGGCGCTTCGAAACATGACGCTGGCCCAATGGAACAATGAATACGTTGCGAACATGATCCAAGCACTGAACCAGAAGCAGCAAAACAAGATTCCAACCATTTCGAGGAAGAATGCTGCTTTCTGGGTTTTCGGTCAGGGAATAGGCTCGGTTGGAGTCGGACTGGGAATGGACCATGAACAGCATCCGCTCAGCCTCTACTCAGGCGAGGATCTGTTTGAAGCCGTTGGTGGATACCCTCAGCGAAAAGGGCGAAAGCGCAGCGCAGATGACGATGAACTATCGGAGGGACGTCGAGTACGCGCGAGAGACGAACAAGCAGAGCATCTCAGCCGCGAGAACATTGACCGTCTCAACAGGGAAGTTGAAGTCGGTCGTGATGCCCCTTCGAGTCTGTTTGACGACCACTCGTCCCAGATGCCATGGAATGTGACCGCGTCTATCCAAAGCTCTCGACAAAGACATCGACTGGGCAGTGTCAGCGAGCTGTCTTCTCAGGACGTAAGCCCCGAAGCCGTCTCACTAGCGCCAGTCCGCTTGCCGGGCGCAGCTATTTCGGGGGACAAGACCAACATAGCCTCGAGCTCCTAGGCGATTTCGGAGACGACCTAGATCTTACTCGTTATCTCGAAGGCGAGCTTGCGACGGACCGCGAGAATATCAGCTCACTCTCGCCAAGTAAGCGCTCTGCTCTTGAACGTGTCAAGTCAACTCTTGATCGGGAAAGCTTGAATTTCATCGGGTTCATGAAGACCAAGATGGGTACTGCTAACCATGACAAAGCAGGAGATGCACAAACCCCGAACAGTAACGTGTCCAGCAAGGTCGCGGCCAGACTCGGCCAGACCACATTCGCGAGTCTCCTTCCTCCTGGAAGTACGACGCGAGCTGTCGCGACCCAGGCTTTGATGAATGTTCTCACGCTTGCGACAAAGGGTGTGCTGCATGTCCACCAAGACGAGTACATCGACGAAACCACTGAGTGGGAAGTCCGCTATCGCTATGGCGAAATTTTCCTGCGATTATCGGGAATCTGAGCGTGAACCGTGCGTACTAGGTCTTAGTGACGTCGAGGAACACATGATGGTGGATTGTCGAAGCGCTGAAATGCAAATGGAAGGAAGGTATGAGGGGCTCTGTTCAGTCGCGTGCGACTACCAATAGAACACCAAAATGAAATGGAGAGTCACGGCCATGACGATCGCTGTGAAAGGAACCTATTGACGCGATCTGTGCTGTCGCATTACATCACCCGGAATGCAGATGGAGGAACATTTTTACAGTGCGAAGTGTGAGAGAAGAGCGAGAGAAGGTGATAACTATGGTATACGAGGATGTATGGGACCATCGAAACGGATCTACAGTGCAGCCAGGAATTTATCTTTAATTCAATGTTTCAATCTTCCTTTACCCCAATCTTACCAGGAACGTGTATGTTGTAAACTGAAGTAGTTGACAGTATTGCGTATGGGATACGGAACGTCCATAATAGATTCAGTTACAGTAATATAATACCCGAAGCTGTTTCGATTAACCCTGGAAATGAGCGGAAGTATAGGGGAAGTATATAAGATGTCAATAATCATTTATATCTGTATTTACATATGTATTTTGTTAATATCACATATGCTCTTATTTTGCAAGGTTTACTGAGAATTGTCTTTCCCCACCAAATCCAATCATAGCAGTCTCTGATCCGAGTGTTGCCTTGTTCGCCCTGAATTCTCCGAGATATGATCTTACACCTCTAGGACCATGCATCCATGGATGGATATGAGGGATATGTATTATGATCCGTAGCAGACTATCTATCAAATAGGAAATATTTAAGGCGTTCAACTTTGAAATTGGCTTTTATTAGGCAACCTAGTCATTGTTTCTCATATAACTAAGTATTTTCATATTTCTATGGCCCGGTCTCGTCTATTAGCCGATGTTTTCGAGTTAGACCAGCTAGTTATAAAGATGAAGTAAAAGTAAAGAGACTAATAAATGAAACTAAACATAGCTATGTTCTAATAAATTTCAATATAGTATAAGAATATAAAGGTAATATACCTCAGTACCGATAGCACGTACCGTAAGCAGTGCTCCAAATTACGCAGGGCGCGTAACCCGCGTAATCTCCCGTCTTCATCTTTCCATTTTCTTTTCTTCTCTCTCCCTGACCCCTCCAACTTTACACCTCATACGCGCCCTTACCCATTCTTCTTTACGACTTTCTTTGTTTATCCCGAATACTCTTGCTCCTATTACTCCTCTCATCATGGGTCGTACCGTCGACCAGGAGGTACACGCGGCGTTTGTCGAGTTTCGCGCCAAGGAAGATGACAAGGTGCGTGACTGTGTATTTCGTAATATTTCACCCACGACCTGTCCGTCACTAACATACGAAAACCCGTTTTGGGGTTTGTGCATGTGTTAGTGTCTCTCCGTTCAGTGCATATACTGCCAACAAATTCGAGCAAAGAACACTTCGCGACAGAAACAACATCTCCTTGAATGTCCCGGTCTGCGCGGCCACCCCAACGCGCCTCAGCCTTCTCAGCCCGCCCAGGCCGCCCCTAACGGAATCGGTGCTCCCAATGGCTACCCCGGAACCCCCAATGGCCCAACAGCCACCCCGTCAGGTCCAGCTGGTCCTGGTACTATCCCAACTCCCAACGGCACCCTCATGACCAATGGTGTCAACCCTCATGCTACTCCGTTGCAGACCCCGCTTGGGGCTCTTCAGAACCGCGCTACAATGGCAACCCCGGTCCCGGCTACCGGTCCTCCGTCCGCGCCGCCCAGTGCCGTTCCCTCACGCCCAACTCCCAAGCCAAAGAGCAAGACAGCAAGTTCGAGCTTGCCTGCGCCCCCGCTGGATGATGTACACGCAGCTTTCGTGGAGTTCCGCGCAAAGGAAGAAGACAAGGTACGGCGACGGAACTCGGCCATATACATTGGAACATACAAGCTAATAGTGCGGAATAGTGCCTATCCGTTCAATGTATTTACTGCCAGCAAGTTCGCGCGAAGAATACTAGTCGTCAGCGCCAGCATCTGCTCGAATGCCCTACCTATCTCAGCGTGATGAAGGACTCGATCCCCGCCAATAACCTGCTGCACACATTCCCCGAGGGCGACGTCGCCCGATCACTTCAGATACCCGCGCCATCGCTCGAGCTGGATTTCCGCATGAGCATCAAAATGAACCCCAAGGTGTCTGTTGGACCCAGTGTCTGGGGACAGAGAGAGTGGGTCTCGTTCATTGGCGGCCAATGGGCCGGTCGATGGGGTAAGGGTATCGTTCTGGTAAGGCTGAATCCCAACCTCCAATAATTTCTAGTCCAGTGTTTAACTCTTGAAAACAGCCCGGTGGTCAAGATACACAGATCGTCACCAAGGACTGCACTACCAACCTTCGTGCGAGTTACATTCTTCAGACTGTCGATGAGCCACCCGCATTTATCATTGTGCGCACGGAAGGATGGTTGACAGGCGCCAAGGATGTTCTCGAAAAGGTCATTGATGCCAACATGGCAGATGGTGTCAACCCTGGCAGCTATAAGTACCGGGTCAATCTGTCCATGGAGACCGGCGATGAGCGATACACATTCTTGAACACCTTGATGTGGATCGGCAGCGGTTGCCGCAGAGGTCATGAAGGTAGGCTTCTTCAATCCTTTCTTTTCGCGATTAATCCGTACTAACTAGCTATGCAGTCATCTTCGACTCGTTCCGTGTGAACTAGGTCAATGCCCTTGTCAACCGATGATGTCTTGTCCGTTATTCAGCGAGTTCATGTCTATTCCACTTCAGCTTCAAATTTGTGATGGGAAAACGGTGTTTCTACTCTGCCATTTCTTGATACGCGGCGCAACGTTTCTATGATTCGATTCTTCTCTCCACGACTTCGTTCTTCCAACTCTTTGTTTGATTTCGGACCATGGGTATATCACCCTGGTTTTCTACGTATTCGCCGCAGTTAAGCCGATTTTGAGCTCTGCAATGTCTTTGTTCTTTATTTCGTACCTCTTTTTCGAGTTTTTCTTTTTTTCCCCCTTCTGATGTAATTCTTTGATGGCTATATCAGAATATTCGGCCTTGTAAGGTATTGCTAGCTTTTGAGATGTTTCTTGTTATCTTGATCTCGGCTTTTCATGTCCTGTCCCCAATTTGACTCTTCGTTTTCAGGTAAACTCTCTTTTGGTATGCCTGTAGTCATTTTCAATGATAGGAATGGTCATCGTTCTGGATTTGTTGTATTCTCTTCTGTTTCCTGGTACCTCCCCGTACAAAGTCTTGGTAACTCTACATATTGTATGCTTGCATGAGGACTGTTTCTATCTATATATATGTACATGTATCTATTGAAGCAGATATTAGTCGAATTTACGGAGATATGATTAAGATACCTGAATTTTTGAAACGTATCTCGTTCGGTTTGGAATAATATAGAACGGGTTATATATCCCGTCATGTACCGACCGTACTTGACACCAACGGTATATACGTGTACATACCAGGAACATAACTTTGAATATTTCATAGACATTTGTATATCATCATTATATATAGAAACCGAAGAATTTATTTTGATGCTATATATATTCACGAAAGCCCTGTATGCCATCAATACAAGGACACCATACCAACTCCACAGACGAACACACAATCAAGTATTATATGTTGTACACCCCTTAATCAAAGCTGTATGGCAGAGACGGATCAATCTCTGGAAGAATCAGCATACCAGAGAAGCTCTCCGCTCCAGTAAAAACGAACTGGTCGAAAAGCAAATCATCTGCACCCCATGTAATAGCAAAGGGGTTCCCAACCGGGTTAGAAAGCGGACTTCGCAACTGAGGTGAACCGATCGTCTGCATCGCATTGCGCTCATCGTTGAAAAACTCCTCAGAAAGACCCAGGAATTTCTGGTAGAGTGTTCGTAATTGCACCAGGGGGTAACTGAGTCCAGTTTGAGTGAGGCATTCTGCGATAGCTTTCATGAGGTTGAAATCGCCGATGTCGGATGTCGCAACAACGTTGCAGAATAGGATTAAGTATGCCGTCGCTGGGTAGAGCAAAATCGTCCTGAGGTGCATATTAGAGAGGTAAACTTATTATTATCGATGCTGGGTACTCACCAGTTCAAAAAGTTGACCGCGGTTTGCTTCTCTGCCGAGTGACACATGGATACAAGCGCTGAAAGTTCCCGGCGCGCTGATTGAAGGTAGGTCTCTGTTGAGCTGGTTGGTTGGCTGGGATCGGATTGGAGGAGGTATAGGATTCCGGTCATGACGGATTGATAGGCGAACTTCAGGGCCGACATTTCGGTCTGAGAGTCGAGCCCTTTCCACTCGGATGACAACGAAGCCATCTGCGTCGGTTAGAAATCTCTGTGCGGAAAGGAAAAGAGATGTTCTTGACTCACGTGGTTCATTCTCTGCTCGATATATTGCATCTGCAGCAGCATGTATTCTCCAGTACCATGTAACAATGAGGGATTGTGGTGACTTGATGAGCTATCGGGTAAATATGAGACCACTGTATCCTGCACCCGGGCAAGATCAAGATAAATCAAGAAATGCTCGGCCATAGGAGGGTAAGTTGGATAAAGATCGCTGAAAGTGGGAGGTAGCTGAACATCAAGAAGGCAGCGTGAAGTTCGTGATTTGAATGCATGGTTTCTGTCCAGAGTGTAGCACCAAAGGAAGCAGAAAAGCTCTTCCTCGCTTGCATTTCCACTCAGAACTTTCGCTTGAAGATCCAAGTCAATGCAGGTGTTACAGGCGGCCTTAGTGAGCTCACCACTTAGGTCAACATCTCCAGACCCTTGGTGAAGAAATATCTGTATATGGATTAGTTCCGTCGAGAAAGGATATAGCGACAGCATTCAAAGGCTTACACCACATATGATGGCCTGTAATAGACCAAGAGACGGGGGTATTAGCAGTGGGATCTGGTTCAATGCGGCCTGAGCTGCTGCTCGATACCCCGAGGCACTCTTCCTCAGCTCGAGGGCGACGTCGGTGTCTTCTTCAAGATTTACCACCGTAGTGATAAACTTGTAGGCAACGGCGTTGACGCAAACGGTGTAAATGACGGAGTCCCGAGTCGGTATGTTGTTGCGAAGAAGTGCAAGTCCCATCTGCTTCAATTTTGGGATTGAAATATGTCTAAAATAATCCGCAACGAAAAGTTCCGAACCTGTCAGTCCGGATATCTAGAGTTCCATGGTCAGTGTCAATTTTGCAACGCATTCAGATAGTTTAACCTCGGTGTACCTTTCAACATCCAGGTAAGAAATTCAATAGACGGGCTTCGAGAGTGAACTTCCTCTTGATGGTTAAGACTGTCTTGTACCGATGCTCTCGAATTGTCAGACAGTACTCTTATGACAGACAATGCTGTCTCGAGCACGCTGCGTCTGTCTAGAGTGAGACCCGGTAGATGGCATAGTTGATGCTGAATCGTGATCTGCGCATCATATACCGGATCGTACAAAACTCCAGTTTGGGGTCCACGTAGGTCGTTAAAATTACGACTTGGGACAGAGCGGAGTACTGGTAAGACTGCATCCGTCGAGTTACCTTGATCAAACTGATGATCAGGCGTTGGTCTTCGTCGGGAACTGTGGGAAGACCTGGGAGAGTAACTACCCCTGGGCCGAGTGGTCAGACACTTGCGCTTCACAGCCCGCCGACGATTACAGGAGATGCCTGCATCCTGGCAATTGCCGCATGGATCGCGTCTATCGCACCGGACCTGTGTATCTGCTCAGTAAATTGCAGGTTGTATATATCACATCTTTCTTGAGGGATATTACCTTGCGCGAATGGCAGAGGTCACACTGCGGTTGCCATTAGTATCGGGTGAAGTTGGGTTGGTTTCAGCTCTGGTGAGATTCGTACCACTAATAGTCTTTCCAGTGGAAGCCCTGTCGACATAGTTGATTTTGATTGTTTCAAAATGAAGAAGCTATTCACTCTATGAGAGTGGAGTAAAATATTGTCCAGGCTTAGGTCCTAAAAATAATCCAAAGTCCACTGAATCAGAAAATTTCCGGAGCGAACCGATTTTGGCGCAGAATAGGCAGCGTTAATGAGCCCGTGCTCTTGGCATCCTATATTGTCCAAACATATCTTTATTAATTATGCAGTACTTTAGGCGTAGTACTGAGTGAGTACTTCAGTTAAAATCCCTAGAGAGGTATATAGTACGTCCATATATCTACTACATATATATGCATACTCTCCAGTTGGCCGTAAAATCGTGGAAACCCCTTTTTGGAACTTCGGCGAGACTTCGGGTGAATTTATCTACATTTTACGCCATGAGCTTATTAGAATTATTCAATATTGATTCTCAGACTAAATCAAACATGGTATCAAACAATGAGAAAAGTGAAAAGAAAAAAAGGAAAAAATTTAGCAAGTAGTACCTGGAAGATATAGAGTCTTCCGAGACCGAAATACGCCCTTCCAACCCCGAACCCTTTCATTTACGGCCCCGAGTCTTGATTTAACGCCTAGAAACACAGAATAAGACTCCGGTCCTCAATAGGAAATACAATGCCCCAAAGAATCGGAAAATCGAGAGACCGGAAGTGGTCAACAGAATGATCTTGAAATACCACGCCGTGCGAGTTGTAGACGTCGACTATATCAGTTAGTGCATGTAAACATAGACGAACAAACTTGAAGTCGACTTACCGTTAGGCAAAGCCTGTCGATGCTGAGGTTATTGATACACAATGCCAGAAGACCATTACTAAATGTCCACAGCAAAACGAGATTCGTTCGGAAAGCTTTGTATGAATCGTCAAGGGCCACCCCTTCTTTCTGAGTTGGTTCTTGCCAAGGAGTCAAGGCCCGCTTCACAGTGGATGCGAACTGCTCGTCAATGTCGACTTGAGGCTTGTCCAGTTCTTCAACAAAAGGCGTTTCGTTCTCCTTCTTGGTTTGCACGGATGGAAGCTTTTCTGGTGCGTCTGATCCCTTAGTTCCCCACGAAACATCGTGCCAATTGCAAAATGCATAGACCATCAGAACATTGATCGAAGAAGGCATTCCGAGGAAATAGGACCATGATGAAGTGAGCATATGCCAAGGGTCGGCATAGAGTATGCTCGCAAGGAAGTAGATCCCGTATGTTGAGACCAAGGCAATCAGAACAAGCCCGCCCGTTGAGTTGAAAAAACCCGATATGAATGCCCCCAAACCATGACTGAAATCAAACTTGAGATTTTCGGGAGTCATGGCCTGCGCGACGAGGTAGAATGATAAAACGAGGAGATAGAGCTGGACCACGGAAAAATAGACGAAGGAGAGCGTGTACAGAAATTTTGATCTGTGGTCGGAGGTTAGCTATAAAGCGAAAGCGAGTACCCATCTCTAGGTCCTGATACTTACCCCTTTGGTCGATTCCCAAGAGCTAGGATGAATTGAAGCATCAAGAATGCCAGATACCCAATTTTCAGAATGTTATTGACAATTGGAGTAGCATCGTTCCCAAACGGCCAGCCTTTGAATTTGTTGGTCGCACTGGGTGTTCCCACAATGTCCAAGATGACGGAACTTGTGAGCCAGTAGGATGCTAGTATATGTTAGTAGTCTGGTACGCAACTAATCTAAGACTCAGAGAGCACCGCCAACTTACCGAGTGAAAGCCATGTCATGATCAACTGGCAGATATTGTAAACCAATTGAACATGAAGCAATAGCAACCGTATAATACTATGCCCACTCTTGTATATCCGGTTGAAATGCATGATTGAGTATAGCGATGCTGCAAAAGATCCATTCAGCCATCGCCGCCGTTGACTTAGGAACTCAGCTGGTCGCTCCGGGACGTCTGTTTCTCCTTTCGACGCTTTCACGTATGTGAGTAGCCACTGATTGCCCGCCTTGGCGACTAACTCGAAGCAAAGAATGCGATCTTCGGCAAGAAACATGTTCTTCTTGAAGATATTCATCCCGTCAATTCCTTTCTTGCCGAGCTTTTGAGCGAGGGTGTGGTCTCCATGAAAATACTGCTCAAGAGGCCTGCCCATGATAGCGCGGTACCGGTAGGCCGAAAAAGCCCCCGGAAGTACGCTCACGTAGCCGAAACTGCTCTCTAAGGGTTTGTCAAGGATATTGGAGATTTTGTATTCGAAGTTTTGGGCCGCAACCAGGGGATTGAGCAGCTTCTCCCATCGGTGGCCAAGAAGCGCATGAATTTCACCGCAGGCACCGCCGATATTTTTGTCATTGTAGAAAGTCTGCCACAGGGCTAGCAAAGACTTAGGCCCAGGTTTCGTGCCCGCGTCGATCAGGATGCAGATCTCAGGATTCAAGATGCGTCCAAATGCATTGAACAGCCACCGATGTGAGTTGATCTTCTTCGCATTCTTTTTCTTGAGGCAAAACATCATCTGTACCGGGGGCAGATTCATGGGGTTGTCTTTGTGTGGGCGCACAAGCTCTTGCTTCGGGGTGACCGATAACTGTGTGGTATATTCAAACTAGAACCGTCAGCACTTGAAAATTTCCCTAGCAATTGGAATCCAGAAGGGTTGGGAGGTAGGGAAACAAACGATGTGAGCAATTGTTTCTCTTCCATCCACGTCTTGCTTCATCACGCCGTCTTGAAAAACGCCGATAGTTGCCAGAACGTCAAGTGTGTTCTTATCGCAGGGATCCATGCCATCGAAGACGAGACAGACGACGATCTTTTGCCATGCGGGACCACCTCGGTTCCAGAATTCTGTCTTCTTCAACTTCACAATGTCTCGGACATTTTGCATTACCCCATGTAGGGTTCGGGCAGTCAGTACTTTATCCTCGTTGTAGTATGTGATGGCAATGAGAAGTTCGGTATGCCGATTGTACATCGAAGGACGAAGATTGTAACCATTGCGTAGCGTAAATTCATCTGGATCACATGTCGCAGCAGTGTCTAATGAAGAAAGGGAGAAAGGTCAGGTTATCATGATCGGGGAGAGTCAACTGGCACATTGGTGTGATACTCACACCTCATCTGGGTAAATTCTTCGGAAAGTTCCCCCTCTGCATCTCGATACTCAGGCTGGATAGCATTGCGTATAGGGCTCGGTACTGGATAGTTGATACTCAAGACCGAGCCTTGTGTCAACTTGATTCGCCGTGTTGGGTATCGACGGATGGCGCTCCCCTTCTGTCGTGTCCCCGACTCTTTGGAAGAGGAAACAGCAGAGCCCTGGTTGGAAAGGTTGTGTAGTCTGATCTGGTCGGGGAGATCGAGTGACTCCATGGAATCTGGTCTCGGGCGTTTAGCCTGAGCAAATGAAGAGGTGTACGGTCGACGTTCACTGGAATAGATTGGGTCTTCGGAGGAACTGATAGACAAGGCAGAAGAATTGGCCGAATGAAGTAGGGACAAGGCGTGCTCATTTGGGCGTCCAGTGTTCTGACAAGGGTGGGAAAGTCAGTTCGGCTTGCCGCATGTCCGGAGATCAAGCAATTTCCACTTCATATACACTTACCCGACGCGAATGACCATCACTCAGGCCGTCGCTTTCATCAGCTTGCTGTGCATAGCGATATGAATAAGCTCGATCAAAAGGATTCATCGTGTACCAGTCTGGACCAGATGTGGAACAAGTACTCGGGGTGTGTAAGCTGAAAGTCCGAGATGTGATCCCTGAAATCCCTGATGCCAAGCCGGTCCGAATTGATTAAGGTATGACAGGCTGTACAGATAAGCCGAGCAGTTTGCATGGGATATGATTAAAGCTAGAAAGTGTTCCAGGGTCTTTCCTTTTCTCCGCCAGCGTGAGAGAATAACAAACTAAAGCACTTCAATTCGCTCTAAGAGAAATTAACTATAAGCGGCTATTTTAAGCCGGGACCCCACATCTCTCTTTGAAGGGTTCGCCAATCAAATGACAGGCCCTATTCCTTAGCGTGAGGCTAAAACACCTTTATTATTTTCAACCAACGGGCAAACTATGTGCCTAGGCACCTAGGTATATTACAGGCACTCCAGCTGTCCACCTGGGTAGGGTTCATCATTTTATGGAAATTCAGCATATTCAAGTCGCCTTATTAACCGGCTAAAAATAACTAAAATTTCGTGAATTCCCATGAGGCACAAAATTCTGATTGCGCCGAAATCTGGGGTCACTTTGAAGTGAGACATCCAGTGGAGTTTCCTTACGTACAGAGGCTTTTAATGGCAAGATTGAAGCCTTTTAAGAATAAGTACGAGACCTCCTGATAATTTTTTCAATATAACACTACCCTTAACATATTTTCCATATGTTATTCAAAATGAGTTCACTTGCGCTCTTCCGATCACCGATGGAAGTGGAGTTGAGATTGGACCAGGCAGAGCCAGCCTATACTTGTCAAGATACAGTATCAGGCGAGGTAATTTTGCAAACTGAGTCGCCGGCCGACTTGTCAACGATTTTCCTAAAGTTGTCGGGAACAGCAACTTCCCGCCTGACTCAAAGCAGGCGCACGGAAACCCATAATGTATGTGGAAAAGTGACCAACGATTGCAACTCGATATTTGTCATTAACATCCTGCAGCTGTTCCAAAAATCTTACCGCCTTTTTCCTTCAGACCATTTGATGCATGATTCAAACACCTCCAGTGTAACTATCGGATGCGGAAATCATATTCTCCGGTTTTCTATCAAGGTCAGTACCAATCAAGAAATCTGAACCACCTTTGCCTAGCGGTACCTGACTGAATATTTTGGATTTTTTTTAGGTCCCACAAGTTATCGAATGCTACAAAACCGGTCACTGGTCAAACAAGCCGCAAATTGCATGTCCAAATATTGCGTGTTGGCCCAAAAGGAAATCCCACCTGCTGAGGAAGACTCCGCCCTCAACAGGGGACTCGGACTCATTGGCTCAGATTAAATATTCTCTGAGTGTTGTTGTTTCTGGGAAAAGTACAGTGAAAAAGGTTAGCAACTGCGCGCTGTCTCCAGCAATCATATAGCAACGAACATTGCATTGAACTCATTGCTGATCATTATCAAGACTCGAAACATTATATTTCATTCATTTTCAGACCCAACACCGACCCAAAAGCCGTTTAAGCAAAACTGCTTCATCAGCATCAACCCCCACATCCTTGACAATGATTCACCCTTATCGTTCAGAATCGATACCGAGCTCCAAAATGGACCTTGCCTTCTCCTGGGTAACTCAATCCCTTTGAGTATAAAAGTGACAAAGCTTGGACATCCACGGTGCAAAATCCTGCTGAGTGCATTTCAAACCATGCTGGTCGAAACTACACAAGTGAAAGTGCGAGGGACACCAGAGTCATATACTAGCACTCGGATCGTGCAAAGTATGGCCAACATGAACTATCCAATAGGTCTTGAAGATGCACCTACAGACTCAACGGTCAGTTTGAGGGATACCATATGGGCCAACAGCCGACTGCCCCCTGAGATCACCTCGAGCTTCGAAGTCTGCAACATCAAGAGAATGTACAAGCTTAACTTGAGGCTCGCATTTCTTGTTGGACAATCCAAGGTAAATACCCGTAAATGGAGGGATATTCTAGCCCTTCATAATTATCTTGGCCATGGCTAATACGACACTTTTCACTCAGTTTCAAACAATCATCCGAGAACTCGAATTTCCAGTCTATATTATGGGCTCAACCCCATCCCTTAAAGCATACGGTTGACAGTTCATTCGGGCGTTTCTACATCTTCCTTTCTCCTACTGTCTCACCCTTTCCAGATGTCTCTTTGTGCATCCCTTCTTTGTCTGGTATTTTTCCATCTCCATATCTAGTGCTCCTTTAGCTTCATATAACTACTTGTCTTCAGTATATCTTTACAATATTTTGTTCAGACTTCACAGCCGGGTCCCTTTCTCTCCATTTTGGACTGTAGTGGAAGAATTGCATATACCTGATGGCCTTGCTCAAAGACAAGTATCTGAACCGAAAGACAACTTCCCGCTATCCGAGGACGGTAGCTGATGCGATGGTTCCCGGCTGCGCAGCACCCAGGTCGATGGCATCGAAATTGACGAGACGGACTCACAAACGCAAGATTGCTTTCGAAGTATCGCAGACCACGAATTGATCTGATGACGGGACCGTCGTATAGCAGCTCGCGTTCGGTCCCTCACCCCTTGCGAACTGATTGACAGCACAACTACACGTCTCAAGAAAGGCTCCGACTACCGTATCTTACTTTACTCTTCAAAAGCAGTGGTAGTAACGATATGGGTAATATGAGGTACATTTTGTGCAGGAAACTGATGCCAGAGTGCGATTTATGAGCTGAAAACTTCCGCGTGTCATACCAGGAGCAAAGCCCGACTCAGGCTGACAATCCACTACGAATAGAGATCAGGAGAATAAGCAGGTTTATAGAGCGGTTTACCTTGCTCTTGTGTTATCCATCTCTGTGGCTGCAATAGGAGACATGTCTTCTTATTTACAAATGGCGTAGGATCTGCCTTGGCGGTTTTAAGAAGACCGACAAGGCCGACTAAAAATAGCCGGCACACTCCCATGGCTGTGATTCATTGAAAGAACGGTCCATAAATAAAGCCCAGATAACTATAAAGGCTTACATGAACCAGGGATGCTACAATAAACCCCCGATTGAATCTGAAGTCAAAATTACCTCTCGAAACCTTTTTGTTTCTGGCTTTTCCTTGCCTCAAAGCCCAAAATCATGGCCACCACAACAACGACCGGAGCTATGACAGCTAGCACAGGTTGTGGAACAGCAGCCCAGTACGAAATTCCCGTCAAAGATGCATCATGTGCAGTTCCCAACACCGACAAGTACAAAGGACTCCTTTCAAAATGCGCGAAACCCGCTGGGGTAACTGCCTATGATGACGATTGTGCTATCTACGCTCTGGCCGTGGATCAATCAGTCCAAGATCTTACCGACTGCCTTTACAAAGCCGGTGTCGCCTGGAAGGACGTGTGGTGTCACGGAGAAACCAATGCCACTGCAACGGCGACATCGTACCCGACTGCATCGGAAACCTCTTCGAGGTCATCTGCCGACAAGACATCAGGTACCTCGACAGAGAGCGCGCCAACTAGCACAAGTGCCTCTGGAGCGGATGTCTCTTTCCCCAAGGCCCATACCAGCTTGAAGGCTGTCATGCTTCTCTCAACTCTGTTTGCCTCTGTCCTGTTTATCGGAATTTGATGACCTCCAGGGTGACTGTCTCTGCTCAAGGCCCTTATCAGCCTGGCGGCTATCATTCATCTCTAGTAGTTGTTTGTTTCTTCTCTCTTCGTGGGCTTTTGGTAGACGACTCCAATGGTTTGCCTATTTGGCGTTTCCTTGATCTATTCATTCGATATTCGACCTGTTTTCATCCTATGATACCTCTGAAGGGGGGCTCAACTACGCCATGTACAATTAGATTCTGAACTGTTGTCACTTCCTTATCACCAAGTTTAATAGAAATCAACGCTTTATTTTCATTCCTACGCGCAAATCCCGTTCTAGTCTTCCGGCTGAGACTCAATTTATATGACCATTTCAAGAGGGCGGCCGTAACTAGCTTATCTCGACAGTAATATTCCCTTGATATGCTTTGATCCAATAACCTAAGCTAAACTCCATGAAGCTAAGTCTCAACCCATCAGCAGAAGAAAGGAAAAGAATATACTTGGGCACATTATGCATCAGCAATCTACCGTCGAGTCGCTGTTTGTCTGCAGGGGAAGCTTGTTATCTGGATTTCCAGAGTCCGAGCCCCAACCTCAACAATAATCGCCGAGAATTATGTAGAGAGTCAGGGAAATTTAACGTGTGATAAAACCAAAGAGACTGCGTGTTTACCCTTGCTGTTCGGTCCTCAATGGCATGCGAGATTTGGATTTGTACCGAGAAGCCCGAGTATCCTACTCCGTACCTCGCACGGTCATTAGAAGCGTCATCCCCTTGCAGAAATCCTCACTCTTTCATTGTTTTGTGTGACAATCTATAGCCTCCAATGAAGGATAAACAAGTTCAAACTATATTGTACTCGAACTATTTAAAGGCCTAAATACCCGTGTGGACTGAATTGAAATGCTACTCGATCAATTGCCCGAGCTATCCAAAGGGTGTGCACATTGCTACCAATATAATCACCATACCTCTTCACAACACGATCGCTAGAAATGCGGTTCCACGAATTGGGCAGAAAAGTTCGAGTTGATAGAAAGCAAAAGACAAACAGAAAAGAAGGAGCTAATCTGGACTTGACCGTGGCGGGTCTAGAGTAATACAACATTGGGCCGATTTTAAATAAGAAGTACATAATTACCAAGGGTAGAAGAAAACGTTCAAAATGCAACAAGATAACGAACCCCTTTCTCGAGGCGGTTTCCTAAGGCAGTGCTCTCATTACGTGCAGATGGGCGGATTTTAAAGCAAAATGTACCTGACCAGGCTTTTTCTCCGGTCCAGTCACATCTTCACATTTGATATGCCGAGTAACATGAGGGCTCATAAAGCAATATAAATACCATCACCCTGCTAAGCTTGAGTTAAGCCCATCCCTCCATCGTTTCACGTTTGCCATTTTCAAAATCAAGAAATATTTGCTTCAATTCAATATGCGTTTCGTCTTGATCGCTTTTATGGCCATTATCAGCACAGTTTTGGCTGCAGACAAGGCTCCTCCTGCTCCTCCTGCTCCTGCTCCTGTGGTAAGTTGGAACAAATGGACATCCCAATGGCATTGAAGCCTCTAATCATTCTTCAGATTCCTGCCGGACACCCTTGCAAAGCCGACGGCAGCGCGGGAAACTGCGCCAGCGGTTTCTGCCTGGTATGATTTCTTGCCCTTTACCGAAGCATCGTCGCATCAAAGACTAACTTGTCATGCAGCAACTTGTTCAAGATAAGGAGGGTGTATGCAAGTAGACTGCGTATCTCAAAATTCGTTTGAATTGATTGAGGAGCCAATATTCCTGCCCAAAAGAAATCGCCTACGGATAAAATATGAAAGGGGCGGACTGGTTAGCCTGGCTCGAAAGTTGACGCTAGCTGGTTCTAACTGAATATGGCTCTTGGAATGAGATCTGGAAAAAGAATAGCTTTACTAAGTCTAAGACCCGGAGACACTCAAGTGTTAGTAGTAGCTCTTGAATCAAATCAGAACCATGAACGCCCATGTTGTACACAGCGATCAAACCGAATGGTACATATGTATTTGGGTCACCTCAATCTATCAAGCCATGGGAAGACTAGTAAATATAACTCCCTACAGGTGAGTTGCATCATAAATCAAAAGGAAGTTGTGACATTTGCACGTCACGTGGACTCGGATGTATCTAAATATCAAATACTCGCCAATTACAAACAAACAGTTGTCAATACACATCTTTTCAATCGGAATTAGAAACCTAGGATTTGTTGTTAGCAAGTTGATTTTTCTCGGAGTCGACGCATGAGAACCTACCCTTTTCTGTGTTACCCTCACCCATGCTCTTGCTGCTGCTGCTTCCACTCTGGATAGCACCCATGATTCCATCCATATAAGGCGCGCCACTCCACTTCTGGTGGGTGAGAACATCGACGCCGAGCTCCTTCTCGCGAGACTGGACAAGACGGACGTAAGCCAACATGCCCTCGTCCTTGAAAGCACGGGAAAGTTCGGTGGTGATGGTGGCGTTGGTGTGCAGACCAGCCAGGGAAATGAGTTGAAGAACAAATCTGAAAGAAGTTAGCGAATTCCGCCAAGTTATATCCAAGTGTTGACTCACCCTTGCTTGGCAATATCCCAGATAAAGGACTTGAGGGAAGCCTCATCAAATCCTTGTCCCATCCAGTTGAACGAAGGGCTGAGGTTGTAGACAAGCTTCTTGCCTGGGTACGCTGCCCGCACTTCGCTGGCCAGCGTTCCGGCCTTCTCGACGTTTGGGTCACCAGTTTCAACCCAGAGAAGGTCTGCGTAAGGAGCAAACTCCTTCGCGCGCTTGGTCGCAGCAGGGAACCCTGCAGAATAGTGGTAGAATCCCTCGCGAGTGCGCGGGCTATCACATGACCAGACAACAGGTGTTTTGGTGTAATCGTTCGCCAGCGCACGGCGACGAGAGAAGGAAAGATCGGGGTTCTTCTTAACAAAGGCCTTGTACGCATCCCGAGATGACTGGGGAGCACCCTCCGACTCAAGATGAGCATCGACAGCTACATATTATTAGTAAGTGGGATCATTTACCAGAGGATCAATAAGCATACCTTGGTCGAATGTAACAAGCTTGTGCCTCTTGACCCAGTCAAGCTCAAATTTGTTAATTTCTTCGGGCGAGGCACCCTCCCGTTCCATAGCTTGGAGGGTCTCGGCCAGAGGTTCCACATCTTCCGTAATACCAAGGATGAATTCGTGATCACGCACGTCGATTGCGCTGCTGATGAGTCGGCCGCTCTCGGAATCTGTGCGGGCAATGACCAGGTTCTCACATCCCATCATATCCCACTGGAATCGGGCTGCGACAAGTCGGTTGATGTGCTCACCCATTGGGACGAGCACTTTGCCTGCAAGATGGCCGCACTTCTTTCCGCCGTGCAATTGATCCTCAAAGTGAACAGCCGCCGCACCATTCTCTGCAAATAGCTTGGCGAGTTTTAGAACAGCCGATAAACCGCCATGGCTGCATCGAGAAAATTTAGTAACACTTCGTGAGTTCAATCCCGATTATTAACGTACCCGGTATCACCATCCGCAACAATTGGTCGCAGATAATCAGTGTAGGGGGTAGCCTTCCGCTCATCCGGGGTCATCTTTCGTCTCGTGTCCCACTGTTTCCGGTCGTGCATGGACTGGGCCTTGAACAGACGCTGGACCTGGTTCGGGACGGTATTGTAGGGATAATCGCCGAAATCGGGGGATACTTCATTGGTACTTGTCAAAAGTGAAGAGCAAGCCCAGCCAGAGACATAAAGAACCTCTTGGTTCTGGGCTTGCTGGGTCATTTGGACGGGGTCGATAGCTCCCACTTGTGTGCAGAATCGAGGTCAGGTTCGTCACAATTGAAGCTCAACCGGCCAAAAACTCACTGGTATGAACGGGCTGACCAGCAGCTGCTCGCTCATTGAGAAGATTAAAAAGCTTGCGCGCCATCAAAGAACTGGGGTATGTTTGTTGCAAGGAGCCGCGCTTGCTCACAACATCTGCCGCCGTGTAAGGGCGCTTGATGCCTTCATAACGAGGCGATTTCCACCATGACTCCACATCGCGAATCTGCTGGTCGTAAAGCGCATCTTCAGCTGCACCGGCCTTTTCTTGTGTGGACAGGAGCTGGTATGCGTCTGAGGGGAGGGTGGTGGATATGGGGGGTTGGACAGGCGTCATCCGCGTATAACCGCTTGTGAAAGGCCGCAATGAACGTGAAGAAACAGTAGACACAACGGGAACGCGTCGAGGCAAACGCCGTATCGAACGGAACATGGCTAACAATATAGTGGAAGAACAAGTAATTGGTGAATTGAAACAGAGAGAAAGTAAAGAAAGGGAATTGAGAAACAAAATAAGGGCAGCGGGCTGCGGTTGACCTCGGGCCGTGAACATCTGGGGTTTCCCCGCCACTCCGGAAGTCCGAAATTCGCTACATGACTAATCATGGCCAGGGTGGACCTCGGGAGTACCTCGACTACAACATGGGGACTACAACATGGAGAAAAAAAATGTCGCTGTGCCTCAATCTTCCCTTCGGCTTTGACAGATTCCATAAATCTAAATATGCCACCCAAAATTAGGTTGGTTGTGGGCAATATCCTCCCAAAGTCTACGATCTCCATATGCCCTGCAAAACGAGTGAGAATGTCCTTATCATGATATGTTGACTTGTCTATGAGCAAGTTACCCTGTTATTCATGGCTTCAGAGCTCCCAAGGTCAAGACATGCAGTCACATATCTGTGGCCATGGATATTAGTATTGCCCGCGGACTCCCAAAAGTATTCGTGTCTGACTTGAGTCAGCCACTTCAAGGATGAGGCTTTTATTTATTCATAGCTTGCCTGGCTATATGGAGAGCCCAAAACTCAAGCACTTTGTTGTAGTATCTGTTTTCTGGATAGTGGGAGGATGAACACGAACTCTACATCCTCGATGTTGAAAATGCAAAGAGGGTCTACTCTTCTGACTAAATCATGGCCGTGCTTGGAGCCGAGCTTCCTGCATCTGTCTGTTGATACATAAATGTGTGGGAATCACTGTGGTCTACGAGGTCTTGGTACCTTACAGCAAGAGGGATGGGCTTTAGTTTCACCACTAGTGTGCTTGGATATCAATTAATTTCAATTGACAACACTCTCACTTCGGCCTTACATTACCTGCACTTCGGCCTAATTTCAACGGCATTTCACTTCATTCTTATTTCTGAAGTCAATACCAATGGACAACGATATAATAAATCGCACTACACCATACTACACCACACAAGGCCATTAATTCGACTGAGCATTTAACAATTCAAAAATTAACACAACCAATAGGAAAAGTTCCGTTCATTCTTTAATCAAAGTGATTAATAACATGCATATATACTCCGTCAGGGACAAACGGGCTCAAGGCAGGCACTGATAGGTGAATCGATTGACAATGCTATTCAGAGATTCTATTGAAACACCCCGCCATTCAAGCCTATATTGTTCAACAACAGACAAACCCATTGAGAGAATTGTGTAAGGCATCACCCAATACACATGACACCCCATGGAGACATCCACATTAGACTCAATCTTGAGCTCTATTCAAGTCGACTATCAATGGCTTCAGCACTGCTTAGACATATATAAGTCCTGTAAATCCCTCCCATCTGATCTCCTTTTTTTCTCCGTAAATCAAAAAATCAATCCGCCTCCTCCCTTCTTTTCTTGTGTCTTCTCTGTTTTTGTTTTTGTCCTTCGAAAATGGTGCTGGCCACCATGCCTCCGTTCTCGAAGAGCGGCCTCCAGGTACTCGCTGGCGAGTACCTGGCTGGTCCTCTTCTGAAGTGGGACGAGATGTCCCTGTTCGACCAGCTGTTTGCCGCGAGCTCCGAGCCCGAGATGTCCGTTTTGACCTGGGAGCTGACCGAGCTCCTCTGCAACATGGTCATTGTCGTGGGGGCCGGCTCCCCCCAATCGTACCTCCTCCGTGTCGTCCTCGCACCAGAGTTTGCGTGGTTCGGCTTGCACTGGGCAGGGATGCCACACCCTGGTAAGTACCCCTCTTCAAGTATTGAAGGAAAGACGCACACTAACCTGCCATTAGCCCAGGTTCCCACCTCCTCCCCCGGCCTCCTCAACCTCCTCCACTCCCGCCCCCTGGCCGCGTCTGCGGCCCTCCACCAAAACCTGGGGATCGGCGACGAGTGGAAGTCCCTCGTCCTCCGCCTATGGGCTCACTTCGAGCCCTACGGCTCCTCCCTCCGCCCCGGCCAGCAGCCCGCCGCCGCCAACATCCTCCTACCGATGGAGGGTGTCATGCCCATGGAGGGCATTGAATTTGTGCCCGTCTCCGGTGTCTACATGGACACCATGATCCGGGATATCTCCCCGGACATGGATGTCTGTGCGGAGACTGGGCCCGTGTCTGCCGCCGCCCCGCCTGCCCCAATGACGGTGCCGGTGCCTCCCTCCCTCCCTCTGGTGGTGCCCACCCTCGCGGTGGTTGCCCCCTCCCTTCCCGTGGTGCCGCCCTGCCTTCCTGTGGCCGCCCCGTCCACCAACAAGTACCGGCAACGGTACTAGTTGCCACCGTAAGGACTGTTTGTGTCTGTGCCCCTTGGCTGGGGGTGTCAGCCACCGTTTGTCTTCTTCTTTTTTTTTTTTACAAATGATAGATCTTGCCCTCCAATTTTTTTTTCTTCCCCGTAAATGATATTTTTGTGACAGCTGATAGTTGTCCGTAACCTTAAAAGTGCCGTTGGAGAAACGTTGAATGATCCCCGCACGATGTTGTTATTGTTTATATTGAATGATGCCCACAGATATCCACAGATTTCGACAGATGGCTACTAGTAGGCACTCTGGTGGGAATGACAGACAAGCCCTTTCAGTTCAAGATGTAAAATTAATCAGATATAGCCGGTGCCCAACCCGGTTGAGATTGTAATGGAGAACACCTGGACACACCTGGACATTCTCCAAGATCGGCACCCCCGCATTGGCTTATCATCTCCTCTCCGTAGGATTTCCCTATCTTCCACTTACCATTCGCCGTCATCGTCTCCTATCTCTCTATTTTCATCTCCATAATTTTGTATACCACGCTTTCTTCCGTGTGAATGGGTTTCAACATCGACTTGGTATGGAAAGCATTAAATTCCCATCGATTTTAGATCCGCCCGACAACCCGGCATCAGCGCGGGGAAATATTCGGACGCAAAAGCCAAAACAGACAAAGAGTCGGAATGGTAAGTTAGAGTATTGTCCATGGGTGAAGCTACACTATCAGCGAAGAAAGAATAACACAGACGGCCACTTCATGCTATCCACAATATTGACTCAAGTCTCCATTTCTATAGGTTGCATCACCTGCAAGGCAAAGCGGTTGAAGTGCGACGAAATAAAGCCGTCCTGTCATCAGTGCGAAAGGCGAAAGGTCCAATGCGGAGGATACAAGAAAGACTTCAAATGGCGGCCATTCGAAGAGACCAACTTCGCTTCTGGGCGGCCTACTGTAACCAAAGCCAAGAAAGGTAAGAGGTCACGGGTGCCTTGCGGGTCAGACCTGATATACTCACAAATCCTCTTCAGCAAACAATTCATCCCAACAAGCTGCGTCTGTTACCGATATTGGCCAGACCTTTCCAACTCCTCCGACGACTGAACAGTCGGCATCCCCCATTCGCATGCAGTCTCACAAGTTTGATGGCTCTCGTTCGCCTCCAGGTTCCCCTTTGCATGGCTCGCCTATTAGTACCAATAGCTTTCTGTCTACTGAAGCTCGATCGCTTGACGATCTACCTGTCACAAAAGACGATGTTTCCATGGCTGATTGCACTGAGCCTCCCCTTGATGTCAATGTTTCATTGTCTGCCGACTCTCCCCCTTTCAATTTCCTCTCCTTTTTGGAGCCTTTTCAAGATTCACTGTCGCTCGCAAACTCGTTGGTTTCTGATGTCGATGCTGATCGTGCTAGGCATATGCCTTTTGGTCCCGACCAGCCAGCTCTCGATGCATCGAAGCTGAGCTTCTCTCAGCTATTGGAGGATGAAAATGATGACATCGAGGAGATTATCCGCAAGTCAGATCCAGGACTGGGACCTTGGAACTTCACCTTGCCAGATGGAGATTACTTCCATCTCAACCCTCCAAGAATGTCGGAGAACCCATCTCTACCGCCAGAAAGCCCGGAAATGCTCGTATTGCGATTTGATAAGCTCACATGTGGGATTTTATCTATCAAAGATGGCGCATTAGAGAATCCGTGGCGAACACTTGTTTGGCCGTTAGCGAAAGACACGCCTGTACTTCGCCACGCCATCTTTGCTCTGACGGCTTTCCACTCGGGCAAGCAAAACCCCCATCTTCGGCTCCAAGGAGTGAAGCACATGCGCCAGAGCATAACTGGTCTAGTTGGACAAATCCAGAATATGAGGCCGGATGCTGCTTTGGCCACTAGTTTGGCGCTAGCATTTGCCGATACCTGGGACCAACACACCCGCACATGCATTCAGCATTTGCGAGGTGCAAAAACATTAATGTGTCAAGTCATCGCCAGTGGAACGCGAGGAGGTGTTAGCGACGAACATCTGGATCGTATCCGCTTTCTCTACAACACATGGTCCTATATGGACGTGATTGCACGACTAACTTCTTTGGATGACTGTGGCCCTCAAAACTGGGATTCTTCAATCTTCGACCTTCCGAGTGATACTGTCCATGATATTGATCCGTTGATGGGATGTGCCACCACTCTATACCCTCTCATGAGTCGCGTGGCGAAACTGATTCAGCAAGTGCGGAAGAGCTCGTCGAACACGGTGTCCGTTGTGGCTCAAGCTATGGAGCTCAAAGCCCTTGTCGAGCAATGGGAGCCACCGCGCTGGTTTGAGCCACCAGATGACCCTAGTTCCGAGGTGCAACATAGTATTCAAGTTGCACATGCCTATCGCTGGGCTACGTTGCTGTATCTGCATCAGGCCGTTCCAGAGATACCCTCTGAGCCGGCTGATGAATTAGCGAAGAGGGTTCTGATCTTGCTTGCCACTGTTCCCTATACCTCTCGCACTACTATCATACAGATGTTTCCTCTACTAGCAGCTGGCTCTGAGGTCGACACCGACGATGACCGAAAATGGGTCTTGGATCGATGGACTACAATTCAGTCTCGCTTAATGCTAGGTGGTGTAGACCGCTGTTTGGAGGTATTGAAGGAAGTCTGGGAACGCCGTGACGCTATGAATACCAAAAGAGAGCGGGAAATGGTTAGTTCGCGACGTTCTGAGTCATTTTCGTCCGGAGACAGGGAGAAAATGAGCTCGTCGCTGCCAGCCGGTTTCCGCAAATACAGTCTCAATGGTTCCCACAAGGGCTCAACGGGAGGAGGATCGGGACACCCTGCATCGGGGTCTGCGCGACGGGGTTCCGCACTCGCGTCGCTTGAAAACATTGAATTCGAAAGAACTGTGCGTGGCAGATTGCACTGGGTGAATGTTATGGCGGAGTGGGGATGGGAAGGTGGGCTTGACAACTGTCAGACTGTTTCATCCAAAGCTGACCATGCAATTCATAGTTTTCCTTGGCTAGCCCTACAGCAATAACCCGAATCTTGCTTGAAATCGGGCGCCGAGCAAAATTAACCTACTATTCTTTGCATCCTAGCCTGTTGTACTAATATGATGGCTAACAAAGCAAGCAGCCCGAGTTGTTGTTCTTGCTCTGATTCCTATTATGCCCTCATTATCGTGGTTCTCATTTCTTTGCGCTAAGGTTGAAATTGTACTTTGCAGCCCTGAATCGGTGCTGCCTTGAACCAGCGTGGCGTCTAGGGTTCTGTTTCTCTCGTTCATGACTTATGAAAATGCTTTTGATTTTGCCATTTCCATTGAACCTCTTTTTCTGCAACCGTGATCTACTCTCTGACTACCAATTATGGCTGATCTAGGAACTTATTTGTCCACCATGATGGGTGTTCATTTGGCTTCCGCGTTCCCTGTTCAGCTTCCAAAATACCTGCGCGATACCCCATTCCGAAAGCCCTCAAGCAACTGCTCACACGCACCCCACGGCCACCCAATTCGAATTTCCAGTAATACGGAAACATTGTCAGCTCTATCAAAGCCCTAGGCACATCATCTTCGTTGCGCCATTTACCCGATACATCAGCCCCTTCGGCCATTATTGCCTCTGCCGGTGTTTAGCACACCTTATGCCCGGAAAACCCACCTACCGACCCTGATCGTCCAACGCGAGCAGTAAGCCACGTTTTGCCTTCGTAGGCGTTACCCAGCAAGGCCTCGACCGATACTGCCCCTACTGCGAACATGTAAATATTCCGAACTATTTTTTTTGGAGAGACCATTCCCCGATTCTTACAGCAAGACTCCGGCTTCCCTTACGCGCTGAGGAACTATGTCCTTAGTGGGGTCCTTGGGTGGACTCGATGTTGACCCATTTTCTGATGCAGCATGCCCTGGCCCTCAGTGCGATAACCGGTCAGTTTGCCTAGTTATTCAGCTAAGTGTGTGTTTGATATGCTAATGCTGCTTTCTGGAAAGTGCTGTCGGCTTTGGTAGCAGCTAGGAGAACCTCTACAGCTTCTTGCCCGAGAAGAAAGTCCGCTTAAATACTGTCTTGGGCGGACTAGTACTGAGCTTTGAGGATTCCTAGGCTGGGTTTTGATTTCCTGCATGCAGCCAAACACATGGGCAAAGTTGCGATCAAATTATGAGTTTTTGATGATCAGCACAATCCATTATGACCAGTGTATGCTCATCCCCAGTGTGGAGTATTGGGGAGTCGATCGAGTTGCAAGAAATTACAATCAATATTCCGGTGAATAGCTATGGGCATTGTCGTTAGGCCTAGAGGCGATTACTGCCCAAGAGGCCCACTCGCCCATGGCTGATATGTAAGTTGAGATTTATAAGCTATAAGGTAGAAGTTCACATTTATGTACAGGATAATTCACAATAGATGCATAAAATCCGGATCTCAATAAGGGAATACAAACTGCTCAGCCTTTGCACCAAGAATAGGCACGAAATCCTCACCCTCGCAGATTTTCATAGCCTTTTGATAAGCAGGCCGCTCGCCAACACGCTTAAGATAAGCCAGGATGTTCTTATGCTTGTGCTCATCAAACTCAATGGGGCAGAACCCTCTCATGGTGGTGAGAGTACAGACTGCCATGATATCGGCTGCGGTGACGTCATTCCCAACCAAGTAGGCTCCAGTTTCACCAAGTCTCGCCTCAATCATCGAGAACGCACACTCCAACTTCGCATTGCCCATCTTGACGTGCATTGCTTCTGGGTCGTTGGTCAGGCGGCGGGTCATTAGCACACGGAATAAGGCCGGCTGCAGGGAGGCATTCGCCCAGTGGTACCACTCCAGGAAGTGGATGTATTCCTCGCCATCCTTCGGGGTGCGCGCGAGACGGCCGTGCCCGTAGCCGGCAATAATGTAATCGATAATAGCGCCTGATTCAGCAAGCACGACCTTGTTTTTCGTAAAGGGGGAGTTGTCATCTTCAATCACCGGTGCGGTGCCCGAGGGATGCAGGTCTTTGATTGATTGTGGGGAGAAGATAGGGTCGCGCTTGTGGAAGACAAAGTCATACTTGATGCCGAGTTCTTCGGCGAGCCAGACGATGCGCTCTGATTGTGAGCGGCCAAGGTGATGGATTGTCAATGGCATCTTGGTTTGGATTGAGAAGGAGTGTTGGGCTATTTGGGAACTGGATTCAGAATTGCAGGAATTGGATTTTCAGGACGTTGAGAGATATGAAGCCGGACTTTACTTGAATATGGAGCAAAGTATTTATACTTCCTCCATAGGATCGGCGTCGGGGATATCCATGGGCCCCGAGGTCGCGAGGTCTCCGCGTCACCGGGATTACCGAGATTAGTCAAATTCGTAGCTCTGGATTTTCTAAGACTCGGACAGCTTAATTGTACGGATACGGCTACCTAGGTATCAATGTTTGTGGCTGTGTTATTTGTAAACAAACAAAAAATAGTTAAGCCCCCAAGCAGTGCGTATTTATCTTCCGAGTAACGTCGAAGCCTCCGATTCCACCCAGCGTCAGGCTGGGTAGATTTCAAGTCCGGGCTCAAGAATGAGCTGCTCAGATCACGTGATGGATCAGTAAGGTTGCTCACTAATCGCTTTTGACAGCCCCTGGAGAAACCAGGTGTAGAGCGAGCGTACTGCAAAAATCACAATGTGTAATTCTCTATCTAAAAAGGACAACTGTCTGAATTTGAGACCTGGGCAATTTGTGTGGGCAGATTACTAAGCAGATTACAACCTTCCCCAGGGCCTTGGAATGCCCAGGTGCCCAGGTGGATACCCGTGGACCTCTATAGCCTTATGACAGAAATCAATGGTATACGAGCGTACAGGGTAAAATCACAATGTATGAATTCTCTTACTAACTAAAATGAACAGCTGTCCGGTTTGACAATTTGTGTGGACAGATTTGTAAGCAAAAACAACACAATTCGGACCGAGTATTTTCCATCGGTAAAAGACGGGATGATCTCTCATTTGTTGACACCTTACATATCCCAACTTCTATAATATCTCAAATTTCTATAGTGTCAATTCCTACGCCATCATTTTCTATCAATTTCTATTTCTAAATTCAATAGAACACAGAATACTGGTTTTATAATGTTCTGCTAGCAGAATACGATATGGCGCGCTGGCGGCTATACACTGCCTTGCTACCTAGGTAGGTAGGTACGCTATCTGCCTTAGGAATTCAGCGGTAAAAGATGGGTTTGTTAACAGCTTTACATCCATGGTACCCTGTAAATCCGTCCATGGATGTATCAAACCTTGGTGTTCGACATATCATAGTAGTTCAGGTCAATAATCAGACTGGGTGATATATACCTAGGTACATGGTAACAGATTCAGCATCAGAAGACTAGCTTCAAATAATCACAGTTTGGCCAGTGGAGTCCCGGACTTCGTCAAAGCTCTTCCCAGTCATGTACCTAAAACCGTTATCGATTTTCGCCTTCTGGCAATCCCAGACATCTTCATTCAGGTCACATATTTGCGCAGTATACTGAAATTCAAGTTTCACTTTCTCTTCACTGCTGCGATTCTTCCCCGCCCCAACGATCTCTGTAAAGCTGCGAGACGACGCACTGATGTAGTAGATTTTGATCCTCGGAATAACCATAGAAAAGCCCGAGCCCGGGATTCTTTCGATTGGGATCCATGGGCGGGCAATGGCGAAGTTGACCTTTTGGCTCCCCTGAACATTCCCTCGAGCCACCGAGCGCGTGAACTCGGTCAGCATCTTGTCCAGAGTTTTGTAGGCGTCTTCGTCAATTTTGAAATCCTCTGCAAACTCGCTTAGGAAGTCTCTATGCACCTGATCCCGCGGGATGGTCTTCTCGATGCTGTTTCCACCTGCCGCTGAGCAAATCAAGATACCTCTCAGTGTCTTATCAAAGGGAGCCTTCAAGTATGCGTCCGCAATGGTTTGCGTGTAAAGAGGGGTATCCTGAGTTGGGCTAATTTTGCGTCCGAGTTTTCTTGAAGCCTCCTCAAGGGCAAATGATGCAAGAAGCATGAACAGAGATAAAATGCTCATCATGTCCTTGTAGCCCTTGAGGGTGGCGGGGGCAAATCTGGGGTTATTTAGAGCCTGACCTGACAGCATAACGACGTTTGCTGCACCCTGAGGCGAAGTACCACTCACAGGCGCCGGGCCTGGGCCTGCTTTGGCGGTCTGACCATTTACATCTGTCTTTGGCTGACCATTCACCATTTCCCAAAACAGGTCTTTTGAGCTGGAAAGCTCTGGCGCGTTGCCAACATTGAGCATCGTTTCTGCGTCCTCAGCATCGTTGTCGGCGATCCCACAGTAGTGATGCAGAGCGGTGTTGGCTTGGAGAGGATTTGTTCGGACTTCTTGATGAACCTGATGGCCACCCGAGATCTTCTCAAGCTTTGTCTGCTCATCTTCTTCGCTGCCGTGGAAGCGGTACTTCAGGGATAGACCATTGGAATCCTCGACAATTCTGGCAAGGGATTTGGGGCTTAAGACGACTTCGGACTTCAAGGTATAACAGTTCTCGGCTCCTTCGTCTATGTCGTACACAAAGAACTCTTCTATCTTCGCGGAATAGTCCTTGAGTTCCTTGTTGGGAGGGATCTCCAAGGCGGTGCCGGTGGGAAGAGGATGTAAACAAGATTCTCAGTCTCATTGATAAGGGTGGTTGTGTGGAACTCAAGGGGGGCCATATTGAAGTATTCTCGGTGAAGACGGTGGGATTGCGACTTGTTGAGGTGAAGCTTGCTTGATTAAGATGGGTGAATAAAGACCACTCAAACGGCATTTGAGAGGCTTTTTATACCCAATGAGAGGCCCCTGTCAGTTTATGCTCTATGGCTTGCTCATGATTACTTGTGGTTGGAGTTACGTCTCTCTCTCTCTCTCTCTCTCTCTCTCTCTTTCTCTCTTTTGGAAAAGCGAATGATGTTGACAACAGGAAAATAACGCACTCTTGGCCGGTTGCAGCAGCATGAAGCGTCGCCATCACTTGAGATATCACTCTTTACGCTGATTTATGTCATCATGGCTGGTCTGGACCAGCCGGTACGTCTGGCTCTATAGTTACAATGAAGTTGACTACCACCGTATATGGTAGCTTCACAGCTCGAAGCCTAACATGTTGCATGCACCGGCCCATATCGGTGATAATGACGACAGAAAGTCAATGATACCTTCTTCAATGCAACTGCTGCGTTCGTATCACCATAGGCAACTATTCGCCAGACTAAGAGAGGTCTTTTCGCACTCATGGGCGTCATAGTCACCGGAGCTGAATCGCGGTTCCGTGCTCCCGTCAGTAGAGCAACCCAGAACAACCAGGCGTGTCGTTCAATCTCTGCCCTTATTATGAGAGTAACTAGTCTAGTGACTGCAATATATGGGTGTCATACCTTAGTTCCTCTTCGCAATTCTTACCTCAAAGAGAACCTAAGAATTTCTAAGTCTTGTGCATCTTGCCATACTATACCGGCAGCTATCGCCATGGGAGATCTCGGAGAGTTTCTGCAGACAGCTGCCCTTGAGCCCATGGGACAGGTCTCCGCCGGCCAGATCCCTATAGCTCCCAAACTGCTATTGGTTCCAAAGGGCGAATCTCCAGGAGAACTCCATACAAAGCTCCTGGAAGTGACAAGTGCGCTGTTTATCGCTACGGCAATTGACGTGGTAGACAAAAAGGCCTATAACCAACTAGGTACTGCCACACAAGTTGTTGAAGCTTTGAACAGCGTCACAAACACTGCATACGACAAATTCACTACGGGGTTTTCATCCATGCTGCAAATCGGACCTGCCCCACGCATTGCCATCAATCGATCGGTTCCAAGGGCAGACCTCCATCGCGAAATCGTCAACGTGCTATTTGAGGGTGTGGTCGGTACCACCACGAGCGTGTTGCATGAACTGGATGACCAACTTACTCGGTTCGTGGGCGCGCTTTCTACTCTTCCCACCGATATTCACGACAAGGATATGGGGTTCTTTTTCTTCTCTAGCCAGGTGACCCGAGAGAATATCGGTGGCCCGAGTAATCCGTTCTATTTGGAGACACCTCTGATTAAAATGCACCTGGTGCGAATGAACTCCGAGGTCTATCAGGAGCTTGTGAAGAAGGAAGACGACTCCTCACCAAAGTTTGAGAAGACACGCCAATCTTCCCAAGCTACTGCGCATCCCGCTACTTCCAAGCATCCGTCCTCTACTCACCCAGAGCAAGTTCCCTTATCCTGGAGAGACCTGCTGTTCGGAAACCAGAGCCGTCAGAAAGACGAGGGAGAAGAGGAAGACCCTGATGAGGATAGTGTGACTCTGAGAGCCGACTATTTTATCATCAATGGCAAGCTGAATGCAAGCGCATTCGACCAACGAAGAGTCCAGTTGGACAGTTTCTTGGATGGTGTGACAGGCCAAAGTCTCAAAGAATATGCAGACCAAACAACGAAAGTACTCTTTGTGTAGTTAATATCCGGGACAAAAAAGGTGTTGTTTTTATGCGCAGGCTGAGAGAAGATAATACAAGCCTTTATCACTGGTTCTTTGTTCCATATAGGGCACTTAGGGGGCACTTAGGGGGCACTTAGGGGGCACTTAGGCTATTTATTATACATTTTACGATTAGAATGTGGCTCAGCTGCCGGTATTTGGAAACATAGGGCATGCGGGAATGAACAATTTTCGCATTCCATATGTGGTCTAAGAACCCCTCTTCATACCACTAAAACGATCAATACTTTGTCATATTCTTTGGATCATCGCATTCCTCGAATTTAGTGCACAAGAAATGCCACATCATTGTCGGATCTGGTGCGATTCAGAGCTGCTGATCTCGGTAGCTGTATAGCAAGCCTGCCACTGTCTGTTATAATTTACTAGGCTGCAGAATAGGCCTAGGGAACAGGCCTCGAAGCGTTTTTCAATTGTGACTAGATGTGAGCTCCGTTTTGAGGAGGTAGCTATGGTACGCATTGCCAAAAGCTGGTCCATCAGTGACAGTTGGAAAGGAAAACTTAGAGGAACCACATAAAGTGATGATGTTCCTCCCATTTGGCAATTGTGTTGTCCAGGAGCGATTTGGGGCCTGAAAACCACATCAGCACTACTCTGCCAAGCCCATTTACGGACAAGTACTTAGTGCGGTTGCCCAGTCCCTCAGACCCTTGAGACAGGCACTGCAATCACTGGACGAGATTTGACAATTCTTGAGCAAACATTGACAGGCGTCGTAGTTTTGACTATGTTGCTCCCTTTCGTTCTCACATTTTGCCAAGCTGTCGGCTAGGTCGGGTGGATTTCTATAACCAGCAAGCTTGCTTTCGCAATCTTTACGTGCCTCCTCGCAAATCAAGATACAGACTGTTCTGTTCGGACTTATCCTTGGGGCATTTATCCCTCGCCACCATGCAAGTAGCCAGATCAGCACACGAACAACTGGTTGTTCACAGGGTACCTCGCCCAGTGCTGAAAATGACGCACTATTTCCAGCATCGTATTGCATCCGACAAACTCCGTATCCAGAACCTCAGGCCTGTACCAGACAGACCAACATAAACGTAGGTCACTTCTGTCTACTACCTCTTCAGAATACGTCAGGACTTGGTAGACTGCAGCCAGGTGTATGCAACCTTGGTCCTCTAGACAGGTCTATTGGTTCCAAATGTCTGCTACATTGATACGTCGAGACTTCATCTATGGCTCGCTGAGGTCATGAAACGCCCATCGCTGTTCAAGTCTTGACACTGACGCGTCGATCCACCCATTTTCTGAAAGCATCATATTTTGATAAAAGTTTAACCTGGAGGATATGACGCTGCACAGCTATTCCGTCTTCCGAGTCGATTCGAGTCCCACAGGCCCCAAGCCATCATTTTCCAACCAAGGGCTGTTCGAAAATGTGAGTACTTATATCTACCCCATACAGGACCTATTCATCGCTGGTGTATTCCGGGTTGCTAACCAATCCCAAGTTACACATTTTCAAGCACAGTACATTATGAGATATGCATTGTTCGCCAGCTCCTTGCTTCTCGGCTGTGCCTCAGCCGCAGTCCAAAGGCTGAAACTGCTAAAGGAAGAGGAGCCTGTAAGTTCACTGCTTCCCTTCAGTCCCAACTTTGGCTACCGAAAACAGTTCTTAGGCTAATTAAAGCCAGGACGTAATCGAGACGGGCACAAATGTAAACAGATACATGAACGGCAACGCTCCCCAGCAAGTATTGGATGACAAAGTTGTGCATGGAATGCAGCATCATGATTTGCCTCTCGATAGCTATCTGAACGCTCAATGTATGTCATCTCCTTTTTTTTAACGTTGTGATTGGCTCTGACCTCTCTGCCGCTAGACTTCACCAAGATCGAGCTTGGTACGCCGCCGCAGTCGTTCAAAGTTATTCTGGACACAGGAAGCTCAAATCTCTGGGTACCATCGAAGAACTGTGACTCGATTGCCTGTGCTCTTCACAAGAAATACAACTCATCGTTGTCTTCCACCTACGAGAGAAATGACACACACTTCGCTATCTCATATGGCTCTGGAAGGCTACAAGGATATATGTCTAGAGAGACCCTGGCCATCGGGGATATACAGATTCAAGGTCAATTATTTGCAGAAGCTACCGAAGAGATTGGACGTGCCTTTATGGTCGGTAAATTTGACGGTGTTCTCGGGTTAGGATTCGACTCTCTCTCTATTCTTCACACTCCACCACCCTTCTATACCATGCTGGAGCAGAATCTGCTGGATAAGCCAGTATTCGCGTTTTATCTTACAGATGAGAAGCATGGAGAGGGTTCTGAGGTGACATTTGGCGGTTTCGACAAGAGCCACTACCACGGCGACTTGGCTATAATACCCCTACGCAAAAGGTCGTTCTGGGAAGTCGACTTGAATGCCGTTACACTTGGCGACAACACGACTGATATTGAAGGAATGGGTGTAATGCTTGATACCGGTACCTCACACCTAAGTTTTCCCCTCTGACATTTCCGAGTTCATGTGAGTTACGGCAACCCCCACTAGTGATCATCATTGCTTATGCGTAAATTCAGCCACCAAGCGATGGGTGCAACTAAAGACGTCTACGGCAACTGGAATGTCAAGTGTAGAGCTCGCGACTCTCTGCCAGATATTACTTTTACCATAGGTGGCTACAACTTTACTTTGGGTCCCTACGACTACACCAAAAAGGGGAAGTTCGGCTGCAGCAGTATTATCAAGGCCGTTGACATCGAGCCTCCAACTGGTCCTCTCGCCATTTTGGGAGCGGCATTCCTGCGCAGGTGGTACAGTGTTTATGATTTCGGCAATGGTGCAGTAGGTCTCGCCCAAAGCGTGAAGAAAGGTGGGGGCCAGTATTAAATACCCGATTATTATTGGCCAGAATTTCCCAGCAGAAAGTTCCGGCCCGCCTACGCAAGGGGGTCCGGGACGCTGCTTCGGCCCGCTCACTAAAGTCTAATACTACTCTAATATTATATAGTTTGTCAGATTGCACCATTCAACATGAAGTTATAGAGTAGACACGATGTAGCTAAGAAATTGGTTGCCTTCTTCTTTTTTGACCTTCCTTCATGTATATGTCCTCTAAGAATGTAATTCAGCAGGTATGACACCAGCATTCCTCGCCAGACAGTGATAGCCAATGTTCTCCCAGCCTGTAGAGGGGTCAAGAATTGGCCAAGCAAGCTATTGGTATCTCAAAACAACTATGATAGCCGCTTGTTTCCAACTGATGTCATGAGACATGTACTCAACCCATCCTCAGGCGCTCTCAAAGAGGAATACTCCCTAGCAAGGCTGGAGACGGATTGCATCAATGCTATTTGATTGTCCCTTGGGTTACATTTTAGGCCTGTACAAAGCAGAAATGACGTTACACATATTTGTAGGCCAAATATTGTTTTTTTGGGAATGCCGCATTTAGCCATGATTGCCTTTGCTCCCCAGTTCCTAAATGTTATAATTGGTTCGACTGGGCTAGAAGTTTGCAACGACCTAGCATCTTGAATTCCCTTTCAGCTGTCTAGATGTCTGTTCTATTCTAGGGCTATACTCGACGACCGCGAAACGTATGGGTGGAACCTTGCGGGTAGGAAAGAAAGTCCTGAAGTCAGAGCTTGTAGTGAATGCCGCCGCAGAAATTTTCAGTGCCTTAATGCTTTCGTCAATGGTAGCTCCGGCGAATGTATCTAATGCCGCCTGTTGACTGTCATTAAAGAACATCCTCTCTTCGTCTATGATCTTTTGAATTAAAATCGGAAGCTTAAGGCTTGCATACAATGTAGTATGCACTCACTAGACTCAGCCATACACTGCCCTTTGAGTCCGTCTCATATGTCATCAATGCCATACTAGATGCCACTAGATAACAGCTATTTTTGTCTATAAAGCCACTAACAGGTAGGTGTGAGGGAGATCCTGGTATGACGAACGCACGGGTGAACATCGATGGCAGTAAAATCTCTAAGTAACGAAAATAACAAAGGCCCGAAAGTGACAATCTTGTCGGAGAATTAATAAGTAAAATGTATAGTCAAAAGGCCACATGAGCAGTCTGTAAGGAGACAGGTATTGCAAGGTAGTAGTCTCGATTCTTGATCAGGGTGTCTTCGTTGGTGGCAGATCATTTTCACTAGTGTGGCAGCGAACGATGGCTCCCATATTGCTAGGTACCCTCGTGATTGCCTATTATATAATAAAGAGTAGGGAACAAACCGCCACAGAACCACCACTGCTGTTTCCCGGGTGCAGCAAGCGCGGCTATTCGGAAGTATCAAGGCTCTTCCTATCAATGCTGGATGGCCACGAGGCATCACCTCGATTATACACGGAGCCCTATGCGACTATCTGCTCTAAAAATTGAACTTGTTTTATACATTGAAAAGACTTGATTTTCTTTCCTAAATGAAATGCGTATCATATCAGCCGGAATTGCACCTAACCCCTCCCGTTATTTTATATGTTTGCTTTTTTGGTATGGCAGCCACGTAAGGCAGCACTTGCTTAGTGCTTACCACTAAGGTTAAATAGCGGATCAGAGCGCTTAGAGGCACGCTCAGTTGTACTTAGTGAGCAAAAGGCGGCAAGGTCTGAGCACTAAAACGGAAAGGGAACGCCAAGTACTAGTAGGATTGGCATCCAGGTGTATATGGGTCCGGTCGTCCTGAGGTCTACCTCCGAGATAACCAAGATTAGTCAAATTCGTAGTTCTAGAATTCCCGAGACTCGGACAGCTTGATTGTACGGCTAGGCCTATCTACGTATCGACGATGTTTTTAGACTCATGGTTTGTACACAAGCAGAAATGGTTAAATTCTCAAGCAGCATGTACTTATCTTCCGAGTAACGGCGGGGCCTCCGATTCCACCGAAGGGTGCGTTGGCGGTATGCCAGTATTGATCGATATAATGGTGGTTTCTATTGATGTCGCAATTCACCGCAATTCTAACGACGATAAAGATCTGCAGTTCATCAAACGTTGAGTTAAAATACCGGAAACTCTCCATACTTACAATAATAGACATCACTATGAGTAAGCTTAACCGAAACCTACAAGGGTCATTAGGGTTGCACAGTTACGTGTTTGGGGTAGCTTCACTACAAAATTAGATGGGGACGAAATCGAATGCAAGAACCAGAAGAAGAAATACTGGACTGGTAGCCCAGCGCAGGTAGTTCTCCCGGATTCGGACAGGATTTGTAGGGCAAGAAGATCCGTGTCGAAACGGCGTCGTCGAACCAATGGTTCTATCGTGGATGTGAGTGCGGAGGCAAGTGAGTCACTCATAAACTAGAGGCCGATTGAGTTAAGGTAACTAGGTTGACCTACATATATTGTGTATTGGAGTGATCAGTCAATCCAGCCAGTCCGGTGAGTCATTCAAGTAATTTTGGCCCCCAAGGGGTATTACGGCCGCTATAAATACTTGCATTTAACTATTACCTTCTATTAGACCATAGCAAGGTTATTATCTGCAGATTTTTATCCGTTGCTTGAAGGAAAGGGGAAAGCATCCCGATTTCCTGCCGACATCACCATGGCAGGATTCATTCGACAAGGGATCTCTGCCCTGGGTAAACGGGCAGTCACGCATCCTCCAAAAAAACGTCTTTCGTCGATGGCGACCGAAGCTTTAGCCACTTGCTCGTCAGTTGAGCCTAGCATCCTGCCAAGGGCTATTCCGAAAGCGTAAGCAAGGATTGACCGTTCGATTCCGATAATGATCTGTTCTCAAGCATCAATGGCAGGAACGACCATCACCCCCCATGGACCTGGTCTCAAGACGCCGTCAGAAGTGGAGAGGCCACTTGCCTCCGGGATGGCCACAGACGCCTCGTAAGTGAAGGATCTGAAGTTTTAAAACTATACAAACAGTGTGACTAAGGTCTGTTTTCTGCAGCCTCCTTGGCAAGACCGGTGGTCAGATATTTCACGACATGATGGCACGCCATAATGTTCGACACATTTGTATGTTCGCGACACCAGTTCGATCGTTGTCGTTTTTCGCCTAACGCGTTACGTGCCCCAATACAGTCGGCTACCCAGGTGGCTGCATACTGCCGGTGTTCGACGCAATTCATCAATCCGAAGCCTTCGATTTCATACTTCCTCGACACGAACAAGGTGGTGGACATATGGCACAGGGATATGCGCGCGTCACTGGGAAGCCCGGAGTTATCCTGGTTACATCCGGGCCCGGCGCGACTAACCTCATCACACCTATGATGGATGCCCTCGCGGACGGCACTCCCATGGTTGTCTTCTGTGGTCAGGTTAGCGCAGACAAGATTGGAACGGACGCTTTCCAGGAAGCGGACATTCTATCCATGTCCCAGCCGTGCACCAAGTGGAACGTCAGCGTGCGCAAGACAGAAGAGCTCGCACAGAGGATTAGAGAGGCCTTTGAAATCGCAACTAGCGGTCGGCCGGGACCGGTGCTAGTGGAACTGCCGCTTGATGTGACTGCGAGTATTCTATCAAAAGCCCCGACGAATCTGCCGATTCGTCCCCAGAATCGTCCTGTTACCACTACGGCCATCAAAGATGCTCGACGACAGGAGCTGCTTATAGCAGTTAAAAAGGCTGCCAAGCTTATTAACAAAGCAAAAAAGCCTGTAATATATGCGGGACAAGGAATACTAGCTAGCTCTGATGGGCCTAGGCTCTTGAAGGAGCTAGCGGATAAGTCGTCAATTCCTGTTACTACTAGTCTGCAAGGTCTAGGAGCCTTTGACGAAAGAGACCCTAAAGCCTTGCATATGCTTGGTCTACATGGATCTGGGTACGCTAATTTAGCTATCCAGAACGCGGATTTGATTCTAGCACTTGGTGCTAGGTTCGACGATCGGGTTACAGGATATATCCCAAAATTTGCGCCTCAAGCACGACTGGCAGCGCATGAAGGCCGCGGCGGGATAGTCCATTTTGATATCTCTCCTAAGAATATCAACAAAGTGGTGGAAGCTACGATACCTGTTGTTGGTGATTGCGCGGAGAGCCTTGAACTTCTGTTACCTTATACTATACCGATTCACCGACCTGAATGGCTCGCGCAGATCCAGGCCTGGAAAGACCAATATCCATTCCGAGCATTCAATCAAAGTGGTAACAACAATGATATGATTCTGCCTCAGGATTTTATCGAGCGACTGAGCGATGCTGTGGATCATATCAAGGAGCGCACGATTATCACTACTGGCGTCGGACAACACCAAATGTGGGCTGCCCAGCATTTCCGATGGAGATATCCGAGAACCATGATTACTTCTGGGGGGCTTGGTACGATGGGGTACGGACTTCCTGCGGCAATTGGCGCGAAGGTTGCTCGTCCTGAGGCTCTTGTCATCGATATTGACGGGGATGCATCATTTAACATGACCATCAGCGAATTGCTCACAGCAAGTCAGTTTGGTATCGATGTCAAAGTTGTACTTCTTAACAACGAGGAGCAAGGATGGTGACGCACCTACAAACGGTTTATTACAGCAACCGATTCTGTCATAGTCACAACCTCAACCCAGACTTCGTGGACGCTGCTCGAGCAATGGGAGTGCAGGCTGAAAGTTGCTCCAAGATCGATGATATGGACAACAAGATTGGATGGCTGCTCAATACTTCCGGCCCAGCACTTCTGGAGGTGAAGGTTGCTCCAAAAGCGTTATCTCTGCCTATGGTGCCATCAGGACGTGGCCTGGATGAATTCCAATTCTACGATAAATAATTGGATCAAGGTCACGTTGCTGTCATCATTCTTCTTCAATTCATGTTTGGGCTATTTTTGTATGACAATTTCGCAGGAACAGACCAAAAGACTCCTCTGGTAGCGTTTAGTTGTCCAGTCACGTACTCTGATCTTTCAAGAATATAGGCATTCTTACGATGCTGAGTCAAGGGATTTCTAGGTAGTACGGGGATGAACGGTGAAAAAGCTTTATAAGGAACAGAAACCACTGTGCCTGGAGACTCTGTACGTTGTGAGAATCGTTTGGAAACCATAGAGATTACTCAAGGAAAGGCACAGGAGCAGAATTGTAACATGAATATGGCTTCAATTTCTCATGGACAAGCCCTTACTACGTCATCGACCGCATCTATGAAATACTCCATGTTGTTTGGGTTCAGTCCCGCCACAGAAATACGCCCATTCTCAGTCTGCGGGTCTATCAGCTCGTGTCGACGGCGTAGAGAAGCAGAGAACTCACCATATATATGTGCCATTTACTTTTAAGCAGTCTGATCTGATCCTTCGAGAGACCAGTGTAACTAAACATTCCGATTTGGGTAGAAAGGAAGGCCCATGAGCCTGGTGTTTCTCGAGCTTCGAGTTTAGACCTTATTTCTTCGCGTACTTTCATAAGACGACCGCTCATGATGCCCAGCTCATGTTGCCATTGAGCAAATAGCTCGGGGTTGTTCAAGACTCGGCTAGCGACGTGGGCTCCGTAGGCGGGAGGATTCGAAATATGAGCACGCTGAAGGATTGCTAGTTGACTAGAGATCCGATCCGCAATGTGAGAGGCATCTGGTGATGGCGAACAGATGTAGTGAAAGCCACCAACACGCTCCCCGTACATCCCAAGATTTTTGGCGAAGGACTGAGCGATGCAACATTCAAAACCCCGTCCGATGAAGTATCGGCATGCCCATGAGTCTTGGGTAAGGTCACCACTTGCGAAGCCTTGATATGCATTGTCAAAGAAAGGGAAATGGCCTTTCTCTGCCATGACATCTGCGATTTGCCTCCACTCTTCTTTTGATGGATCTAGTCCGGTGGGATTATGAGCACAGCCTTGCAGTACAACTAGGGATTTTCTTGGAGCCTCTTGCAGACACCGGATCATGGCTTCGACGTCAATCTTTTGAGATTCTACCGAATAGTAAGGGTAGTATTGCACGTCGAACCCGGATTGGCTGAAGATTTGGTAATGGTTTGGCCATGTGGGATCGGAGATGAATGCCTTGGGTCTTGCTGTTCCACGGCAGAAACGAGAAATGAATGTCGCTCCAAGGTGAACTGCGCCAGTTCCTGATACTGTTTGCATGGAAGATATCTAGAAGAATCAGCTAAGATGTCCGGTTTTCAAAACAGTCGCAGCAGGCGTCTTCATGCGAATTGTCCTTATCTCTCTCCCTCTCTATCTTCCCTTCATTCATGCTTTGGAGTGCATACCCGATTTTCATGGATAGCTGGGCTATCATTGCCGAGCATCAACCTCTGCGCTGCAGCCAAGAATGAGTCTAGACCACGTATCGGGAGGTACTCGTGATTGAACTCTGGTGTTTGAAGAAGTGCCTCGGCCTATCACTGTCATGTCAGAAACGCAATTGGGGCGTGCTCTGAGTCAGGCAAGCAGACCTTTTTGACGACCGGCAAAACCCACGGCTTGCCATGCTCATCCCGGTAAGCACCAATTCCCAAATCAATCTTTTTTTCATTGGTATTTTGCCGATACTCTCTCATCAAACGATAAAGCGGATCTTCTGGAGCCTCTGGCACATTGGCCATGGTAAATGCTTCCTGAGTAGGGACACTCATGACTTCGACTTGTTTGCGATCCAGCTCTTTCGATATTCCAATCTTTGAGAACTGCTTAAAAGCACGATCTCAAAATGGTTTTGGGAATGCTGAAGACTGAAACAAGTAGGACGGCGATCCGTGTCTAAGCGATGCATCTGAATCGCCGATCGACCTGATCAAGCACCATTCGGCGACTGAAATACCGGCTTGGCTTTCCACCAGCTTGAATATCAGAGCTTTCAAAATCATCCTTGTGTTCATGGTATAAATTTATAAATCATTGCTTACTCCCTTTTCAGGTCAGTTAGCCAATCACTGTGGTTATACATGCCCGGCGAACGGGATCGCAAATGGCTTCCCAGTAGCCGAATATAGTACTTCCGTTCTCTACCGTGTCAATTGGAAACCCGAAAATCTACAATTGTGAAAGGAAGAACATAAGATCTCACTTAGAATTCCCACTTACTCACAAGATATTGAGCCCTGAAGCAGTTCTTGCAATCTGGCAAATCCTTCTCGGTTGATTTGCCTCAGTCGCCGATCGAACTATTTCCGAGATGGTCTTGTATTTGATTGTGTATGTAGAAGGTCTGACTGAGAGTTTATTTCCTAGAGAAAAGATGGGAGAGAGGAGGTTTCTTTTTAAGGCTTTATAAGTACCTAGTACAGTCATGCCTTCCTTAACTACTTAAATAGTATACTTTAATGACTTTCTCTTTATTTTAATCTTCCTTTGATCTTACTTTACCATCCAATGTACAATTTTTGGATAGCCGATTAGAGTAGATAATACAGTAGACAGCTACCTGTATACGCCATACCCCAGGTACACCTGTGTATAATCCTTGGAATGATCCTCTCATGGCTTCCCAACTCTCACTGCCACATAGCAATTGCAACAAAGCACCCTTCCCGAGTATCTGTCGAAGAGTCTCCAGGAAGACTATGGCTAAAATTACTTTTTAGTGTGTCTTTTCCCACGTAATTGAAAACGTGTATCACTTACTTGAACACTGAAAATCAGCAATGCTGGCACTTGGCGTTGATCTGCACCCCCTGGACGATGGTTTTCGGTGCCGGGGTCTTGCAGAACCTACCTCGAGCAGATGCTCTAGTTTTATTTCCGCTTTCGTATTTCACGCTCTGGGACGCACCACATTGGTGCTTGACCTCCTGGTACACGTGTCCACAGACAGCCGAGTAGTAGACATACCAGCCGCAAGTGCAGCTGTTGGGATTTTCAGGGCTGTTGAATAAACGCTCGCCAACGTCGATTCCTATTTGATTCGGTGAAATTTGCGATGTCATGTTGATCAGAGAGCTTTGGATGGGTATATAGCAGAATATAAATATATGATCGAATGATGGTTTATCTAATTAGGTATGTATGCGGCTTAAAAGTGAAGAGGGGAACTAGCGGTGAAGATCTGGTATTGGATAGGTGAGCTTCGAAGCCGCATCAATGTGGGGGGGGGATAGATGATGCACGGGGTCTGCACTCACATGACCTCCAGGGCTTGATGTGTAAGAGCAAAGTCGATCTAGTTGAGAAATATTCATCGTATATGTAGCTGGGCACTTCCAGAGACATCCCATCTTGGCCTGTAGGACAAGCATGTTTTTCATCAAGGAAAGTGACAGCACTACCTTGACTGCCGGTTGCCCTGGATCTAGTCAAATTTATATGTATTCTTTGGCTTTACGGTTACAGCTGTAGAAATCTCCAAGGTTGTATGTAGATGTAGTGGGGCATTGAGGCTTAAAATCGCTCTCTCCTTTTTGTTAATATAGTATACCAATATGCAAAATGTTCCCTGGACTTTCTTACACAGACGACGGGCTATTGCTATTTTTCCTATTCTCCAGGTTCGAGGATCTTCTGTGCCCGTAGTATTCCCTACTACGAACATATTATGCCAAGCATTAGAAGGTCAGTGACATGGTTGAACATACTGTGGTTCCGGACTTGATGGAAAGAGCTAACCGCATCAAGTAAAGGGATCCTCCCAGCTCAGCACCCATCTGTATATCCATGTACTCAACCTCTCCAACTTTATCAGGTGATGCGCAGGTGTAGGCTCATAGTCCATCAGATCAGTGATTATCCAGCTAAGCAATACTGTCAAAAGTTGTCGGTAGTTTTTCCTCCATTAGTAAAGGTCTTTATCTCAAGCTTCAAGCTTCCCCTCATCGCCCGCAAGTCCCTCAATCTCTTCGTTTCTTTCTCCCAAAAATTTCTCTGTTGGACTGCCTGGTCGGGACATCAGATCCGACTGTCACTGTTTGTCCGGATCGAGTTGCCCCAAGTTTGAGGAAGACTTCTTTCTGAATAGTATCCCCTCATTCTATGCAATGGCAGACTGCGGCAACATCGGTATAAAGCAGAGGCAGTCCTCGGGAACTGACTGGAATATTTCTTTTATCTATTAAACATTGCATTGGTTCTTGTACGCATTCACACTGATTAGACCAACCATGGCACTTCCATTCACCTACCACGCTAAGGCGCAATCTACCTTCAAGCCGCCGCTTATCGCAAACGAAAACGCTTTCCTGGGTGATGTTCAATCAAGGTACGGCCTCATAGTGTGTTAGGTAGGTAGATACCTAGGTAGGCAATTTTGCTGACAAACTACAGCGAGATCGAAAACCCAGACAAGCCCATGTCATGTGGCTTTTACCGACTGGAAAAGGGCACTCCCCTTGTCTACACCTACACCTACGACGAAATGAAGATTATCGTCGAGGGCAAGTTTGAAATTGCAGACGAGACGGGCCAGAAGGTTACGGCGACTCCGGGCGATGTGTTTTATTTCCCCAAAGGGGGCCACAATCACCTTCACGACGGATGACTATGGGCTGGCGTTCTTTGTGGGTACCCCAGGGCTGAGATCAGAATCCTATTCAAGGGTGAGACTAATGAAATCAGACTGGCCAACGGAAGCAGGGTGCTCTGTGAATAATAGGATCTTATACGAATCTTATACGAGCTCGATATTAAATTTATTTTTCATTTCGGTTTAAATTTTTTGGGTTTCCATGGTTGTGATTGCCAATTATCGGGGTCCCCGTGCCTCCAATCCATGGAAACACTTCAGCTGTGTTACCAAGGTGGACTAACTATTCCCAATCAGGAAGTCTGCTTATGCCCACCCCCCTTGCGATAGCTTCAAGATTCCTGTGATTGCATAACCCCTATGGTTTACCTACATACAATATAGGCAGTGACCGGACAATTATTTCTTATTCCCCGAACACGGACCTATGCGACATTCACTAGTTGGATTATGCAAAAGTCAAAAACAGAGTGTCCGACCACCAGTGGTTTCATGTTCAACTCCATACTAAAGCCGATCCCACTTAAGAGGAACCGTCAAAGCACAATTAGCGATTGGAAGTTGAGATGATGTTCAGCTCGCCTCGATAAACTCATCCACTCTCGTGGGATCTAGTCGGGTTTGCATCGAAGTGTATGACGTGGGGGGAGTTGCTACAGCAACTCCGTGAGGAAGGGGATATCGCGGGATGGAAGTGGATTGTAGAAATGAGAATCAAGATCCGTTCGATCTTAGTGGAGAGTGATCGACTTTTGAAATAATAAACATAAACCTTCAATACTTCCCGAGACAAAGGCATTTTCTTCTTTCCTTTTTTTCTTTTTCCTTGAACACTTTCGTCACTTTGTCTTTGTTCTTGGACAGTGCCAACTAGTCCCGGCCTTATCACAGGGGGTCACAACCAACCTCTCTATCGCTCCTCCATCAACACCATGGCTATTATTTCAGAGGACCAACTGGGTCTACGACTCCCGAATCCACCACCCCTGTTGCATACCCGTGGTCAATTCGATCGCCCCTCCACTCCTGCCGATGGCTTTACCAGTCCCCCACAAACCCCCCCAGGGTAGCCCAAGCAAGTCAAGATTGCCTCCGGGCGCACTCGACCTACCCAATGTCTTCGACAAGGCCATGAAGTTGGCTCCCACTTCTCCCTCCAAATCGACATATAACCACTACAATCATCCAATGTTCTCTGCCGGCAAAAATGGCGAGGACTTCAACGAGAGCGTTATCCACCAAACCCCTTCGAGCCCAACGCGGAGAGCCAACAAGGAGAACACACCCCCCCAACCCAACGCGTCTAACGAAGGAGCTGGGATCAACCCCAACTGCTGCAGCACTTTCGCGTCAGGAACCATATCAACCACGCGATGAGACAACCAAACGCCAGGTCCAGATGCGCGGCCTGACCCCCGAGGAAATGGAAAAGCTAGCACAGCCCAAAGTCAAGCGCCTCGTCAATGTGACCCAACTCTGTAAGTGCGACCCAGCATAAGAATCTTGAGATAAATGGACTGACTTTGCACGACAGACTTCCTTGACCATTACTTCGATCTCCTCAGCTACGTCCACAATCGCCAAACCCGCCACGCACAATTCAAAGCCGCCTACCCCGACCCCCCTGCTACCCCTGACCACGAGCACGAACCCGCCCTCCTAAAATACCTCGGTCGCGAGCGCGCACATCTGCGGAAACGTCGCACACGTCTCCGCCAGGGCGACTTCCAGATTCTGACTCAGGTTGGTCAGGGTGGGTATGGACAGGTGTATCTGGCGCAGAAGAAGGATACGCGGGAAGTGTGCGCGTTGAAAGTCATGAGCAAAAAGCTGCTTTTCAAGCTGGATGAGATTCGTCATATCCTGACCGAGCGTGATATTCTCACTGCGGCCAAGAGCGACTGGCTAGTCAAGCTACTCTATGCCTTCCAAGATGACACACAGATCTACTTGGCCATGGAGTATGTTCCTGGCGGAGACTTCCGCACACTGCTGAATAACACCGGTGTTCTCCATAACCGTCACGCCCGCTTCTACATTGCCGAGATGTTCAGCTGCATTGATGCGCTCCATGTGCTGGGATACATTCATCGTGACTTGAAGCCCGAAAATTTCCTGATCGATTCCACGGGCCATGTCAAGCTGACTGATTTCGGTCTTGCGGCTGGTATGCTGAGCCCGGGCAAGATCGAGTCAATGCGCGTTAAGCTTGAGGAAGTCGGGAACACGCCCGTTCCCTTTGGTCGGCCCATGGAACAACGTACAATGGCCGAACGACGACAAGGATACCAGTCTCTACGCCAGCGAGAAGTTAACTACGCCAAGTCCATTGTAGGATCGCCAGATTACATGGCGCCGGAAGTGTTAAAGGGCGACCAATACGATTTCACTGTGGACTACTGGAGCTTGGGATGTATGCTCTTCGAGGCATTGGCAGGCTACCCGCCCTTCGCAGGCGCGACAGTTGAGGAGACATGGCAGAACCTGAAGCGCTGGCAGAAGGTGTTGCGGAAGCCCGTCTACGAGGATCCGAACTATTTCTTGTCACGGCGGACGTGGGATCTCATCACGAGACTGGTTGCTGGGAAAGACCAGCGCTTCAAGAACATCAAGGAGATTCATGCGCATGACTATTTCGCCGAGGTCGACTTCGAGAGTTTGCGTGAGCAACGGGCTCCGTTCGTGCCTGAACTTGATTCCGAGACTGATGCCGGGTACTTTGACGATTTCAGCAATGAAGCAGATATGGCTAAGTACAAGGAGGTCCACGATAAGCAGCGCGCTCTTGAGGATATGGCGGATCGCGATGATAAGATGGGCAAGGGCTTGTTTGTCGGATTTACGTTCCGGTATGTTCCCCTCGAAACCATGCTGAGTGGCTTTTATATGATCGTTCTCTTACTGACCACTCTAGTCACCGCAAACCCGCCGTCGACAGTAACGGCCGCACCTCGCCACGCAAGCCTATCGCGACGGATGGCACATTCGGGACAATGTTCTAAGTTCCTGACCAAAATCCAGATTTCACATTCATATTCGGTCGACCTTTGTCTCTTCTTATGTTCCGATGGCGCGCGGGACTCCAAGCTGGATCTTGGTTTCCTTGTGCCAGGTGTCCCAGTATTGAGTTTAATGGCTCATCTTTTCGTCTTTTCTCTTCTGTTTTAACTTCAACTTTATTTCCACCTTGCAACTTGCAACATGATACGTCTTATCGTCTCGAACTAGTTTTATTGTGGGGGAGTTGTGGAATTCGATTCTTGTATGATACAGCCATAGACCAAAAATGGCGCAGTTCCTGTCTTCTGCTAGTAATGGTTGCATTGTATGGAATATGGAATATGAGTTTGATTTCGTTCGTGTTCAAAATCCAAGTAGACTATCTGTAGCGCATAGGTCTCCTCGCAGTGAAGCACAGACTGTTTTAGTTCGCAGGAAGCTGGCGCACCATGCGCAGGATCTCGGACTGGTCGTCTCCGATGACAGCGCGGCCATTGACCCAGTCAACGGTCTGTACAGTAGAGCATTAGTAAAGCAGATCCAGATAGATATCCAACATGGCGATGGAAGAAAGGGAAATGTCAAACATACGATAGGCCTCACGAAATTCGTATTATCCTCCTTGAACTTCTTCAGCGCATCCTCCGCATCACGGGCGCCCTTGACAAGCTCCCCGACACCATACGTCACCTTATCACCCGGACCACCGACACCGCTGACGGGCGAGATGTAGTCGAGAATATTGCGAAGCTGGTCTGTTGTCGGGGTGCGGTGGTAACCTCGAGCTCGAACTCGCCGCGCTGTTGCTTGGCGTGGCGGGAGTGATCGCTAGCCTGGTCTTCTGTGGCGGTTTCGCTAGCGGTTGTGGAAGCTTGTTTCAGGATGTTGAGGGTTCTGGTTGATGCTTGGATGGAGGGGGAGTGGAAGAGGGTGATGGGGTCGAGGGTTTTGCTCTGTTCGTGTTAGTGGGTTGGGAGTTAGGGGAGGTTGAATTGGTGAGAATTGGTGTTGGTGAAACTTACGAAGCGGAACATCTTGACGGCTTGGATACTTGCAATGGGAAGCTGTTGGGGTGATAGAGGCTGGTGGACGGGAGGTGGAAGAATTGGAGTTAGCTCAGTTCCTGGATGATGTCATGTGCTGGCTCGGGTTGTCTCGGGCTAAAGCTGTTGGTCCGAATGAGTCAACTTCAGCTTCGAGTTTGAGCGACGCGACGGACTACTTGACAAATGCCAAGGAGGATAATCTTTTTCTATGGTCTGGCATATGATGTCTAACGTAGAGCGACGGCATCCCTACGCCCATCTATCTTGAAACGGATTTTGAACGTGTCTCAATACCTCGGACTCTACCTAGGTACCTTGTCCGCATAGCTTCTTACTGCTTAATTAGCCCCACGCAGTGTATCTAATTTAAGAGTGGAGATGCATATAAATGAAGTGTTTCGATCCGTTTAGTCAGATCGCTCAACTTCCTGCATGAATTAATATTCGGAAACATATTTTCCTACTTATATATATGCAGGTACCCTTGAATCCGACCCCCTTGGACCTGGCTCTCCTTTCAGATCCGTCTTTTGCATCATCTCGTTCGCCGACACGCTCGACCTACCTTGGGGCCAGCTTCTGCGCTCAATTTTATAACGCAGCGAGCCGCACGAAACATTTGGAGTATTTGTATCCCTGGTGGTCTCAGGGGCTTGACTACGTCTCTACCCTCCACTTCTTGCTGTCAACGAAATTCCCTACCGTCTGATCGGAGAACAACATTTGTGCCGCACCGAACAGTCGTGTCATCATCACAATGGACATGCACCCCAGAGGACTTTCCCGCGGGATCCAAGTGAGATACTCAATAATCAATATCAAGCACTTGCCAAAATAGGGTACGGAGTAACCTCAACAGTTTGGCTTGCGAAAGACTTGATGTAGGTGCAATTTATACACTTCAAGCTATCCAGACGATGGTGATTCTAATATCAACATATAATACAGCACATCAACGTACGTTGTCTTGAAACTTTACGTGACGGCCCAAAAACCGGACCACGAGCGAGAGCTGCACATCTACACACGCATGAATTCGAAGGAAACAAACCATCCAGGTAGAAACTTCATTCGCAAACTTCTCGACCATTTTTATATCCAGGGCCCTCATGGCCGCCACATCTGTCTTGTTCATGAACCTCTCGGAACGACTGCAGATCTTATTGTTAAGTTGTCTCCTGGGCAGGCAATGACCCTTGATGACATGAAGCCAGCTATCCGACAGCTACTTATCGCCCTAGATTTCCTACATTCGGAGTGTCACATCATCCACACCGGTAATACACCATATCCCCCGAACAGATTATATCGTAGGCCTAACTCTCGCAGATATTCAGCTGAAGAATTTACTGCTTCCTGGACCAGAAAAAAGCTATCTTTCCCGATTCGAAGAGGCTGAAGTCACAGGTCCATCACCTAGAAAGGTGCTCAAAGACCGAACGATCTACAGGTCTTTGGGCTTCCTTCCAAAAGGTGGGCTGCCACTGCTCACTGATTTTGGAGAAGCTCGGTTGGGTGACAAAGAGCACAACGATGATATCATGCCGAACGGTTACAGAGCTCCTGAAGTAGTTCTAAAATCGAACTGGGGTTACAAGGTGGACATTTGGAGTGTTGCCATGGTCGTGAGTGGCATTATTCTTAACTTTCGCTTTACTATAAATGCTAATTTTGACATATGTAGGCCTGGGACATTGTTAGCCCTCGCACCCTTATCAGTGGCAAAAACACAGATGGCATATTTGATGACCGGGTGCATATGGCGGAACTGGTTGCCCTGCTAGGCCCTGCGCCACCCGAATTCCGAGAACAGAGGCATCTCAGTTCGGTCTTCTGGGATGAGTCGGGCAATTGGAAGGACGTAGCCCCGATTCCAGACATTACTCTGGAGAGCCTGGCCGAGAATGTTGAAGGGGAAGACAAAGAAGGGTTTTTGAGGTGGCTACGGATGGCTTTGCAGTGGAACCCCGAGGATCGGGCGACGGCTCTGGAACTCTTATATGACGAGTGGCTGATGAAGGGACTAGGGGAATGAGTGGAGGCACAAGCAAATAGTATTGTACCTCGCTCGCAAAGGCGAGGATCAACCCCTCACCTTTGGTAGACGCCTTAGCCATGCCTGCATATACTAATCAGTGCCAAACCGAAGTGTTAATTACACCGGAAGATGAACATACCTAGGGAATAAAGGATTAAATTCTAGGTTGCGATTTCTTCCTTCACAAACCGAAGTTCTCAACATGCAAGTAGATCCCCTGCGCACCTGTTCCCTTGTGCACAGCTCGTTCATCGCTCAGAGAAACCACGCTCCGGCGGACATCGTCTGCTAAGCCACGAGGTCCACACACGACCACGGCACTTTCTCCTTCAGCTTTCTCCAGGACCTTGCGGATGATAGTCCGTGGCTTGGGACGACCAGAGATGATATTAGGATATATGATTGTTTTGTTTGGTAGATCTTCAGATTGAAGGGGTTTCATATCCAGAGCAGCCTTCTCAGACTGAACAGGTGCTGAGCCGGAACAGGTACATGCACAGGCAGTATTGATCTCTTCTTCTTCGATCTGAGTAGTGCAACACCAGTCTCCACCAGGGAGACACCCCCTACCTGTGACGACGGCGCCTGGGGTTGATGCTGGGTCGGCAGAGACAGAATGAATCGAGATATTGTCTTTCCCAGAGATGTTCTTGGTCTTGCCTTGCGTAGAGGCCTCCAGTATAGGGGGAGACTGTATCTGCAATGGTAGCGAGGTAGAGATAGGCGGGTCTAGCTTTTCATCACATGTGATATAAATGCTAACCTCAATCTCCTTCTCAAAATTTGAATTTGTGCGTCGACAGTCATTCACGTCTGCCAACAGGGCATGCAGTTCGGAGTCAAAGTAGGTCAACTGAGAACGTGATTTGACTACCCAGACAAAACGCAACCGCTTTGTGGCTGTTAGGCGAGCGACACGACTGGGTATCTGCTCCTTGCTGCCATTGCTCTCCATCTTCCATGCTAATACCACGTCCCGCAAAAGTGGTATCGTGAATGTCGCGCCCATGCCACCTGCCAGCAGTACAGCACTGTCAAACTGACGCAAGGGCCGAATGCTTCCGTATGGCCCTTCGATAAAAATAGTCGTATCGGATATCCCTGTCGCTTGTTCATCCCCCAATAGACTATCGCTCTTCGAGGCGTACCGGAAAAAGCGTCTTGTTCCACCATTCTCAGCGCGAATAAAGAACTTCATCTTCTTATCTTCTGGGATAGATGCGATAGTAAATGGGTGGCATTGCAATGGAGCGACGGAGTGACAGGTGAGGAAGACGTGCTGACCGGGTCGCCACCGGATACCGGGATTTTCAATAGTAATGCAGGTTACATTTCCAGGTAGCGGAGTAAACGTAGCCGAATGTGCCCAGAGGGCATTTGCTTTGTTCTTTCGGTGGAAAATGGCCAAGTTCGCATATGCGCCCCAGGTGTAACGAGCAAGTCTATCGAACACCACAAGCCCAATTGGGAGCCATACCCAGACCTTGACTTCATCAGGCGCATGCATCCACACCGCAACAATAAAGCCAACAAAGGTGACTAGATGCTGGATGACAAAGAACTCATAACTGAGTCGACGAATTGGAGCGAAGGAAGTGATCACAATAAAGGTCAGGATAATCCAAGCAGCAAATCCACGCTTCGTCAACGGATCGTTATAAAGCTGGTGGGTGATATAATGCCAACGATCCCAATTGCGGAACCAGAATCCCATATGGATGGTGGCAGTCAACCACAATGTCCGTGCGACCCAGCGATGGTACCAGTTTAGGCTGACGTAGCTCATTCCTGCCAAGAACCCAATAATGTTCTGTCTGCCTGCCAGTAGAAATATCAGTGGCAGCTGGCAAATGCCGATGAAACCAGTGCGATAGCCGACGTTCTCCCATTTCCATGGATCTAGGGTGTCCAGCTTGTAGAAACAAAGGACCATGACTACCACCAGGTTGGCTAGCATGATGAGAACGCGGCCAAGTGGCGGGAAATGGAGGGTCAATCCTCCCAGTCGGAGCGGTCGTGGAGTTGCATAGCCAACTTCGCGGACTGTTGCTGTGACTGTGGCATAGATATTGAAGAACAGTGATTTTGGCTTGGCGGGCGTGAGTGAAGAATCTCGCAAGCTGATTATCGTTAGTCAAGGTCACCGGATGTTGAGATTAAACATACCGATGACTAGCAATAACGCGATCCAGCACGTTAACAAGGGTTGCTACACCGATTGCACTTCCCACAACAGCCCAGTACATCTTTTGTAGGGTGAACAGACTGGGAACGCCATCGCCCATGGACATTGAGCCCGCAGGCATGTCACCCATTGACATGGACATCTTGTGCTGGAGTTGTAATGGAAAGCATGAGATTGAGCTCTGCAAAACACTCGGATGTATATGGATACTTCCATCGCCAATGACAGGACAGATTACCAATATTATGCTCATCCGTGCTCACCTGGGGTGGGTCCACCATGTGGGCACCGTTTTAGTGCCGAAGGTTGTGGCCCAATGCGGCAATCGTCAATGCGTCAATGCGTCACTTCATGTTTTTATATTTTCCTTTTCACATTCTCTTGATCCTCCCAGACCTCGCTTCCTCGCCTATCAATAATGGAAGGCATGGATATGGGCGGCCACAGCAGCCACGGCTCGACTTCGCACAGTATGAGCTCCTCATCGAGCTCTATGAGCATGGCTATGGTATTCAAAAATACCCACGACACGTCGCTTTTCTCCAATGCTTGGACCCCTTCATCCTCGGGTAGCTTTGCGGGCACATGCATTTTCTTGATTGTTCTCGCTATCATCGACCGATGCCTGGTCGCTTTCAAAGCAACCATGGAGCGCCACTGGCTCGCCACACATCTCAACCGACGATATATCACTGTGGCCGGCAAAGGCACAGAAGCTGGCAACATTGACTCCGACCCAGATGCGAAAATTGCATCACTTGTCACCGCGCAGGGCGTTGAGGAATCTGTCAAAGTTGTGCACAACGTCACTCACGGGCCAATTCCCTGGCGTTTCAGCGTTGATCTACCGCGAGCGCTCCTGTTCCTATGCATTGTGGGCATATCATATCTACTGTATGTCCTAATCTCTACCGGCATTGTTCGGATAAATGCTAATATCACGCCTAGCATGCTAGCTGTCATGACTATGAACATCGGCTATTTCTGCTCGGTGCTTGCAGGCGCTTTCCTCGGGGAACTGGCGGTCGGACGCTTCATTCAAACTAATGAGCACAGACACTAAGAATTTTGCATTTGACTTTCTCTTACACATCTTATGCATGTTGATATTATTTATGACGTTGAATAGCATCTGTCTGGCGTTGGGGAATAATGTCTTGGGGTAATATGATACGAATTGACTTGGCTCTGAATTGCTCTTCTCATCATAGATCACTATTTTCCCCTCATTCCACTCCATTTCACTCAAAACCTTCGCTGTCTCCGGCACTTGGCGGTCCAAGAACTGCATGCAATCACATGACTAAGCCTTTCGCGCGCAATTGAGCTAATTTACTAACCATATCCGGACTAGTCCACCGGGTAATACCCACTCTTAGGGCTAGCGTAAAGCTTTAATTTACCTTTGGAGCAGGTATAGTCCGAGCTACCAAAACAGCAGGTCCATGCCATTTTAGATGGGGTATAGTCCGGGATACAACCATTGCCGAGAAATCGGAAGGTGTGTAACACTGCGTTTAGGTGCGCATGTATAATTGTCAGAAATAGCGACGCAAAGAAGCATCAGGGATTGAAGAGAGGGTTGGAGCCCAAAGTCACTTCGCAGAACATGACAGGGATGTCGGAAGGTTCCGATCCATGCACAATCTCAAAGTCATGATTGCCGATATCCCGATATCCTGGATCAAACAGGACTTTACGGGTGGGCCCTGTCGTTTTCAGGTCCCGCTAACTCCCTCGCATTTTATGTGCAGAACTCGTATAGAAAGGTTCAAAGAGCTGAGTTCTCCCAGTTTTCTGTACATACTAAATTTTATCTCTCTCTCGTCCTTTTCAGCTCTCCAACAACATACTCACAATGAAGTTCTCCCTCCTCACCTTCACGGCCATCGTGCCATTGGTCTCCGCACACTTCAAGCTGATGTACCCAACCTCCCGTGGTTTTGACGAGGATACCATGACCAATTTCCCGTGTGGTGGAATGAGCCAGTCTTCTGATCGTACCAAGCTACCATTGTCTGGTGGTTCATTCCCCGTCGCTCTTGAGATGCACCATGCCCAGACTGCCGTTGAGATCCTCCTTGCACTGGGCAACGATCCTGGAGACAACTTCAACATTGTCCTCTCGCCAACCTTTAAGGTCAGCGGCCTTGGCGAGTTCTGTCTTCCTCACGTCGAGATCAATCAGGAGTTGATTGGCCGTAATCTCACCGACGGAATGAATGCTACCCTTCAGGTACAGACTAATGGTGACCCAAGTGGAGGTCTCTATGCTGTATGTTCACTTGTTCTTCGTCCATTTTGGCTCCTTATTGGGATACTAATACAATACAGTGCTCCGATATCCAATTCTCCTCCGACATCACATACCAGACACCATCTGCCTGTACCAATAACACCAATCTCGTTGCCACTGCCTTCCCCAAGGATTCTGCTGCACGTAATGCCAACGAGTCTACTGCTGAGGGTCAAGCACAGAGTGGATCCTCGTCCTCTTCCACTTCCAAGGGTGCTGCTGTGCCGATGCAGACCGCTGCTTGGGGAGTTATTGGTGCTGCACTCGTCGGTGGCATTGCTGCGCTGTAAAAACCTGGTTCTTCGACATTTTGGCTCTATTTCCCTTTGGTCTCAAGAGTTAGCGATGCATAATGAACAATGATGTCTTGTGCCCCATCGTTTCCTGCTATAATAACACAATAAACGCCGCCTTCCTAGCTATGTTATAACCACGTTACCCGCGAAGTCTGTTATCACAACCGCCGCCCTAACCCGGCCAATGACTTCACTGTTGCTAAAGGCTAGTTCTTATCGCGGTTACTTTTTTTTGGTCCATCTCTCTTCTATCCGAGGACCTTGCAAGCCGACAACTATCCGTATAATCTAGAATTTCATTGTTGCCCTTTTCCAGTAGTGGAAGAATGCCTTTCGTGGGATAGTATGAGGCGTCACGTGCACGGGTAGATTCATAAATCAGACAAGTAAATTGATCAGGGCCAGTCTATCTCCAGACATTCTGGGCATCCAACAAGCAAGGGAGATTGTTTGCTAGGCTCTGGTAATAGTCTATCATGGAGAACCTCGAAATACTACGCCCCGTTGGTGAGTAGGTCCCTGTCAAAAACAGTCGGCAACCTTTTCCGAGAGTCAACAATGCCTGACCTGACCCCGACCAGGCCGATTGGAACAATATTCAACGTCGCGCCACCAGGTTGGGTTTTATTTGAATGCTGCAGTATCAGCAACTTATTTCCTGCCAGATTCATTCGTGCTTCCTGTCAAAGACTACGTCTATCAGGCATGCGAGGCCACAACCGCGGAACATCCGTCGCTATCCGCCGTCGTGGCAGATGATCACACACAAGACCCTTACTTCGTGCGGCTGCCAGAAATTGATCTCGACCGAGTTGTATCTTTTCAGGACAGAAAACCAGGCTTGTTAAGTACCGAAGTCGATGGCGAGCCCACTCCAGATCTGGACCTGCAAACCTTGCTTGCGACCCAGCATAACACGCCGTTCAAGGCTCCAAATCCTTTCTGGAGAGTCTGTGTCCTGCTAGATATAGAGGACGAACGGCAATTCACAGTGGCATTTGTATATCACCACGCCATTGGCGATGGGACCTCCGGGAAAGCCTTTCATAAAACCTTCCTACGAGCCCTAGGCGCAGTGGAGTCGTCGGACCAGACTAAATCCATCATCAAGTCACCGAAGCTCCCTCTCCTGCCGAATATTGAGCATCTGCACTCAATGTCTCTTTCCTTGTCATTTCTTGCCAAGAAGATGTTCCAAGCAAAAATTTACTCCCGACGGCCCACGGGTCTATGGACTGGCTCCAAAGTCCTAATCCCCTCTCAAACCCGAGTGCGGCTCGTGCCATTCTCCAAACTACTCATCAGCACAGTAAGGGAAAAATGTCGACAAGAGGGGACGACGATCACCGCACTGCTACAGACGATCGTCGCCCGCTCCGTCTTTGCGCACATCCCGTCTGAGTTCACGCTGCTCGCCTGCACCGGCGCGCTCTCAAGCCGGCGCTGGCTTCCAGATGTTATCACTGATGAGTCGATGGGCGTCTGGGTCCAGGACTACGAAGAGACCTATTCCCGTGCGGCAGTCGCGCGGTCCGACGGATCCTTCCCATGGGCAGAGGCCAGACGGTCTCGTAAGACGATTGAGTCTGTCCTGAAAATGGAAGGGAAAAATGCCAACACAAGCCTACTCCAGTTTGTCGACGATTTTCAGGAGGAACTGTGTTTGTCCAAGGTTGGCAAGGACCGAGAGAAGAGCTTTGAGGTGTCGAATGTTGGCGTTTTGGATCCGCAAACAGACCCTGACCTACCTTCTATCAAGAGGATGGTGTTTTCACAATGTGCCAGTGTAATGGGTAATGCCATTGAGGTGTCAGCTATCACTGGGGGAGACGGGTGTTTGGTGCTGGCTTTCTCTTGGCAGCAAGGGGTTGTGGAAGCTGATCTCGTCAATGAGGTCATTGAGTCGACTAAACAGGAGTTATATTCTCTTGATGTGGTGTGATTAATGGGGTCTCATGATTACTTAGACGTAGCCTTTATAATGTTTAATAATGTATCCGCTGAATCCATGGATGAACCCTGGAATTCATCTACTTCATCTCCAGATGTTGTTATCAAGTGGGCGGTGAGATGGCGATAACCTCGGCGGCAGAAACGTGGGGAAATCAACAGTTTGAGAATCTCAGTTCCTTCCATCCAACCTTTGTTTTTTGCATCTAATAACATATATCGAACGTCAAGATGACTCGTGGTCCATACATTGTTCCAGCGCTCAAGAAGCACACCGCCACCGTTATCATGGCCCATGGTTTGGGAGATAGGTAAGTGCCAGAAGCAGATAGACGATGGTGTTGGGGCTAACAGTGTTTGAATACAGCGGTGCTGGATGGTATGAAAATTCCCATAAATCATCTGGCTCAGGCCCATGAGCCTCGCTCCAGACCATCAATGTCTAATTTTTAATAGGATGTCCCTTGCCCAGACATGGCGCCGCCGCGGCAAGTTCGACGAGGTGGCCTTCATCTTCCCCAATGCGCCCGACATCCCAATCACAGTCGTATGTGAGCCTCATATCTATAATTAATTGGGTATTGATTGACGGAATATCAATTAGAACTTCGGTAGGCCCATGCCTGGATGGTACGACATCTCCAAACTTGGCGGTGATGTGAGCTTTATATTCCCGACTCCTTGATAATCCCACGGCGCTAACCATCATCTCTTTCTTTCTAGTTGGACTTCGAAGAATTCCTCGTCAGCCAGGACGAAGCTGGAATTATCCGCTCCCGCGATTACTTCAATACCCTCATCGAGCAAGAGATGAACAAGCAGATTAAGGCGTCCCGTATCATCCTGGGCGGATTCTCCCAGGGTGGTGCGATGTCCGTGTTCGCCGGTGTGACTAGCAAGGAAAAGCTCGGCGGTGTCTTTGGTCTATCATGCTACATGCTATTGAGCGACCGGATTAAGAACTACTTGCCGGAAGAGTGGGCCAACAAGAAGACACCGTTCTTCCTTGCCCACGGTACCGAGGATCCTGTTGTTCCATTTGCCTCTGGAAAAACCTCCGCGCAGAAACTCATCGAGCTTGGCCTTGAAAATGTTTCCTTCAACAAATATGAGTATGTTTTTAGTCGCTGTTGTTCCGGGTTGTGATGGTTTGCTAACTTGATATTCCTATCATGCAGAAACCTTGGTCACTCTGCGACTCCCGAGGAAATTGACGACCTGGAGAAGTTCATTGAAAAGGCCCTCGCTGAGGGAGAGGGTAGTGCTTCTGCTGGTCTATGACTTGGTCATGGTCAGAGCAAGAACGTTGAAAGCGGCCTTTGGGGATATAGGGGATATACCTTGATAATGGGCTTTATGGTGCTGCTGGCTGCTGTCATCTGGTCTAGATATCAGTCGTCAAAACAAAAACAATTCAAGCAGACACCCCATTAACCCCAGCCCGGGTCCACGTTGGGGATACATAACAATGCAATTCAAAGAGAGTCTGGCATACCCAGAAGCCAGTAACGCTGCACAATTTGCCAGCATGGGTTCATTTTACATGGTTCAATTTCATAGCTAAATAATCATAAGGGACGGGATAGTTTCAGTCCTATAGGAGAACTTGCAGGTCAGGAGGCTGCTAAGTCGTAGGTAGGGCGCGGTAGTCAATGTTTTCAACTCCTTGGCCGGCGCACCCAGTGACGCCAACTAACTGATAGTACGCGCGCGCTCAAAAACGGGTGATGGTGTTGAAGAATCCGGTTATATATATCTGTCTGCCCACTGTATTAATGTTGTCGACAGCCCCAACCCCAAAGGCTGTAGCTCTATTTACATACAACAAATTCTGCAGCCTTTTACGCAGTGATATCAAGCATAGGATCATAAAATATACTTCTTCGCATTGCATGTTTAGCGGGCGGTTATAGCCCATGGAGGTCAAGGGATATATTTCTGCCAAGCACCAAAAAGTGAACCCCAGTTGAACACATTATTCAATGTCGTACCTAAATGGCCCTATTAAGCTCGTTTTCTAGGCGGTAGACGCATGACGATTAGTACCCTTTGTTGTCGGGGAGAAGTGTCCATATTCATATAAATGTACATAGATCTGGCACCCCCAGACAAAACACAACCTGTGCTGCTAACGACGATGAACCCTCCGTGGTGTATGGGACAAACCCCCACCTACATGGGCTGCATTGATAGCCTTCAATTAGCGGAATTCACCGTCTGCTACTCCAAATACCAACCTGCAGCGGCATGCGCCGAGCCCCAATGCTACAGTAGGCAATGGCATTGCCTCCATGTTCATAATATAAATACACTTGTTATTGGATCCGGACTTGCGCTTGTTAATAACAATGTGCTTTACGACGAGATAGTGGTATCGACGCAGCCTTGCAACGTGCAGACCCGGTAGGCAAGCAGAGGACGTGGTCTACCCGCTGCAGATGTGCGCGTCTATCCTAGCACCTGGCCGGTCGAGCATAGGCCTAGCCGAGACCTCGAGGGGTAATGTATAGAGTATATGCGGCGTGATTGCAGTAGAACCAGATTTGCTTTATATTATTGTATTGAAGAAACACAGTTCGGAAGTCGGTAGTTGTACATTGATATAAGCCTCAGATATTGAGATTGTAGATGCAAAGATGGGAGAAGAGTCGCAAACGTATCGTACAGCCAATAAAAATCATGACATACACCCAGGGATATCCAAGATTGAAGATGGTGTAGAAACTCCGGGGTTCCGAAGCCCCGGGATGGAAAAGAACAGTTGTGGAAGGAGCGATTGAGTCAATGGCAGGGGAGGCGGAGGTTCAGAGGTGTAGGTAGATCGTAGGTAGATCAAATCCTCTGTGTGGACACAGCATGATCACAGATCAATGGTAGAGGCGATAAGGCTTAGTCGGAGAATCATTTTTCACCCAGCATCTCCTTGCGCATCTCCTCCCGTTGCGTCCGCGTTTGCTCCTTCTCCTGTGCGCGCTTTGCCTCCAAAACTGCTCGCTTTTGGTCTAATTCTTCTTGAGCGGCGTACCAGACTAAAAAGTTGGAGTCATAACCATTAGCTACGGATGCACTTTCAGGCCCGAGCGAGCCGATCTCGCAGAATCATCTCTAGGGTAAATAGCGGGCATATCACATACTGGACTTATCGGATTTTGACCACTCCTTCAGCTTATGGACGTAGTCATCGAATTCCTGTGCCCGGCGGTCCCCCTGTTCGGCAGCGCGCTTCTGCAGATCCGGGTTGTATCGCTTCCTAAGCTCTTCGTCGGAGGGTCGAATATACTCAACAAGAGCGGGGCCACCGATGACCATGAGAAGGCCACTATGGTGAGAAGGGATTGTGAGCACGAGTCTTCGTCGCGGTACAGGCGAGTATCACTTACCCGGCTATAGTCTTCGCCCATAATCCGGCGCGAGACATGGTGAATCCGAAACGCGGACGCTGATTACCGATTCAAGACTTCGGTATGACGATATGGTTCCCGGATAACTCGGGGAGATGTAACTCGAGACGTTGAGAGTGATGGCGATCATCAGCATCATCGCGGCTCTCATTTGCTGTTGGAGGCGGCGTGGCGCAGCCGATGTGGCGCAGTACTACGCTTTGCCCGATCGAGCGTGTCTCACATCTTCTTGTTCCCTCCCACACTTTTATCACCTTTGTCACTTTGATCGTGACGTCTTAAGGAATTGTTCCGAGACAGATGTGGTGACTGTTATGCTCTCATGTCCTACTATGTTGCACAATTCCCATACCTCGGAGGTACCAACGTGTTTATCCAACCTTGGGTAGCCCTCCAAGGGGTGCCTGATTGCATCCACCGCGGGTGGCCACATGGTCTACCTAGGTATGTTGTAGTTTAGTCATCATTGTTTGACGCCGGGGCCCTGAAGCTATGGAGTCGGATGGCAGATGGCCAGCATTACAGAGTACAGTTGCTAAAAAAGAACAACCGGATGCCAACAAGTTCCGTCAGAGTTGAAATTCTGATTGTGATGGACTTGCAGGACAAGAAAGTCTGCAGAATCCCGGCCCCATTTTCGAACGCCCCCCCCTCCCCTGATCGTCAGGCACCGAGTGGGATGAATTAATTTCTAATCGCGGGCTTTATCTTCAGAAAGAATAATCCGTATATAACAACTATACATCGTATCAAGGCATCAAAGAGAGGTGTAGTCTTAAGTGGGAATATAATAATAGGAACATCTATGACGGCACTGAATTTTCTATTTTCCGTCTAAGCCCAGAAAATGAACCAAAGTAGTTAGTCTAAAAGGGCACAAAAGGAGATTGGATATCCATATGAAAAAAAAAAAGGGAAAGGCAAAGTGTATGGGAAAATATGCAAAAGTGTCCAGTTGTGGGTCAAAAGAACTGTTTAATTTAAAGGTCACCTGCTCCGACCGCCCCTAAATCATTCTGCCCCCCGCTTCATTTACTCTGAACACCTTCAAATTCAACTTTGGACCCGTCCTGACCTACTCAGGTGTCTGATCAGCTTGCGACAGGCGCCTTGGTCATTTGACGTGGTTTGGCATTGCGCGAGGTAAGGACCAATGTGGAGTACCAACGGTTGCCTACTCAGGATATCCATGGATCGTGAAATGGATGTGCTAACACCAAATTGTAGCCCTGGAGCCTGGAGCCCTGGAGTTTACCGAGCTGCCCCTCCTTGCATGCGACTACCCACAAGATTTGTACGACCGTGAAACGCCCTCGAAGACTACTTGAATCACCATTGTATAGTACGCTCGTCGCCTTGCGCCATGTCATACCCCCAGCAACATCAGGCGCAGAGGCCGCCACCTTTGCGACAATACAATAATCCCCCTCCGCCTTCTATGGCATCGCCAGGAGGATATTCGCAAGATGGCTCCCACGGAGGATACAGCGACGGTGGCATGAGTAGCCATAGTTATCAGCAGAACGACCCGGGTTACGACGATGCCGCATACAGCTACCAGTCCAGCTCCTCCGGTTCGCAACCATATCCTGCTGCGCAATCCCAGCCACGCTCAATGCGCCCACCAGGCCCACCAGGCCCGGGAAATGGACGACCCCCAGGACCTGGATACGATGATCGGCGTGGCTATCCTCCTGGTGGGAGACCGCCGCCACAATCGCGGTCAAGAACACGTATGTAAATTCCGACAGAGACCGCAAAGCGCCTACTAATCGATTTCAAGCTGGTGCGCGCCCACTCCCAGGCGGTGCATTCGACAATCCCTTCCCTACCTTCCCAAGTCGAGACCCAAGAGATCCGAGGGGCGCCCAGAGACCCGCGAGACCCGCGAGACCCTAGAGGCCCTAGAGACCCAAGGGATCGGCGCGGTCCGCCACCTCGAGGGCTAGAGAGAGAGATATGGCTGCGATGGATATTAATGGCAGGGGCCCGCCTAGACCGCACACTTCAAGTTCCAATGGAAGACGGCCAGATATGCGACAGCAACCTCCGCGCGGACCTCCACCAGGGCGGGGCCGAGGTGGCTATCCAATGGGTCCAGTGCGAGCTGCTAGCTCAGGCAGACCGGGTCGACCTGATAGAGAGTATCCAGACTCCATGGGCCCCTCTATGCCTCCACCACCTAGAAGCGCAACGATGCCGCTCGGCCCAGCTGCACCACTCTACCCGGGCCAGTCAACTTACCAAGAAACAGATTACCCAGCGAGCTCCATGGGCGAACCTCCTATGCGTCCTGGTACTGCTGGAAGTATGCGACCCCCGCGGTCTCGTGCCCCCAACGATATAGACCCAGGCCTGATAATCCCCCCCCGCTGGTTTGATGATTCCACCCGAGCCCGCCAGTCGTGTTTCATATGCTCCTAAGGACTTTCTGGATAGCTATTATGAGTCTGGCGGCGGTGCTGCTGATGAGCCCGATATGCCTAATTTTGATGCCATGCCAGACCCTCATCAGGGCGCCATGATTGATGAGATGGGACTTGAAACAACACCGGTCAAAAAACCAGTGCATGCTCCGACTTCTTCGCCTGGAGACTACGCGTATCCCCCCAACGGGGTGGACACTGCGCGCTCCCAATCTCAACCAGATTTCCGACAGCCAGACGGTGCTGGTGCCAATCAGTTTGAAAATGCGGGATTCCAGTTTGATATTCCTGGAGAAACTTCCCGTGACCACCCAGGCTCTGCTGGGTATGCGTCGAACGGGTATGAAGATTACGCTGGTTACTCACATGGCCCTTCCCCGGTCCGGAACAACCAGCCAGTCTATTCCCACGACCAGGCCGAGATGCCAGATCCTCACAAGAATCCCGATGCTCTTCCTCACCACCCAGCCCCGTTCCGCCCCGGCCACGATCAAGCATCAAAGCCTGCGCCGGTTCGGCAATACAGCGCTCCTGAATCGACCCCAGCCCCCGCTGCCCCACAGCCAATGATGGTGCCTGGTGGAACGGCTCAGGCGCCTGTCACGATTGAAGAGATACAGCGGCTGCAACAGCAGGCGCGAGCCAATCCTTCTGACCAGAAGACGCAACTTCTACTCGCCCAAAAGCTAGTCGAGGCATCCACAGTTCTCGTAGGGGACAACAGCAGACTCGATCCGAAAACCAAAGCCAAGGCCAAGGAGAAGTACGTGCTCGATGCGCATAAAATTCTCAAAAAGCTTGTTTCAGCCGGGTACTCTGAAGCCCAGTTTTTCCTGGCTGACTGCCACGGTGAGGGCCAAATGGGACTCGAAGTCGATCCCAAAGAAGCTTTCTCACTATATCACTCTGCCGCGAAACAAGGACACGCACAGTCTGCATACCGTGTGGCTGTATGCTGCGAGATCGGCCAGGAAGAAGGTGGCGGTACCAAACGTGATCCATTCAAGGCCGTTCAATGGTACAAGCGTGCCGCTGCGCTTGGTGATACACCCGCAATGTACAAGATGGGAATGATTAATCTAAAGGGGCTGCTCGGTCAAGCTCGGAACCCCCGGGAGGGTATATCATGGCTCAAGCGGGCAGCTGACCGTGCGAACGAGGAAAACCCGCATGCTCTCCACGAGCTTGCTCTCATGTATCAAAACGCTGGCGGCAATGACATCATCGTCCGCGACGAGCAATATGCCTCCCAGCTATTCCACCAAGCTGCCGAGCTAGGCTACAAGTTCTCTCAATTCAGACTTGGTGCTGCCTACGAATACGGCCTGCTGGGATGTCCCATTGACAACCGCACAAGTATCATCTGGTACACTCGTGCCGCGGCACAGGGTGAACACCAGAGTGAACTCGCCCTTAGTGGATGGTATCTCACCGGATCAGAGGGAATTCTACAGCAGAACGACACCGAGGCCTATCTGTGGGCTCGAAAGGCCGCCACCGCCGGTCTTGCCAAGGCAGAATATGCTATGGGATATTTCACGGAGGTTGGCATCGGCGCTACTCCTAACCTAGAAGACGCAAAGAGATGGTACTGGCGCGCAGCTGGTGAGTCGACTTCCATTTTACTGTTTTTTCCGCTTTAAGCACAGCTGACTTTTTCTTCTTTATTTCAGCCCAAGGATTCCCCAAGGCTCGTGAACGTCTTGAAGACCTTAAGAAGGGTGGAAGCCGAATGCAAAAGACTCGTCTCTCACGATCAGCTGTTAACAAGCAAAGCGATGGGGACTGCGTTCTCATGTGATTGGATATTTTCGTCCTTTGGTGATTTGCCACGCTTTGGCTTGGATGTATGCATTTCCCTTCATGATCACCGGCGCTTGGTGTATTCTACCCCGGTCAAGAACGCTTCCCTTCTACCTCCTGAACTGCATGATTACTTTATCTCTTATTCCCTCTTATCCTTTTTTTTTTTCAATGCTCTTCTCCGATTGGAATTGCTCTTTTCTTCTCTCACTCTTCTTTCCTCCCCTTTTATTCTTCTTTTTACGAATGGGATGCGCATGACTGGAACGGACAAGAACTGATTGTAGCATCTGTATACATTAATGGATTGTTGACCAACTTTATTACCTGTACAATGTATTAATATCCAAACATCGAAATAACCTGATGTGCCTTCAGATACCCGTAAATCCGAGCCAATGCTGCAGGGCGGATATATGGGTTGTCAGCGGCCAAATTCCGCACTGCCACTCAGCTTGTGGATTCAATTTCCAATGCTCAGCTCTCTGTGCTTCTAAGAGCATCTAATTAATCAGCTCTAGTACCGTACATAGTACGTGCTTTTCTTTTCTTACCTTTGCATTTAAATATAAATAAGGCCGCCTTGTTGAGCGCTGCAAGGTAGTACATTGCTAGCTCTAATCGAAACAAGCCATATATGTCTTCCGAATCAAGCCGACATAACGAAACGGAAACACGAACACCTAATTCATTCAGCGGACAGAAACTCGCTCTTGTCTCTCTTTTGACCGTCCTCGCAGCTATACTTATTACCCTACTCTGGGGAGACACCGCCAATCTGTTCGGTCTCCGACACCTTTTTGGGTCTTCCGCGCGCTCAGCGGCGGTACCTCTATCAGCGTCAGCATCTGCAGCAACAGCAGCGACAGTGAAGGGACAACCAGACGCAGTCACGACTGGTCACGTACAGCCCAGCATGAAGACACCCATCTACTTCCTCAGCCATGGTGGGGTGAGTTATCTATATTCTGGTTCTTACCATGAACAAAATGTTGATTTTATACTTACCAGCCAAACGTCATGTACGAGGTCGACCACCCGGCTTACCGCAAGCTCGGTGAGATTGGGCGCGAGATAACCACCAAGGTCAAGCCGAAAGCTGTCGTGGTATTCTCCGCGCATTGGCAGGCCGGTCGAAATACGATCCAGGTGAATACCGCCGAGAAGACGGATTTGATCTATGAGTATGTTGATATCAAAATCCTAGCCCCAAACTTGCAAATCCCAACTAACGGGGTTTAGCTTCTATGGATTCCCGGGCCATTACTATAAAGAGAAATACCCAAATGTGGGTAGCAAGGAGGTAGCGAACGAAGTGCTAAGGTTGTTGAAGAAAGCCGACATCACGGCTGAGGGCGTGGAGCGCGGACTGGACCATGGCGTCTGGGCTAGCTTCAAGTGCGGTATGTGACAATTTACACACAAACGATATCCAACGCTGACGAGGACAATGCAGCCTTCGAACCAGAAACAAACCCACTGAACGTTCCCATCGTGCAAGTCTCGCTCTTCAACACTGAAGACCCAGACCAGCACTACCGGCTCGGACAGGCAGTCGCGAGTCTTCGCGAGCAGAACATTCTGATCATTGTATCTGGAATGGCTGTGCATAACCTGCGCGATCTGCGGTTTACGTTTGGCAGTTCAACCCCGATGCCTTATGCGGTTAGCTTCGACGAGGCGCTCAAGGATGCGGTGACGACTGCGCCAGCTGGACGGCAGAAGGCCATGGCTGAGCTGATGAAGAGACCAGATGCACGCCAGGCTCATCCCTCCTTTGAGCATTTGCTGCCTATTCATATTGGGGCTGGTGCTGCGGGCGAGGATCTGGGGAAGAGGATCTGGACGTTCCCCCGAGGGGAGCATGAGCTGGGCGCAGTATCGGTTTGGCGAGGTTGGCAATGCTAGTAGCGCGTTATGAGAGATAGCATCAATTCATCACGGAAGTAATTCAATTGGATTTGTTTTGGATATGAGCTTCGATTTCATCTATAGGTACAGAAGATGGGCGTAGGACGGTGGGAACGCGGGGGCATAAAATAGATCTGCAGAGAAACAAAAGGGAGTTATAGCTGCTGCTTCACCAACTGTGTAATGCGCTCTTCGATCTGGGTGTCCGACAGGCCTAGAAACATCAATTAGTATTGCAACTTGATGCAAAATTATGGTTGGCGGGGGATATTTACCGGACAACGCTTCTTGCTTCTCCTTGCCGAAAGCTATTGAGAAGAACACCACGTTAGCTTGACTCGCTGGTCTAAAGAGCCCACAAAATGGCTTATAGGTGTCCTGTCATACCATATCGGGCGTAAACTCGGGGCTGAGTGCCCGAGGCCTCGCGCATCATGATGGGAGTCTGGGGGTTGTGCTTCTTCATAGTCGGGTAGGCGCGGTTCAAGAACGACCTGTAGGCAAGGAAGAAGGTCAATCAATGAGCTGAGAGGCCATTCGCCCTGGGTCGGGGTGTACGCACCTTGTGGCCGCGCTCGCTTCGGAGGTTTGGCAGAAGAGGAAGCGGAGCTCCTTCAGGCCTTGAGTGAAAACGTACTTGCCAGACATGGTGGCAGAATGGTCAAGCAGATGTAAAGTTTAGGAAAATTGAGGTCTCGAATGAGCCACGGGAGGATGAGCGCAGGAGCAGTGGGATTGACTTGCTGGACAGTCTGCGATGCAGTGCATTATTCACGACGGCGTTGATTCGCTGCGCAGAGCCATAATCCCGCTAGTCCCGATATCACCTAGCGCAGTATGCTTACATCAGCTTCCACCTCTGCCGAAGCGTCATAGGTAGGTAGTTGCAGCGCAAGAGAGACAGTAAATGAGGGAGAATTAATTGGAGTAGACTATACCAACTAGTTGATAGTACGCCATTCGTTTTCAATTGACTATATATTCACTTACCTGTTGTTGTGGTGGTCAATTGCGCTATCTACGCTCGCCGACGGAAAACTCCCCCTTCCACCGATCACCGGACGTTCTTCCCATCTTCTCTCTCACCAGCACCACCATCCCAGCTACCACCATGTCGTCTCGCGTGGGTTTCCGCTTTGTGAACAACGCTCGCTTTGCATTCCGCAATGCCTCTGCGCCATTCCGCCGGCCGGGTGCTCAGAGCTTCCGCTGGCAGAGCTCCGAAGCCGGTGCTGCGGAGCAGCAGAGCGCCTTCCAGCGTCTATGGAACAGCCCTGTTGGTATGAAGACTGTCCACTTCTGGTAAGATCTCCAATAAAGCTACATTTCTTGTGCTTTTGCCACTACGAATTGATGCTAACTTCTGTTCCGCAGGGCCCCGGTTATGAAGGTACGATAACTCGATTTACTCATTTGATATCCCATCTATATCCCGAGCCACCCTTCCGAATACTATATCTCTATCAAACGCCGCCGTATATTGAAGGCTTTTCCATGTACCTGCTGAGCACCGTGGCTAACATATTTCCCTATGACAGTGGTGCCTGGTCATCGCCGGTATCTCCGACTTCGCCCGTCCCGCTGAGAAGCTCTCCCTCACCCAGAACGCTGCTCTGATGGGTACTGGTGCCATCTGGACTCGCTGGTGCCTGATCATCAAGCCCCGTAACATCCTGTATGTCTAACCGGATACCAGACCCGCCGGGCACCAATGCTAACACGACATAACTCTATAGGCTCGCCGCTGTGAACTTCTTCCTCGGATGCGTGGGTGCCGTCCAGGTGACTCGTATCTTCTTGTGGCAGCGCAACCAGTCTAACTCGAGCATCGAAGCCGCCAAGGTGATTGAGCATGAAGCTGTTGACTCCGTCAAGGCCACCGCCGAGGCGGCCGAGGGCACCGTCAAGAAGGCTGTTGAGAAATCGACTTAGATATGAGATATATTCTGTGTTGATGGCAGGGGAGCTTGAAAGAGTGTTCCTGAATACATCTAGACCGGTATCTATAGGGACCTTTCACCCGCGCCGAGGTGAATCTCTAGGAGAATCTTGGGGTTGAGCGAGCTCACTCGCTTGAGATGATCGCTGTTTCATCTCTGAGCTGAGAATCTGGTCCTTTTATTGGACAGGTGTTGTACATATAAATCATGTTTCAAAATGATTGGTTCCGTTCCTTCTGCGAGGCATGGTCGAGAATTCCGAAGAATTTCCAGTAGTATTTGTCTTGTAACTCCAACTGACCTCTGTTGATGGTTGCTACTCGGAAATCTAGGGTGCTGTTAGCTTCATCTGTTTGAAATGTATTGGATTTAGGGACTCTGGTAAGGCTTGCCAGTTTATCCGGGATTTTCCTCCCAATCGGGGAAATCGTTCAAATATTCCTCCTATCAGACTTGCCTGGGGACCATTCTTACGCAACGCCAGTCATTTAATCTCCGGTCCGCTCTCCAGCGAGACGGAAACTCACCATACAAGCCATGGCCATGCCCCGGTTTCCCCACATCTCGTGGAGTTGCTAGCTTGTTTCCCCGGAGCAATTTGAACGAGATGGGGTTACCCCATCGCATGACCGCAAAGGGCCGTGCTTAGCGTTCACCCCCAGTTAGACCGGGGTAACAGAGAAATAAAGTTGCCTATGACGAGACTATATATAAGCTGTCCTGGAAGTGCCCGAACGGTGTTTATAGTCGAGGAGACTGCCAATTCAACTAAGACAAATCGTAGGTTCTCTTGACACCGACGATGAAGATTTCAAATACTTTGACCCAGGCCTTGGGGCTTTTGTTACCACTCAGCGTCGCAGTTCAGGCCAAGGAATACTCCCGAAGCGAGGCGTGCCAGCCGAACCATCCGTTCAAGCCCCTTCCGGGCAGCCAAGCCAGAACTCGCACCTGTCATGTAGCTAACCATGGCGATGGCCGCGACGATTCAGCCAATGTTCTTACCGCATTGAAGCAATGCAACAATGGAGGAAAGGTCGTCTTCGATGCCGACAAGAAGTATACGATTGCAAAGGCACTTGACATGACTTTTTTGAAGCACGTGGACCTCGGTATGTAATGCGCATTGGGTATGAGACGAGTTGGTACTTACCCAAGCTATAATAGAAATCCAAGGACACGTCCAATTTAGCGATGACACTGATTATTGGCAAGAACATTCGTTCAAGCAAATATTCCAAAATGCCACGACGTTCTTCCAGATCGGTGGTGAGGATGTCAATATCTACGGCGAGGGCACCCTGGATGGTAATGGTCAGGTCTGGTATGACTTATATGCTGAGGACCCCCTCATCTTGCGCCCAATTCTGGTTGGTATAGTTGGGCTAAATGGCGGTACCATTGGACCTCTCAACCTTCGTTATTCGCCTCAGTGGTATCAATTCGTGGCAAACTCATCAAACGTCCTTTTCGACGGAATTGATATCAGTGGGTACAGCAGCAGTGAGAATGAGGCCAAGAACACCGATGGATGGTAAGGTCATATGCGTTTACACGAGGAGATGGCTCGAGTTAACTAATACATTCGGTAGGGACCTTTACCGTTCGACGAATGTTGTTATCCAAAACTCTGTGATCAACAATGGAGATGGTACGGCTCCCTTAAAAAAATTAGACACCATGTTCCTTTACTAACAACCTCAAAGATTGCGTGTCCTTCAAGCCCAATGTTACCGACATTCTGGTCCAAAACCTCCATTGCAACGGCTCGCACGGTATCTCCGTTGGCTCTCTGGGCCAATACCCGGGCGAGGTTGATATCGTGCAGAACGTGCTCGTGTACAATATCTCCATGTTCAACGCATCGGTAGGTTTAGTCCCACTAGTGACATGATTATATTTCTAACAATCTTATGAAGGATGGTGCGCGTATCAAGGTCTGGCCTGGGGCTTCCGCTGCGATGTCGACCGATCTACAGGGTGGCGGCGGATCAGGTCTGGTGAAGAACATTACTTACGATGGCATGACCATTGATAATGTCGACTATGCCATCGAAGTGACCCAGTGCTATGGCCAGAAGAATTTGACTCTCTGCAACGAGTTCCCTGTAGGTGTCCACCAATATCCTTTGTCCCTATTTCCTATCATTCCACCTTGATAGCAGCGCCTTGATTTGTTTCTGGTTGCCGAAGGCTAACACATACACCACCCAGAGCGAACTTGCCATCGAAGATATTGTCTTCAAGAATTTCAAGGGTGTCACCTCTGGTAAACGTGACCCTGATGTGGGAACGATTGTCTGCTCAAGTCCCGATGTAAGTGCTGGAACACTACCTGTTATATCTCACCATCTGACTTGTACAGGTCTGCTCAAATATCAAGGCTAGTAACATCGATGTTGTTAGCCCCAATGGGGATGATCAGTTCACTTGCACAAATGTGAGTTTATCTTGAAGATTGGTGCAACGCTGACAACACATTTACTGACTTATTTCGTCTAACTTTAGGTTGATGAAAATTTGCTGGATCTGAACTGTGCGTCTTCTAGCTAGAGCACTCAGGCCGACAATATAGTCTTTTTTCGCAAATAGAACTATCAATCTTGATATTTGATATATACGGCCGCAGATTTAATGCCGGTTTGCAATAGCCCAGCATGCCTACAGCTGAAACTGTCCCCGTCAAGTCTGTCCCCGTCATGTTGGTATCTCCTACGGAGTACTTCGTATTAATGCACAACTTCAGCCAGCCACATAGTGTATGGACTCTCACCATCATTACATCCCGTGTGCGCATGATCGTGCATATGATGTATATGCCGACAATCCACGCTAGCTTCCACCCGATTACGTCCACATCCTTTCGGAATGTTTCCTTGCATTTGCCTTCACTTCATATTTCGTTATTCTTTCTGTGTGGGCCTTTCTACACCGCATTTCCCTTACCCAAAGCCTGTACTATTCGGGGTTCTTGCGTTGATCCGCCAAAGACATGTATTTAATCTCCAAATGACACACCCATTGCCTTGTTGAATATTTTTATAGTCCCACTAAAAGCTCCTTTTTACAAGTTTGAGTGATAGCAGAATATCTCTTTTTTCCGAAAGTCCTACCCATCATGCATCCAGATTCTCAACTCAAGACTGCCGTCAAGAGCGGCTTTGACCCAAAGAGCCTCTACAGTACAGAGTTGACTAAGGTCAACGAGCCAGCGAGAACGATTCTCGAGAAGTATAGCAAGATCCCAGCGGATAATATTTTGCAACATGTGAAAGACTTGGTTTGTGGCTCAACCCAAACTTGAACGACAACATTCGCTGACACTATGTAGAGAGACCGTGCCTTTGCAGTTGTGCGTTTTCCTCTGAGTCCACCTTTCCTGACATCCAAGGGTTATTGACTGACATGAAAATTTCCCTACGCGTTAGTTCCCTTATGCCTGTATTGGACAAGCCTCATTCCTCGAGCTGAGCATCGCATCGTCACCCTGCTATCCGGAGATGCTTGACCGTGTCAAGAAGGGAGACAGGCTACTTGACCTGGGATGCGCGTTTGGACAGGAACTGCGACAATTGGTGAGTGGCGTCGAGCAAATGATAGCACGCGACCATTGCATCTTTCCCCAACTTGACTAGAGCTGGCTGACCACAATAAATGCGGAAAATCCAGATCTACGACGGCGCCCCATCGCAAAACCTGTATGGATCTGACCTCCGTCCTGAGTTCCTTGAGCTTGGCCTCGACCTGTTCATGGATCGCCCAACCATCAAGTCGCGTTTCATTGATGCCGATGTCCTTGATGATAAATCTGCTCTGGTCACTCAGCTGACAGGCGAGCTCAACATTGTCTATATCTCGCTTTTCCTTCATGTCTTTGACTTTGATACACAAATCAAGGTGGCAAAGAGGGTACTTGAATTGCTCGCTCCGAAGGCCGGATCGCTCATCGTGTGTCGAGTCGTGGCGTGTCGGGACCAAGCCATCGGGAATGCCACCAACGCACGCCTGCCATACTATTATCACGACCTAGCTAGTTGGAACCGGCTGTGGGAGCGTGTGCAGGAAGAGACAGGGCTGAAGTTGAAGGTCGACAACTGGGAACAGGATGATGCTTTGGCAAAGAAGCATCCTTTAGAAGGCATCTATATGCTGGGTTCGTCGATTCGCCGGGAGTAAAGACCGGATAACTCGAGAGAGACCTGTTCTGAGAATTTGGGAGTTTCGTTCCCTCGCCTGTTGGAATATTTCTCATAAACCTACACCGAGACCCATGCGACAGAGGATGGCATTTTTCGTGTGCGTTTGTAGTACATTACACCGAAATATACACTGTGGACCTATTTGCAAGTGGCTGTATTTTATACGTTGTAACTTTCAATTCACAACCCAGGCCAAGTCCCCTGCTGGTTTGCTGCAAATATAGAGATAGCGGACTGAACGCTGATGTGGAGAGGAACTGATTCTGATTTAAGAGGAAAGTAGTACCGAAGGTAACCTTGGAAGTACCTACCTAGGTAGGTATACATCGTATGTGTTAGTCGTCATTTTACTTGAACAGGTAATACGCCGCCTTGGCTGTATACATCCATACATACTGGTACATGCATTCGTATGCATATCGAAGGCCCACTGTTTTCAATACATAGGGTCCAAATTGAAAACACGACTTTATACGTACCATGTCTGTACAAAAGCAACCGCTTGAACTGCCTCTTCTCTCCATTGAAACACTATCTATTAACAAACATTGATTCGACCATGGGGTTCTTTTCTAGCACAAAACCACCTCAACCTACCACCGTGCCGAGCGATGAGATCATCCCTCTCCATTTCTGGAATACTGCTTTATGTATGCGCGGCACGGTTTTGGACGTTTCGCTCAAATTTGATGATGTGTTGGATATATCAAAACTGCGCGATGCCCTCGATCAGCTGCTCGAGATGGAAGATTGGAGACAGCTGGGAGCTCGATTGCGCATGAACGTGGGTAGTTTGAGACTGATCTCCGACTTACACGTTTGATGCTGACCAGAGCGGCCTCATAGAGAGATGGAAAACTTGAATATCACATTCCAGCGCATTTCGATGCCTCGAGGCCGGCTTTCAACATGACCAATGCTCAGCATGAGACAAGCATCGCCGACCACCCACTCCAGGCCAGAATACCACATGCAACCGGCACGCCCGCCGTCTTTCCATCCCCCGACGAATTAAGCCCTCTACTACGCAGTGCAGATGCCCCCAACCACATCGATGACTGGATCTATTCGGACAGACCCCAACTGTCTATACACGTTATCACCTTCAGTGATGCCACGATAATTACTATCACATGGCTACACACCTTAGCAGATGTTATGGGGATGACAACAATCTTGAATGCATGGACCGCTGTACTCCAAGGGAACCGAGAGGCAATTCCCAAACTACAAGGATTCCGATCAGACCCGCTCACACAACTCGGCCAACGCACGCCAGCGGAAAAGTACATGCACTTCAACCGTGTGTTTGGTCGGAAAGAGTTCTTATGGTTTATCGGACTGAATATCTTCGACAGACTGTGGTATCGCCAGGAGGAGCGACGCACCATTTGTATTCCCGCCGCATGTTTGCGGAACCTCCGCCAGCAAGCATCGAGCGAGATCTCCGCTGCCTCAAGCAGCGAAGGAAACCCAGTGCCTTTCGTGAGTGAAAGTGACGTGCTGTTGGGATGGTGGGTGCGCAGTCTTTACGGCGCACTGGGGCTTAGGACGGACCAGACTATCCTGGTAAACAATGCACTAAACCTGCGAACATCTTTGCATGAATCCTTCATGTCCAAAGATAGTGCATACATGGGCAACGCACTGTGCATGTCACCCACCTTTCTACAGGGCCAGCAGATTACCGACGAACCATTAGGCCGAATTGCTCTGCGGATTCGAGAATCAGTAGCAGAACAGCGAACTCCAGAGCAGGTCGAGGCTATGACAGCACTGCAAATGCAGACGATGGAAAAGACGGGCTATCTTGCCTTGGTGGGCGATCCTCAAATGATGCTTCTGTCTTGCTCCAACTGGCACAAAGCCCGTCTATTTGACATGGACTTCTCGCCGGCCGTATTACAAAGCTCCGCTCAGTCAAGCTCGCAGAACACCCAGAAGAAAGGAAAGCCAAGCTATGTGAATGGGGTTCAGCACTCGGGAAATTCATTCCGCAATGTTCTTTCGGTAATAGGGAAAGATGCTGGTGGGAATTGGTGGCTAACCGGTGTTCTACGAACGGATGCATGGGCGCATGTGGAGGAACAATTGCACAAATTGGGTTCGAGTTAGGCATTATTTCAAGTGGCATAATCACGAAACTGTATTGACGAGATTTTCTCTATATCGGTGTACGGTGTTCAATCTTCTTTAGAATTTGTACGGAGCACTTACAGACTGATTATGGCCTGTCCTGTAAACAGGACATAGTAACTGATAAATACACGTATTTGTAAATTAAGGTACTCAAAACGAAACTACTAGTATGTACGGAGTACCAGTAATACGAGTAGTGAAAGTTTGACTAAGATCGTGAGATCGGCTACTTGGCTCGGCAGGGCTTACGGTATTGTGTAACTTGCGTTGGGCGAACCTTGGAACATTTAGCGTTGGATCCGTCTCGGCCCGCACGGGACGGACCCAAAGTAAAATACGCCTTAGTGTACGGTATGGTATGCATATGAAATTTGATTCAGCTATGTACCTAGGTAGCATGTGCAGTGACGATCAAGGGATACATAAAATAATATCTTAATACTCAGTGCTGATGAGCAATATTTCAGCAACTCCAATTACAAATCCCAGCATAATTATGCTCGGAAGCAGTTTGTCGAAGTCCGTTCAACCCAGTAGACTGACAAAAAATGTCGATTGGATCAGTCCTTGCATTCTCACGCAATATTCTGGATCATCCATTCTGCAGTTTACAGCTAGCCACCAGCCAGATATCGCAGCCCCTCAAAGTAAAACCATGTCCTGGACTTGAGGACACACCCGTTCTCATTCCTATTATCCTGTTGACACGCCTGCTCATTTGAGGTCTTCCATACAAACCACAAACAATGGAGGAAGCGAGCTTGCTCTCCGCAGTTCTAGAGCACCGAGATGCCTTGGCATCGGTCGCGGAATTTCTCCCGAATTTTAGCTGGAATTTGCTGGACTTTGAACTACTTCAGCATGTTGCGCACTTCGCAAAAAGACAAGATCCCCAGCACAGGTATCTTCCCCCTCTGCAATGACATTGGGTGGGAGTTTATCTATGCCTTTATCTACCCAAAGGCGAGTGCCCACTGGGAAGGAGGAGTTCGAATGTGGTTTTTGGTCCATTGCATCGTCATCGTCTTTATCATCAAGAATGCGCACAATGAGTGGGACTATTTCCCCCTCGTTCAACGAAACCTTTACTTCCTCTATGGAATAGTGACTGTTGGCTTTGCCATCGGTCAATATTCGTTTGCGCGGGAGGTTGGGCCTGACTTGGGATTTTTCTATGGGGGTGTGCTATGCCAGACACTGGCGAGCCTTGGGCCAATTGCTCAGATTCTTTCCCGCAATAGTACCCGCGGTGCTTCCTTGTTGACTTGGTAAGTTCAAAAGCCAGCCGTTCCATTTTGTGACGCTGACATGGCAAAAGGCTATTGAGAGCGGTCGCTACGTTTGGTGGATTCATTAAGTTGACTATCTACTACCTCACTGGCGTTGCTGCAGGACCTTGGTTTGAAAGTCCTATGTGCAAGTTCTACATCGGCCTGACCTTGGTTCTTGATTTTACCTATCCGATCTGCTACTACGTCATTCGTCGTCAGGAGTTGGCCAATGCTGAGGGGAGAAAAAGAAGAAGGCAAAGTCAGGAAAGGCAGCTTGAAGTGTGATACCCAAATGAAAAGGTGTCGTTGGGGGAATGTGATGTACTGCCCAGTGGGTTGATAATGAGGACAGTTGGGTTATATTCAAAAGTGTTATATTTTAGGGTCATTATAAGGATCGATCACAAAATCACAATTTAAAGTGGCTGAAATGTGTCACAGTACAATAAGGAAAGGTTATAAACAGGGTTGATGAAAAGGAGTATCTGCAAGGAGCGAGAGTTATGCACATTTTGTACACAAAATAAGGAGCCAAAAACGGAAAAAGGAAAAAAAAAAACAACCACATGAAAAGAAAAATGTGTAATAAAGGCAACTAAATAAGAAATTGCATTGCAATACCTATGAAGGGGTCCACGGACACGGAGTACTCCGTGCTGTGATTTGTAACTTGGAGATAGCTCCAGGGCTTCATCCTTGATCGTCCGGGTCAACAGACTTATCTCTGACATTCTTCACCGCCAACCAGCATTATTAGATGCAGCATCAGAAGGATTCGTATCTTTCTAACGCAGGCATGGCAGAAAGCATGGAGGCACATAAGTTCAAAGTCATCATTGTTGGGGGGTCTATCGCTGGGTTGACATTAGCCCATTCCTTGTCCAAGGCCAATATCGACCATATCGTTATTGAAAAGCGAGCGGAAATTGCTCCCCAGGAAGGAGCCTTTATTGGAGTCTGGCCTAATGGAGCACAAATACTTGATCAACTTGGTCTCTACAAAAGTCTGGAAAAGCTCACTGCGCCGATAAATCGCATGCATCTTTCCTTCCCTGACGACTATTCATTTAGCAGTTTCCTGCCTAAGGCAATTCACGAAAGGTTTTTACCCAGTGCCTTCTCTCGAATTAGATACCCCACATGTATTCTGACTGCTCAAATCCAGATTCAAGTACCCCATCGTCTCACTCGACCGACAAAAGGTTCTTGAAATTTTATTTCAGAACTACCCCGACAAGTCAAATATCATCACCAACCAGAGGGTATCCGAAGTGCGACTGCTGGGCGACAGTGCAAGCGTGGTGACAGAGGATGGAAGTGTATTCCGAGGAGACCTGATTGTCGGTGCGGACGGTGTCCACAGTCGTATACGCTCCGAAATGTGGCGACTGGCAGATGAACTATATCCTGGAATGATCACACCCCAAGAAAGGGAAAGTAGGCAGCACCCTCCTCTTGAATCCGCTTTTTTTTAAAGACCTGAACTAATTGCATTTCTTCTCGTTAGCTCTTACGGTTGAGTATGCATGTGTCTTTGGGATATCGCGACCAATACCCGGACTTCGAAGCGGAGAGCATATAAACCATTACGGCGACAAGTTCTGCGTGATTACGTTCCACGGAAAGGATGGTCGGGTGTTTTGGTTCATCATTCAAAAATTGGACCGTGTCTACACTTATCCCAATGCTCCTCGGTATTCTCCCAATGACGCAGCGGATCTCTGTGGCAAGATGCAAAACGTGGTAATATGGCGGGATATTACCGTGGGTGACCTCTGGAAGACCAAGGTGGTAGCGTCGATGACGGCACTTGAGGAAGGGATTTTTAAAACCTGGAGCTTGAATCGGATAGTTATCCTTGGAGATAGCGTACACAAGGTAAGATCTGCAAGCTACCCTAGATGAACTGGGTTTTACATTATCTAACAAAATTTCTTCGTCTCCAGATGACACCGAATATTGGACAAGGAGCAAACACAGCAATTGAAGATGTTGCCGTCCTCGCGTCTCTGATAAATCGGATGATTCACGCGGATGACTTGCACAAGCCTTCGGAGAGTTGCATCGAGACAATGCTCCAGGAATACAAGACTCTACGATATGAACCTGCGAAAAGTACCTACCAGCGGTCAAGGTTTGGAGCTCGGTTCCATACCCGAGACAACTGGCTCAAGGCCCTGGTGGGTCGATATGTGTTCCAATATGTTGGTGGTCTCATAGAGAACCGGACGGTCAAGACTCTGGCTGGCGGGAACACTATTGATTTTCTTCCACGGCCGGAGCGGCTGGAGGCTGGGAGTGTGGCACAACTTCCCAAAGGTCAAGACAGTCCTCAGCGGCAGTGGACGCTACTCTGGGTGTCTTCTCTGGCTCTATTCTTGTTTTTCCCTTGGCTTGGATCGTATCTGCATTCGACCATCTCGTGAACCACTTTTGGTAAGACACATTGTGGCATATCTTTGTAAAGGAACCTATACATGATTGATTTATACATAAAACTTGTGACGGTGTCAGTACAAAGACTACGCACGTATCCCGCGTCGATCATGAACCCCATGAGACTATACTCCGTATTTATATATCAGTAATTATTTGCATAGGATTATTCTATAAATAGTGGACCCGGCTAGTATCTACAATACACGGAGTATATCATAAATTGATTGGCAAAGGCAAAGGCAAAGGCGCAAGGCTGGCCAGCCAAACACCGCATAAAACACACTAGGGGGTTGCATACATATGTAGTCTACATAAACATAGGAATAAATAATTGAGCAAATGCAGTTGATTCGTCTACCTTTCCACTAGCCAACAAAATCTCACCAAATGGAATGAGAATCAGCTGGCCACATAGTGGCTATCAGTGGAGCCAAGAGGGCCAAAGGAATGGTCTCGATGAAGGGATGTTCTTACACTTTTACTGATACATGAATATTTCAAACTTACGAGTTGACTTGTCTGAGACCATAGTGATACTTACCGATGTATTTCATCAAAATCTCTATGGCCCTTTCTATCATCTGATACTAGGCTTTCCACGCGCTTTTACTACATACCTCTTCCACTATTGCTCCCACGTTTCACCCATTCCGCACAGTCGCCTAGTGTTATTTTGAAAGCTTCATCACGAAATTCCACCCTCACACGCCACGATGACACGACGAAATGAGAAGGAAGAAGCTCCACCACAGGGCAAAATCCTGGACTCATTTCCCTCCAGAATAGCACCCTATGCCGAGCTGATGCGTATCCATCGACTGTTGGGGTTCTACCTTAATACGTCCCCTTATCTCGTGGGCGTTGCCTTTAGCGCATCCATTTCATCCACGAAGATCCCAATCGCCGTTCTCTTTCACCGCGCCATGCTTCTATCCATCTGGTCCATATTCCTTCGAAGCGGGGGTGCGTTTGGGACGATCTCATCGACATGGACTTGGATAGTCAAATATCTCGAACCAAATCCCGACCCCTGCCGCGGGGTGCAGTGTCCCCGTCAAATGCCCTCTTGCTCACCGTCGCTCTGTTCGCCTGCGGAGGCAGTGTTTTGGTATTCCTTCCATGGGCCTGCACTGTGGATTGCCTCATTATCACATTCTTCGCACTCTTATACCCATTTGGCAAGCGGTTTACCGACTATCCTCAGATTACCTTGATGAACATCGGATGGGCCATTCCGATGGCAATGCACAGCCTCGGGTTAGATCCTCTCTCACAGATAACACCGACTGTGTGCATGTTCCTGTTTATTGGATCGGTCATTATCATGATCGATGTAATTTACTCGCGCCAGGATACGGAGGAGGACTTGAAGGTCGGGGTGAAAAGCATGGCGGTCCGGTTCAGGGACTCCATTCAACTCCTGTCATGTTCTCTCCTCTATGCATCCACTGGTTTCCTCGCGATGGCAGGAGTTTTGACTGGGCTTGGTGTGTCATTTTTCATCGTCTCTGTTGGTGGTCATTTCTGCGGATTCTGGATTCTCCTTAAAGCAACTCAGGTAGGGAAGTCGTCTGGAGTTGAATCCTACGCCAAGTCCGCTTTCTTCCTTGCTACTTTGTTTTGGTTATTCGGATTTTTGATTGAATATTGCCTGCGTAATTAGATGACTTTATGTTTCTTTACGCAAGTACAATTTCCCCATTCAAGCGTTTCGTCTACGCCCAGAGATTTCCTATGCCACATGCTTGTCATAACCGAGAAACTCGATGGCAAGACCTTTTATATACTTAGGAGAAATAAAATATCAATTGCCTCTACAAGATTCGAAATCCGAAATCTGGTTCAGCTCCCCTCCGGGCTCAAAGTTCGCAACGGATTTCGAACTAGATCACGGACCAAGCATTGTCGACGGGAATGATCGCCCCGTTAATTCTCTTGCTCTGACTAGAGACCAGGAAGAGGAGACAATTGGCAATATCCTCGGCCTCGACCCCCAGGCCTTCCTGCCTATCAGCAGCATGTGCCTGGTGGATATGCGACATTGTCGCTAGTGCATCCTTGTCCCAAGTGGTTGGATCGGAGGCTTGTACTATGCCAGTTGGAACTCCTATCAGAAAGAATAAGCGACTAGCACAAGATATGATGTTAAACATATGTTGGTGAACGTACCACCCGGACAAACGGCATTGCAGCGAATCCCCTCTTGCTTGTACCGCCAAGCAACATTTTTGGTTGCACCCATCAGCCCGTGTTTACCTGAAAAATGAACTGTCAGGACACTGATACATACTCCGATTCGTGGTAGAGGTGTACTCACTGGCTGTGTAAGCGACGCCGGACGCAGCACCACTTGTGGCTGCTTTACTCCCGACGTTGACAATACTTCCGCTCTTCTGCTGTCGCATGATAGGAATTACCTCACGCATGAGCTTTACTGGGGCAGTCAAATTGATTGCAATGCATCGCTCCCACATATCATCTGAAAGACTATCGACGCTGGAATTCCGGTCCATGATACCGGCAATGTTGAGCAGACCATCGATTCGTCCGAACTCTTTGATACATGTTTCTACCACTTGCTTCGGTGTTGCCTCATGTGTGAGATCCCCCTGTATAAACTTGTAACTTGCATGTTCACTGAGTGACACAGGCGCCGATGAGACATCAACACCTAGGATTTTAGCCCCTTGGCTTAGAGCTGCGGTGGCTGTTGCCAGTCCGATTCCTGACGCGCTGCCTGTGATGATCAAGACCTGGATATCGATTAGTAAGACTTTTCGATTATGAGAGCTATTAGTGGCCAAGGCTTACAATGTCTTGAAGGAGTGACATGTTGGTGTAACGAGTAATAGGAGGAAAGGGGGTTGGTACAGTGCAATCTGATTGGGATGTAAAAGTCTTGTTGCAGATGTTGGAGACAGTCTTCTCTACGTGAGGTCTCCGAATTTACTCCCTCTAGGCTTCCAACTATTTCCACTATTTCGGAAATCCGTATTTATTGACCTGCACAAGGAAAGAGAAATATACATGTATGATCATCGTGTCTCTCGTGCGTATCATGTATACTCCAGTGTCCGTATTGACATGTAACTAGGAATGTGACTATACGAGGCAAGGGACCAATACAACACTCCAGGTGAATTTGTGTTACATCTCGTTATGCTGCCTATCTTCTATGCAATAAACCCACCGTCTGCAACATGCAGAGCAGTGGAGCTCCCATTTCGATCTTGAGATCGACAAGGAAAATGCAATATGAATGCAGATCAAAGTGACATTACTCAGATCAGCCACAAAAACAAGCACTGCACGTTTCCAAGTTTATGCACGTTAATGCACGTTAATGCACGTTAATGCACGTCGAACTGTGGAGCTCCAGAAATAACGAACTTGATAGATCATCTCTTGAGACAGCTCCATAATTACTAGTCTCAATAATTCGATCAACCCTGCATAATATATTTTATTAGGGGCATCGATCTCACCGCTAATTCCCTTCGGGGACGGATCTGTTGTGGCACAATTGAAGGCGACTTGAGCAATATACTGCATCTTTCGAGCAAATTTTGTGATCTAAGGGAACTTCTTGGAAAGAGAAGATAATTTGACCAACAGAATGACGCAGGCTCAGAATTACATCGTTCCTCCAGGCTCTAAAGTCCTCGTGACTGGAGCAAATGGTTACATTGCCTCACACATCGTCAAGGTTCTATTAGATCTTGGATACCTAGTCCGAGGCACGGTACGCACTCCAATGCCATGGCTGACTGAGTATTTCGAGAAACAATGCGGCTTGGGGCGTTTTGAACTCATAGTGGTTTCGGACTTCCAGCAGTCCGATGCCTTTGACGAGAGCGTGAATGGTGTATCGGGAGTTATTCATGTTGTATGTTTCCTTTATACTATTGGTTCTGTCAGGAATACGAGTTGACCTTTGATATACCCAGGCTCAAGGCTTACCTTCTAGCACTGCTGCGGAAACCGTAGAAAGCGCAACAGCATACACTGTGAATGGAGTCGTCAATCTTCTCAAAGCGGCATCGACGGAGCCCACAATTAAGCGAGTTGTTCTCACTTCTTCTATCGTAGCGGCCGGCTACCCCACCGGAAAAGGGTTCAAGTTAGATGTTGGTAAGACAACCCCAATATATGTATCACACTACATGTAGATGGCAGGAAGGTTAAGCCCAGGCTGACAAAATCTATATAGACTCATGGGACAGAAGCCTCGAACAGGCATCCGAAGATGGAACAACTGTGCCCATATATCGAGCATGTAAGATCGAAGGGGAGAGACAGGCGTGGAAATGGGTTGAGAAGAACCAGCCACACTTTGAGCTCAACTCCGTTCTTCCGTGGCTTACAGTGAGTATATTCGAGAGAAATAGAACACCTCGTCCATATCTGATATTAAGAGTTGACTAACCACGAGATCATTCGAAGTTGGGTAAAATTCTCCATCCGAACATTGGTGGTTCAACTATGGGATATGTCTCCGGACTGCTCAAAGGAGATACCACGCCATTCAAATTTCTTCCGCTGCGTTAGTATTCCGAATCAATCAGGTAGACAGACCAAGCATCAAATAACTAATTCTCATAGCTTGGTTTGTGGACGTGGAAGACACTGCTCGTCTACACGCCATAGCTCTGATCAGTCCTAGCGTGCGTTCCGAGCGTCTCTTCGCCGCGGCAACCCCATTTATATGGGGGGACGTTATTGAGGTCCTCAAAAGAATTCAGCCCAACAATGCTCGTATCCCAGCTGCTCCTGTACAGGAAGAGCCGACGCTTGGAGATGTCATCCCGGCAGCAAGAGCCGAGAAGTTACTGCGTGAAACTTTTGGGCAGCGCGGGTGGACACCACTGGAAGTCAGCCTGGAGGGTGGTATCGCAAGGGTGTAACTTTGAAAGTCCAGCCTGTGTCTGTGTGACTAGCTGGCAAATAAGATAAAGAGATTCATTTTTTGAAGGAAGATGATACAGTCAAAATAAAGAAAACTAGATTAATAGAGCACCGAGGTTGCGACGACATTGTGGTGTTATGAGATATATGTTCACGGCATGTTGACTTCGTCAATATAATCATGAGGAGCAATATGATTCTAGCCATGAAGGCTTAATCGATACAAAGCACACGACATATTGTGAGATCGTCCAAAAGGTTCATTCATATATTAATGTAGTAATTATCAGGTAGGAAGTAAGATACAAACAAGCAAGAATCCGGATCCACTAGTATCTAACATGATCGCGCAGAAACTCGTAACCATCTTGAACAGCTTGAGCAGCTGTGTGGTCTTTCTCAAACCCAGGATAAATATCGAAAAGATGCACTGCCTTATCCACAACGCGGAGTTCAACCTCAACGCCCTTCGTAACCAGCTCCTGCGATGTCCTCTGGGCCTGTTCCACTGGAATGAGATCATCAAGCGTCCCGTGGATAATGAAAGTAGGCGTCTTGTAACACCCATTGCGAATCTGGGCCAGAGGGCTGACTGCTTGGATTTCCTTAAGAGTCGGAACGGGCAAGTCCTCGCCACAGTCGCCATCCTTATGAGCCGACCAGAAGCGGCCTCCGTGCAGCAACATCGGCAGACTTTGTCCTTTCCAGTTCATGTGCAATGCAATTCGACTGCGAGGGTCCGTCGGCGACATCCAGCCCCCAAGGGCCTTTTGGTTGGCCGGAGGATTGTAGGCAGTGATGGGTGTCTCGTGCATGCCTTCCCACAGGTTGTAGCTCATTTCTGGCGAGGCGGCATTCTTTCCATACGGGAAATTGGGCTGAGACCAGAATGGGTCTTCATAGTCAGTAGGCCCGTAGAATGCGAGTATAGCCTCGGGAGGCGCGATGCCCCTCTGCTCAGCAGTCCAAGCCAATGTCATGGCCAGATGGGCACCGGTAGACCACCCAACCGCCACCACTTGGGTTCCATCCGATTGTATATCGGGACGACCAAGAGATAACTTGGGCAGGACATTTCGAGCCCAAGAGAGAGCATCGCATACATCATGCATTGGGCCTTCCGTCAGAGAAACCTCTGGGCACAGTCGGTAATCCACACTGACCGGCAAGAATCCCCCGTCGAGGAGCATCTTGACTTGTTTGCTGCGGATGTCCCGGCGCGAAAGCATGATGTGCCCTCCGCCATGGATAAGAAGAGCTGTTTGTCGAGTGTAAGAAGGAGATTTGTCATGGGCCGAGGAAGAGGACCGGGAAGCAAGTTCGTCTACGTACCAATTGGACGGGGTTTTCCAATAGGCTGAAGATCCCGGGGATAGTAAATGTCTGCAGAGAGCTCCACGCCACCATTCTTGCCATAAGCGACCGTCTCCTCGTTCATGACACGTAAGGGACTCCCGGGGTCGGGGTAAAATGACGGCCGAGGTCGGCGACGCAGTAATCACCCGAAGAACATTTGACTCTTCGGAGTCATTGTGTGTCCAGTCAATCCATTGGAAACCTGACTGGAAAAGGGTTTGCTTCCACACGTGCTCAGTCGCAAGGGCGTGTTGCCGACCATCCTCGAACAGCCACCAGCCTTCCAGCAGGCCGAAGACAAGATCGAACCAGAACAAGTTGCGCGTGAGCTCAATTAGGCAAAGAATCCCGTCTGGTCGTAGAAGCTTGTTGATGTTTGAACACGACTGAACCAAATTGCGGGTTGCGTGCACACAGTTGCTGGATAGGATGATATCATATTGACCGACCATGTCAGGCGTAGGAGTCTGTTCAACATTGAGGACTTGGTATTTCATGAAGTTGTAATGCTTGAACTTCTTGCGTGCCAGAGTAAGCAGCCCTGAGGACAGGTCCGTGAATGTGTACTGGAAGCGAAGACCGGGGACAGCAGTGAGCTGACTCAACAAAGCCTTTGTTGTACCCCCCAGTGCCACCCCCAATTTCGAGAATCTTGATCTCCCTCGTGGTATCCATGCGGCCAAGGATATTGACAAGGTATTGGGCCAGGTGATTAGTTGCAGCCTTGAACATTGGGGCGTTGGTGTACACATCCTCCATCAGTCGGCGAGCCTCTGCATCTTGAAAGAGCAGGGAGAGTGGGTCAGCTGCTCCGCTCAAGCAGTCACTGAGTCGCGAGCCCGTTGTCTTGAGAAGATGGTGCTCAGATCTGTGCTGGGGATAGAGGCGAATGATTTCCTCATGCAATACATCAGACGAAACCGTGGGCACAGGGATCGTTGTGCGCACAAAGCCACGATCGGTAGCCCGGATGAGATTCGAGAACTCCAAGATGGAATAAAGCTGGTTTCGGACCTTGCCATGCTGTTTAAGAACTGGCACTTGCGGAATAACACACTCAGCCTCAAGTTTGTCTAGGGGGGACACCAAGGGACTTGAAAGCCTCTACCACATAAGCTGTGACAAGGGCCATCTGTTTGGGATATACAGATTCACAAAATCCGTTCCACTGGGTAAATTCACTGTGCGCCATGCTTCTCTGAATGTCAGTGAAAAGGCTAGGTGCGATGTCAATGAGGCCATGCACATCCGCATCAGAAATTGGGGTTGGGATGACATGGGTATTGTTCTCCGAGTCAGGTACATCTGTGGTCTCGATTTCCAATGACGGGGGAACTCCATTCGTGAGAGGAGCGGTTGCCGCGTCAGGGAAAATCGTCTGCACCAATCTCTGGATATCGGGGATTTCAGTCAAGGAGGAGGCGTCGATGCTGACATTGAACCTCTTCTTTATTTCCACAAGGACCTCAGTTCGCATCAATGAGTCCACGCCAATTTCTTCAAGATTCGAAGATGGCGACAACTCCTCGGAGGCGATCCCGAGTAGATCACAGAGCATCTCTTGGACGACCACAAATTGTCCGTGTTCTGCGGCAGCTTGGCGAGTGGGCTGAACAACAGGTGCTGTATTCTGAGGCGTGGGATTGACATCAATCTTAGAATCATGCCGAAGAGACAAGTCGGGAGATGCCTTTTTGTCATCGGCTTGATTGTTCAATTTTTTGAGCACTCGCGCCAGACCGGCGATGGAGACGCTAGTAAATTCTGCAGAGAGGATGGTGACGGCAAGTTTGCCTGTCTCCCGATCTAGGACAAACGTGTCACAGGCGATCTTGTTCTTAACAGATCGGTCCATGTTGGAGTATACACCCCAAGAAAGCGAGGACTTGGGGTCGCGGGTCATGAAGGCCTCCCCAATCAAGATTTCACCAACCCCAGTGCATACGAAAACCTCATCTTCATTTGTCTCCGAAAGACAGTTGACGTGGATTCCAGCGACTTGGATGAAATTGTCGACGAGCATAGGATCACATGCGGCATCCTTTGTCTTGGACGAGAGGAGGTTCACAATTCCAGCGGCCTCATGCTCGGTCGCGAACACGCGTTCAACGCCGCGATAGCAATCAGCGTAATTGACGACTCTACGGAAAGCCTGATAGACCGCGAATCCTTTGAGGCCGCTCGACTCCCGTGAATTGGCGATAGAATCCACGCGGGATGAATCAATCAGCCGGTTCATGGAGTGAAGGCGAACGAAGAGGGGTGTGTTCTGGCCAAAGGGGTGCAAGCTGATCTCGCCGGTTGCATGCGTGGTCACCGAGTTCTTATTGGGCTCACGAGTGTAGAGAGAGAATGACCAAGGGGAGTCACCGGCCCGGGCACGGGTAAGGCTCAATAGAACACTTCCAGTGGGGTTAAGCACAAGCGGAGCTGAAATGGCAAGATTTTGAAGGTGAGGCATAGCTGGGGATGTATCGTTTTCCGGGCGAATCAGTCCCGCGGCCCGAATGATCATTTCAAAGTAGAGAGAGGCAGGGCAGAGGTTCTGATCAAGTACTGCATGGCCTTGTGTGCACTCCTGGTAAAGGGGGTCCTTCGTATTGATTGCAAATACACACTCGGTGGGCTGTTTGGTGAGCAGCTGCACAAACTCTTTCGGGCCACCCGCAGAAGGAACGGTTGGCTTGTCTTCCGGCAACGGCGCAAAGGCGTTTGGATCATATGCAATCCAATGACGTGTTTGAGCGAACTGATAAGGCGGTAGGTTGATCCAGTTGTAACTTTTAGCTTGAGAATCATGGAACTGCCAGAACTGTACCTTCGCACCTCTGGACCACAGATTACAAGTAGCCTGTGAAAGATTTTTCTGGGCCTGTGGGCCTCCAAGGTCGAGGGATTGGTAGAGATGGTCTTTTGAGGAGGCTGTCACTGCGTCGATAACGCGTCGTACCAATGAGATTATTGGAGATAAAGATCCCGCCTCCAGCCAGATAGCAGGTCCTTGGATCCTCTGGGCCACTCGCTCAACGGCTATCTGGAAGTCAACACGTCCGCGGCTGTGGGCCACAATCTTGTCTGGGGTGACAGAAGACCAGTCGCCGTCCTGCCAACAAGCCTCAAGAGGGATAGAAAGTGGCGTGTATTGAAGCTGTTGGGCTACCTTGCTCAGAGAAGGAACAATGCTATCCACCAGGCGGGAATGGAAAGCATGTGTGTTCTTCAGTCTCTTTGTGCGAAGGATGGAAGGGGTTTTCGCTGACAGCTTCTGAATCATTTGTAGAGATCGCTCATCTCCCGCCAATATAATATTGCGTGGGCCATTGATACAAGCGACATCCACTGCCGCATCTGCCATCTGCTGTGTTGCGCGATTCAACAAACTCTGTACATCCGACTCTGTCCCTTCCACTAAGAGCATAGCTCCGCGCTCAGATCCCCACATGCTCTGGATCATTCTGGCTCGCTCTGAGACAAGATAGAGAGCATCTGAAAGATTCAAGCCACCAGCAACACAAAGTCCAGTAAGTTGGCCAAAGCTGTGACCTATAATTCGGTCCACTTGGAGTCCAGAAGCTATCCATGACATTGCTGATGCGTATTGGATTGAGAACAAAATGCAATGAAGGCTGACCGTATCTTCGATTGGACCAGTCTGGAAGATACGTGGGAACAGGCTCGGAAGGTCGCGAGTTTGACAAACCTTTTCACATTCCATCTAAACAAGTGCAGGCGGACTGTAAGCAAGCTATCATGACAGAGAAGTCAGAAACCTGGGAAGGGGGGGATTTCTAAGGCTTACCAAATGATATTGAAGCAGTTCACACTGATTAAACAGGTCTTCGGAAAGGGTTGCTTCATTTCCATTTTGCCCACCAAAGCACAGGATGACGGGCAGACGAGAAGCCGGTTGTTTCTGAAGATTGGTGGTCTCGCCTGACATCGACTCTAGCTTAGCAATAAGCTCGTTGGGTTGATCTGCGGGAACGCTTAATGTAGAAATGTAATCCATGTCTCTGCTCTGTTTGACTGCCAAGTTATACGCGATGTCTTGACAACAGCCCAGTTGTGCATTCCGGACACTTGTAAGCAGAACCTTGCAGTATGACCTGAGTGACTCGACAGAGTTGGCTGCAAGGATAACGGGCACCTCGGTAGGAAGGAGCGAAGCTCGATTTGAAGGTCCGGATGGCGCTTTGTATTGTTTCACAACAAGAGCCGCATTGCTTCCGGCAGCGCCGTAATTGGTCACCATTGCCACGGCATTCGAAGATGAAGTAGCAGCGGAGGGCCACTGGATTGACTTGGTTGGAATTGCGATTTCTTCGTCGTCCAATGCGGGGATCTTGGGGTTCAGTTGAACAAAATTGGCTTGCTTCGGTATTTGTTGTTTCTGCATCATCAAGACAGTCTTCAGTAGGCCAGCTACCCCTGAAGCGGTCTCTGTGTGGCCGATGTTATCTTTGATAGATCCGACATGAAGCTTTTCGCTACGGCCAGGTCCTCCAAATGCCTTTCGGATGCTGTCAAATTCAATTGGATCGCCCACTTGCGTACCTTATTTTTACTTGTGTTAATGGCATATACTTCAAGACGTTAGTGGTGGCTTCACGAACCTGTACCATGTGCTTCAACATAAGTGACGTCTTCTGGAGGAATTCCAGATGCCAGGAGGGCCTTCTGATAAAGGGATCTCTGGGAGTTCGAGTCTGGCACAGTGATCGGAGAGCAGTTGGATCCCTGGTTGACCGCAGACCCGCCAATTACGGCAAGAATGGGGTCTCCGTTGCGAATTGCGTCTGCGAAGGGTCGTAAAACAACTAGTCCTGCTCCCTCTCCGCGACAATAACCATTGGCAGTTGCATCAAATGCTTTGGAAGCGCCGGTGGGTGAGAGGAAGGAGGCCGCAGCTAGGTTTTGCGTTACTCGTGCGCTGGTCATGACATTTACGCCACCTGCCACGGCAATGGAGCATTCGTTGGTTTGTAGAGCCTGTGGTTTGCCCCGAATTGTTTACCGAGTCAGCCATATTGGTTCTCGGAGGTGCCTTAGAACCCGGTGGTGTAGGAAGTTAATAATGGGATCTTACCTTGCATGCAAGATGGATAGACACCGCGGCTGAAGAGCAGGCGGTGTCAACCACCACCGACGGCCCAGTCCAACCAAAATAGTGACTGAGACGGCCAGTGCAAAAGGCCTGAAGTGTTCCTGTAGCTGAAAATGCGTTCGCATGGGTTGATCCAACATTTTCAGTATAGTCATCGGAGCCAACACCAACATAACAACCAATGTCGGTCGGCACATTGGGATTGCGAAGGCCACAGTATCCAGCTGACTCCATAGCCTCATACCCGACCTGAAGAAGTAGTCGTTGCTGGGGGTCCATAGCATCTGCTTCTCGGGCCGAGATGCCAAAGAAGCGATGATCAAAAACATCAGGATTAGCCAGATAGTTTCCCCAAAATGGTCCCTTTGGCTCACGAAGAAGCTTGTCCATCTTGAATCGCTCGTTCGGAAGTGCGCTGACACCGCACTGCCCCAACTCGAGCATTTCCCACAGTTGCTCTGGAGAGTCTGCCTGGGCATATCGGCATCCCATGCCAGTGATGGCAATTGGGGTTGCTGTCCCGGCCATCGCAGCCACATTGGTTGACTGCGCCGATTCCGTGGGGAAAGATAATTTGTGGATTCCGTTTGGCAGCATTTCATGTTTGGTGTCCGACAAGCTGTTGTTCGTGTGATCTAGCACCCGGTTTCTGACTACACGTGGAACAAACTGGCCAGTTCCAATAGGAGCAAGGCTTACATCGACATTTGTCTCCCTCGAATGCTCAAGCGCGGCTGAAACAGTCATAGCCCATTGCGATGGTTTGGCCAGGATCGATTCCAGGGCAATTTTGTGAATGTCAGATATTTTCCCAACCACACGGCCGTCGACGTTGGACCTTAGTGGTAGGACACAGGGACCAGTGCCTGCCAACCGGAACCTGTCATCTGTATCACAAAGATTGCTAAGGTATTGAACAGCTGTGATATGGCTCGCATGGTGAAATCTCCCTTTCAGGTCGATAATTTTCACCGACAATCCGTGGCTTCCCAGCTCCTTGATCAAGTCATCTACTGCGTCCTCCGCGACTGTAACTGTGGCCGAGTTTGTGTCCGTAAAGCAGGAGACGTAGGCCTATATGTCCCATTGTTAGCACCTTCTCAAGCGCAAAACAGCTACCATAGGATGGGTAGGATAATATGAAGTTGAAGAATATGGGGTATCGGTTGGGTTGATATATATCACGCACAGTTGAAGAGCTAGCCAGCAATCGATTGAGTTGTTCATTCTCATTGCCAGACTTCCATCTGACAGCCACAGATCGGGCCTGGCCATGCGAAATGCCATCCAGGTCAACTGCTGCTCCAATGCAAACAGCCAATCGGACCATGGTGGATGCGATATCCGCGAATTCCTTGGCATCATTTGAGCACGCGACCGCGACTGCCGCGAGGAAGCCGACACAAAATCCCTGCGCATCCACGATTCTGTACTCGTTCCGGGATTTTACTTTGAATTTCCACGCATTGATTATCTGTCGAATCACAGTGAGGGGCGTCAGGAGCACATTCGTGGGATTTTTGGGAGTGGCTATCGGCCCCTGAACACAATCAGCGAGCGCCGTAAGTTGAGCCGCCCCAGGGACTGGAGACAAAGAGGCCCAGGCATCAGTAATGGTAGGCCATAAAGACGGTAGTCCTCGCAAGACATCCTTGAGGAAGTGCAACGCTGGATTTTCGTCGATGTTGCGGCTGATGTAAAATAGACTTTCATCAATCTCGGCATTCTGGGGCCCGAAGACAAGGCAAACGGGCCGACCCGGGCTGGTTTGTGATAGATCAACCATGGCAGCTTAAAATTTGGAAAGGAATATTTTTAAGGAATAAGACAAACAAAGAAGAGAATCGTCCCAAGATGGAACCTGATGTTGAACAGGTTTTGGTGGGATGAGGGAACCTTCAGTGTTGTCCTCGAGGTACATCAAGATTATAATGAAAACCCAAGGATTTAGAAACAAATACGGAGACAACATGTGCAGAATATCTCTGGTCCAAACGCATGTAACCACAGATGATAGATAGCCCGGTCTGGCAGTGTCTCTCCCTTGCTGTGTGAATCTCGAGCTGAAAATCTAGCGATTCTGCATGCAATATCCACCCAGGTGTGGGATCTTCAATGGATCAGCGCCTTATGGAGAGTATATGATCCTATGTGTCATTCTAACGGATATCCAGGGTTCAATTCCTTGTGGGTGGCTGGCTGATGAAGAAAGATTATGGAACGGAATCCCCGACAAACCTCTTAAGGCTTCAGACTCGTTATAACGGTACCAAAATACATAAATATTTTGAGAATTTTGGTTGGTTTCGGTATTTCTGTTATTTTTCATTGCTTTTTCAGTATCAGTTTCTATTCTTGTTTCGGATCCTCTTATAGTTCTCACCGTATGGAGTGTTAGTCTTTCGGCAATTCGTTCTAAATTTCGATTTTTTTCGTAAGTATATTTTCTTTAGGCTATTTTATGTTTTATTTTGGTCGATTCTAACCTACTACTTACGAGTCATCTCACGCTAGGCATCCTGGAATGTGACACCATTGGCATCTTGCATTTATTACTCCGTAATGCTTATTTATTTCCAAGATTGGATCGTTGTCCACACCAGTGGGTGTGAACATTCCGTAAGGGATGACTTGTGTCCTTGCTTTATCGTGTTATGCATATTGCGTTCGGAACAGTTCGGTCTCTATATGGCGTACGGAGAACTCCGTGGGCCAAAACCGGCTTATTGTCTCATTTCTCTAATTATGACCCTGATACTCGGTTGCCCCCAAATGTACTCAGCCATGCTTATTTGGAATATTGCGTTGGCAACTTAGGGAATTAATTATCCCATAGATATATCCCGCTGTACCGCGGAATACCTTGGGTATGGAGTATCCCCTTTAGACTCCGCTGTCCATCGAGCTGTCCGAATACCATGCAATGATTGACAGCCAGTTGGGGAATGCTACCCAAGGTTGAAGAATTTAATAGTAATACTGCCGCACTTATCGCATGAAGTTTTATGGTGTAGATGCAAGGTATATGAAATAATAACAAATCAAAGAGGATCAGACAGATGGTAATTTCCCCAATACAAAATTCATAGCAGTTGGATAATTGCACCCTCCCACCCGCAAACCTTTGGGCAGCATTGCCCAGTTTTCTCTCCGAACTAAGTTGTAAGACACATCACGCATGGCTCCAGACGAAGGCGACCCGGCGATGAGCCTCCAAGAAGAGAAACCTGCGTATCCATCCCTGAGCACGACGAGTTCCGCAGAGTTGCTGCATGGAGCACCATCGAACGACAATGAGCGACTTGACATTCTGCAGGTCGCAGAGCATGCAATGCATTGGGGATCTCCCAAAATCGACCCTCGGATATGGACCAATGTGACATCCCACTTCAGCGACTCCAGCACGCTAGATGGCCGCCAAAAGAATATTTTGTTTCAGAAATTGACAGTTCATGGCAAAGGATCCTCGCTCCAGATTCAACAAACTGTTTTGTCGGCCCTTCTATACCCTCTTGCGTACCCCATCAAACGGCTCGTGAAACTTGTTGGTAACAAAAAATCTCACGATGACCCAGGTACCATATTACATGGACTTGATGGGATCGTACGCAGCGGCGAATTATTGCTGGTCCTGGGTCGTCCTGGTAGTGGATGCTCAACGTTTCTGAAATCACTTTGCGGTTATCTCGAAGGCCTTGATGTCGATCCCGCGAGTGAGATACAGTATAATGGAGTACCCTTCAGGGTGATGATGGAAAAGTACCGGGGGACGTAGTGTACAACCAAGAGGCAGATCATCACTTTCCGAACCTGACAGTCGGTCAAACACTTGAGTTTGCAGCGCATGCACGAGCACCGCACAATCGAGCAGGCAACCCGGGTGGAGATCAGTACGTCAAATCCGTTGTGAAAGCGGTTATGGAGACGTTTGGTCTCACACACACATACAACACGAATGTTGGCAACGACTATGTTCCAGGTGTCAGTGGAGGGGAAAGAAAGAGAGTCAGGTAAGCCTTTCTCTATTCCGCTTGGGGGAAAAGGAAAGAAGGAAAGGCTATGAGAACTGACACAGTTGGTATGGACAGTATCGCGGAAACGGTTTTGTCACGGGCTTCCATCGTGGCCTGGGACAACAGCACACGTGGGCTTGATGCAGCCACTGCAGTCGACTTTGTTCGGGCTCTCCGCACGTCAGCCAAATTATCGGGATCTTGTCATGCAGTCGCTGCATACCAGGCCTCGGAGACTCTTTACAACACTTTCGACCAAGTCATCCTTCTATATGAAGGCCGAGAAATATATTTTGGCTCTCGTGAAAGTGCTGTCCCATACTTTGAGAGGATGGGATGGAAACGACCACCCCAACAAGTGAGCGCAGATTTCCTCACAGCTATCACTAATCCTGGCGAGCGACAACCACAAGTCGGTATGGAGCATGCAGTCCCACGCACGTCGCTGGAATTTGAAGAATACTGGAAGAACAGCCCCGAGCACGCAGAGCTGCAGATGTCAATGCAACAATACAAGCAGAAGACCCCCCTTGATATCTCAGAGGAGATCAAACTGGATGAAGTCAAGCGCCTTGAGCAATCGGCTCATGCTCGACCTTCTAGCCCCTACCTTCTCTCTGTACCGATGCAAATCAGACTGTGTATCGTTAGAGCTTGGCAACGGACCCGAAATGATATCCCAGGCCTGATTGCTTCAGCAGTTGCCCAGATTGTGGTATCCCTCATCATCGGGTCTCTCTTCTATGATATTCCACAAACTACCGCTGGACTAGGGCAGAGGGGATCGGTCCTCTTCCTCGCTGTTTTGACAAATGCTTTGATATCCCTGTTGGAGATCAACACCCTATACAGCCAAAGATTGATAGTGGAGAAACAAGCTGCCTATGCCTTTGTGCATCCCTTTACAGAAGCTATCGCAGGAGTTATTGTGGATTTTCCAATCAAGCTTTTCCGATGCGTCTTGTCTGCTATTATCGTATATTTCCTTGCAAATCTCCGGAGAGAGGCGTCTCATTTCTTTATATACATTCTGTTCCAGCTCACAGCCGTCATGACAATGGCCACAATGTTTCGCACTTTGGCCACTGTTACCCGGACTATCGGACAAGCTATGTCTCTGGCTGGAGTCATCATTATCTGTGTCGCGGTGTACACTGGCTTCACTGTTCCTCAATTCGATATGCCGCCGTGGTTTGCATGGATCCGATGGGTGAATCCGATATTTTACGCTTTCGAGGCCATTGTCGCTAATGAGTTCCACGGTCGCCACTTTGAATGCGTGGAATACATTCCAAACTTGAGTTTTCAGAAGGGAGTCTCCTTCACTTGCTCATATGTGGGATCCCGTCCCGGCGAGCGACATGTTTCTGGGGATGCATATATCGCAGGCAGTTACGATTACTCCTACGACCATGTGTGGAGAAATTACGGCATCTTGGTTGCCTTTCTTGTCTTCTTTTATGTACTTTATTTCTGGCTCACGGAGTTGATCCCAGGAACCACCCCCGCACATGAGGTCTTGATTTTCCGCCGTGGAGATGTACCCGATAAGTTGAATCGAAGTGATCTGGAGTCCGGAGAGCAGCCTCTACCCCTTCAAGAGATGAAATCACTGGCTCCTCCGGCCCGTTCCTCAATGGCAGACCAAAAGGATACGCTCAGCTGGAAGGGATTATGCTACGACATTCCAGTGAAAGGTGGTGAAAAACGACTTCTGGATGACGTTAGTGGATGGGTCAAACCCGGATCACTCACGGCGCTCATGGTATGTAACCACTCATCTACCTGAATTGACAACTTTCAGCTCATAACCATTGGCATAAATATAGGGTGTTTCCGGTGCAGGGAAAACAACCCTTATGAACGTTCTGGCACGGCGAATGACCATTGGGGTCGTTACAGGAGACATGTTGGTCAATGGCCACGAACCTGATGCCAGCTTTGCACGAAAAACCGGCTATGTCCAACAGCAGGATCTTCACGTAGAGACCTGCACGATTCGCGAGGCCCTTCGATTTAGTGCAGCACTACGCCAACCTCGGTCTATCTCAATAGAGGAAAAGTACAACTTCGTTGAGGAGGTGATCCAGTTGCTGGGAATGGAGGATTTCGCGGAAGCAGTTATTGGAAATCCCGGAGATGGTTTAAACATGGAACAAAGGAAACTGCTCAGCATTGGGGTCGAGCTTGCTGCCAAGCCTCAACTTCTGATATTTCTTGATGAGCCCACTAGTGGTTTGGATTCACGAAGTTCGTGGGCTATTTGCAAGTTCATGAGAAAGCTTGCGGACAGTGGCCAACCCGTTCTTGCTACAATCCACCAACCAAGTGCCGTTCTATTCGAGCAATTTGATCGTTTATTGTTCCTTGCCAAAGGTGGAAAGACTGTCTACTTTGGAGACATCGGTCACCAGGGTCGGACAGTTCTGGAATATCTGGAGAAGAATGGAGCTCGTCAATGTGGCCCAACTGAAAATGTGAGTTCTTCGACTCTTGATGTGGCTGTCTTTCTTTTCACAGAATTTGCTAATTTCACGTCTTCTAGCCCGCTGAATACATGCTCGAGGTCATCGGAGGGGGCACCCAAGGCCAGTCTACGCCCATTGACTGGGTTCACGCGTGGAAAAACAGCTCTGAACATACCAAAGTTCTTGAAGAGTTAGACAGTCTCGTCTCGTCGCCATCCAACGCTATCCCCGCCGAGCCCTCCAAGCTCTCCGAATTTGCAATGCCTCCTGCTGTCCAATTTTACCATGTTATGAAGCGCGACCTCCAACAATATTATCGCCAACCCGAATACATCCTGGCCAAGTTTGGTGCGGGGATCTTTTGTGGTCTTTTTGTCGGCTTCTCCTTCTGGAGTTCTGATAATTCAAGCCAAGGCTTTCAGAATGTTTTGTTTAGTTTGTTCCTTCTGTGTACAATATTCTCCACGCTCGTTAACCAGTATGTGTTCGTCCTGAGATCTGGTGATAACAACTTAACATACTGACTAAAAGCAGAATCATGCCGAAATTTCTTTCTCGGCGAGCATTATACGAACTACGAGAGAGACCGGCTAAAACCTACTCCTGGACGGTGTTCATTTTGTGTCAGATACTCGTTGAACTACCATGGCAAACCTTACTGGGGATATGTACCTGGGCCTCGTTTTACTTTTCGGTTTACGGTGGCGACCAAAGTCCCCAGCGGCAGGTGCTCATTCTTCTGTTTACCGTACAGTTCTTCCTCTTCGCGTCGACGTTCGCCCAACTTGTGATTGCTGCAGTTCCCAATCTGGTTTTGGGTAGTATGATGGCTACATTCACGTTTCTCCTATGCCTCTTGTTCAATGGTATCATGCAGCCACCTAGCGCACTGCCGCGGTTTTGGATTTTCATGAATCGAGTTTCACCTCTCACCTATTATGTGGGTGGCATTAGTGCGACTGCATTGCATGGCCGTCCGATCCACTGTTCTAATCGAGAGCTGAGAGTCTTTGACCCCCCCGCAGGGTCAGACTTGCGGTCAATATCTGGCCGAATATCTCAAAACAGCACAAGGCACGCTCTACAACCCGCTTTCCTCCGATCAGTGCCAGTATTGCCCACTTCGGGTAGCAGATCAATATCTTGCTGCCCGGGATATCTCCTGGAATGATCGATGGAGAAACTTTGGGATTTTCTCAGTGTATATCATCTGCAACATCATTGGTGCCATTGGACTATACTATCTGGTTCGAGTTCTACCCTACGCAAGGAAGAATCGCACACAGAAATCTCCAAAATGATCTGCTGGTATTTGCCCTCAACCTTCCTTTACACCACTCTTTTTCGCCACTCTTTTCGCCTTTTTTTCTTCCTTCTTTATTTCCAAATCTTCCTCTTCGTCTGTCTCTTCATCTTTCTTTTCACCCTCCCTTACATTAAACTTGCTTTTTAATATTATTCTATGTGTATCACTACACCCTTTTGTTCTTTTGTTTCTCATTCTATCTCCATGTTATAAAAAAGATTTTGTGCCTATATTGGCTAGTCAAAACGCGTCATACTTGGATGGTTAATTTAGTGGCGGTGAGAAAGGCATCGGATTGAATTAGTATTTCCGGGCTATTTACTCCGTACTATGGGGATATTTTTCAGAATTTGTCGACCGACACTGAAACACTCGCTAATATACAACATTGTACTGAAGTCGACGTCTAGATACGGGACCTGTACTGGATTAAGCGTTGACCTCCACTTTGTATTGCTGATGTAGAATGGTATATCTCACGAGCCAAGCAACTAGCTGCATCTCTGGGACGTTCCAGCCCTAGGAAATTGCGTCCGAAACTGCGTAAATAGATGACCCGCATAAACTCAAATTTGAAATATTGGTGTGATGAGTTCTTTGCAGATCTCTAGTAATCTGTGACAAATCTGCGTGTTATTTTCGTTCCTTCTGTATTACTCCGTACCTCTTGAACCATATCAATACATGTATGTAACACTTTAGCTGCGTACAAACCCCACGTAAGATACCAACCAGCCCAAAGCGAGATCACCGATATCGCGATCTTGAACATCTAGTTAAACACTCTTCAACTATAGTATATTGACCTAATAAACTGTCAGACGTTTGAAGTACAGACAAAATTCTATTAGTGGTGACTCGATTTGCTCCCAAGTTAAGCGATTCATTAAAACCCATTCATGATGCCGACCTCACTTGCATGTTTTAATTATATATATTTTGGAAGAACTATGTTGTACAACATACAAACGGGATCACCCTTTCACATTGTACGGCGTTCGCCGCTAGGAGCCAACTATGCATATTGTTTGGATGATCAAGTTTTCATGTATGTTATACAAACATTTTCCACTCGATAGAGCCATGAATCTCAGCTAGGGTATTGTCACTATAGCCAAGAATGGGGCAAAGCCTAGAGGTTCTGACTCAGTTTTTGCGAAGTACATTCCAAGATAGTAATTTATTTATATTTTCTCGAGATTGGTATTATGACATTGTTACGAAACGATTAAGGGCCCTGGCAGTAGTATATTATTTTTCTCATATGTACATGTAGTACTGGTGATACTTGCACGTATGGGCGTTTACATTTTCTCGTTACTTTCATTCTGGCATGATACGAATACATACCGGTACATACCTGTTCAGCCAAGGGACGGAACGGGACGTTCGGTGATCCGATGGCGATCATTTCTTGGTTGTACGACATGGGTGGATCATCCCGGTACACTATATACGTACTCCTTCCCAGGTTCTGATACATGTTCCAAGGATGCAACGGCCACCCCGAAGAGGCCACATTCTTCAATAGTCGCAGATCTTATGCGGTAAACAATAGGGGTGCGAAACCCGAGCAGGAAAGGACATGAGGCTGAACATAGAATCAAACCTGTGGAATCACAAGGTCGCAATCAACTCCCTACTCCCGCAACCTTCGAATTCCACATTCCTCACTCTCATTTATTTTATTGGCCAGTCAAGGTAGATTTCTGTGAATGCTGTCCTACCCTCTCATTGTTGCCACTTTTGCCCACTCCCATCTCTGGTGCTCGGGTTTGTGGCCATGATATTACTGTGTACTCCGTATAGCCAATTTAGTAATGGATACCTAATTTTCCTATTAGCCCTGGAAAGTGGAGGATGGCTGGACCTACTTCTCTGAGTAAATTGTTATAAGCTGCTGGATATATCGAGGATGAAAGTGCTACATAAGAGTGGTTCGATATCTCCTGTTTCGGAGCTAACCACTCTACAGAAAGTGGACCATGCACGATCGCCGTTGACCTGGTCGGCAACAAGTGCAAATACAAGTCCTACATGTATAGGCCGAATCTCACTGTAGTTACACTGGTATTTGGCTCCAGCTCAATTTGCTACTTTGGTTCAAGTCAGCCTCGCTTTCATGCTACAATATGAAGGTAGGACGCACACAATCTTTGCCGAATACTCCTGGGTTACTGTTGACACCACATCAGGTCTAAACCGGCACCACAATACCGCGGTGAGTAAATGAATCTGATGTATGGTCAACTGGACATCATTGGAAATTAGCATGTACACTGTAATTGTAACCTTTACACATTTAGGTCGAATATATGAAATATCTGGAAGTGGGGGAGGTAAGGAGAGATTGCATTGAGATGATTTGTCTCGAAATTGCAATGACGAATGCTTATCCACCTGCACCAATGACACTCATGGGCATCGTAATATGGTAAGGTTGCGAAGGTCCAAATCGGTTCATAACCCTGGAGAGATAACCGGTAAAACATTGTACATTGCATGTGCATGACTGAGCCAGCCACTGTAAAAGTATCAGCTAGCCACCAGCTGGCTCTAAAGCCCTACCCGAGTAGTCAAATAGCCGGAAGTGAACACAAAAATGTAACCGGACGTATTATAGGACATTATATGCCAGCTGCTTTATTTGAGTGGGTACTTTCTATTTGCTGTGCCGCTTAGCATACCAACCAAATATTCAAAATACATGTCACAATGCACCGTTGACCCTTACTGAGAGGCTGGCGGTTCTTAGGTGGCAGATCGCTGAATAGGACTCCATTGCATATCTTATGCAACGACTGCTTATGTTTTACCCGTGTTAGTAGGTACTATGGTCATCAATGGTGCCTGTCCTTTGTGCCTTTAAATTTATGACCGAATCTGTGGTCGTTCCAAAATAATTCTCGTCCCGTTCCAAAAGTGCTTTCACTATGGCCGTCGACAAGTTGCCATTACTGGCCAAGTTCGAGCCTGTGAGCCTGGTTGGCTTGGTCCTTCTGTCAGGCCTATTTTTCTTATTGACAGCATCGCGCAAATCCGACCTTCCTCTTGTCAACGGAAAGCGACCATTTGAATTTGGAATTGCTAAAGCTCGTCAGCGATATCTGAAGAACGCCCATAACCTAATTACTGCTGGTCTGGCCAAGGTATGTAATTCTAATGTGACCCGGATACATAGTCGGAGTCACTAACGCGTATGTATAGGCCGGTGCATTTAGGATCGTGACGGAAAATGGCACTAGAACTATCTTGTCGCCTAACTATGCCGATGATATTCGGAGTCATCGTGATCTGAGCTTGAGTGCTGCTTTGGTTAAGGAGCATCATGTCAATATCGCAGGCTTCGACGCAGTCAAGGTCACTGTGACATCTGATATCATTCAAGACACTGTCCGAACCAAGCTCACTCAAAATCTCTGTATGACAAGGAAACTCTTCATTGGCGATAGGAGTAGCTAATTCAAGTAGTGAACATTACCGAGCCCATGTCAGAGGAAGCTACTATTTTGTTGAAAGAACAGTGGACGGACAATACCGGTAAGTGCCTCGGATAAGACCCTGGTCCAACATAACTGACCTCCTTCCTTAGAGTGGCACGATGTTGCGCTCCGACCCAAGACTCTCGGCATAGTTGCCCAGCTATCCTCCCGAGTATTCTTGGGCGACAAAGTTTGCCGTAACCCAGACTGGCTCCGTATCACCGTTAACTACACCATCGACTCTTTGATGGCAGCTGCCGAACTCCGGCTCTGGCCTGAAATGCTGCGCCCACTTGCGGCCAGATTCTTGCCCAAATGCAAGAAGATCCGGAAGCAGCTTGAGGAGGCTCGGGACATCATCCAACCTGTTATCGACGAGCGCCGACTGGCCCAGCAGGAGGCAATCAAGCAGGGGAAGCCCCAGGAGCGCTATCATGATGCGATCCAGTGGCTTGCAGAGAACACCAAGGATCGCAGCTTTGAACCTGCTGCAATGCAATTGGCCCTCTCTACTGCGGCCATTCACACAACGACTGATCTGCTTAGCCAGACTGTCCTTGATCTCTGCGGTCGAGACGAACTTATCCAAGAACTGCGAGAAGAGATCATTTCTGTGTTCAAGGATGGGTCTTGGGATAAGAGCACAATGTACAAGCTCAAACTGATGGACAGTGTGATCAAGGAGTCTCAGCGAGTCAAGCCTATGGCGATCGGTAAGGACCTACCCACTTCATTACAAAGCAGCCACAATCTAACTAATATTGTGAATAGCCAAAATGGCACGTTGCGCCGAGGAGGATGTCAAGCTTTCCGATGGAACTATTATTCCGAAGGGTGAGATCATTCTTGTTTCCTGCAGTAAAATGTGGGACGAGAATGTGTACCCCGACCCCAACACTTTTGATCCTCATCGATTCCTCAAGATGCGCCAACGGGGCTCAGACCAAGAGAGCTTCGCTCAACTGGTTTCCCCCTCCCAGAGCATATGGGATTCGGGTTTGGAAAGCATGCTTGCCCTGGACGATTCTTCGCTGCTGCAGAGCTCAAGGTTGCTCTATGTCACATCATCATGAAGTACGACTTCAAGGTGGCAGACGGATGTAATCCACAGGTGCTGAAGTCCGGAATGCGACTTGCGGCAGACCCATTTGCCAAAATTGCTATTAGAAGACGGCAGGAGGAGATCACTTTCTGAGGTCTTTCCAGATTCCAATTCCGACACTGGATCGCTTCACCCTGGGCTCTTTGACACTTCAATCCAGGTCGTTGTTTCAACACAGGTGTATTCTTCCGCAATATCGCCATATCCTTGCTCCATCAATGGGCTATAGTAAGGTGAAGATGGACGAGATAAAAACAAACCAATCTAACTTAACGGATTTTACTTTACAAGCTCAGACCATATGGTGGTTGTGAATGAATGATAGCTTTTCTCAGAAACGGATCACACTTCATGACCCGGTGGTTTAGTATTATAATTGCTTTCTTGGCTAGACAGTCCAACATAGCAAGGAGACATCGATGTAGGTAATACGTATGAAGTTAGAAATATCTTCAAGGCTGCCAGTGACTAACAAACACGCATGCTGATTCATTGCTTCCATGTCGGCCTACATCCCATATATATACCATCAAGTCTGCAATGCGCCATAATAACAATCAACCCGGCTCATGTCTCGGTAAATAATTGGAAAGAGGCTAAGAATCGAACCTATGAGGCAGGGCACCAAAAGCGTCACGAATCGTGTTATATTGGAGTAACGAGGTTGAATTAATGCAGCGAGATTAGATGCGGTACATAGACCATTAATTAATATTATCTAGACGAACCCGATAAGTAGCTGGCTATGTAAACAGTAGAGGCCTAAACCGAAGCCGGCCTACACAAACTGGAGCAACCTAAATCAATGGAGTCTCTTACTCCTGAGCACGCTTCCATACTGGCTCAAGGTTTTCTCCGATTTCACGAACGGCCTCCTCCTCGAGTTCACTGTGAGAGAGACCGGTGCGCTTCGAGATGTTGGACTTGGACTCCTCACGAGACATTTCCACTGTGATCGAATATTGTCAGTCATCTATCTAGCATCAAGAACTCTAAGGGAGCATACCGTGCAAATAAACAGCGGCTTTCTTGCCAGTGTACATGGCGTGAGGGACATTGGTGCTGCCATCGCTGTTGCAATCGCCAATGGCAAAGACACCCTCCTCGCTGGTACGCATCGCGGCAGTAACATTGATCTTATCATCGACGATTACCAGGCCCATCTTGGCTGGAAGTGGCGAGGCCTGTTCAGTGGGGTAGTTGACCATCAAAGCATTGCGCTCAACAGGGTCACCAGTAGTGAAGTGAAGGCGGAACTTGTCAAACTGCTGATCACCGTTCTCGCCCCTGTTGTCGCCGCCATCCTCGAGGCGCTCAATAGAAGCGATTGTGCGGTTATCGATGGTAGTGTTCCAAGCGGCAAGTTGCTCTTTCCAGTCCGGGTACTTCTTAGCTGCGCGGGCCTCGCCCTCTGCAGTTTGCGAGCCATTCACAAATGCAATGATATCGCTGTACTGAGTGTGGGTTTCCAACACGTTGCCCAGCATGTGGCTGATATCGCCGATCATGCCAAATGGCTGGTCCCTGTGCTCGTAGCCATCACACCACGGGCACCAGAAGATACCTTTGCCCCAGTTTTCGCGAAGGCCGGGAGTCGGGGGTAGAATGTCACGGACACCGGTACCGAGCACGATTTTGCGGGCAGTGTAGCTCTTGCCCGTGCCGTCGGTCACTGTAAAGGCAGTGTACTCTCCCTCGATAGGAACGATTGATTCCACGGTCTCATTGCTGAAGTGGGCAGTTGGATACTTCGAGATCTGTTCGCGGGCTAGACCTCTGAAAGCAGCGGGAGGGGTACCTGACGAGGATGAAATATGTTAGACAAGAAACATTGTGTGTCGGAGTAGGATAGAATTCAATCTCACCATCATTGCCAATGACATCGTGCATTTCCCGGGTCACACCATTCCGGTACTCCTGGCTATCAAGCAAGAGAGCCGTCCGGCGAACACGAGAGACACCACTGAGTGCACTGAGACCCGCAGGGCCACCGCCGACCACAATGACCTCGTAATCAGTCTTGGGCACTTCCACCGCGGCGGCACATGCCAGCAGGGAGACAAAAGCGGACGCGAAGGTTGCCTTGCTGAAAACCATGGTGAAGGATGCTTACAACTGTTGAGCTCTCGGAGGACCGCACAGCAGTGGGAGACAAGGTCATTTATAGACGTCCGCTATGTCGCCCATGCTGTTTTACAGAGTGGTAGAGCCCTATAAAATTGCTCAAACAGACGCATGCGTGTGGAGACACTAGTGGCATCTCGAGCTGAGGTGGCTGAAGCTGAAGAGATCGTCGGGATCAACAGGATCACCGATGATTTACAGGGGTCGGGTTCCCTTGCGTATTCGCTAATTTCAAGCTCCTTCCAGGGCTGTATGTCGAGAAGACCTCAACTGGCAATTCGTGTGGGGTAGGTACCTACCTAGGTAGGTTAGTCCACGGGTGGTGAAGAATGTTGAACTAGACTCTTACAAAAAAGTAGCCTTAGCCAAGACCGCCTGCTTAATGAACACTAGTGGCTACCCACTTGCGGACGCTAGTGCCTCGATCGGGAATACCATTGGGCTTTGTGGGGAGGCGCTAGTGTGTCTGTGCAATATAATAGTGTTTGGTGGCACCAGTGGACCGTCAGGGCTGAGGGACGTCCCGTGGACCGCCCTCGGGCACTTAAATGTTATCCCTTGCTTCGGTCTTTGATCCCGCCGTTTTCATGATTCAGAGGCTTTATGCTTCGGTGCTCCCGAGACCAGCTGAATATCACATTCAGATTGTGTTGCATTGCAGATAATTTCGGTTGTCGTATGGTATGGGTCAAAATATGCGTGTGCTACATCTCTTTTGGGTGGAATGAGTGTGCTCGGAAAAATCAGTTGTCAGGTATGTAGTGCTGTAACATCAGAAGTGCGCTAGCATATGTAACTAGTAGGTACAGAGGAACCTTGGAAGAATACCTACCTAGGTAGGTACCTAGGAATGATGTTATCTAATTGAGATTGGTGGCCCTGGGACAACCTACAAAGGTAGGCCTCATTTTTTGCGCGACCTCTAAAATCTACAACGCCCCGGGACCTGTAGGTGGAATGAGGTGATAAATCACATTCATATGTTGTTTTTCACACGGGATATTTTTCGTGGTGGAGTTCATACTAAATCGAGCAACCGCCTTCACTGGTGTCCAAAAGATACAAAACAGTCTCGAAAAACAGCCATATCAGGAATTGATCGTTCCCGAACTATAGACTGATGTAATGCTTCAAAGCCATTCAGCTCCAGACCAGTACAACCACAAACGATTCCTGTGGTCGACTCTTCATCGGCCTTTGACTGGGCCTTGCATTTCATCGTCGTGAATACAGAAGCAGCAGCGGGATGCAAGGATACTATGCATGTTAACATGGTCTTGGGTAGAAGGTTTGTAAGTAGATCGAGTCAATATACGGAGTCGCACATCGGTGTTTGATTGCCCATCTACCGTAGTATGTGTCACACCCAGGTGGGAAGCAAATCGATGAGCTTCGAGTTCCCCGGGTCGCTTCTTCCAATAGGAAACAACAAAGAGAGAGGTGTAAAACCCTATGCGACGATAAGGTTTAGGGAGGGGCCGGGAACCCCTCGCTCCACATTCAGGAGGATACTGTTCAGTTTATCAAGATATCATAACATAGAATCTTGATAGCCGTCCATGGGTATCATTAAAGGAAGCAGGCACCAAGTTGGATGAACCGTACAATAAGCAAAATGTCGCGGAAGGTCACAAAAGTAAACGCCTCCCAGTCTATAAGCGCCAAGGCCAAGTTAACCCGCCTTAGCCCATCTAACAAAGCTTACTAGATTTACAAAATCTCCAGTTCTGTCATGATAATCATACATCTTCCTGGTCATCAAGAAGCAACACCTTCAGCTTCTCCAATTTATCTTCACAGTGCACTTCCATCTGCATCACCACGTCAACAGCATCCTTTCTGGTGATAAGCAGTTGCGATACCAGCCAAAAGTTATAGCTATTCTTGAACAACCCCATTGACGCCCATTCGTCACTTGTTACTCTACTGCGTAGCGCAATCCAGCAATCACGCCAGCGGGACAGAGCAATGCGGATGGCAATGAGGATAGAATCTCCAGGAACCGCGCTGTCTTTTGTGCCAATCCTGGCACTATTTCTGGGATTCTTCAAACGGCCAGTGGGTATAAAAGAACCGAGAAGTGTCATATGAGTATTAATAAAGGAGAATAGAACTAGAAATGGAGTCAGCCGGTGCAAGGCACTAAAGAAAGCTTTGGGCACAAGACGTACTGTGAATCAAGATAAACATGTCTAGTGCAGTAAGGTCCATTGGACTAGACTCGGGTGCTTCGTCAAACAGATTCCTGAAAGCCTCCGAAAGCCTAAGGTCACGTTGGAAGCGAAAATTTGGCTCCGCGAACGGGTGCTCGGAGACGAAAAGTGATTCATCGCAGGGCAGATCGCATTCCATTTCAGTGCGTGCCAGGCGGCAAGGGTAATTCTGAAAGAAAAAGAATGCGCAGTCGAGCAGCGAAATCATACAGATCGTCCTGTAAATATCAGCGAGGCGAATCCGAGAAGGGCGGAAGATACGCACCTAATTCGACACTCCTTTTGGATCCACAGGTGCTCTGAGACCTGGTCATCAGGAAGATGACGGGATTTGACAAGTCCGATCCGTCGAGCAACCTTCACAACCTCACCAAATCGGTTTTCCATCGCGCGATTTCGAGACAGACGGTTTCCAGCCCAGTATTGGGCAATAGTGATGATAAACCCGGCCTGGAAATTCAGGAACCAATCCCAGTCCTTGGTTTCCTCGTTGAAGGATTTGCTGCCTGAGAACGTGGCGGCAATCTCGCTCTCTGCCGAGAACACATCATTCGCAAAGATGAATAGCTCTGCAAAATCTAGCACTCTCTTGGCGACGTAGACCTCCCTCTCGTCGCTACTGTACATTGCGCCCATAAAGACTACCGCGGCTAAGAGCGGCAGGGAACTGTCTCCGGATCAAACGACATATGAAGCATTGGACAGTTAGGCTGCCAGTATTTGAAATAAAGCGTAATGTATTTTCGTATCCGCGCAGTGGTCAATAGAAAGTTGAGATTTGTAGATAGCTCCTCCTGCGCTGTAGGAGCAAGCGGGACCTGCCACGCTTGTGTTAATATTATATGAATTAATGTCATTGCGAACGGTCGCTCCGCTTCAAAGATAGGTGGATCTCTGGGCAATGCAGTAGGATGCTGTCCTGGAGGGATGCCGCACTGGTAGCTCAGTTCGCCGGTATGATAAGGATTCCCCGTGGGCCTATTTCCATCACCGAAAGGGCCGTGGAAAAAGTCCAGGAATGTATCTTGGAAGAATTGCGGCGCGACAGGCTCGGAATCAATGAAGCTAGAGCCGTATTCCGCCCGAGCGGCATTGATGTTGTAAGGGAACCCTGCGCCCTGCAATTCCTCGAAGCCAATTGTATTGTGATAGTCGAGACTGCGCGTACGATCACTGCGCGGGGGGAGTCGAAAGTTTTCTGTGAAGCTATCGGTGCCACCATTAAGTAAGAACTTGATCGACCCTCGGTCGGATGATGGCTCTTCTTGGGGGATCTCGGGTTTCACCGATATTTCTGTGCGGTTTGTATAAGTCTTCCATTGCAACCCACTTGACTCAAGGTTTTCGGTACCTTCTTCGATCCCTAGGTGACTTTGACCAGTTGTCCGCTCGTTGTTGCATATCAAGTTTCTCTTCTGACAGGATCCGCAAGGACTTTGTCCATCGCACCGCAGTTTCATCGAGGTACACTATCCGAGAAAAGCAAATGTCAGTACCCATAGTAGGCTCGCATGTAGTATATGTGTGCGCTAACCGATTGACAAGCATGTCGCCGCCTACCCCTCTGACCCGTCTCGGGAATTTCGCGATCCCCGCGCTTGGCGCAATCGGTGTAATGGACGCGCAAATTGTCACTAAGTCCCGAGGATCAGATTCCGAAGTAGCTACTATAGATTGTCTTGGCTTGTCTCACCAGCGCGCAAATGAGCCATTGCAGAATATGCAGGAATAGGGTTTCTGGCCAGAATCTGTCGAGGTTCAGTATGTGGCATGGGTAGCTGCAGGACCACACATACGGCGCAAATGGTGGCGTTTGAGGTGATCAATGCGCGTGAATGCACGCTGACAGACGTTACAGCGGAAGGGCTTGTCTGTCGGCTCCATGGTGGCCCACCGGGGAGGAGGGGAATATCCGGGGTACGAAGAGAAAGCAACGTGTCTGTGGGGGGAAAGGACGATGTATCGGTATTTCTATGAAGTCTGCAGAAAGGAGGTACCATTTGGGCTTTGGGTACGCCAATAAGTACCTGGCAATATTACCAGTCAGGTATGGTATGGTCAGCCCCCTGAGATCACCAAATGTGCTGAAAGGGGCTCAAACAATAAACATCCATTGATACTATTGATCTACCAGGATATCTCTATTTCCCCTTTTCTAAAAGTTCTGATTTAATTTACTCCGTAGGCTATTGGTATTTGCATAGTTCTTCTTGATGGTCAAGGTTCGCCTTGCACAGTCCATGCGGGTATCGCCACGACCTCTCCTATTTAGCGATATTCATTGGACACGGAAAATCAACCATTCTATCATCCAAGTAATCCACGTTGATCTTGTTATGCTTCTCATTCTCTGTCCAGCCATCCCCAAGCCAACCAAAGACGTTATCATTCACATAACAATACTCGAAGTCCTCCCATCGGGGGTTTGCGAGCACCTTCATGGAGTGTAGGGAAGAACCTGAGATTAGGCGGTCAATACCAGTGCAGTGGGAATTTGAGAAGCCAACACATACCTGGCCAGAGAGCGGTGACCCGACCATCCTCAGTACCACCCTTATACCAGCTGCGACACTTACTGCTGAATACAGTTCCCGCGAAATATGCATCGCAGTATCGTGTGAAACGCTTGACTGCCTCCCGCCGAACACCCATAGCCCGAATATTGTCCCGCTGCATCTTGCGCACACATTCTGTGACATAATCTATCCCTCTCTCGATGAGCAGGAGAAGATTGCCCTCGCCCAGCCCGGCATTAGGTCCGAGGGAAATGAAATAGTTCGGGAACCCATCTGTCGCGATTGAGAGGTAGGTCTCCGGGGTTTGTTCCCATCGTTCCGAAAGGGTGACACCTTTCCGGCCTTTGATCACAAACCGTGGAATATATGATGTGTCAAAGCCGGTCGCACATACAAGCATGTCGACAGGCCGGTGTTGACCATCTGCGGTAATTATCCCGGTTTCGTCCACCTTGACAATATCCGATGTGATAAGATTTACCTTGTCATCTGTCAACGCTTCTAAATAGCCGGGACCTGGGGTGAGTCGGCGACACGCGGGCGGAAAGGAAGGAAGTAGTTCATCAATCAGTCCAGGTTTATTGGCCAGGCGCCGCTTCATGTTCTCTGCGAATACCTCCTGTTCTGCGAGCTGCATTGAATGCCCGGTAAGGGTGATACCATGGATAGACTGAAGCTCTAGCTCTACGTCTGTGTTTACCGTTAGCTGAATATATGTTCGTTGCCAAGTTCGTGTATCTTCGGGCATACCTTTGCGGAATTTCTGATATGTCTGATGATCTTTCTTGAAGGTTTCGATGTCTTCGGACGTGAAGGTAACTATTCAACTTGTGTCAATGGGGATAGCAAACACGGCTGAGGGGGGTTTTCTTTCATACAATTGTCCAGCCCCTGTCCACGCTTTTCAATTTGCTCTCGCCCAAACGACGGGGAAATCCACGTCCTACTGCGCGCATAATGGTCGATGTGTGGCACGTCAGGTAGCAATGCGGGAACAATCTGGATCCCACTCGACCCGTTACCGACGACCGCAACACGTTTGCCCTGTGATCGAGTAAGTCTATATACAGCACAATGTCGCAAACTCGACCAACCTTGTAATCATAGGTCTGGTCCCACGAGGCACTGTGCATCAACTTGCCCTTGAATTCCTGAAGGCCAGGGATATTTGGCCATTTCCAGTTGTTCAATGCTCCCGTCGCCTGAATTACGATATCACATCGATCTGTGTAAGTGGTCGAGCTCGCCGAGTCTTGAATCTAAAGAGATGAGGTCAATTCCTGAACTGACTCTGTGGACAAATTGACATACCCCCAGATTCCACTTTGATTGCTCCTCATCCCAGACAGCTTCGGACATCTGCTGTCTCAATTTGATGTGCTCCATGCATCCGTACTTCTCGGCGACATGCTTCCAATACTGGTGGATCTCTTCAGCCTTGGCATAAAATGTAGACCACTCTTTGTTAGGCTCGAAGGTCGCTTGGTAGGTATGAGCTGGAATATCTATCAGACACAAGGCTGGTTAGTGTCAAATTTTGGAAAAAAAACAAACATCCGTTAGTTATCGAATCGGGCAACTGTATTGACATACCACAAGCACACCCTGGATATCGATTCTCAAACCAGGTCCCTCCAATATCTGCATTCTTCTCGTATACACATATGTCCAGATTGGGAATTCGCTGCCTGAAGCGGATACATGCCAGAATCCCTGAAATGCCAGCACCGATGATGACCACTCTCAGCCGGCGGGCTTCATCAACGGACCTCTCTTCCACCGCAGGAAAGTCCCTCATCCTGAATGCAGAGGATTGGTGTATTACCGGAGAAGGGAAATGGACAAAGACAAGAGACTCAATCGAGAAGTACACAACTAGATGGGGATACTCTGTCGTTTCCACGCATTCAACGGATCTACAGCGACATAGGGAGGGGTCTTAATACTTGCGACATCGTCCGAGGGAAACTTACCCCGACGTCAAATCCGACAGGTGCCCGCAAGTATCGGCTATAGTCTTGAGATGACAAGCCGAGTCTACCTACCCATGGAGCTCAAGTTTGTCATCTGCTCGGCTCAACCGCGGATAATCAGATGTGAATGGACCGGAAATCCCCCTATACGACCCACCCCGGATCCAGTTGTGGAACGCCCGTGGGTCTGTGGCCTGGAAATTGGACTACACCTGGGCTGTAAACCGGGTTATAACGATCTCGGATATACGGGTCTAACGAACTTTTTGCCGTGTCTGAGCCCGCTATACCAGTGTATGGGACCTGGATTTAGCGAATACCCGGATATGACGAACGTTCTGCCGTGTGTGAATTAGTTCTTAGAAATAGGGTTTTACTGTACAACCTTGGAAGGTCCTTGCCCTCGTCCATGTAAATCCGAGCCCTGCTGCGGAATGAATCATGGGCGAAGAAAAGTAGATAGTATTTTAGGCCGGAACAACTCAACAGCCGAGACCCAATTGAGGAAATGTTTGTCTGGAACAGACGTAGAAGAAGTATTCAATGGAGTGCGGCCTGAAGAAAGTCCATTTTCAAAAATTTCAGTATGAAAAAGATTCCTATATAAGCCCACGGTCGATTTGTTGTCATACGAATAATTGAGACGCTTACAGTAGCGCAATATGTATCTAGTGTGTGACGTTGGGTGACGAAAGTTAAATTAGGGCTAGCATTGCATTGCTCGATGAGAGGAACTGAATGAGAATCAATAGGATATGGCGGTAGCTTTGAGCATTTACGAGTTATATCCATTTTAACACTTGCATTCCCGAGCCCAGGCGTAGTGAAACGGCTCCGGGTCCACCCTTGCGTGAGAATCGCAACTCTCAAATCGGCAGTTCTGCAGTCCGTCTAACAATGTCAAGGACAAGGGTCTCGTTCAAGTGCGAATATGGTTACAGGTTTGATATGACGGGGGCATGCTCTTCAGGAGACTTCACACCAACCGTTCAGTTCTGCATCTGCCTGCCTCGGTTAATATATAGAGACCTCGGTGCAGTGCTAGGCCCTCATCTGAGGGTGAAAGGAGTGAAAGGCCGTCAGGTGGTGGACGAGTCGATCTTTCCGAATAACGTCAGTGGTAATATGCAGGCGCCTATATTCAGTAGCGGAAAAGGCAGGCGATTGGATCAAGGAGCATTGGATACTACTTGGACGTGAGTGGGATAAAAGCATATTCTAGCGCCGAAATTGCGAGTCGTCTTCTACACTCTATCGTATCCCCTGAGATATACCTTGAGAGTTCGGAGATTTGAATATGTCAACGCCAAAAGGCGAGAAACTAGATTTTATTTTTTTTCTCTCTCTTTTTTCCTCCTTTTCCTTTCCTCTCTTTTCTTTTCCTCCTTTTTCCCCCTCCTTTTTTTCCCAATCAAATCCAATAGAAACTGGAAGATAACGAATAGATAGTAAGAGTATGGTGCGACTTTGATAGGTTGCTAGATCCTCGTTGGAGCTCGAGACCTTGTTCCATATCTTTACAACTTCATCTTCTGGAAGATGCCTCGTCATTCCAGCTCATATCTCGTATGCCGCCCCTCTTCATCAAACGTTCGATGCTAGTCTCCAGTAAAGCGACCGTGGTGTGATTTGCTCCCAGGCAAACCTGATCGCTTAGACTTTAGAGCGAATTGATCATCTTGCGGTTCATAATAGCGTCATTCAGTCGTCGGTGGACGTTTTGGACTTCCCCAAACCGGATGTATCCGCAGGACTCGCTCTCCAAGTGATTGAACAAAGAAGCGAGGGAGACGAACTCCTTGCCACAACCACGCTTGTTGAGGCAATGGTAAATCTTTTCCTTGTGGACTGGTGAGTTAAGGTGCGCATTCAAACCGGCCATTGAACCGAATCCCTTCCGACAAATGTAGCATTCCCAGTTCGTACCGTTAAAGGCGCAATCTGTAGTGTAGTACTGGACGTTCTGTTCATTGCGCCATTCGATCTGCTTGTTTGTGACGAGTCCGTTGGGGTCCAGACGCTGGATCATGCGGTGAATTGTCTCCCGGTTCCACTTGCGAGCGTTCGGGCAGCCAGCATATTCAATGTGATGGGTGACACCACTTGCGGTGACGAAGTGAGCATCACAAAATGGGCATACGACATCAGCACCGCGGTGAATGCGCGAGTTCAAGTGCTATTTGTAGATAAGACAGAGACAAATTAGTCAGGATTCCAGGATTAGCCCGGGTAGCTCTCCAGAATTGGCTTAGTTCTCGTACCTGGCGAAGACAGTTCTCATTCATGAAGCGTCGATCACACTCCACGCAGTAGTTCTCGTAGTGTCCCTCGGCCGCCATATGCTGGTCAGCAGCTTCCTCGGTGTGGAACACCTGAGAGCACGTCTCGCAGGGGACAGTCGGCTGCCAATGATTCTTCGCATTCATGTGCTGATTGACGGCATCTTGGGAAGAGAAGGTGCGAGTGCAAGTCTCGCACTCAAAGACCGGTGCCCAGTGGTCAAGGGCGTCCATGTGCTGCTCGCAGCTACGCTCGGTGCGAAATTGTCGAGTGCATGCCTCACATTCGACCCAATGGTCGTATTCGTCCATGTGAGCATCGCAGTCCTCTCGGTAGCGGAACTCGAAGTCACAGGTGCCACATTCGTACATCTTGACTAGAAGATGCAGAACTGGGTAACGAGAAGTGGATAATAACAGGCAGCAGAATCAGGTAAAAGGATTGGAGGTATTAAAGAGGAGAGAGGTGTGGGGTGCAAATAACCTGGAGGAAGATGAGGGATGAGGGATGGGGGATGGGGGCAGGCGTTGTTTGTCGCATGCAAACGCCCTTCAAACCATATACGCACTGTTTGAGGGTAGCGATGATTTCTCAAGGGGTCTTATCTTTTCCCTTTCCCTACTTTCCTATCGTGACTTTTTTTGTCTAAAAAACAAAACAAAAGAAAAGAAAAATGCATGTTGATTACTTTCCCATAATATCATTAGACCAAAGAGCATGTAAACCGATAGACGAGGTCCTCCATATCTATAGAAGGACAGATGATCAACAGTATGAATATGCATATATGCTGATCATAATCTCTAACTGCTGCCATCAAGCCTACGCCTTCATTGTTCGATCGTGACATCCAACTGTTTCTGGGTGTATGGACAATAGCCTCCCGGTGATAAGAGTTGCTGCAGCTCCCCAGATGCGCTAGGAGCTTTGGATGACGGAGACTTACTCCTTCGAAAACACCCTGGAATAGAGGTTCGTTGAATAACAGAAAATGCCTGCAGAGCCTACTCTGGAGATTGTCTATCTTCTATGGGGAAATACAAAGTCGCAAGCTACGTTCAGGCCATAGTACTAGGCGTGCAGCAAAGGTTATTAAAATATCAGTTTATGCTTTATAGAATCGTATCCATGCACTAATTAGATCTCATCTATGATGGATATATAATTTATAGAAGAAGAAGTAAAGGAGCAAGTTCATCCATTATTTGACATGTTTCGGGTCTATATCCACCAGCTCCACATCACTATTTGTTGCCGACCGAGACTCATAATTCACAGTGTAGGTAACAGACTTGTTGATGTTGACGCTCCCCGTTGACTTCTTGTTATAGTATTCAACCGCATGGGATTCAGTCTTTCGGTACGACGATCCTCCCAGCAAACCAGGGCACCATCGACCGATAAGGGCTCTGGATGCAGGCAGGCAAGCGCACATAACAGAAATTTGACATTCGATGACGGACCAGTGCATGAGGGGGTATAGGCCAGAGAGTCTCATTGGCACCCCAGCGGTTGTTCCAAAAGACGACGACTCGAATTATCGCGATGATCGTTAGACTGTGAGATTGGTTAGTGATCCGTAAAAGAAAAAGAAAGGCCGGGGTATATGAGTGCGTACACAGATCCCACGATAAACATCGATGCGACGGCTATCTTCTTTCGCAGAGGCAGCTGCAACTTGACCACCTCGTACACCGGCATGACGATCAATATAAAGTCGACAAAGATGTTCACCAGGCAGTTAACAAGAACCGCGACGATAAAATTGATGCAGTATCCAGATTCCTCGTTCGTCCAGCCGGTCCATGTCAGGCGTGTTGGCACGCAACGGAAGGCATCCACCGAGGCCCAAGTGATACCGATCGAGGCGTTGATACCGATGAGCGCGTACGCTAAATAGCGGAATGTGCGTGATTGGAAGATGCGGAGTAGGAAGAGGCATACGGAGATCTTTGCGAGGGAAATTTGGACCTTATACATGACGGCCATAGCTTGGAAATACTGCTCTTGTTAGATTTGAAAGGAGCCTTAGAGAGAGGACCGAACCTGGTAGAATCTGGTGATGGTGGGAAAAGGGAGGTCCCAGATATTTCGACCGAAGCCATTGCGGATCACTGATCTGTTAGATTTTCCTGTCAGACCGGACATGGGGACTGCCGGCTTACTGTAGATGTCCAGAACATATATGGCGACTCCCAGAATCTGCAAGCCTGTTAATTCTGCATGGGAGAACATTAAGATGTGACACTGACATAGGAGACAATGATTGTATAATCATCCCAACCCCATCCACCAGCGAGGCCGCCGCTCTTGGCGATCATTCTCACGACGAAGAAAACCGACGCAAGTATAAAAGGGATTAGAGTCGAGACTTTGACCACCGGAGGGCCTTCGAGCGGTGTTATATCACATTCTTGTTCATACAGACGTTTTGTGGCTAGAAGAGTTAGAGCAGGCTGGGTAGATCAACCACGATCGAGACGCACTGAAGAATTCCTTTGTCGTGCAGTTACTTTCAACACAATCTAACAAGGCCGTGGGACGAGAGTCACTGGCACAGAAGCATGATGTATTGTTGCTCAATGAGCAGTCGAGGAATAACTGGTTGTCGCAAGTGATCTAGCACATGTTTATCAGGAAGAGATACGACATTGAACTGCGTTGAGAGATGTACATACCGCGCAAGACGGGAAGGCAGTTGTATCCGACTCTGCTGCATGAATACCAACGATAAGCAGAGCCAAAAGGGCAAGAAAGAACAAATGGCCCCCCCATGATGGTGATGAACGTGTTCAAAAACCACGCTGAAGGTAATCAAGAGGGGGGGAAATTTTTCCCACTGGGGCAGTAGCGGGTTTTGTTCAAACAGCCATGCGAATGGTCCTGAGTGAGGTGGACACTCATTGTGGACACTCCTTGCTCGTTAAGCTTATTTAGTTGCACGAGGGTGTCTACAACATGTGTATAGATCTGGATTACAAACATAGGCACCCAATCGTGATTGGATCACGAAACAAGGAGGTGCTCCGCTCACAAAGTTGGTCCAAGTGAAACGGACCCTCCAGGGCTGATATTCCTCCGGTGAGAGCCGGAATTACCTTTTCCAGAATATTCCCACACGCGACGACACCCACAGAATCGCTAACCGATCGATTTGTACCCACTTGGAACCATGGGTTATGAGTTCAGCTTCATCCACATTGTTAGGAACTGGCTTCTTTGCTAAGGAACAGAGCTCCAGAGGGCTATTTTTCTCATCGCCAAGAAACCCGACGGACTCCAGACCTCTATGGATTAGCGGCTGCGTGGGCCCTGATTCGGACAAATACGATGAAGATCAAACATTTTTTAGGTTTGAATAAATTATTCCCTTTAATTACGTACAACATACAAATGTATGTACAACATATGTGAGTGCTAATTGCAAAAATAAAACAATATTGGCAATATTACTCCGTAGTACTTCCCAGGTTTATACATTAATAATAATGTACCAACATCCAGCAATTCGTTGCTCAATTACCGCAATTCATAAATGCAGCAGGTACTTGGTTTCCAGCGATATGGAACGCTGGGTAAGTTATACTACTGACCATTGCTTTAAGGAGGGCGCTAAATCAAAGGGAGATGTCAAGACCGAGAAACGCTCCATTAGTCCGATCGAGGATCAACGGACCGATCTTCTTACCTCCTTTTCACACGGAACATTAGCTGCCTAGGATCATTTTTATTGCAGAAGGAACCTACTGTAGGACCGGGATTTCATGGTTGTGATGTAATTGATTTCCCAAAAGCGCACGTTTTCAATGAATTCCGATATCAGATAAGTGATAATCAACTTCGATACGAAGCGAAAGCAAAGAGGTTGCAATCCTTTTGAATGCAGATCCATGACCTGACTATACTTGTTATATGGCTTGGAAGGGAGGAGCTGAAGTTCTAACCAACATGCTGTATTTGAAACACGCTTGTTGAACTATTGTTGGATTTCGATCAGAGGCAATGCTGCAGATCCCGTTGTTAATCTATTTTGTACATAAAGCGATTAAGATAAAGGGGAGGGAGTGTGGATATTTAGGTGATCCATGTGGCCGAAATTCGGCCCTATAGGTCAGGCTCGCTGAGGCGCTTTGCCTAAACAAGATGATCTCCGATGCCAAGCCACATCAATTCTCTTGTGTTTTGAGCCTCGGCACTAAGTGATCAAGGAGATCTCCGACTGCTGAGTCCCAAAGTTCTAATGTACAATCTTAAATAAGACTGTGGCCTCTTCTATAGGGGTAGATTGTTCACCTTCTCATTTACTTCTTAGTCAAGTCTCATACTATATGTATCTCATTTTCAAACGTCAGTTTGAAAGAGAATGCATGGTTTCAACAATCGGGTGCTTCACCAGTACATAGTAACGTGGAGGCAAAATAAAAAATTATCAAAGAATGCACCCCTACAGCACGGGTAGGCGAATTGCGTTCTAGCAACAATGTTTTAAGCCTAAGCCTAACCTTAGCTTCGGCGTCAAAGAACAAAATCTCGGAGACACTACCAACGTTTAGCGCTAAAGTTATCTCAAGGGCCTTATAGGTCCTAACTTAAAGAACTGGCCGAAGCGGCAAGGAAGCGTATAGACATGAATCAAATTATCAGGTTCGTACTATAAAAAGCGACTTCTAAATAATCACTTTATACGTCTTTACGGTCATTAACCGCCTTTAGACAGGCTTAGTACAGCTGATTGTAGCAGATTCTTCAATTTCGCGCATTTTAAGCGCGTGTGTTACATTAGTTATAGTAGACATAATCGGGAACGGCGGTTAGCGAGTCGACAACTATATAACTATATAATAACGAACCCGACCTTTGTTCAATTCCGAGTCGTCGATTCAAGTCGTGGACTTACACAGCATACAACACACGTACAACATTGTGATGAACACTGGTATATTATAGGAAGGGCAGCATTTCAGCAGTTAGTTGGCAATGATTCCACCTTGCCTATCTATGTAATAAGTCCATCTTGTAATTGAACTCCGGTTACAGAATATTTTCTACATGAACAACATTATTATGGGGTTCCTTGGGCGGATTATCGCGCTCCGCCGTTGGAATAAAATCGGGTGACCTTTTTTTCATGCAAAGCATGGGCCTACCTAGGTACTTGCGGTCGTAAATTCTCTCTACGTTCTAGGAGACTTTGTGATATCAAAATTCGATTAGCATGAACCTCAAAAAGCAACAATAAATACAGGGTGGGCACACGGTTATTAACCTAGCACGTGCACTCCAAACTTCGGTGGGCAAAATACTAAATGAATCCGAAACTAGCATTGAACGTTCACAAAGGAGCCGCGATCGGAACGAAGAGATTGAAACGAAGGTTCTTGGCAACGGCATTGGCCTAATAAGCCCTCGAATCATAGGGCAGTCTTGGCGTTGGTCATATCGTGGCAGTCTCTCAGCCTCACAATGCAACGTGGGCTAGCCCTATACAGACAAAGCCTAGACTACTTCGAGCACAGGCTGCCGATACGATGTTAGGCGGTAGACTTAGGGCGTCGTCATCGTTGTAGGGTAAAATGGATAAATTGTACATTGTGCTTGGGGGCTTGCTTCCCCGCATGACACTTTTTGACCTAACATCATCGAGCCATGTCCATTATATCGAACCTTCACACCATCGCACTGCACAGCATGCTTGTTCAAGTTTCATGTTCTTTAATGTGTCGAAGGCAAAATTCCAAAATAAATCCGTCAGGCTTCAAGTCTTTGAGGCGCAGAAACGGCTTTTAATGGAACAAAGAGGCCCGAGGGTACTAAGGGACATGAGGGGCCTGAGGAGTGCATGCGATGTAAGCCGTGCAAGGTTGACTTCCTTGACCGCAGCAAATTCTGTGATGCCGTCTGAGTCCACGTGGGCTTGGCAGTTTTCAAAAACGTAGTCAATGTCCATTATATCCGAAATGAAGAGAGCAGTGAATGTCTCGACATAGTGCTGCTCGGAAGGAGTTACCAGAGGAGGCTTTTGGAAAAGGCTGCTCCTTTAGTAGTGGAATTGCCCACTGCATGATGCGTGATGCGCTAGACAAATAGGTCATTGCATTTAAAGAGTTAATATACATACCAACTCACTAACTACTTTGGGCCACACCCTCCCTATCAAAAGAAGCCATCAAAGATCTACGGTGGAGTTCAGCCCAAAGGTATCCCCAATACTAATAATCCCTGTCAGAGAGCTGGCTTTGATTTTGAATTTCTTTGTCTTCTAGCCTAGTCTTCTTTTCTCACCCTCGTCCCCATTTTCTTCCGCAGCGGAAATCCAACTCACTAGATTGCGGTGTGCATATTGTGTTTCCATCTAGTCAACACTCCCCTGTACAATGTTTGTGAGCCAGCTGGCCTGGCCACTGGCATGGCTAGCTTTGGCGACCATGACAGTGGCTGCAGGATCATCGACCGCAACTTCAACAACTTCTTCCTCGACCGGTATCTCGACTCATACAATCCAGGTGGGACCCAAATCAAATCCACATCAATTTGTTCCAACCGATGTAACAGCCAAAGTGGGCGACATCGTCGTTTTTGAATTTTACCCAACAAACCATTCCGTCGTAAAAGCAGATTACCTCGCTCCTTGTGTCCCAGCCAGTGAAGACGTCTATTATTCGGGTGCTTTCGAGACTTTCAACGAGCACAATGGACAACTTGTCGGACCAGTGAGTATAATAAACTCGAATTGCAAAATGTTCTCCAAAGCAGCGTGGCTAATATATGCGACGTAGCCCCCAACTTGGACCTTGCGAGTGAACGATACAAATGTATGTATATAGTCAAAAAGAATATCCACGACCTTGGACTGAGGCTAACAATGGTTTGATGTAGCCCTCATTCTTCTATTGCACGGCAATAGATTCATGCATTAAGAATGGAATGGTCGGAGTAATCAATCCGGTATGACTCTCAGTTTCCCTGGGGCACCCGTTCAGGCTGACCTTTTGAATCCGCAGAACAAAACCCAGACATGGGAAACACAATACGCAAGAGCTCTGAAATACCCTTATATGCTACTCCCAGGCCAGCCCATGCCCGCCGAAGGTGGAGGTAGCGGTTCCGGTGGCGACCAAAGCGGCGATGATGACTCTTCTGGGGGTAAGCATGGGCTTAGCACAGGAGCTATTGCAGGTATCGCCGTTGCAGCTGTCGTATTCGTGGCCCTACTGGTGGCACTGTTCTTCGTCCTCGGCCGCAACCGCGTGTACTCGCAGTGGATGTCATCGGAAGATGGGCGCACGGAACGAACCGCACGCTGGGCACTGTTCAACCACGGCGGGCCATACGGTAACGGGAAAAGTGAAGCGGAAAGTACTGCCCCAACCCACACTACGGGCCATATCGATACCAGCGCCGTTTCCAGTCCGGATCCGAATATGCGCACATTTTCCCCTGGGGCGGAAGTTACCTCTGGCTCTGTGCCCACGTCAGTGCAGCAGGGCCACTGGAGCTGGAATGAGCCTCCTCAACGTCCCCTGCAGCCGTGGTGGCCACGGAGCTGGAAGGCCATCCCATGATCTGGGAGGCACCAGGGAGCACTCCGGGGAATCGGTTCTGATCAAGTGCCGAAATTTCGGAGATTTGGATGGTGGGAATTGTCGAGTCGGGGCGAGCCTTGGTGGGGTCTTGTTATACCGGGGAAGTTTGTTGGCGTTCGAGTATTTTCCCTTCAAGCGCGAATGGGTCTGTTTTCTTCTTTATATGTATATTGATACCTGTGATTCCTTGCCTATCATATATAATTGATTGTGATTTTCAATGCTTCAATTTCTTATTTTCCTTTCTTTTCTTTTTTTTTACCCCCGTCAACAGATATACGTAAATGGGAGAATATCGACATGCGCTAGATGGGCGATAATCGTAATAAAACCGAGAATAACACAATTACCACCTCGATAAAGGCTGTAGATCGAGTAAAACACGTATCGAGTTTGATCGTAATTACCGTACTATTGAGTCCCCGGCTTACCCTCGCCGAAAATTTATTTTCCAAGTGAATTGCACTCGCATAAGACCATCCATACCATGTCCACGCCATCAAAACGTCCGGCTTTAGGTATCTCTGGGACGCAGAAGCAATCTCTTCGAGTTTGGGCACAAAGTCAAAACCCTCGTCCATCGCAATCCCAATGTTCTGCTTGGTTCGAACGAACCTATGGACGGAGCCTCTCCCAATCTACCATCTCATCCATACTCTCCAAAAAGTTTGATCATCTCGATTCCGGTCCTGCATCCACCTTAAGTCGTCAACTAGCACCACAATGGCCTCTCCTGGAGACGCCACTTTGTGAATGGCTTGCGAGCCAGGAACCCGGCCCAACACCCTCAGCCGATGTTATTATTACCAAGGCACGCGAAATCTGGAATCAAATCCCAGAATACCAGACCCTGCCACATCCTCACTTTAGCAATGGTTGGCTGAACAGATTCAAAAAACGATATTCCATTCAAATCCGTGATCGCCAAGATGGCGTGCCTCCACCCCCACCCAAAACTAGTCGCAAGGAAATGAAAGCACTGAAAACGTTTTGTGGAGAATTCCCAGAAGACGATATATACAACATGGATGAGACCGGCCTTTTCTGGAGGAAGCCTCCATTCGGGGTCTCCCCGACCCAGGACCAGTTCGCAACAAAGAGGGAAAACTCCCGCGTCTGCCTCATGCTCTGCACCAACAGCACTGGGTCAGATCGATTACCCCTCTGGGTCATCGGACATACGCATACGCCGGAGGCACTTCGCAGGGTGAACCTTAAAGCCATGGACATCCATTGGCGATATCATCGACAGGCCTGGCTAACGCAATCGATTATGCAAGAATGGCTGCTCTTCTTCTATAGCCATATAGGGGATCGTAGAGTTTTGCTTCTGCTGGACAATAATCCAGATCACCAAGCTGCCGTAGAAGCTACGCCGCCGCCTCCCAATGTGCATGTCCAACTGTTTCCATCTCAATCCGGCACTTCGAATGAACAACAGCCGATCAGCTTGGGAATTTCCCAGACTCTCAAACACTACTATCGCAGGCAATGGCTTGCATACATTGTGGCGGCTAAGGGATCGCCCCAGAACCCAATTTACACGATGAGTCTATATCACACAATATCCTGGATCACCAAGAGCTGGCGTTACGATCTTGCAAACGCAATTATCTACAGAGCGTTCCGGAAGAGCAGCCTAATGGATCCGCAGATCGAGTTCATCACTGCTCCCAAAACACCCGATCTGACGAGTCTCTACGAGATCGTCACGCGAAACAACCCTGAAGGTCGAACGCTTACCAGCCTTGAAAACTTCACTCATCCCGTGGACGAGGATTTGGAGGATGTATTAAATGTTGGCGGTCTTAACGTTGAGGGTGAACCTACTCTACAGGAGATGGATGACGCCATTGTGTCCACCTTGCCGGAACAACTCGTACCTCCTGCTGTGGATGCAGTCACTGGGATACAGACAGCCATTCGACATTTGGAACATCAGCCTTGGGCCACAGCGACAGACCTTCAAGCACTCGAGCGAATAGGAAGAATGATCGATCGTACCGCTATTGATGAGCGACGACAGGCACATATTGTGGAGACAATCCGGTCTCCCGTGAATATATGATTCCACAAGAGTTACTTGCTGGCATACTGCACTTTTTTGCTTGATGCACTCTACAAAAAGGCTTGTTTTTGCTAGATCGTGGACACTTTTCCTACACTTTTCCTTCTTTCCGACTTTGTGGCTTTGATTGAAGAAGTGGACTAGGGACTGACAGTCATCGTGCTACGCATTACAAGTCCGGAGTATGCGTCTTATTCCACCGCGTCATCCGTGATGAGGAACACGGGGTTAAAACAATTTACTTCACGTCAGCACCAATTAGTCGTACCCCCTGCCCACCGCTCAACATGGTTCTTAACGGACACGCCTACGTGGAACACGAAGACAGCCGACTCCGCGAACGGTCACTGTGCACGTCGTTAGTGAAAGGACACTAGGGAAATCCATGAGACCCCAATACTTGCTTCGTCGCCAAAATCTAGGTCCCGCATGGGATCCATGAAGACGGGCGATAGACGTCTGCGAAGGGGCATAGTTAGTCTTCAGTGGATACCCTATGGGTAGGATATGGACATCCACCCCGTCAGCTGTGATGTTGTGGACATTGATGATATCACCCAAATGCCTCTACTGCAGGGCGAGGCGGCGATATATACCATGGACGCTTTTGTTACGGACCTATGATGTGTCACGGACAGCAAGAGCCTCTCGTTGTCCGTTGTGGTAACCGGCTCTATTCGGGCCCTCAAGGATGCCCTATCACTAGTGCCCCGTTCCATTGAATCGGTCACTGTTCATGTATGTGACACAGAGCACTCACCTCTTGGTTTGTGTTAGGCTTGACGTGGACCTGAACTGACTATGGCAGCTGCGTGGAAATTGGCTGGGCGGTAGAAGGGAAAGATAAGCCATTCTGAGTCTAGACGCTCTCGGGCAATTCGTGATGCGCCTAGGGCGATAAAATCCCAATCACCCGGACCGCCATCAATCCGTTTCGTTCTGGCGTGGGCAATGCCCCCCAGATCACCCTAGGTGCTGTACGCGCACGTCGAGCCCGACCTTCTCAGGATACCGATGGTCTTCGAGCAGGCTAAATCGAAAACTTTTACGCAGATCTTTACAAACAGGACAAAGTCAATGTGTCTCACCAAGCAAAGTTGCTAGCCTTAATCGAGAAAGGTGACTTTTCAGGTACAGCAGGGGAAGTGTCCGAGAAGCCCCCTCGGGGAAGAGTTAGTCGACTCTTCCCTGATGGCCCGCCCTGTTGTCATGACAGGGAAGTAGCTTCGAATCCTACAGGGGTGTTCGACTAGCCTGCCCAAGTGCGTGCTAGGTAGGTCGCAGCTGCGGACTGTCAGTGCGGCAATGAGAATAGATGGCCGATACTCGAGTCCATCGCTCGGGATCCACTTTCCAGCTACTCACGGATGGACCGTCAGTAGTGACAGAATCCCAATCCTATCAACACGACAGAATACCCTTGCCATTATTGAGAAAACAAGTTTCGGCCTATACGCTTGAGCTTTTGAATGAAGGCGAGACACCGAAGACTGTGAACACAGACACGGCGAACACGGATATGGCCCTGCAGATATCGATGCTTTGTAGAATGAGCCAGAGCTCGACGACCCAAAAGCGGACAATGATTATGTCCCCCAGCTGATTCTTCGTCTGACTCTGAATCTCCGGACAGAGTTGAGCAGTGGTCTGACGACGGGATCTTGGCTTAAGAGGAGGCAGACGCGGGGGCTAATCCCGATACCGGAGGTGAGTTATCCATTGAGCGTGCCTTAGAATTGACATTGACATTCAAGAAAGTAGCCTGGGATGCAGAACTGGGGAACCTTCTCAGCGATATCAGAGCCAGTTCCCGCCGACCTGAACGGGAAAGGGCGTTACGGGAAGGTCTCAAACATACACAGCTAACAAGTCGAACTTCGGCATCATCGCTCAGACAATTCGTCGTGCTCTCTTATTTTCTCTTCTAAGATGCCGGTAATGTTACTTAAGAAAATCCAGATCTATTGCTGTTTGGATATAGCTAATATAATGTATAAGCCTCCCGCGAGCGCCGACCCCCGCACCGCGGTAACCCCCCCGCCCCGCCTGCTAACTAGCTCACTATCGCTAAGCGTCTAGTCGAGCGGTAGGGTTGGGTCTATTGCCCTCCTCGCCGTCGTCTTCGTCTTCTCTTAGGTCTAGCGGCTATCGCATAGCCAGATTACATCCGCAAATGAATATACATATATGAAATGGCCGGGAGCGCCATCTGATAGCGCTCGCGGTAACGTAGGCTGTAGTACTTGCAACCTCTATATAACCTTGGAAGTTAGTTGATTATACATGTAACCTAATTACTGCCTTGGTACGATAATTTATAAATATAACTTTTTATCTGTTTCTTTCTTCCTTCCTCCTTCTCTCTTCACACCACCTTCGCCCCTCTTATTTTCTCCCTAGAGCCGTCCTCCTCTAACATACACACTTCGTCGCACCTTATATTGTCTTCTTAGAACCGTCCTCCTCTAAGAACAATGCCCCTGAAAGAGGTGATTGATCTCACCTCTGATCACGAGGATAGCAGTTCCCAAGGTGCACTGCAGCGCGACTGGCCTTCCGATGAGGACATGTCTCGTTTCAGATGGTGTGTTATTATAAGTACCATTCCATTAAAAATTTTCTGACTTATATTTTAGATCCTTCTCACTTTTCTCTCACTTTTCTCTCACCTTCATTTATACGGTGAGTATACTTTTCTAAACTAAGATAATACTACTAATACTATCAGGACATGGAACCCAACCGTGACAAGAAAGTCGAGGATCTTGCAGACGAGAAAGCCCTCCGCATCGGACTCATTCTCCTGTATAACAAGATCACGGGAATGAGCGAGCTACACTTCAAGCGATCTGTGCACATTGAGTACTCGCAGGTCCCTAGCATCCTTGATCTGTTGTGAATATGGCGCCGGCATTGCTGCTTGGGGTTGTTGATTTGTTGATTTGCCCTCTATTCACTAGTCATTTGCCGTCTTCCGGTGCCTCGTGGATAGGAATATCACTGAACTGACAAGGAACAAACCTGAAGACATGAATTTTGAAAGAAATCAAGGCACAGCTGCCAATTGGCCTACGACTTGCAACGTAGGAAACTGTAATAATGGGTCTTGAATAAGACCCAGCGGCGAGGATGTCGACAGTAGTCCCTAACTACCGTCAAGTACAATGACTGGGGCCAATACCGCAATTGTCAATGATCCATGGTCCGAAACGATTCATCTGCAGAAAGTCCGGTTTTCCCAGGAAAGATTTTCTCCTATGCGCAATATAATCCAAGTAGTTCTGGGTGAAGAATGCTGGCATAACCCATATCTGTTTTCCGTCTTGTTCTTGCGAAACAACATAGACGGGCCTGTGCCTGTGCATTAGCGATCAGATCCTTGGTCGCATTTCTCCCAACGGGATCATACTTACTTTGTACAAGCTGGTTCATATATCTGCAGCAAAGACACAACTTCAGCAGCTTCCTGCATTGAATGTTGAGCCCTGGGGCTCGTGGAAATGACGGAGTCCGCGTTTTGTCTCAAGAATGACTTTGATGCCGCCATCATCCTTGTTCCGAAGGTATCCATCGAGCCGAGCCTCAGCACCAGAATTGAAGGTCGCCACCTGTTAAAGACTAATATCGAGACTAGCGAGATGAGGAAGATTGGGTATCTCCCCGACACGCCGGCGCTGAGTAGCCTCGTGTGGGGCAAGAGAATCGAAAACCCTGTACGTCGCCATTGTCGTACATGAAAACCGAGCCTGGACTAAGGGTCTATTGCTACTTCATCGGTTTCGCGATCGCAATGTGGGTCAGCCCAAAGGCCCGATGGTCGACATTGTAGAACCCAACACGAACCCAAAATGAAAAGCCAAAGGCAATCCGATTGAACAAGAAAGAAAGTATTATTGAAAATGATATCATATATAACACAGGCTCCATAACGGGGAATCGCTTTTGTATTTCAGACATGGCCCGAGACCCAAAAAAAAAGAAGAAACCAAGGAAAGCTTTACTCTAGAGCATCAGTGATACAGCCCTGGCTGGCATCCTGGACGGTTCTGGCATATTTGCCCAGAGTACCACGCATGGTGAGACCAGTCTCAGGGAGGTCACCAGCAGCCTTGCGGGCTTCCCACTTCTGCTTGCGGTCGGCAAACTCAGCATCGGAGAGCTCGACATCAAGAAGGCGCTTGTCGGCATCGATGGTGATAATATCACCGTCATTGACAAGGCCGATGGGACCACCAACGGCCGCCTCGGGCACAATGTGACCGATCAAGAAGCCGTGAGAGCCACCGGAGAAGCGACCATCAGTGATGAGAGCACAGGATTGACCGAGACCGTAACCCATGAGGGCACTGGAGGGCTTGAGCATTTCTATAATAATGTTAGCATTATGATCAGCGAGTTTGTAGATTCATTGTACGTACCAGGCATTCCAGGGCCACCCTTAGGACCGCAGTAGCGAATGACAACAACGGTCTTCTCCTCCTTCTTAATTTCGCCTCGCTCAAGAGCGGCAATGAAATCATCCTCACTATCGAACACGCGGGCCTTTCCGGTAAAGCACATTCCCTCCTTACCAGTGATCTTGCCGACACTGCCACCGGGGGCCAGCGAGCCACGGAGGATCTGAATGTGACCAGTCTCCTTGATAGGGTTGGAGAAGGGGCGGATGATCTTCTGGTCCTCAGGGAAGTCCGGGACCTTCTCCAGGTTCTGAGCCATGGTCTCACCAGTAACGGTCATACCAGAGCCATCAATAAGACCCTCCTTGAGGAGCAGCTTCAGGAGTGCCGGGGTACCACCGATGGCGTGCAGATCGGCCATGACGTACTTGCCAGAGGGCTTGAGGTCAGCCAGGAAGGGAATCCGGTCGGACACAGCCTGGAAGTCATCAATGGTGAGCTTGATGCCGACTGAGTCAGCGATGGCAATCAAGTGCAGCACCGCGTTGGTAGAGCCACCAGTGATGTTGACGACAACCATGGCATTCTCAAAGGCCTGGCGAGTAAGAATATCACGAGGGCGAATGTCCTCGGCGAGCAGCCTTTTGATGGCACCACCAGCGGCGAGACACTCAAGGTACTTGGCCTGGGAGTTGGCCGGGTTGGAGGATGAACCGGGAAGGGTCATACCCATGGTCTCAATGGCGGAGGCCATGGTGTTGGCAGTGTACATACCACCACAAGCTCCCTCCCCGGGGCAGGCGTGACGGATGACGTCAAAGCGCTGGGGCTCGGTGATCTCCTTGGTAAGGAATTGACCGTAGGCCTGGAAAGCAGATACAATATCGATATCGGCATTGTTCTGGGTAGCAGCGCAACCGGGCTTGATGGTTCCACCGTAGACCATCAGACTGGGGCGGTTGATACGGCCCATAGCCATCAGAACACCGGGCATGTTCTTGTCACAACCGGGAATACTGATGTTGGCATCGTACCACTGCCCACCCATCACGGTCTCGACGGAATCGGCAATAAGGTCACGACTCTGCAAGGAGTAACGCATACCGGAGGTACCCATACTGATTGCATCACTGACACCGACGGTGTTGAACTGGAAGCCAATCAAGTCCTGATCCTGGACACCCTGGCGGACCTTGTTGTTCAGGTCAAGCAAATGCATGTTGCAAGGGTTGCCATTGAACCACACCGACGAGATTCCGACCTGGGCCTTGTTCATGTCCTCCTCTTTCAAACCGACGGCGTACAGCATTGCCTGGGAGGCACCCTGTGCCTTGGGCTGGGTGATGTGGCGGGAGACCTTGTTGAGGGCCTTATCATTCTGGAAGCGAGGCAGAGTGGTTGAGAGAGTCCGACTAGAGAGAAAATAGAAGTTAGTCACTGGAGAAGCAATGGCAATTGAAGCAACTTACGCAGGGTTAGACCGGGACAAGCTCCGGAGAGCGGCGGGCACACGGGCCCGGGTCTGGGGAAGCATGATGAGATGGATGAGAGTATCCAAAAATCACCAAATAGAGCAAGACAATTGAAAGTCTGGAGAAGAGAGGGGGAAGAAATAAAAGGCGGAAGCTCAGCGAAGTGGGTCCGCCGGTCCGACAATCAGACCGGAGAAGGTCAACTCCTCCCCGCCAATTGGGGACGCCTCGTTGTCAGCCCGTTACCGGGCGAATACTCCAAACATCAATTTATTATATTTGGCTATACTAGAATGTATCCATGTTGCGCACAGTCTTATCTGGACTGCCAGACATTCTCGTCTACGTTGGTTAAGAATAAACAAAGGAAAATACTGGATTCTGGGCATCCCATCTTCTCCGTTTCAATCAACACTTGACAACAGGATGTGTGCGTAAGTCTATTCTCATTTATTGTACAGATAGTACTTAGTAGCTTCTAGGTAAATCAAGGACCTTCTCGCTCACATAATTCAAGATCATCTCCCGACTCACAGGTGCAATGCGAGGTACGAAACATTCGCGCATATACCGTTCGACATCGTACTCAACCGCATATCCCATACCACCATGCGCCAGAACTGCCCGCTCACACGCCGTGAAAGCGGCCTCTGCAGCCAAGTACTTCGCACTGTTGCACGCGACCCCAATTTCATGGAAAGGCACCGATCCATCACTGGTATCATAGAGACGTGCTGCGTGGTAGGTAGCCAGCTTCGCCGCCTCCAGTTTCATGAACGCATCAGCCAACGGATGCGCTACACCCTGATTCTGACCAATTGGCCGCCCAAAAACAACCCTATCCTTCGCATACTGTGAGGCCTTTTCCAGAGCGGCATAGCCAAGACCAAGTGCTTCACCGGCTAGAAGGCATCGCTCTGCGTTCATGCCGTGGAGGATAATCTTAAAGCCTTGGTTCTCCTCGCCAATTAACGTGTTTGCAGGAATCTTATAATTATCAAAGAAGACCTCGTTGGCGTCCACAGCACGTCCGCCCATCTTCTTGATCTTGCGCAGATCCAAGCCAGGGTTTTCGCGGTCGATGTCGATACAAAATAAGGAGAGGCCCTCGCTGGACTTTTTGACTTCTTCAAGAGGCGTGGTTCGGGCGAGGAGTATCATTTTCGATGCCACTTGCGCACATGTTATCCAGATCTTCTGACCGGTGACCGAATATCCGTCATCAGTTTTGCTAGCCAATGTCGTGAGCTTGAGAGTTTCAAGGCCGGTGTTTGGCTCAGTGACACCAAAGCATGTGCGCCATGTGCCGTTGATAATATTCGGAATGGTAGTCTCTAGCTGTTCCTTGGTGCCAAACTTGGCCAATGGCTGTGTCGCATAAACGTTGGCGTGAATAGCCTGAGCACCGGCCATACCTGCGCCAGATTGTGTAATCGTCTGCATCATCATCGTGGCCTCAGAGATACCTGAAAGGCGGTTAGTAGTCTACATGAGAACAAAACAAAACATCTGCGCAACTGTACCTAGACCTGCGCCCCCGAGGGATTCGGGCAAAGCAATGCCAAGCCATCCATCTTTCGCCAACGCAGCATGGAATTCCTTCGGGTCTTTTTCTTGTTGATCACGCTCCTGCCAATACGTATTTGGGAATCTGGAACAAATATGCGAGATAGCTTCACGAACTGTGAGCTGCTCGTCGGTAAAGCCAGTCATCCCCATAATGTCGCGCCGCCCTGAGGTGGAGAATGCCGCATGAGCTCGAGGGGACAACCCCGTCCGACATTGACCTTGCCGAAGTGCAGGCCATTGTGACCGTAGAGCGCGTTGAATTTGTGATCGGTACATGGTTGCAATTTTATTCAATATTCGCAGAATCTCCACGGTCGAATATATACCATCGCGGCCATCAGCATATAGCCGAATTGGGATCTTGGCATTCTCGATCTACGGCGTCTTGAGCCTCGGTAGAATAACGTCGGGCTTTTGGTCGAATCAAGCCCGAAGCCCAAGTAGCCGAACTATATGCCTTGATGATACCTTAAGAACGCTTTAGAATATACATATGTGTGATATGGTCTTCGAAATTCGAATACAGTTATATATTGAGAAAAAGTTAAAAACCACTCAGACCACCTTCATCGTCCAGCCACGTCCTGTTCAGCCACTCTGTCACTTCCACCCGGATCATGCCTTCCTTTCTCCAACAATTCAAACTTTCGAACCACCTGGAGGGTGGCATAATAACTGAAAGGTAAGGCGATGAACCACAGACTAAGATTGATGCTCGCTGTCGCGATCAAAGCTGTCGGTACAGCTTGAACGCCAAATCCAACTGCAACTGCGGCGGTTTCAATTCCCCGAAGCAATGAACTGTATCGAATTTGATCGCCTGGTGAGTCTGACAAATTCCCTATACACCAGTAGATATAATTCTCGACTAAGCCCAGACTAATGCGCTCAAAGAGATACAGGCCAAACCCACGACCGAAGGAGCGCTGGTCTCCCCAGTCCAACACAGGGTTGGTGTGTCGGTATTCGTTTTGAATAATGACCGCCCAGATCCAGGTCGCGCTGTTCAAAAGTGCAATTACGATGAATGTGACAATTGCTCGATGCTTCCGATCTTTCAACCAAGGCAGATCTACTAACGACCCACCCACCCAAGTTGCCAGCGTTCCAACAACCGCCGACATAAAGCTTCCGAGTGCACGCGCACGAACGGTGAAATAAGTCGCAAGATATGTGCCAGGGTATGCCTGGATCCACCCGAAGTACCAGAACAGCGGGACAAGAAGCAAGATCGACCTACTCCTTACCAGCCGCCACATCGTGCGGAGCTCTTCACGCCAGTGGATGCCGCGGGGGGCCTCAATGCGGGTTCCATCATCTCTTTGCACTTTCTCTGGGTTTGACAATAGAGGGCCAATGGCAAGTCCAAGACACTGGATGGCAATAAAGGCAAGGTAAGTTTGGTGCCCGACCTGGCCGCGCTGATTGACCCTGTGGTTTATGCCCAAAGAGACAGCACCACCAATGATGTTGCCGAAATTGCGGAACGTGAACCAGGTTGCAATATAGCGACCACGCTTGTGTTGCTCGGGGTATCCTGTGGCGATGGCACCCTCAACACTCCAAAAGAAACCAGCACTGATGCCGCAAGTGACACAACCGAGATACACAAGCCATGTTGCGCCAGTGCGATTGTTCAAATATAACCCCGCTGCATAGAGTGGGTATCCGATGGACCCCTAAAGTCAGGGTCCAGCGAAAGCCGATTGCGTTTGTGATGAACGGACCCGCGAAACAGGTCAACGTCATGAAGGCGTATAGTAACGCGTTGGCTGTGTTGACCAGGTCTGGGCTCTGTGATCCGCCCACGCCTAAACCGTTCATTGCACTCCATATCCCTGGCGCGCAGAATGCACATAATCCTACGACCAGGATTTGAAAAAGGGTGCTGTAAAAGAACCTTCGGCGAGGTAGTGGATGTTCATCTTGGCTTTCCTCAGTCGTTGATACACTGGCTTTGGCTTCGGAATGCCCCGATGTTGACATGATTATAGTATGGGATTTCATATGGGTGAATCACTGCAAATTTGATCCCTGTCATGCACAGGACCCAGAATGTCCATTTTATATGATCAAATGGGGACTCCTCGTATATCCCGTTTATCAGGTCGATGCCTAGACAAGCACGCAAACGTATACGCGCATGGCATAATCACGATAACGCTCGGCAATTGATGATGAGGCCATAACGGGCTGGAAAGGTGTCTTGTATCACGAATCATGTCAATACTATCCAATTCTATCCCCGCCATTTCGGCAGCTGTGAGGGGTCGTGCTCTCAACTACAAGTGTACGACAGGTGCTTGACTGTGGTAGCTCAATCACTTACAATATCACATTTAATCTGAGCAAAGAATGGCAACAACTACCGAAGAGCTGCAATTTGAGAAGCTTTGGTTGGAGGACTCTATCATCACGTTTGAATCGTTCAAACTCCCAACTTCCAACCAACGTATCCTCGGACCACCGCATCCCAGGAACACTGTTATCCCGCTTGCGCTGCGACCCACCAAGGCCGATGCCAAGGCAACTCTCGACTCTGTGGTAGAGACAATCAAGGTTCTCCAAACAAAAGACGGCATTTTAACCAAGAAGCTCGCCAGACATGGCACGCTGCTGTTTCGCAATCTACCAATCCACACCGCAGAAGACTTCAGCAAATTCGCGCACGCTTTTGGCTACAAGCCCCACGAGATTATTGGAATTGTAGTCGACAGACCACTTCTCGCGCCAAATGTCGCTCCGGCCAACGAAGCCCCCAAGGAGGTCCTGATATACAACCACAACGAATCACCGCAAGTACCACATGCGCCCGAGTATATCTTTTTCTATGGCCATCGTGCCCCATTGAAGGGTGGGGAATCACCGATCTCTTCTTCATTGGAATTACTCAACCGCGCACAGCAAGAGATCCCAGAATTTATCGCCGAACTAGCCGAGAAAGGAATTCTGAGTAAAGTGACATACCGCGTGGAGAAGCAGTACGATGGGGGATCCACCCTGAAACAAGCCTTTGGTAAGGAAATTCAAGATGGAGATGACGAAGAGACAACACGGCGCAAGATCGAAGCTCAGATTGCCCGCTATGGCAGAGGGGAGCATACGACATGGGAGTGGACTGAGGATGGTCTTGTCTTGACGCATCGGCTACCTGCCATCCGAACGCAGCCTGGTACAAACTTGCCGACTCTCTTCACTGGGTTAGCAGCATATTGGAAACGTACTCAGTGTGATACGGAGGCTCGAAAGAATGTCACTCAACAGCTGTTTGGGGATGGGACACCCATTCCTGAAAAGTATCTTGCACATCTGGCAAAGATCACAGACGAAATTCGGGTTCTGCACCGTTGGCAGGAAGGTGATGTTCTAGTTTATGATAACATCATTGCCCAACATGGTAGAGAACCCTGGCAAGGCGAGCAATCTGATCGAGTAATTATGGCAAGTCTATTCGATGGTGAAAGTGTGCCGGGCGCTTATGGGTTTGGAGATTGGGCGCAGGTTGTGCAAGCACTCGAATGAGACCCTTTCTTTAGAGTGTTATGATCAATATGCGTTACTTGGTGTAATTCCGAAGAAACAGCAGGAATCAAACACCTTCCATCGTCTACAATTGGTATTTAATATAGATGTTATTTAACGTAAAAGCAGTGGTTAGAGCGATCCGGGCGAGCTAATGGCTACATTCAAGGGGGATGCAACACGGCAGGGATGGCCAGTGAAAATCTACTAGTAGTACCCATTCTGGCTATTGTTTCAAAGGGTACCTAGGTATATACATGTACCTACCTATGTAGGTAGTTGATTGTTTGTTTGATGGAGCCAAATGCTGATGTAATTACGTATCTGTATAGCCACATATTTACCTGGGTAGGTACATACATACATAGGTCTGTATGGTATTGCACCTGCACATATAAAATAGAGCCTTATAGGAATTCATGACTTGAAGTTTTCTTTCCTTTCACATCCCCTCGCCTGCTTTCTTCAGGCCCGAGGCTCTCTTTTGTTGAAGCTATTTAGCCTTCAGCGCACTATTTCATCAGTTATTGATGGTTCATCATTCCATCAACATGCCCTCCGAGGAATCCAAAGGTAGAACAGTTCAAAGGAACATCCTTGAGTGAGGGATATTAATGCTGACTTTACTGTCCTCTATGCAGCCTTACCCGTAACTCACAGATCGAGCGACCATGATGCTCCTTCTACTGGCCGTAAGTATATCTTGCATTCTCGAAAGCCAAATTCTGAACTTTACAAGAGATGTCAGGCCTTACACCCGATGGTAGGGTTGACCCAGCCCAACTGTATCGTCTAGGCCGATGCACTAGCCTAGTGCGATGTCTTGCAAACAGAAGTGCCCCCTTTTCTCGGCCTCTGGACTGGACAAATGGTCCCCAACATTTAATCAATGCAACACAGAGGAATGCAGCAGTTGGGCAACAGGTTGGAACCATCGCACCTGAAGGGAAAGAGTGTTTTCGCTGTCAGGCCTATCCCTGCACATTCAAGTCAGTTGTACTCTTCACTTACAATGTAAGCGGAGAGGCCAACATAATGTTTTCTGGTACTTGTATGAATTGCAAATTTGCTGGATTCAAGTGCAGTTTTCGTGCGCTCCCTCCCATTTGGCTCCAAGAAGCTATCGCAAATTTGCCATATCCAGGTTCTCCTTCTCCCTCACCGGGTGTATCAAATAATACATCCGCCAAGAAACGCAAGGCTATTGTTCGTCATTCCGTGGAGCTCTAGCGGACACCGGGGCATATAATAATTGGGTTCCTTATTAACTGTTTCCTAGGAACATTCCACCTATGCCCCTGCTTCCAAGGCCGGTAGAAAGGATGACCAGCCCTCTACCCAGACCCATTCCTTGACAGGACCCGAGTACGGTAGGGCTTAATATTCCTCCCCTCTTGATGATCCCAGCGTGGGTTCACGGAAGAGCTACCACCAAAAACGTGTGGCTCTCCGTTCGTTGAAACCTCTCAAGGATCGCATCGACCATGATATCGCGAAACTTGCTGGATTCCTCACCGAGTCTGGTCATATCGATTCTTCTAGTGAGGATGGGGATGATGTTGATGCTGAAAATGTGTTTGGTGGATTCGAGCTTATGAAGGTGGGGAAAGAGAATGAGCTGGACCATGAGGAAGAGGGTGAGGAAGAGGAAGAGGAAGAGGAAGAGGAAGAGGAAGAGGAAGAGGGAGGCCGAGGATGACGAGGGGCAGGGCGAAGAGGATGATGAGAACGGAGAGGAGGATTAGGAAGACTTCCTACACATGGATAAAAATTGGGCAAAGCGGATAAGCAAGATAGGAAGCACTGTGACTTTCCCTTGATTGGTAAACAATATTATTCCTCTTCAGTAGCTATTGCATATATTGATTTCTACGACATCAACTTCTATATCGTCAATTTATATAATAGCTTAATTCCCACAACAAGCACAGTTGGCCGCATAACTCGGCTGTAGTCTTATTAGTGGTCTTCTTGGGTATTCTGCTCCAATACTCTTTTTATATGTCTTTTTATATTTCTTTTTAGTAGTCTGCATAGTAGTCTTTTGGGGTGCCATAGGTATTTTCTCCCCGTCCCAGTTTGTTAGATAGATAGCAGGGCTAAAAAAGGGCCTAATTTCCTTAGTCAATAAAGTAAACATATACTAGTTTTATTAAATTTTGTGCTGACGAACCACCATATCGCCCACTGGCGGCTATATATTGCTGTAATATACCAATATATATCTTGTGTATGAGCCAACCGAACCGCGAGCACGTCTTTTTTTTTTTCAGGATCTACGACTTGAAAATTCATAAACATTTTGTTTTCAGTTCCCAAAATTCAGTCGTTAACTGGCTGAAACGCTGGAAAACGACCAGGCCCCGCGATCCTGCATAGCCACAGCTCGATCCTGCCAAGCCACGCGTGGCCGATCTAATCGGGCGCACCCCCTGGCCTAACCACGTCACCTCCTCTAGTCGCCATGGGATCTTCGTACTCCACAGCATCGGAGGACGTTAACTCTCTCCGACATGAACCTTCAGACTCCCCTGAGGAAAACCCAATGTATTACCCAAGAAACTCAGCAGATGCCGTCGAGAGCTTCAACATCCTCCGCCAAAAGTTGCCATCTGAACTCGTCCTGGACGTTCTAGAATTTGCAGAATACTGGGTGTTATCTGCCGTCCACAGAGAAGACAGAATGGAATATACTGAACGTGACTGTCACGATCGAACTCCATATTTGACATCTGAGCCCATCCAAGGCGAGCGATTTCCCGTTCGAGAGATCAGAATCAACATCTGGAGCCATGATCAAGGATGGAGCAGCTATCGCGAAGATCATGGTACATTCAGAAACTCCTGGACTTGGTTCGAGCTTGGTATTGAAAGACCACCGGGCCGAGATGATACCTCCAAAGACGAGGACCTACGTCTGGCGACCAATGTTCACGCTGGACGAGAAACCATGCATCACCGGATTATGTACAACGGCGACCAGAAACCACGCTGGATGCAATATCTTCAACCGGGTGATCGGATTTCGATTGTCCCACGGGCGCGTTTTCCTGGATGGCGGAATACCGTGGAAAAGGCTTCTATTGAAGTTTACACCAGCCCTGTTCTGTGACCATGTACCTGCATTATTCTCTATTCATCTTGATTACGAAACAAGCATGCATTGTCTATTTTATACATACCCGAGTGTACACAAATTTCTCGGTTCGTTTTGAGATCTACCGACGCGTCCCCGGAGGCAGAATGGCGGCCACTTTTTCATTACCAGAAACTAAGATGCCACCACTCAGAAGTAGCCTACCCAGTCGCATGGAACTGCCCTTCCAAAATTACACGAATCCCGTTGTCACGAATCACGCTCCAGGAGGCTTCAACAATCCCAGCTCCTTGGCCGTATCAAGTGGCTGTGTCTTAATGCCCCTACCGTACATAGTTTCATAGGACTAAGGGCCATTATATCGTTTTCTAGCCGTTTACCATTGCGACAATGTTAGGTGTTATACATATATCCTAGTAATAAAATTTGGCTCCAGCCATCTCTAAAAGTGATATGTATCACTGCGTACTTAGTTACACCAAATTTTAGGCACTCCAACTTTGACGAGAGCCTCTCTCATACAACCTAAGATGAGCCGACTGTCTTATTCCTGAATTTGAAACCAGGCCCCCCAGCTCCACTGACTCAGAATTGCGGTCACAGCTGCATATGCGAGAGAAGTGATGTGATATTTCGGCATCTGTCATCTCATTACAGCAGCCAGAAACGGCCAATTTGGACAATGCCTATTAATACAAATATTATTTTCACCGCTAGAGTTTCAACCCTTTTATAAAGTACAACTTCGTATCGTATGCGTCCATTAGCGCCGAATACTAACTCTCTGCGTGGCCCAAAGCCCGTTTTCAAAATTGGCCGTTCTCGGCGCCCGTATGTCTGATATGCAGTGCACGCTGTTTCGAGTGCAAGGCTGAATTCACTTTGCAGGAAATACCCTATTCCTGGGGCTATGCCTTCGCTACAGGTATATAATCTATCTATCTGCTCGCAGGAACACTAAGTGAAGTCGAGTATCGCAATGGCAAACCCCTGTCCCGCCTGGAGGCGGCTCTATTTAGCTGTCCTTCTCGTCGCATCTCTGCTTTGTGGGCTTTCAGCCGCAAATGACACAAGTCCCCCTGCCTGTCGTTGCATGCCACAAGATCCCTGCTGGCCCGAGGATCAACTATGGGCCAAATTCAACAAAACAGTGGACGGGAACTTGATTGCAACAGTCCCAATTGCCAGCGTGTGTCACATAGACTCGTTCACACCATACGAGCAATCGCAATGCGCGCAACTCCAGTCCACTTGGGGATTCCCAGAAACGCACTATGAAAGCTCCTCATCAATTATGGCGCCGATGTACACGAATTTAAGCTGCAATGCCTTCTCGTCCAAGACTTCACCTTGCACGATCGGGAATTACGTCCAGTACACCGTGAATGCGACAGATGCTGCACATGTTCAGAAAACCATTGATTTTGCAGCTCGTCACAATATCCGTCTTGTCATCCGTAATACTGGACATGACCTACTTGGGAAGTCTACTGGAGCTGGGGGGCTGGCGATCTGGATGCATTACATGAAAGACATTTCCATTGTGGACTACGACTCAACAACCTATTCCGGCAAGGCCGTGAAGATGGGAGCTGGCGTTCAATCTTTTGAAGGCAGCGACGCGGCCTATAGAGCTGGTCTTGTTATCGTGGGCGGCAATTGTCCAACCGTCGGATTGGCGGGTGGATATTCGCAAGGCGGCGGGCATGGCCAACTGGTGTCGCATGTTGGGCTCGCCGCTGACCAGGTCCTGGAATGGGAGGTTGTCATCGCGAATGGGAAGCTGGTCACCGCATCTCCAACGAATCACCCAGACCTGTACTGGGCTTTGTCAGGTGGCGGGGGAGGGACTTACGGTGTTGTTGTGTCAATGACGAGCAAGGCCTACCCCGAGCTGCCGACGACATCGGGTAACTTGACATTCTCCGACACCGGCGTATCTCGAGATACGTTCTTTGCAGCGGTCGCCATGTTTGTATCGGTTCTGCCGTCGATCGGGGATGCTGGAGGTACTAGTATTTGGTGGTTAACGAACACGGCACTGTCAACGACTCCTACGACCATTCCTGGTGGCACAGCGACGCTTTTCAATTCTCTCTTTAGACCTTTGGTTGCATTCCTCGAACAGAACAAGATACAGTACAGTAAGTAAAGATGACACAGAGGTGGACTGGACGTTGACAGAGAGTGAACAGCATATTATGTGAACGATTTCCCTACATACTACGACGCCTACCAGACGATGAGCCCGTCGATCAACATAACCGATCAACTTCCTGGTGGTCGGCTTATTCCAAGGTCCGTAGTCGAACAAAGTCTGCCCGATCTAAACAACATGTTCCGTCATATTGTCGAAAGAAACGCCGAATTCCTCATTTCAGGAGTCATGGTGAACTCGTCTCGAGTTGCATATCCCGACAACAGTGTCAACCCAGCTTGGCGAGATGCGTTGATGAATGTCGTAATTGGAGCGTATGTCTTCTGTTCCCACTCCCATTCGGGGTTAGGCAAGCCTTTATTAACCTTAATTTAGGCCGTTCGACTATACTGACTGGGATGGCAATGTTGCTCGCAAGCAGCTCATTACCGATGAACTTATGCCACCCTGGAAGAGTTGACACCTGGGGGTGGTGCATATTTGAACGAACCCGACCCAAACCAAAGAGACTGGCAACATGTGTTCTATGGGGATAACTACGACAGCCTACTAGAGATTAAGAGAAAATATGACCCCCACAATATGCTCTACGCTTCCAAGGCTGTGGGTAGTGAGGCTTGGACAGTGGGTGAGAAAGGGCGATTGTGTAAGTCGCAAAGGGATTAGAGGGGATAATATCACAAGAGAAATACATATGATACAGAACTAGGAGATGGCATTGCATGTAATTTGTTTTTATCCGTGGACTTGAGTCTTAGCTGGACGACTGCATGCCTACAGGAGGTCCCGAGGTCTAGCTTGCCGCTTATAAATAACTTGTCATCTCATTGGAGTTTGTTTTCATGATCGACTTGGTACGTGATCACCGGAATTTGAACATATCGATCACAGAGACCACCATCCCTTTTCAATAATCGTGGCGCCAACTTCTTTCAGGGTCGGCCAAAGTGCATTGATCTCGGCTGTTGCAGCTGCTGGAAGCGGTCCAGCCTTCCGGGCGTCGACATAGTCTTGAAGCTGCTTTAGAGTGCTTGGTCCGATAACGATTCGGTCAGGATCCTTGAGGTTGGAGTGGAAAAGCAGCCAACGCATGGCACATTGGGCACCCGTAGTCTGTAGCCTTTGACCAATATTGTCCAACCGTCGCATCGCTTGGTGATAGATGGGCTGATCGTACCACATGCGATAAACTGCACCGAGCATATTACCCTCTCCAACCTCGAAACGGGTACCCTCCAGCTGTTCAGGCGACGGTGAATAGGAAAGCTTGCCGGTGAGGAATCCACCCGCCAACGGAGAAGTTGCCTCGAAGTCAATGCCGAACTCGCGAAGTACGGGGAAAAGCTCATCCTCGTAGCCTCGGCAGAAGACGTTGTACTGGCCTTGATAAACAGAAGGCATAATCAGGTTTTCCTCCACTGCGATTTCCATCCAGGCGCGGATCGCAGATGGGCTGTAGTTGGACAGGCCCAGCCTTTCAAAGTACCCCTTACGATAGTAATGGTCAAAGTGTGCAGCTTGTAGAGGAATGGGGGTCTTGCGGTCCGGGGCATGAGCGTAGAGGGTGTGGATCTAGATTAAATCGCCATATTAGCCTTACTCACAGCCCATTTACGTCTTACTCTCACCTTGTTGACTTGCAGACGCTCCAAACTGGCCTGGATAGAGGCGCCCAGGTTTTTGAAGGACAAAGAGTCATCGCCAATGAAGAGGATCTTCGTATCGATGATGGCATTCTCTGGCTTCCTTTTACCTAGTAGCTCTTCAGATTCACCAGGATTTGTTGCGGGGTACAGGGCAGCCGTGTCGAATTGATGGATTCCAGCCTCTCTGAGACTATTTATCAGGTGGTCGACATTGTCAGCTGTCCAGGCCACACCAAATCCTTGGGCGCCGAATACATAGCGAGGGGTATCCATGGCTGTAATGGAAGGAGAGATGGCAAATGGTTGGAAATGTTGAAGAGATAAAGAGACGAAGAAACGAAGAAATGAAGACATGAAGAAATGAAGAAATGAAGAAATGAAGAAATGAAGAAATGAAGAAATGAAGAAATGAAGAAATGAAGAAATGAAGAAATGAGGAAGCTGAAAAGGGAAAGTGTTTGACCTCGAATGGAAGGTGCCGTTGCACAAACCCTCACCTTCCCATTTGTCAGACCTTGGGATTGTTCAAGTGTAACTCATATGGGCTCTTTATATTTTTTCAAGAGGGATTTATTTCTGGATATCACTTAATATGCAGTGCTTTCAGTTAGAACTTCCTTTCCAAAATCCTCTATCTTCCCCGCGAGCTCATTTGTCCAACTAAGGTGCGGCGAGTGACCACATGGTGCATGGTAGACCGTGAATGGCTTGCTCTGACTTGCCGCCATTCCCTCCTGATATTCCTTGAGCAATGTACGATCCTTTTCTAACACAAGATAGGCGCACGGCAGAACATCATAAGGATTGTGGGTGAGGGGACTGTTCATAACGGGAGCTGCTGTCAACGTGGATGCCCACTTCTTCGCGGTTGCTGGGTCAAGGTCGTTGAACAGGTAATTTTCAGGGTCAACCATGGTCCCAAGGCCATTGATGCCATGTTTCTATACCTAATGGTCAGTCTTCGATATAGGTTACCTATGGTTCATTGGTCAACTTACATGGAATCGCATAAACGGGGGGACAACAACTTTTCCGTCCGGGGGCTGGAAGAATGAGTGTACTGATTGGCCTTGCGGAACAATAAATGCCCCGATGAAGAAAATCCCAATCACACCACCCATCTTTCCTTCCCTTGCACGGACGGGAGCTTGGCGAGAAATATTGTGCAGCCTCAGCGGCGACCCAACCACCGGAAGAGTGTCCTGCGAGTAATACCGACTTACCCTGTGCAATCAACTTGTCGAGCAACAGCCCAATCTCTGCCGCGTCATCCGCAGGGAGAGGGTAGCCTCCTGGGGGAGCCCTGCGATCGAAATCTGGGTTGTTGGGATTGCCGACATTGAGCTGACTGAGATCACAAGTCGGCCGCTGGGGACAATAGGTTTCGATTCCCTTCGCAGTCAAGGCATCCACAAGAGGTTGATATGGGGCCGGGGTATGGTAGGAGCCATGACAGACCACAACCGTAAAAGTCTTGGAAACCATGGTGAGTTGTGAAGGTGGAAGATTTGGGGGCAAAAGGAAAGTCGGGGTTCCCCGCACGTGGTCTGACAGCCTTATATCGTCTTGATGCCAAATATAACCCAAGGCTATCTATGCTCCGATGGTTATGATTCCAGGCAAATCTGATCCAATTAATTGGTTTAATGTATTCTCAAACTAACTTCAATCACCAAACGACCAGTACAAACGGCTCGGACTCACCCAAGGTGGTACAAATCTGACATGCATTACGGAGCATAAGCATCTGCATTCTTGCGCGTTGCCAGGTCTGGAGTTGTCAAAAAGTCCACTTGGGCAATTCCTTATTGTGGAGCCGTGCAGATCTCCCGGGAACGTGCATCTTGAATGCCTCACCCTGAGACAAGAATATCCGCGTTTCAAACAGTAGAATTCTCCGACACTCGAGGAAGCACGTTCAGACTATGCACATCCAGGTCGCGTGTTACTAAAATGCCTGTCTGTGGAGCTTCATTCTCAGCCCCAGCCCTGGCATGCTCTGCTTCCTTTGTCTGGCCTCGCTCTTCACCATCATTGTGACTATGGTCAAGCGTGGAAAGGAGAGAATCGAATTTTGCCGGCCGACGGCGGATTCGAGCTGACCCAATAGTGGGCAAATCGCGTGGTTGGGCCGAACGTACGTTTCGCCTGCGGAACAATAGGGGCCCAAACGTCGGAACACAGGCAACCAAGATCCCAGCTGTCATTTCTGCCATGATAAAAATAGACGAGTCTCTGAGGCAGTAGACCAGGTCGTCAGCAGGGCACAACTTTGTCTGAATAATCCGGCCCAGATTGATACCGGCCGTTCTACTAGCGGTCAGCAACTGAATATGCAACGGGACTGAGTTCGCGGGCGGCTTACAGGATGCCTATGGCGAAAGAGGCAGTGACACCAGTCTTCTTGCGACTCGACATTTGCAGTCGCCAGACAATAGGGAGCGGCAGCAACACGACTCCCAAATCAATGCCCATGTTGAACCCTGCAGATGCATATTGTATCTTCAAGACGTCCCCACAAGTCCCTGGAATAGTGCGATCCCAGTTGTAGGCCACTGGCCGACAAAGCAACGCAATGGTCAAGACCGCAGATACCCAGTATAGGAAGACAAGACATCCCACCCCAGTTGCACACCAGAAGAACTTCTGATTCCCTGGGAAGATCTCAATATATAAAAGGAGGATAGCGAGTCTGAAGCAAACTGTTGAAGTTGCCCACATCCATTCGGATGCCCAGAAGATCTACCTAAGTTAATACCTCTATGAACGCGCAAGGAGACAGCAAGTACCTTCAATGCGCTAACCAACCGCCCCGGGTTTTCTACAGCCATGGTCGCTGTATGTCCGCCATAGCCAGCCGTGGTAGCCCCTGATATGAAGCATTAGCCCTCTTTGCCGCGTTATAAGTGAATTAGATCAACTTACCAATCAGCATATCCACCACATAGCCGGTCAAACAGACAAGCGAGAAAAAGACGAGATAGTCATGACTCTTCAAGCCCCGACGTCGAATATGTGTAGAGGCAACTCGAAGTGCAACAGCCACTGCAGCGACGAAGAAAAATATTATACTCCACACAATCAAAACCGGAGAGCGATGACTCAGGTGGATCATATTTGAGAGGGTCAGCAATGACGATCTCTGATAGTAGAAAACAAAGTTGTTCGGTATATACGACGTGGCTTAATAGCGGAAGTGTTATGTCAAGAGGAATAATGGCATTTCACGTCAAGAGACCTCATTTCTAATGTGTTATGGTTTAATTTAGACATATGCAAATAGTGTCTGATACGGAAAGTGTCCATGAACACTGCAGACTTCATTTCGTACAACGTGAGAACCTTTTCACCTGAACTTCCTCCAATTCGGGGATCAGCAGAGTGTCAGCTGGGAAAGTACACAGATCAGACCATAGCAACTGCAGTGAAGACCAAACCTCCAAGATTGTTTTGAGGCAGAGGTTAGAGTGACTCGGGCAGTCACATCGAAAACCACACTCTTCCCATCAACTCGCTGCAGCCCCCTGCATCCTTTCTCTATTTGTACATTCCGAGACGTCAACCTTCGTCCGTTTGAATCTAAGTACACTGCCCAAGATGTCTTTTCTCAGGGATGCATACGCGGAGAATATGCAGCGAGATTCCACCGAAGCGCAAAGGTCAGACTTCACCAGCAGCCAATGAAAAACACGAAATACTAACATCCACTCGATAGACTCGACGAGCAATTCCATCTTCTCACCGAGTAAGCCAACCCGCCAAGCCCTATGTTGCGAAGCAGGCCACAAGCAAACCATACTGACTCCTGCTGACACAGAAACATCGGCTACCTGCTGCACCCGTCCGTTCGAGTCAAAATGCATCCCCAAGCACGAGTTGCTGACATCGCCACCGGCACTGCAGCCTTCCTGCGCGACCTCGCCCGTAACTGGCCCGACGCAATCTTACACGGCTATGACATATCAACCGCGCTCTACCCACCCTCCAGAACCCTCCCCAGAAACGTGTCTCTGCACATTCTCGATGCCTGCAGGGATGTCCCCGTCAGCCTCTGGGGTCAGTATGACATTGTGCACGTTCGACTGATTGCCGCCGGTTTGGCAGCGTCCGAATGGGGAAGAACTATTCGCAATCTTGCTAAGCTTCTAAAGCCTGGCGGTGCTATACAGTGGGAAGAGTGCGACTTCACTAATGTTCGTCACCTTCCCGGTAGACCTGATTCTACGACCGCCGCGGCTACTACCATAGGTTTGATGTTCCTGACGGCCATGAGACTCCGCTTCGAGCATGGCTGGAATCGACTGGCGGTTGAGATGCGCAATGCGGGTCTTGTAGATGTCCATACGGAAGCTGTTTCTGCGGATCGGGTGTATGATACGCGCCCGCGCTTGACTGCAAATGGGATGAGGGCTATGTTTTCGTGGGCGCGACTTCAGGCTGCTAGAGGATCGCAGGGAGCGCTCACCATGCGGCAGATTGATGATCTGGAGCAAAAGGCTTATGCGGATATTCAATCTGGTTGCTATGTTACATTTGACATTCATGTTGCCTGGGGATTTCGACCTGAGTAGGGGAGAGTGAATAGGCATTGTCTGCAGGATGTATCTAGTTAAACCCCTCGCCCGGGATTTCGAACGAACTCGATCGAAATCAATGAAAATTATGATTTACCATATTACCTCCACACTCGGCCATACCACGTTTCAGATTGCCTATACCCGACTTTGAAACACAAGCCGACAAGCCCCAGGCTGCGCGGTCAACTGGTCCTTCATATCCCGTTCCACATCCTCGCCATTATTCTCACCAGATGCAAAGGTGATCCGATAATGGAACACCAAGGCAGCAGTAACAAGTCGAATCTGTGCAAGAGCTAAATGACGGCCAACGCAGCTCGTACGCCCTGTTGAAACAAAGAGTCAGAACACGAGCCTCTTGATATCCGCGTGCAACCCGACTAGCCACATGGAAGATATTGACCAAACGGATCAATGGTAGGGTTGTAGCTTACCGACGCCAAAAGGAGCAAATGCCCTTTTATCCCTGATCAGCTCCGGTTGGCTGTACCACCGCTCGGGAATGAACTCATGGGGGTAGACATATGCTGTCTCAACTTGAAATCCAAAATTAGTATTTCTGACCTAAGAAATGATAGGGGGTCTCTCACGTCGACCGATTGTGTATCGTGGTGCACATATCTTAGTATTCCCCGGGATAAACGTGCCATCTATCATTAGTCCTTCTGGTGGAGTTACTCGAGAGCTGAAGGTTAGTACTGCTGGAAGAAGTCTCATTGCTTCGTTTATAGTCCCCGTCAAATGTGGCAACGCAGCCAGGGCAGCTGGGTTCTCTCTGTCAACCCCGCGGATCTCTTCATATATCTTCTCAACATGCATGGGATAGCGAGCGAGAAAATAGAAGAGAAGCGTTAGGCTTGGGGCGGTGGTATCGCTACGATTATCAGTCCATTGCCTCATTGATGTTCAGCCATACTGACCTCCCAGCTACAACTAGCGTTGCAGTATCGCCGCTCAACCATCGCTCCCGCGTGGGGTCCGATCCGTGTTTGACGTGGTCCTCAATGAACCAAGATGCAATATCGCGATCTGGGAGTGTTTTCTAGCTCTGTGTTAGTCAGATGTTCGCCTACCGATATGGTTATAGTACCTTCATCCGTCTAGCCATGCATTGATCACAGAATTCGAGCATATGAAACCAATGCCGGACCTTCCACAGCGAAGGAATAAATGCAAACCCCAGTCTTGGGATCCATATCGCAGGACTGAAGGGACCCAGCAATGTGAGCGCCGAACGCAACATGGCTATCGACGAATGCCACTTCTTGTTCTTCATCATGCCGAAGTCTTCGCTGAAGGCGAAATCACCCATCGAGTCAAAAGCGAAGAAATACATGAGATCATTGATGAGAACAGGGCGTGATTGCTCCAAAGCAACTAGTCCCGTCAGTGTTCGTACCTTTTCCATCACCCGCCGATGATACTGGACCAATGCTGAACGACCGTGTCAGTCTTCGACTTGTTGTGGGCCATTAAGTTCAGACCTTTTCTGCTCAGCGCTTGCTCCCACATTTTCCGCCGCTCGTGGTGCAGTTGTCGGTCACGAGTGAAGATTGAGGATATCCGAGGATATAGAAGGTCATACCAGTCAGAGCGCGTGTTATGATTGTCAGGACCATCCATGGCCTCGTAGGCCTCGGGGTGGAATATGGTAACCTCGGCCGGACCTAACCATTCAATCTCAATGTTATGCGAAAGTACTTCTTGGGTGGTGATGTTTCTTACCGGTTCTTACAAACTCCCCATATTTCTCGTGCCAGGCCTGCAAGACGAGATGTCCACGCGAATCGCGGCATTTCCAAACATGCCATAATTTGCTCACTGCGGCTAACCTTGGGCCAGGAAAGTGTTTCAATCGATGAAATATGAGTCGGTATACCGTGATGCTTGTGAATAGTGCTAACAGATAGCATGTCGCTAAGTATATTGTGTGAAACAAGCTGGCTCGATGGCTTCCATGACCAAACAAATGGTTCGCATATGGTAAACAACCGGAAAGAACATGAACAACAACGACTGCAGGGGCCTTAAGATGCCATTCTCCGTGAATAAAGACAAGCTGGTGTGCCAGGAGCCCCGCAATAATTGCAACTGTCCCTGGAGCTAGCATGATGGTGATTAAACAGAATATTTTGGAACTGTAGCTTTGACTATTTCGAGTGCCACGGTGGCTCTGAATTGGGCTTTGGGTATCAAGGTCACAGCGAAAGAAAGACCAAAAGCAATGTTGGACAACGCTCGTCATTCTCGGCCATCGGAGGATATATGACCTAAAATCAGCCTTTTTGGATATCTAGGTAACCAATGTGTTTAATAGTTCGCCCCAAATCTGGCCAGCTATTTAGCATAGGTTGTATGCCTTGTCCGAGACATTCAAAAATCTACGACCTTTGGTTTCTTATTTTCCTCTCTTATCAGAGCGTTCTTCGTCGATTCCCAAACTTCCGGCACCAAGGCTCAAACTCAACAGTGTCGTACATAAAAATAAGACTAACGCCAGAGATATATCATATACCATCCCACTCGATTGGACCATCGACACTCATCAGTCATGAGCCGATATGTCTTAATAGTCCAAAGGGCATTGACATCTCTGTGGTACCACTCGTATACCCTCTGGCTGTTCGTCTTCAGCGATTTCAAAACCATCGTGGTACCAAGTACCATTTTCGGGATCGCAAACGCCTGGGCGGCGTCAAAATACGACCCAGAACTTGCAGGGGGTCTCTGTCCTCCGCAAAGCATCGTCGAATCACTAAAGTGGATTGGGAGAGCTTTCGCAGCATTATCATGGCTTCTAATTAACCTAATCCCTTTTGCCATCAACAACCAACGGGGTCAAAGAGCCATTTCGGAGGACAGTTTGAACAAACCATGGCGTCCCTTTCCTCGAGGCCGGATATCTCACGAGTGGGGAACGCGAGTCATGCTCATTTCATATATATTTGCCCCGATATATAGCCTTGCATTCGCCGGGGGAGTCCGACATTCCGTGGCGTTGATATGGTTAGGAATGTGGTACAATAACTGGAGTGGTGCGGACAAGAACCCGGTCATTCGGAATATTATCAACGGACTGGGCTATACCTGTTTCGCATCGGGGGCGATGGAAGTAGCCCTAGGTGGTTCTTTGCTACCTCTTCACCCGCTTGGATTGTCGGGACAGTGGCTTCTTGTCATCATAGGCATTATTTTCTCCACCGTTCAATTGCAGGACATGTCTGATCAAGCCGGCGATGCTAAACGCGGTCGGCGGACGGTGCCTCTGGTATGGGGTGATACTGCGGCGCGGTGGACCATTGCCATACCCATGTTCTGTTGGGGAGTATGGTGCCCGATGTTTTGGGCTGTGTCATCTCTTTGGTTCACCGTGAGTATGGCATTGGCTTCCATGGTGGCTTTGAGGACTCTGGTGGTGCGTTCTGTTCAAGGGGATAAACAGACATTTCGACTTTGGAATTGCTGGATTGCGGTGGTGTATGTGTTGCCTCTGTTTTCAAGAGCGGAACCTCTTCAGAGAAGTCTGTCAAGTCACGTTGCGAAAGAGAAGTGGACATAACCCAACTACTCCTGTGATCGCCTCATATCCAATACCGCTATTAGCGTCCATGCCACGCCTATATACCCAAGGTATCTAGCTAAATACACCTTTTTCCATGATCAATTCTAGTCTGCCCGAACGTTGTCCTTCTATATTCGGCGATAAGAATGTTTAATGCCGATCTTGGGAGGCCAGTAAAAATATATTGCGGACTTGCTTAACCCCGTTAATCTCCGAGTTGCCAGGCAGCCCAGGATTACGTCCCCATCTTTTCTCTCTATTTAAGAACATCTCTTTTCCGTTCAATTGAGGTTTTTCCTTGAACATCGATTCAAATCCTCATTCATCATGGGGTTCTTTTACTCACAATTTCTTGTGACTCCCCAATATCCAACACAGTCTTTCGCCGACCAGACGGCGCTCGTCACCGGCGCCAATGTCGGCTTAGGGCTAGAGGCTGCACGTCACATCACGCGACTTGGTGCAGCACGAGTGATCCTTGCTGTTCGAAATGTGGCTGCAGGAAAAGCAGCAAAAGAGGACATTGAAAAGTCCACAGGCCGTCTAGGCGTCTGTGAAGTGTGGGAGGTCGACCTAACCTCCAACGCCTCGGTCCTTGCATTTAGCGAGCGTGTCTCACAGCTCCCCAAGCTCGAAGTAGCCATACTAAATGCAGCAATTGCCACAGAGCAGTTTGGTATTGCCGAGGGCTATGAGCGAACTCTCACTGTCAATGTCATCAACACCCTATTCCTCGGCCTCCTCATCCTGCCAACCATGAAGGCCACACGGCAAAAGGACCCATCGCGCACGCCCCGACTTACCTTCGTAGTGAGTGAGGTGCACGGATGGGTGAATTTCACAGAATGGAAGGAAGCCCAACCAATGAAGTTCGTCAGCGACCAAACAAATGCGAAAATGCACGAGCGGTACCCATTATCGAAGCTGCTCCAGGTACTGCTTGTACAGGAACTAGCGGGCCGAGTGCCTGGATCACAGGTGGTCATCAACATGCTCAACCCTGGTTTCTGCCATTCACAATTAACACGAGAGGCTGGGTGGAAGTACACACTGATGAAAGTGCTATTGGCGCGATCCACTGAGGTTGGATCTCGAACGCTTGTGGCGGGTGCTACGGCTGGACTCGAAAGCCATGGTGCATATATGACCGATGGACATGTGGAGAGCACTGCACTTTCACCTTTTGTGCGGAGTGACGAGGGGCGCCAAGCGCGTGAGAAACTGTGGGCTGAGCTGTCGTCGATCCTTGAGGGTGTTCGCCCTGGGGTTATGCAGAACGTCTGATTTCGTTGCTGAGGACATGGGGTTGCTTTGTATCTTTGTACTTTTAGCTGAGGAATTAAATGAACATAAATCATAACACATGTCTTAATTCCCTGGGTTCATTCTCACCTAATGTCTTACGGAGTACGGAGTACATTGACTCCATCTGCAGCTTACTGTTCGTACTTCGTACTACTGCGACTCCAACGCTGACTATTTACGCCAAAAGGAACAACGGAGATCAGTGCTGATCTTCGATATTGGATTGGCCAAGGCGCAATTTAAACCCTTGCTTTTTTTGGCGTCTATCTCATTGGGCATTCTGATTCGCAGAGTTCCCCCAAAGCCCCCGGCTCTAATTGCCCACTCTGCGAGCTCAGGCAGCCCATTTCTAAACACCAACACCTCTCACATCAGAGCAAACACTTCGCTGGTACGGAGTGATGATGCTGCACAGCGTACATATTACGAGCTCTAAATCTGCTGATGGCTATGATTTGCCCAATGGATGCTCGTGGCGTCAATAACGAGGTCTTATTGAGTGCCCGCTTCAACAAAGAGGTTGCCAAGGGAGAAGTTCATAATGAGACCAGTTCTGCATGCCTCTTCCCTGTGCAGACTGCCGTACATTTAGGCCAGAAAAGTCCCTAATCTTCATAATTTGTTTCAATTTGTTTCTCCGCACTTGTTACAGTTTATCTTCATCATGGCTCCTGTCCTCTTAGAACCGACAATTGTTGTTCCCCAGCCCAATACTACTCCATTGAAGTTAGCAGTCAATGGTACTTCTACCAATGGAGTTGACCTCGCCCTGAAGGTACGCCCTTGGCGACTCCTGCATCTCGCCGATACCCTCAATCCACCCCCACCTGCCCTAGAAGAACATCCGGATATTCATATCCAGCGACTACTCCAATTGGCCTGGGTTACCACAATCAGAGCATTCTCCTGCTCGACAACCCTATACATTGGTCAAGACTATCAAAAGGGTCAATGCTACATAGGCGAGGCAGCTCATGGCTACTCAAAGCCGACCGTCCAGATCCATGTAGATCCTCATGACACCGTGAGAGATGTCTTCCGCGAGTGCATTGAAGCATTGGGCCCACTATGTCAGACCGGAGGTACGGAGAACATCCACAACGGCCAGGCCGGTGAGCATGACGGCTTCAACGTGACAATCGCCTACCAGAAGCAAGCGCCGAAGCGCATCCTCTCTAGTCAGGATGAATGCATGGGCAGATGCCAGGCCTGCTGTGGCATGCCGGCAAGAGAGTTAATGGAGGTAGATTCGACATTCACCGGCCTCCGCCTTTCAATACGACATACATCCGACGATAGGTTATATGCCCGATTAGATGTCGGAAACACCGGCATCGGGCTACCATTAGCTACCAGCCTCTTGAACAGCTTCAACCAGGCCCTTTCATCAATTGATGGTTCATCCACACAGACAATCGGCAGCCTCGAATTATGCTCGCCACAAGATCGTGCCCTGATTACCCAATTCACTGGAAGCATCGGCCCTGCACATGATGCCTTGTTACATGAGCTGTGTTTACAACACGCGAAGACAACCCCCGATGCTCCTGCCGTTCGCTCTTGGGATGGGGATCTGACATATCGACAACTCGAGGATTTGACTTCTCGGTTAGCACATTGGCTAGTAGGACAAGGCGTGGGACCAAACATCTATGTGGCTTGCGCCTTCTACAAATCCACCTGGGCTGTTGTAGCCCGACTGGCCGTCCTCATGGCTGGTGGCGCGTACATCTGCGTTGATGGCAGTGATCCACCACCATATCTTACATCTGTCCTCGAACGCACCCAGATAAAGATCATGCTCACCTCAGCCGGGTACAAGGAAAGATTTGCCGATCGGGTCGAAACCGTCTTCGAGGTCAGCGATGCCTCCGTTTCCAGTTTACCATTGGTGACCTCAGTCCCTTGTTCAACCGTCACGCCCACGGACCCTTGCGTTGTGCTCTTCACATCCGGCAGCACGGGAAAACCAAAGGGAATTGTCCAGGAGCACCGTAGCTATGCTTCAGCACTGACAGATTACATCCGAGTCATGGGCATGGGACCACATACCCGGATGTTCCAATTCGATGCATACACCTTCGACATCAGCAACAATGACTTCCTGGCACCTCTCATGGCTGGTGGGTGCTGCTGCGTTCCTACTCGATCCCTGACGATAGACTCGCTGATGAACGACATGAACGATCTGGGGGGGAACATGATGTTCATAACACCATCGGTCGCGATTGACATGGAGCCCGACCGCGTCCCAACCCTGGAGATGATGTGTATCGGCGGGGAGCCAGTCTCAGGCGCGGTACTGGCGAAATGGCTGGACCGCGTGCAGGTGGTGAATCAATACGGCATGGGTGAGGTAGCCTCCCTCTGCGCATACAACCGCAATCTCGAAATGGGCCGCGGGTCAGTGGTCGGTCGTCCTGCCACCGGTGCAATCTGGATCGTCAACCCCGATAACCCTGACCAACTGATGCCCGTCGGAGCCGTAGGCGAACTCCTTATCGAGGGCCCTCATCTCTCCAAGGGATATCTAGACCACGTCTCTGGGAAATCGGAGAACTTCCTACCTGCACCGCCAGTCTGGATGGCTCAGCTGCACCCCGAGAGGCCAAATCACCGCCTCTATCGCTCGGGAGATCTAGGCCGGTACAACCACGACGGCACGATCGAGCTGATGGGCCGCAAGGATAGCATGCTCAAGCTGGACGGGGCGCGCGTCGAAGCCGGGCAAGTGGAGTACGTTCTCCGACGCAATCTGTCTACGGGCGATGCGGCCGTCGTGGACGTTCTCGGCGCTATTGATGGTCATGGTGATCCCATTCTTGCTGTATATCTATACTTGGCAAATAACCCCATGAACATGGAAGGAGGTCCTGTGGAAGAGATGGAGTTCCGTCCAATTAGCGAGAGACACGCTGTTCATGCGCTCACCCAGTCGCTGAGCGAGGCGGTCCGCCAGAGCTTACCGAAGTACTATGCCCCTGCGCTGTATCTCCTTATTGATACAGTCCCGCGCACTAAGTCTAAGAAGACTGATCGCCGGAAGCTTCACATGTTGGGTCAGGCTTATTACATGGAGCATCGGGATGAGCTGGAGGGGATTACTGTCTGGTTGGATTGGAGTGAGATATAAATATGACTCATTGAGTCTTGGATGGTATTGATGTGGGAGGCACAATGTGTATTCTCAGAACTAACGACATTGAAAGCTCAAAACATTGGAAAGACCCTTTTGCGGCCGACTATAGCAGAAATATATCGATCCGATTGTGTTTTTCTTTCACCTCTATAAAACATAACAATATTTTGTCAACAATTTGGTATTGCTGTGATTCTATGACCCTGGACGACTTCCGTCAGGTAACACTGGCCGAATACCAAGACACGCCATCCATACGGCACGTTTCTTGTCCAGTCAATGGCGTAGAAATCGGGCCGAGGCGCGTGGTCCCCGCTCTTGGCGGGATTCCATGCTTGACTGTGATGCCCTTTATCACAAACTCAGGGCTGATTGAAGTTATGTTCAACCCACATCATGTACGCACTCGTATCCAACAGCCTGGGATGAGGGATTCGAGCTTGAATTCCTGGGGCTGAATGCGGGCGAGCGCGGCGGCGTAATGTCATCGCCGGAGCGCCAAGAACGCCCACAACGGGAGCACTGCACAATAACGGCTCCTAGAGTAGCACCAGCTGCCACTAGAGGAGTAGAGGGGACCTCGGATAAAAGTTTAACAATTCGTCGCAAAACGCGAAACTAATGCATGACCGCTCTCATCGATCATACGACCAAGCCGCGGGGACCGCAGGAAAGAACGCATGCTTCATGTCCTGGAACGCAGCAACATCCTCGTCCACCATGGTGGGAGAACCAATCGCAAAGCCAGCATCAGGGTCCACGGGCAGCCAATTTGATGTCAAGCGGGTACTGCCATCTGGCATCTCGAGTGGTGTGAGACACTCTTCGTCGACTCGGGAGTGTCGATGGTGCGGGGAGCTGAGACTGTGGGTCTGACCAGGCTGATATTGGGCGTCTAATGCCGAGGCCCCGAAATCGGACGGGCCGAAGTCGAATTGCATGTATTGGGCGTCTTCGCGCTCGGCTTCGCCTTCCCACACGCTTGATGAGGCGTGGCTTGGTTCTGGGGATGCGTTGGGATCGGAACTTGGAGATCCGGGAAGGGGAAGGCGAGGGCTTTGGGGGAGGGAGTCATGAAGAGGGCTCTTTGTGTTGCGAGCTCGAAATCGGGGCGGGAGTGTATCGGGGGATTCTCGGGGGTTTGGAAGGGAGTTGATTGGGCTGATTGGTGGAGGGAGAAACTATTTGCACGTGTTAGTTACCAGGTTCTCGATGCGCCTCTTGGGGTTTCTGGACAAAAGGCGCAGGTAGTAAAGTAATTTACCTTCTGATATCTGTTTTCGTCCCTCCACAGTCCTCTCTCACCAGGCCGGCATCATACCACATTTGCGGATATGGTTGAAATGCGGTCGATTTAGCCGGGTATTCATTCACCCAGCTAAACTGCTCGCCACCCCAGGAGGGATCTAGTCCCTCCTGCATTGTCAGAGGATAGTCGCTGGCGATAAAAGGGTGCGGGCTGAGCTCGTCGTGCTGTCCCATATGCGAATCAACGAGACTCTCCATGGGCCAGGATGTAATATCGTATGGGAATTGAGCTTCGGTCATGATGAATGTTTTGTATTTATCACAGGCTCAAATAGTGATGGCGCAAGTATAGGAGCCGAAGTCAATGAGTAAAGCTCTTGTTGGAGTTGGAGCTGAAGTCGAAGTCCAAGTTGAAGCTCGAAATAGTTTGTATCTTCGTGGACCTTGAACTTGCTACCAGCCCAAGGAAAAAAGCAAAGAATAATTAATTCCCCGCAAAATGGGGGCCATGCTCGACTTATTAAATAAAATTTCGACTTCAACATCAAACCACGGAGCTGAGCAGCTGTGGAGTTGCGGAGAACCTGGGGCCCCAAAGCTCCAACGGCAAATATCCCTGGAGACCGCATGATCGCATGAAATTCGTCAATTAACCGATTTCCCCGGATTTTGAAGCCAAGGCCGTGCATTCGGGGGAGGTCGTTGGCCAATCGGTGAATTCTGGCAGCTCGGCATTGAGAATTTAATCGAGACCCCGCCGTTGAGCGGGTAATTTTAATAGGCTCGAGACATTGAAGAACCTAAAAGAGAACGGAGAACGACATTGGCCTTGTTTCATACTTATTATAGAGGTCATGACCAGGTTGATATAGGGTTCTGAGGAAGAAATTGTCGGCGCCACATGGAACAATGGACCGAGACGTCCTCAGGGGTAAATTATACACTTGCAGAATTATCCGCCTTCGATGTTACATAGAAAAGCAGCTTTCACGGAGTCAAACGCCACATGCCCAAAAAGAAGAAACGCCGCTCCGCTCCAGAACTATACAGGAAGCATTCGTATACAAGCAGTATCCAATCAACCCTAAGATTGCAAGATCGATCATCAACCCGTGGGGAAAGGGGTTTCCGCCGCTCCCCTCAGGTACGCAAACCCGCAGGACGCGTGGTCTGGCCCCGTAGGGCGCAGCGATCGACAGGAACAGGGCAATGCTAGCCGGAGCTGATTGTGGGGTATTTACAGGGCTAAGCCAGTCCCTTTTCGCGTCCAGCGGTAAAGTGCAAGAACCGCTTTTCGGCGATGCCGAATTTCACTCGGGTTAACCGGACGACCTCGAGCCTGTGCGACTGCAGAGCGCATTACTTGCCGGAAGCTGCGCTGATACTCCGTGTTGAGGGTGACCACGCACGATTCTGTCGCTCGAATCATGGTCTCGCAGGCGTTGAGTATGCCCTCGCCTGCTTCCTTTTGTAGGCGCTCTACTATAAGCAGTAGGAGGAAACTGCCTTGTAGCAGCTGGATGCCGAAGAAGTAAGGCATGAAACTAACGTCGGGGTCGAAACGGAGGATTTGTTGCACGGAATCGGCGGCTTCCAATGCGTGTGAGATGGTCGACGCAAAGGCTGGAGAGGATGTCCAGAAGTCTTTGTCTTCGATCAGTGAGACAGGATCCCACTTTCCGACGAGCAGGATATGGAGGACGTGGGTTAGGTAGGAGGAATACGCAATCACGGTTTGCGTGTGCCAAGAATAGGCCTGAGACAATTGCGGATCAACAGGTTCTGGCTTTTGGGTATAGGCAGTCGTCGATGAGGCCGCTGGGTCTGCGGCTGTCGCCGCAGCGAAAGTTGTGAGACTAGCTTTATAGACCTCTAGCTGGCGCAGCACTTCCGACACGTGGACCTCCCACGCTTCTTTTCCTTGAAGCCTGACCCCGAGAGTAGGGTGGTTCCGCGACTGGTTTAGGTCGATAAGTTCGCCAGTGATCGTCATGAGTGGGAGGAAAAATCCAAGAATAGAGTGGTCATGGCAAATGAAGTTCGGGAAAATACGACGTTTGTTTTGGTCACCCGACCGGGGGCACTGAGGCCCATCTGGACGAGGACTATTGCTGTGGATAATGCCTGCTTGCCAGGAGCTTTCATCCAGTGGAAGCAGCAGGTCCTCGCTCTCAGCATCGAGTAGGGCTAGAGGACGATTGTAGCATAAGGCGAGATGGCGGTCCATGATATATAGCAGCCACCAGGTTCTGCGCCGCTCTTCCCGGTGTTCTTCTGTGATAGGACCATTGTGCAAATCATGGTTCTTGTCACATACGCAATTCAGACTAGGGCGCGAGGGATTCGAGTAGTCAAAACCCAACCCGCCTGGGGAACCGGGCCATCCGCCTAGACCGTAGCCGAAGGAGGGACTTGAACCGTCGCTCATGCTGTCGATGTTCGGTGTGATTTCCATCTCTTGGTTCAATTTAAGTTCTCGAGCTAATGTAAAGGCCGCATGCCACCTAGGTGGAGTTAGTGGAGTGGACAGGGATAGGAACAGGGGTACAACGAACCATCTCATACTTGCAGCCTTCTGTTCACTAGAGGAGATAATTGATGCCACATGGATATAGGTAATAACATCGTCTAAAGATCCGGCAGGCCCCACCAGCCCTTTATCGTCACCGACTCCCTCAAATGGGTGATGGGCCCCGGCGGAAAAGTCGTGGGCGGTCGGGTTTTCGGCAGGTGATGGATCTTGGTCTTTGAACGAGACATGTATCAAAGGCCGCAGTAAACGAATTATTAACGCGCAAAGAAATTGGCATATCTTTCTCCGTTGTAATGGTGAGATGGATAAAGAGAAGGCCCGATCATCCACAGCAGCTACCCAGAGCATGCTTGCCAGCAACGCAGGACTAGTGGGCCTGGGGCGGTCGACGCTTAGAAAAGAAGTCTTTCGCAGGACGTAGCAGTGGATATGATGGCACACAGGATGCATATGGGTTGAGAAAGCACTGGTAAAGTAAAGTTCAAGCAGATCGCACACCAGGCGACGCGGGAGGTTCGATTCGAGAAACGGCATCAGAGGTTCCAACACAGGGTACTTCAATGGCGACCGGGAGGTCGACGGCTGTCTTTGTCTGGGAAGGTTCGCCCCCGACACAGACGGTATGGGAGCGGCACGCTGAACCGGTCGGTGGCCAGCAAAATCAACCGGATTCCAAATGTCCATCAACCGAGGTAGAGGCGCGTCGCTGCCCCCCGTGCCCGCGAGCAGATCATACGAGTCTGGCGACAGATGTGCCGCTGAAAGCCATTCCTCCGTGACATTTGCAGCAGGGCCTGCCCGCTGCGGTTGAGGAGGATCCGGCAGAGACCGAGGGTCGTCGACACTAGGCGCGGACACGGCGCTGATCTCGTTTGTTGCCGGCGATCGCTGCTGGAAGCTTGAGGCAGGAGAATTTTGGTCAATCGGCGACAGCACCTGCTGTGACTGCGACTCCCGGTTGTGTTCCCCATCGGCCTGCGTCCCCTCGGTGGGGTCCTGTGCTGTCTCGTCGCCGGCATTCGCATTTCCATCTTTCTGTTTGGATCTGGCAATCCGTCCTCGTTTCCGGCGCTCGCGGGTGAATTGACAGTTTATATCACCTCGCAGGCATCTTGAGCAGGGAAATGCACGGTCGCATCGTACACGGCGAGTGTGACAAGAGTCGCAGGCGACTCTGTTTCGGCGCCATCGTCGCTTGCCATTTGATAGCTCAACCTCGACCGAGTCGGGGACCGGAGATAGCGGGTCACCCTGGAGCTCCATTTTTGGACGTCATTGAGGTCAAGTGTAAAGAAAAAAGAAGCTGGGGAGAAATGAAGGATGTTGCGGGGAAAAGGCAAGAATGTCTCACCCGCAATTCGGACTTGGCGTGGAATTTCTCCAAATTTTTACTTTTGGGACGAGGACGTACACGTGGGCATCTCATGTGATCCATATTGGTCCTAAACTAATTACCTACCTAGGTAGGTATCATTTACATATTCAGCATCCATTTTAGTGCCTTCTTGAACCTCTCCAACGCTCGATCTCGACTCTCTGCGTGGTCCATAATAGACCGGGGGTAGCCATTGTTCTGCGCAATGGCTGCCGCCCCCCTGGCATAAGATTCTCGGATGGCTTTTCCAGACATGTCACGGAGTTCCGGCAGCCAGTGGCAAATATACTCACCCTCCGGGTCGAATTGCTCACTCTGGCGAAGAGGATTGAAGATGTGGAAATATGGCTGCGGATCCACCGCCAGTACTAGACCCAAATCCCCACCCGCCGTGATTGGACGCGAAGTCACCATCCATCAGATTCTCTATGAAGTAGCGCTCGCCACGGCGCCAATCGAGCATCAGGTCCTTGGTAAGGAAAGATGAGAATAACATGCACGTGCGGTTGTGCATCCACGCGCAGTGGCGGAGCTGGCGCATTGCTGCATCGACGATGGGGAAGCCTGTCATCCCATCGCGCCACGCTTGAAATTGGTCATTGTCGTACTCCTATTCAGATATCGGTATGTTCGGGCTTAAAGCATTTGTTCATACTACAGGAGTAATTTGCATTAGAATGGGAACTCCGTTGTGTGGGGGATAAAGACTTACCAGATTAAAGGCCAGTTCACTAGGACATGCTTGTAAAAGTCGCGCCTGGCCAGCTCGCCGATGCAGGTCATGTAACCGGGGTCATATCGATCGATGTGGCCTTTGTTGATTCTCTTCGCTGCCACGACAGCAGTCCTTGCGCTGAGCGCCCTGCATGCAAAGTAAGGACTCAAGACCGAAGTGCTTTCACCAGACAACTTGCTCCGCGCCTTCTCATACTCTTTCCCTTTCTCAAGGAAGTTTCCCAGTCGCTGGAGAGCTTCATGCTCACCGGCTGGGTAAAACCACTCGAAGCGTTTCTGATCTTCGTCTGATAAGATGTGGGTATTGGGGCGGCTGGCACATTGCAATTGAACAAGTTCTTGAATTGTTGTCGTGCATTCCCCCTCAGCGACCTCGAGGTAATCCGGGTTCTCTTTTAGAAATGCCAGCCAAGAGCGATACCATGGAGTATAAACGGAATATTGTTTCCCTCGCTGACTAGCCAGCGCGCCCGGGGTGACCACGCAGGTATCATGAGAGTGAGTGAAACTGATATCGTTATCTGCACAGAGCCTTACGAGCTTGGCTTCGCGCCGCAGCTCATCCACCTCATACTCGATATTTGCATATAAGCTTTTCGCGCCCCACTGTTGACACAACTCCACAATCTGTTTCGGGATCGCCTTCCGTTTGTCCTATGTTTCCATGTGCAGGGGGATATCCAACTCCCCTAGGTCTTGTTGCGGTCGCTTGAAAGTGCGCAGAGTGAAGTCCACTCGAGCGGGGCTAGTCAATGGGCAGTCCGGTCCTCGGGAGAGACGATGTAAAGACCGATCAACGGGACTTGGTGCTCTTTCGCAAATTGGTAGGCCGCCCTGCTGTCATGACGCCGGAGATCGCTCTTGAACCGATGTACCACGGCACTTCCTACGTTGATCGACCGACACTTGTCGACGTTTTCCCTGCAAGCTTTCTGTAGTGTTACGATTGCGCGTTCCAGCTCGCCGTTGGTGTATGCTTGGCAACGCCCATTGCTCATCTCTAGCGGATAGAAGTGGCGTAGGACTATGTCAAAATCCTCGGTTTGCTCCGCATTTGGGTGCGGTCGGTGCAAGTCATCCCGATCGGGATGACCCTTTTTACTCGCGTGCGAGCCATTGGGGTGTCCAGCTGGCGGTTCGCTGGCCTTCGTCTTTGGTGGCAGAGCTGATAAGTTGCGAACGAGCTGGGCTTGCAATTGGCTGGAAGGAAACAGGTGCGGCACTGGTCGATAGCAGCAGAGAAAAAAAGTTCTGCATTACTGGGGGTAATAGGAAAAGGGTTGCTAAAAAGGAATCCAACGTCTTTGGATCTAAAGATCGAGATCGATTTCAGATCAGATCGGGTGACGTCAGAGCCCGATCCGATCGTGATCTGTCCCTGTCATGTATTTCCTTGCTCTTCCATGCCAGCGACGGATGCCAGTTATTCCAGTTATCTCTGTTATGCTACCTAGCTATGCTAGAGATCTAAGTTATGTCAGTGACTCCCCGTGTTGTGCCAATAGCCAAGCCGGCCCTACTCCTCATAAAGTATGGCAGATCTCGCGTTCTCTTATTAACCAATCACGCACCAGATGCAAGCAACCTCGTATTCTGACATCAACTGTTTTCACTGCAAAGATGTGCAATTCAACATATAATGGCTTATATTTCACACTTCTCATCCCGACGCCTCATATTCCATGTCTTCCTGGATACCCATCCTATTACCTGCCCGTCCTATCTCTCTCTGAGACAGTATGTTTCTAAAGCACCAAAGCCTTGAAGCAAGGGGGATCGACAACCAAGAACAGGAGTCAAGCCACAACTCAATATTGCGACGGGGTAATACAACATAGTTTAAGGGAATCCCTTTTTGACATCCTACGGAGTACTCCGTAGGTTTTTTGTTACAAAAAAAAATTTTGAAGTCTCACCCGAACTTGGATCCATGGTTCGGGAACTTCCCCATGTCTGTCTCGTCCAGTCTGCTTTCGCCGTTTTCCCCACGAACCCGAGGAGCTGTCATGGAATCAGGTGCTCCTGTACGGTCTTCCAGTCGATTCCCTTCATTTACCCCCGATTAGCCTCTAAGCTTATCCCGCCACTGAACAAATGCGCAGCTTGAGTGAACTTTATTCAGCTTTATTTCTTTCATCCCCAACTTCTCCCGATCTTCAATTTCCCCTATATCTCTATCCCTCTTATCCATCTACTCCATAACCCGGGGGGAGCAACCAGCAATGTGCCTCCATCGACAATGGCCACCGATAACGCCGTCAGCGTTGCAGAGTCCCTCGCCCAGGGCGGCCCATCCGACCTAACTCGCACAGGTGTTTTCGCCGCCTTCGCCTCGCTAGCCTGGTACAACTCCATAGAGCTCATCATCCTCTGCTTATTCTCCTTCAGACGCTGGCGCGGCACCTACTTCTGCAGTCTGCTCGTCGCCTCCGGCTGCATCATCCCGTATTGTCTCGGGTTCGTCCTTCTCTTCTTCCCAACTGGCGTTACTCCTTGGCTATGCGTGACCCTCGTCGTGCTGGGCTGGTACGGCATGATCACCGGTCAGTCGATGGTGCTGTGGTCGCGGCTGCATCTCGTGCTGCAGAATCGGAAGCTGCTGCGCGGTGTGCTGTGGATGATCTGTGTCGATGCTATGGTCTTCCATATCCCGACTACGGTTCTCTTGTTCGGGACTGTTGCTTACCCGACGGGTCGCTGGGCCCGCGCATACGATATCATGGAGCGTATACAACTGGTCGGTTTCTGTATACAGGAATTGATCATTTCGAGTATCTACGTCTGGGAAACGGTCAAGCTGCTCCGTCTCAGGCCTGAAGGTCGCCCGCAGGGAATTCTTAATCAGTTGTTGGTTATCAATATCCTCATTCTTGTGTTGGATATCTCGGTCGTTGTCATCGAATATGTCGGCTACTATGCCGTGCAGGTCTTGTTCAAGCCTGTCGCGTACAGTATCAAGTTGAAGCTTGAATATGCTATCCTTGGGAAATTGATCGCGGTTGCGCGCGGTGGCACGGACAGTCAGGATATGCACTCGAGCATGCGGGAGATCAATGAGACTGGCTCGTTTCCTTCGGATAGGGACCGGATTTCGAGTTTGGAGTCGCCAATGCGGGATCATCGGCGGTTCAGTCTGCCCTGGCCTTGGGAAGGGAGTTCCAGTCATTCTACATCTACTTCATCTGGTGTTATACGGAATCCATGATACCCTGTCTTGGTCTGGCGTTTGGGCCCTTGCATTTGGCCTGATATGGTGTTGATATCCTGGTGTTTGACTTCGCTACATATGTTGATAATCTCTACATCTTGAAAATGTAATATAGCTGTTCCAAAAAGTTCATATGAGCGAATTATATATCTCCCCAAATATATTGCAATCAAAATATTCACGCTTGCAGCCATACTTCAAAATACATTCAGCGGTAGTAATTAGCCAAGCCGGTATCGGTCCCAGCCTGCAGCACCAACACACTACCGTAAATTTTACTCTCGGGCTGTACCATCGCAGTACCGACAGCTCCCAGAGTCCGACGGGTATCATGGCCAATACCGTCCTCAGGACCCAGCTCGATCTCAGAAGAGATACTACGACGACCAACGATGACAATATTGTTTGCCTTGTTGGATGTGTTATTAAGTTCTTCACGCACAGCAACGACAGCCATCTGGACTGCGTCGGTGATGGTTTCGTTCGCAACTGGTTGGTGGAAGACGACGCGCTCTTGAATTTCCTCTGGCACTGAATCTCGAATTGTCTCGAAGAAAGCCATGTCGGATTGAGAGGAAGATACGGGGGGTGCACTCGAGCTGGAAGCGGATGCTGCAGTGGACACCCCTGGTTTGGTGCCTTCACTGCCCAATCCACCAATTTGGATAACAGTCGCAGTGACCTGGTCATTCTGAGCGAGCTGCATGACCATCCGAAGAGCGAAGCGGTCGTCATAACCGCCAAAGAATGGAAGAACAATATGGTGGGAGTGACTGCCAGTTGGCTGGCGGGCGAAGGTAGAGCCCTGGAGGCTCATACCGCTGGCGGTGCGTGAAATCACGGGTCGCTTTGATGATGTTGAGGCTGGACTGTATTCGATTAGGATACCGACATGGCCAGCGACCCGATCTAGGATATCAGAGACAAAGTTTGTGTAGGCGCCGTTAGAGAACCGATTTGCGTCGTCGATCTCTAGCCCACTATGGTGGTCGGCCAGTGTTCCAGTCTCGCTCCAGGGGAGAAGGAGCATATCTGCGGTGTCATGCTGCGCCATGCCGATGACAGTGTCTGCGTAAGAGTGCTCAGGGACAACGGACACACCTGCCATGAGCGAGAGATCATGCCAGTCTCCGAACGCGCGGAAGGTGTTCACCACCGGATCCCACAGCGCATGCTCGCCCGCAGCAGCAACCTTCATGACACTGGAATCACGGTCCGTCAATTCCATTAACCTAACACCGTGGACCTTAAGTGTGGTATTGTCTTCGTCCTCTTCCGAGGTCATAGGATCTTCAACGGTTTCCTCGGTCTGCTTTGGCATCTTTGCAGGGTGAATGCGTGATGACACGGGTGCACGTCGCTTTGAGCTGAGGAGAGCTGCTACAGTACAGACTCCGGAAAGGCCATCGAGGCGAAGGTAGACGAGGAGTTTGCGGACTGGGACGGTCTTCAATTGATCCTTGGCAATGGCGACGCTGTCATTACGGTCATCGCGTTGGACAGGATTGCCTTCCCAGTCGATTTCCCCGCGTCTCCATCGCTCGACCTTAACCTGATACCATGTGGGATACAGCAAGGTAGTTAATGGAGTGGTCATGAATGTGGTGACCAAGGCCATAACGACAAAAATTGTAAATGTGCGAGTGCTCAAAATCTTGGCTTGGAGGCCAATGTTCTGTGGTGATTGAATCAGCTACATTCTCAATCGGGGAACTTCCTGCAGAATTAGTACTTACCAGCACAATTAATTCCACCAAACCCTTGCAACTCATCAACACACCGATAGAAAAGCTTTCGCGCCATAAAAGACCACAAAGCCGCGACGCAACAGCACCTCCGGCGACTTTCGCAATGAACGCGATGGCAATTACACCAATCACATAACCCCAGACGATTCCAGAATCAAGAAGGCCCAGATTAGTGCTCAGACCCGACAGCGTGAAATAAAGTGGGAGGAAAATAACAGCGACCAAATCCTCAATTTTCTCAGTAAGCTTGATGGCAAAGCCGCCTTCGTGCGGACAGATCAGGCCGATAACGAAGCCTCCAAAAATGGCATGAACACCAATGATCTGGGTGAAGAAGGCCGACGCCAGAGCGATAAGCAATGTCAGGGCGACCACCGACTGGCTGGGCCCTTTTTGCAGACTGCCAGTTTTCTCGAGGAAGCGAAGGAACAGCGGGCGGAAAGCGAAAGTCAAGAATAGCATGTAGGCAACGCAAACTAGCAGCACGTACAGAGCCGTGATGCCACTACCCGCGTTGACAAGAGCGACGCACAGTGCGAGCAAGATCCAGCCCACTACATCATTGCCAACACCTGCAGACAGCACGATAACACCGACTCGGGTTGGGAGCAGCTTCAGCTCAGTGAGGATACGACACAGCACGGGGAAGGCCGTGATGGCCATGGCAATACCGATGAACAGCAGATAGGTACCGAAGGCGATGGGCTTGGTACTAGGGTCATCGTGGAACTCATGGTAGAGGCCATAAGAGATAGCGCAACCCAAGCCGAATGGCAAGATCATGCCCGCAGCGGAGACGCTCAAAGCGACCCGCCAATTACTGACCAGGAAGCGAAGGTCGGTTTCGACACCGACCAAGAAGAGGAAGAGAATCAGGCCTAGATTGGCGACTACATTGAGGCTGGGAATGCTGGCGGCCGGGAAAATAGCGTCGGTAAATCCGGGGATGCGGCCCATCACCGATGGGCCCAGAACAATTCCCCCGATAACCTCTGCAATCACTCGGGGCTGACGAAGCTTCGAGAGGGGCCAGTGGATCAGGCGACAGAGCACGATAATTATTACGGCCTGCTTGTCAGCCAAATTATTTTCTGCGATGGCGATATAGTTACCTGGATAATAAACAACACCAGTGGATTCTTGGAGTCGTAATGGGTTGGGTTGCCGCCTTCGAGGATGCCACCTTGCGGACTGACTACATTAGTGCTACTGGCCGTAGCAGTAGTGGTCGCGTTGGCGGTCGCCATGCTGGGTAATATCCAGCTTAGACAGAGAGAACAGGCAAGGATGATTTTGCAAGTCAAGATGTTGGAGACTGAAATAACCGGGAATGAAAGTGGGAGTCAGCTTGAGCTAATACGAGGGCCAATAAGATTTAATGTCCCATGGATCCTTCCAACGGCTTGGGCTCGCTAACCTCAAAATGGAATGGTCAAAAGTTAAACGATTTAAATCAAATTAAATTGAAAGTCATTCCTTTGCCTTCTCTTATCGACGGAAACAAAGAAATATCACAATATCACCGCATCCGGCCTGGGGGATAAGTCCCTACATTCCTCTTTCACAATATTCACTATCTACCACAATAATATTAAAATATTAATGAAGTATTATAATCTCCGCTCTTGTGTAAAGTTCCCACGTGGTGATGACAGCTCGGGCCTTTCTGGGGCAGATGATCTACCCCAGATTATCTCACCCAGCTACAACCCCACAGTGTACCAACAAATCACAACCACAGTCGCTTTAGAGGGGGTTCTCTATGGATACACCTTGGTAATGTGACATCTGATTGTACATGATTATTTTCATACCACTGGGCCGGGTGGTATTATGGCTACTTCGCTAGACAAATTTATGACTTTTTTTAGCGCTTTTCAGCTGTTTCTATCCTTACTTCGGGTATTATTTGAGAGGTTCGGTTGTTGGGGTCTGGGAGGTTAACGCCATGAATAGCCTAGTTGGTGGCTTGAGCGGGCGCGCATGAGGGCCGTGAAGCGAATAAATCGCTCATTGGATGGCTTTCCATGTCAACATCAACCGCACAGTATTGTGGGTAAACCTCATACTTCGATTCCTTGGCGCATAACTATACTAGGTTGTGGTACTCAAATCTTGTCTGAGCCGTCAGATCTTTCTTTTTCAAGTTTAAACAGAATAAAAAGATGAGATGCTGGGAGTTGTATTTATCTATGGACTCAGTCTATCTGGGGATAAAATAAAGCGCAATAATACAGAACCAACTGTAGAGCAGATCAAAGAAAACACTGACATCCAACTCTTAAAGATTCAGACGTCAATAACCTCACAAGTAATACCGTATCGCCATAGTCCAGTAGTCTTATGAATGTCGTAGGGCCAATCAACATTAGCGTTTCGAGCGTAACGACGTTTCTCTTGAACCGGTAGGTGAGTACTCAGAGGGTTGGTATTGGGCAACAACGACGCTGCGATTTCTAGGCTTTTTTGGGACAGTGAAAGCCTCCATTACACCTGCGCTGATGCTGCCCGTCCGAGGGCTTGGCGCGGGCGATGCATCGTCCTCCAGCTTAGGAGTAACCATCTTCGCGCGGCGAGCAACGATAGCGCGAGCAGGAATGAAGTGCAGGATCAAATACTCGCTGTGGAGGTCGTCATAGGTGGTATAGGACGTGTCCAACCCCAGAGCCTGAGCCACTTCGCCAGCGCGGTACACGTACCCATGACCAAGATGTCTGGTTTCGATCTCCAGGATTTGAGCGCCTTTGCCATACGAGCGCCATTTACGACACATCCAGTCTTCGGCTTGGGCCTTGCTGGCAAAGGTCGAGATGAACATGCTGGTGCCTTCGTCACTGAGGTCGTTGATGTGACGCTCAACTTGAATTCCAAATTCGGTTGAGTTCACGGTGAACGTTTGCATGTTATTTGCGGTGAGACCGTTTTCCACGTCATTCGTCATTGACTTGTCGTACTGCACGCGGTAGAGGCGTTCAGGGAGTTGGGTTCGAGGTAGGCAGTACTCGTCCATTTTGGCTGGGCCGAGACTGGTAAGAATCCTGAGAGTGTTGATATGGTCTACTATGAGAGAACTGTATGTTGAAGTTGTAGATGCAGAAGGACATTGAGGAGAAAGTAGCTGGTATATATAGACCGTCTGAGACACAGAAAGGGTGGTTTCCTGGATCTTGCACGGAAGAAACAACCAGAGACTGCATCAAAGAATGATAAACAAGATCTCAGACTCGCGAATATTCTAGACTGAAATATTTCATTGAGATAGAGAAAAATTTGTGAATTCTTTGTTGCTGAATGGTAAGCCCCCCCTAACTCTCAGACATGAAGAAAAGGCAACAAGGAATGTCTACCGTGCATGCTGTGGTTGGACAAAGACAAAAGAAGGATATGAACCTTTGATTATGTATCTTAAGACAATGCCTTTTATCAGCGGCTAAAGGAACCAGGTACCAAAATATGTAGTAAATGTACAAGAGCGGAGATCCCACACGGGAGTAGAAGCAAGGCCTTCTGGCACCAACTACCAACTGGGCCAATCAAGCCTTCTTTATCTTAGCCTTAGAGCTCCGAACCCTGAAGAGGTAATAGAGCGTAATAGCAGCGAAGATATTGAAGATGAAATAGCACCAAAAGATTCCATAGTTCCTCCAACGATCACCCCACTCAATTTTCCTACCAGCTAGATACTGATCCGCCGAGCTGAGGGAGCAGTACTCACAACCAGCAGTAGCATTGTAATTAGCAAGCCTACCGGGGGCAGTTACGAGGTACTTCTCCATATACTGGAAGCAGGTCTGGCCAGAAGGCGGATCAAAGACACTCATCTCGGCAGCATTGCACTCAACCGGGCGACCATGGAGCGCCGTAGCCCCGATACCGCTGATATAGTAGGTAAACGGCGAGACGCGGTACATGAAAATCCAGAATCCGGGGAGATCATCTGGCGGCTGCATTACGCCGTTGAAGATGAAGGAAAGACCGAACATCAGTGTAGCAAGCATAGCGGCCATTGCGGGCTCTGGGATTGCGCAGACAGCTAGCTGTGCCATGCTTGCGGCGTAGATGTAGAATTGGACGATGAAGAGCATGATCAGCGCGCGGCGCTCGGAGTCTTGGTCGGCGCCGAAGACGGACCAGTAGAAGCAGGCCCAGGAGCAGATGCCGAGGCAGACTTGGAAGGGGATTTCGACGAGCATTTGGGATAGGATGAAGACTTTCCAGGAGTAGATGCGGGATGGACGTTCGCGGACTTCGTAAAGGGAGCGCTGGGCGACGAATTTCGGCATGATCTGGTTGACAAGCGTGTTGAAAATTGTGCACAATAGGAAAATGCTGAAGAGCACGTTTTGGAAGCCTTGCTGGGTGTTGTCCGCTTTCCAGAATGAGAAGCCGATGAATAAACCAGATACTATGCCCAAAATGAACTTGGAGTAGACATATTCTGGCTGACGGTAGTACTGCTGGAAGACTCGTCCAAGGACATAGTACAGTTGGCTGCTGAGTGGCATGGCGAACTCCGAGTTGTCGTCGTCAAACTCATCAGACTCGTCAAGGGAAGGTCGATGGGCAGACGGCTTGCGGGCGTGATGAAGTCGTTCGACCTCAGCCTGCACCTCTTCATACTCTGGGCTCTTGTTCCAGGCCTCAACCCAGTCTATTGGACATGAATCGCCGGCAACCATTTCCAACATATATTCCGCGGGGTTCTCCAGTTGCTCGCATGGTCGAGCACCGTTGTGCTCGAAGTATTTCAGAAGAGTGGAGGATTGATTTCCGATATCGCCAAAGTAGACGGTTTTTCCTCCCTTGGCAAGGAAGAGCAAACGATCGAAGGTTTGGAACAACTGCGCACTAGGCTGGTGAATTGTGGCGAGAACAGCCTGGCCGTGATCTGCAAGTCTTCTGAGGAACTGACAAATAGTCCAAGAGCTTTGGGAGTCGAGACCGCTAGTAGGCTCGTCGAGGAAGATAAGCAGGGTAGGCTTTGCGGCAAGTTCGACCCCGATACTAAGCAGCTTCCTTTGCTCGACGTTGAGACCCTCTCCCAGGCTTCCCACCACCGCTTCGGCAAAGTCTTCCATGCCCAGAACTTGAATGACTTGTTCCACATACTCATACTTCTCCCGCTTGGGAACCTTTTGGGGCTGACGAAGCATAGCACTGAAACGCAAAGCTTCTCTCACAGTGGTGCTGTCAAGATGGAGATCTTGCTGTTGCACGTATCCAGTCCGACGGGGGAAGTTTGCCGCAAGTGTCTTGCCGTTCACGAATATATCACCAGAGACAACACCAATGGAGACTCTCTGTGCAAGAACATCCAGTAGTGTCGTCTTTCCAGCACCGGAAACACCCATCAAGGCAGTGAGACTACCAGGCTTGACCCAGCCATTGACATTGTCCAGAAGCCGTCGGGTGCCCTCCTTCACAGGGATGTCATAGTTGAGGGATTTCCACGAGAGAATGTCCTTTTGCTGAGGTAGACGGATGGTATCATTGGTTCTCTGTATCTCGAGCTTGTTGACCTCCTCCATTCCAAGCTCAATGCTGTGGCCTTCCTGTAGATACTTAGGCGCATGTCCAGGGCGGAAAACCAAGGCCTCGGCCTTTGACTTGTCATCAGTGACGTACTCTGTGGCAACCAAGTACAGCGCATTGAGGGCGAGGAAAAAGGCGATGAGAATCCCGTAGTCCCGCCACAGATGAGAATGCTTGTACTGGTAGTTCTTCTCAATGAAAGCATCGCCAGATACAGTTCGCTGACCCGCAACTGCACCGACAGCGGAGCAGATAAAAGACGTACCAGTTCCATAACTTGGTATGAATTCGTAACAGTCGAATGTTCGACCATGGAATTCATTTGCGACGAGCCCTTCGAAGGTATAGTAGATCGGGTTGATCCACCGGATCCATGAAAGCCACGGATGCATGTACGGCTGCGGGAGAGTAAACCCGGTATAAACAACAATGCAGAGCACAATCACGCCAGCAATTGCCATGGCCTGCCCGACCGTCTTTGTCAATGCACCGATACTGCGGAACAAGCCAGACATAGCGAGGACCGCAGTGAGCAAGAATAGGTAATGGGTGAAGAACGCCCCCGCTTCGCGGCGCAGGTTTGCCATGAAGTAGAGGACTACTGTGAATATTGAGATTCGTATGACCTTGATCGGTAGATCAACGACAAGACCGGCTAGTGCTTCAGTGAACGGGTGGACAAATGCATATCCCGCTTGCTTCTCAACAACAGGTCGCTGAGCATAGAGTTGAAGGATTTCGTTGATCGTAAGTAGGGCGTTCATAAGCACAGCAAAGTACATCACTGCACCCTTTTGGAAGAAATAACTGGGGGTGTCCGGAGTATTGTAGAAGATGGATCCAATAATCAGAGACAGAACGATCTGAACAACAACAGGTGCCATGGCTGTTGGGAGATCTTGAAGCATTCGCTGGTAGGCTCTGCGCATGCAAAGCCGCACCTGCATAGGGATGGAGAGTAGGAATGGGCTGCGAGCTCGAGTGTGGCGGGCTTGCTGCTCTGCATGGCTTTCTAGGAGTCTTTTTGCGTCGTCTCCATTCGGCGGATGTTCACTTTCGAATTTGGAGATATCCTTCTGCAAGAGCTGATACTCTGGGCTCTTTTTCCAATGCTCGGAAAACTCCTTCGCTGTGCGGGGAACCTCGCCCTCCATGCCAGGCCGTGCGATCCGTTCTGCTGGGTTGGTGATGGCAGTCAAAAAGTCACCGCTGACTTGGCGCTCAGGTCTCTCCCAGCCCATGTCTTCAAAATAGGATACTGCACGCTCCCTAGGTCCGTAGTAAATTTGGTATCCCTCGTACAGAAGGACGACCTTGTCGAAAAGATCATACATAGACTGCGACGCTTGGTAGGCTGCGATGGCATGACAGGATTGCCCCATATCAGCTGAAAGACGCAGTGATTTCACAAACTTCAGGGCGGATGCAGCATCCAAACCACGGGTGCTGTTGTCCCATGCTCCGATGCGACAGCGAGCCAGAAACATTTCGGCGATACTGACTCGCTTTCTTTCGCCTCCACTGACACCTCGTACAAATTCGCTGCCCACCTTGGTGTTGTAGGTGTGGGACAATCCGAAGACAGACAGGACCACCTGAGTGATTGTCTCAACGTACTCATTGCGGGACACACCCTCCAGCCGCTGTTGCGGTGCACGAGCATGGGCGGCGAATGTGAGAGTCTGGCCCACAGTCAAGTGGGGGAAATGTACGTCGACCTCCTTGTTGTATGCGACCTCTCCTCGGTGATGTTTGATCATATGGTCAAATGCGACTCCTTTGTAATGGAGTGTACTTTCGGGTTCCAACGTCAAACCCCCAAGGTGTCCGCAGATGGTCTTCAGAAATGTGGTACATCCACTACCAGGTCGACCCAGGACAAGAAGGAGTTCTCCGCCCTGGACTAAGCCATCGAAGCCGCGGAGGATTTGTCGTGATGATGAGGTACGCCCGGTCAAAGCTCTCGTCGCAGCTCGGAAGGGCACTTTCAAACTGGAAGTGAGGGTTTCCTGGTATTGTAGAGCAGAGCCAGAACCACTCACGCGTAGGTTGGAAAAGACCACGCCTTGGTGGGGGATATCAATGCCTGCATGGTTGGCCTGATCCAACACCATTTGCGCCCATCGGCCGTGATCAAATTGGGGGTTGGTGGGATCGAGGTGGGGAGCGACACCCTCTTTCTTGCTTGCCGATCGTGAAAGCTGCTGGCCAAGTTTGCTAGAGGCAATGCGGGTCAAGGTTTCTTGTTCTCGCTCTTCTAGTACAGTCCCAACTCGCCCCGTGATTGGAGCGAACTCGGGCTCATCATAGTCTTTCTCCATGGCGAGGAGTGGACTAGTGTATGTGATTGTGTGGGAGTCTCTTGGAACAACCATCGGGCGAACCCGACCCTTTTAATCAAACTCATCTCATCGGTAAACGGACAAGGAACACCGAAGATATCCATAATTCTTTCGGTATGGAGGCTTTCCGATGTATAACGGAGGAACGGACTCCGTTCCACCGATGTCTCTTAGTGGGTTTTGACAGCTTTCCTGGGCTATCATTGGCGGGTTTAGTCCACAGCCTTGGAAAGCATTGGGCGTGGATGCAAGATTATCCCCGAGCGTAAGCCCTGGATGTATCGGTGATTAGGGGTATTTCCCCTATCTCCATTGTCTCTACGTAGTTAGGGGCGTACCTACCCTATATATACATTTGGGCGCATTTTCGAATTTACAGAGGTGATGAGATTGAAGGTAAAAAGCTCGAAGGAGTTGACAATAGTACATATGTACCTACCTATTCCTCCCCTAATGTATGTACATGTATACTTTATACCGTAGCTCTTCTTGGGTGCAGTACCTTCCGTTTTTGTCAATAATACTCCACACGCTTGCTTGGTGACATCTTCCCAGCGTCTCGTTCACATGGATTGCCCTCTTGTCACAAGGACGGTAGTTAATAGGAAATGGGGTAGAGTTGATGAATGTGTGGGGAAGAAGATTGACAGAACGAGGTGCATGTAGGTGTTCGCTTCTTCGTACCGATTCTGGGAAGTACGACCACACCCGGAGTGCTGAGCGCTATATCTGTTTTAGTTTCTTCTCAAGTATCTTTGGTATCTTTTTTGGTCCAATATACATAGTCACACCGAAACAGTCAAGAGGACGTATCTGGCTTGAGGTGGAAAACCATCCACAAGTACTTATAATTATGTTGGCAACCAAAACCGAGATCCAGGGCATCTTTTTGGATAGACTAATTCCAGCACTTCCTGTTTATGGGACATTGGCACCACTCAGCTCAATCTCTTCCTGCTCTTGCTGTGTCCATCCCTTCGGTGGTGCCTGCACCTCATAGTTCCAACCAAAGGTATCCTCGACAGTCCCAGATTGTATACCGCGAAGAGTTTGCAGCAACTTAACGCAAACCTCACCACCCTCCTTCTGAGCCCCGCAACGGTACTCAAACTTATCACCACGGGACCGCATCGTAATACTACCCACAGGGACCAACGCCGCCGCCGTACCAGCAGCAATAACCTCATCAAACTCGCGCAGCTCCTCGTACATAACCCGCCTCTTCTCCACGCGGTATCCCAGCGTACGGGCAATCTCCAGCACCGACGCCGCCGTAACCGAGTCAATTGCATTCCGGCTATCCGGCTGAACCACAGTGACCTGATCGCCATCCCGCTTCACTCCAATGAAAGCAGAAGTCGAGAACTCATCGACTTCACTGCGAGTCGCACTATCCAAATGAAGGGTAATCCCAAACCCTTCCCGCCGCGCCCGGTCACTGTGTCGCAGCACAGGCGCATAATTTCCACCAACTTTGGCAGCACCGGTTCCATGCGGTGCACAGCGATCGAAGTCCTCCAAGATTAGCGCTTCAACCGCGCTAGCTCCGTGGTACACGCCAGTCGGCATAGCAAATACAGCCAGTGTGTACCCGTCCGGCGGACTTAGTCCCAGCTGCGCAGAGGAGCCGAAGAGTATGGGTCGAACATACATCGCAGCGCCGGAGTCGTGGGGTGGTACGTACTCGGCGTTTGCGCCAACTGCCAACCGCACGCACTCGATGAAAAGATCCTCCGGAACGGGAGGCATCGAGACCACTTCGGCGGAGTACTGCATGCGCTTGGCGTTGCGGTCGGGCCGGAAGATGGTTATCTTGTCATTGGCTGGGTGACGGAAGGCTTTAAGACCTTCGTAGACCTGCTGGCCATAATTCAGGCCCGGTGCCATCCCGTGCACTGGTAGGAAGGGTGAGGCGACGAATTGCGGTGCTGACCATTTGTTCTCACCGCTGTGGGAGAAGTGGATTTCGACATGGCCATTGCCTGCTATGAATGAGAATCTACTGATTACTAAAGGGCAATTGCTTACCATCCCGGACTTTGAAGCCCAGGTTATTCCAATCGAGAGCAATGGGTGGTGGGGGGAACATGATGAAGTGTGGATTTACCAATGCGGGGAGCCCACGCGTATTTATATCCGTGCTTCTATAAGGTTTTGGCTGACTATGCTGACTCAAATCAGATTCCAACCTCCGTGACTGGCAGGTCGCTATAGCCTTGCATCTGTTGACTGCGTCCAGAAGCTGTCACTAAACACACTTTCAGTTTCCCTGGGATCTCATGCAGCGAAAACTTCTTGTACATCTCCGCGATGTTCTCGAATTCGTCCACATACGTGAACATCCATGACGTATCGATTTTGCCTTGCACCGCCAGATCCATTAAAAACGGAAAATACTGCACCTGGTAAGCTAGCAATTCCAAAAAAAGAAAAAAAAGAACCCAACCTACCCTTTGGGGCCACGTTTGACCCCCGCGGACTGTCAGCGCTTTCTGCATCAACGGCCCAATCGGGAAATCACGCGTCGTGAAGAAGAAATCCCCAACCAACGCCACATTCCCACCCTTACGGGTTGCCTTGATGATCGCCGCCAATGTGTCACTACTATCCTTCTCAAGCCCAATCGCCTGCATAGCCGGATACTCCTGTTTCCCCACGCAACGGTACCCGCTAGCCTCAATGGACCTATCAAGGCCATGGTCCTGAATCGACAAAATATACTCAGCCACATCAGGATGACTATCCACATCAACAGGAGTCATGCCAAAGTCCTCCGCAATCCGCAGTCGCTGAGAATCCTTATCCATGGCAAAGACCTTCTTGGCGCCACGGAGCTTCGCAAGTCGCTGCGTAGCGAGACCAATAGGCCCACAACCCCAAACACCCAACACATCCCCCTCCTGCACCTCAGCCAACTCCAGCGCATGCCAAGCGGTAGTCACGACATTCGTCAAACCCAGTAATTTCCGTGCATCGATATACTCCGGCGCCCGGACACACGATAAGTCCGCATGCGGTACGCGACAGTACTCCGCCTGATTACCTGGATACCCACCACAGAGCCGGCTGTAGCCCAGCTTCCCGCAGAGTCGGTGGCCATACGCGGCTTCCATTTCCTTGGATGGGTTCGTGTTGTCGCAGAGCGAGTATTGCTGTCGTTGGCAGTACTGACAGGTACCGCATGAAATGACGGGTAGGATGATGACCCGGTCGCCTGCTTTGAGGGTTTTGACATCCGGGCCGACTTCTTCTATCATGCCGATGGCTTCTTGGCCGAGAATGTCGCCTTTTTCCATTGCGTCTTTGAGTTGGCCCTCGTATAGGTGGATGTCGGAGCCGGAGATCGTACAGTGGGTTATTTGGACGATGGCGTCGCCCGGGTCTGTGATCTGAGGCTTGGGTACGACTCCCACTTCGACGTTGCGTGTACCCATCCACTGCGCTGCCTTCATCATTTTGCTTGGGTGCGGCGTGTATGCCGTGCTACGGTGCATTAGATGAGACTGGCTTTGTGCCGTGGCGATACTTACCTGGGCATTGTGGCCGCCATGGTTGGGAGTAGTGGTCGATCACCAACGCAAAATAACAGCTCGAATGGGTCGTACGGGGATTGATCAACTGACAGTTGATGCTATCGACGTATAGCCGTTTGCTCCAATTGTGGAAGATTGGGCTACGCCAAGTTTGGAGCAATGGCAAATTAACATCAAGATGATGCCAGATCGAATCACCGCGTAGCCGAGTGGCCAAAAGTTATATAATTTCCATTAATGGCCATTTGGTTTGTCCTATGGGTTTCCAGAACACATGGCCGAGCCGGAAATTAAGGCCGGTTACTATCGCCCGAAGACCCAACCCAACGGCTCAGGTAGTAGAGTCAATATATACACCCGTGGGCTTTACCTTGTATAGAAATACAAATCCAATGTTTAGCATTCCCATTCAGGAGTTAGGTGTCTTTGATCTCAACTGGGTTCATCCACATTTGAAATGAAATTACATTTCTGGTTCAGCATTGGCTCAATGTCATACATACACTGGTGAAAAAACTGTACAGGGTTATTTCGATGTTGACAGGGCTAACAAAGCAAGGCATCGTATGCATGCAAACAATAGGATATCTTTAAAAGCAAAACGTGCATCTTAATTGGACCGCTAAGTCCGGGCTTGGGGAGTTTGATGGACTGGCCGTCAGGCATAATGTCGCCCGCCTCACTGTCACTCTCGCTATCATCGTCACTGCTGGAGTCGGACTCGGACTCGGACTCAGACTCAGACTCGCCGGAGCTGGGCACTTCATACACATCACTGCGAGGTGCCGGGGCAGACTTGGGCTCGGGTCGCAGCTTAGCAGCCATTTCCTGCTTTTGGCTGCTCAGCATGTCCTTGAGGGTTACATTTGGCTTTTTTGCGACAGGTTGCCGAGGTGTGGACTTTTGCGCTTCCAGTCTCTGTTCACAGGCTTTCAGGTCCTCACGCAAGACCTCAAGCCGAGCGCGGTGCTGCTTTCGCTTGGCCATATCGAGCCTGGAATTGGCCAATTTCTTCAAGAGATTCTGCATCTCAGTTAAAACGAGGCCAAGCTGGGGGTTGTCATGGGTTTCCCCAAGCTTGCGCTCGATCTCTGTCCTCTCCGCGCTTTCCTTCTCCTTTTGTACTTTCTCGTCCGCCTTAGCCTGCGCTTTCGCCTTCTTCTCGATCTCAACTTGCTGAGTCAACTGGTCGATATCAAAGCCGGGCGGGTAGATCACGTCACAACTGGATGGTGGTGCCTGGGCACGTTCGGATGTAGATTTGGGTGTTTGGTTATTGACCCTGGTCTTAGGCGTGGTTTTGCTAGAAGTGGAGGTTGAGGGTGTTCCTGGGGTAGGTTTGACAGCGGACTTGTTCTTCGGCGTGGCCTTTCCTGGGGTTGTGCTCGAAGGCGTCCCCTGGGTAGCGTTGGTGGTAGGGGCGGGTTTGCTAATCGCAGTATTGCGCGGAGTAGAGCGTGGGGCGGCATCCAAGCTAGAAGCAAGGCTCTCTCCCTCGGCGAAAGACACGGATCGCCTCTCCGTTGCCGGAGAATCCTTGCCACGGATGGCGGAGTGTAGCTTTTTCGTTCTGTCAATCACAGGAGTCTGTTTGTTAACAGAAGTAAAAGAATTGGTAACAGGCACGTTGCTACTTGGGAAAAGCGATCCGCCAAAAGAATTCTGGGTGGATGTTGCATCAGATTCTTGCGAAAGATTCAACCTGACAGGCTGCTTGCTAGGAGGGCTCTGTGTAATGCCCAGCCCAATTCCAAATGGATGAGGCTTAGGAGGCGCTTCGTTCTCCTCCCGGACGCTGGCTTGTCGAGCTGGGCTCGAGAAAGAAGGCGCACGGACCCGTCTGTGCAGTGGGCTCGTTTGGGCAGCTGGCGACTTCGACATGGACTGACGAGCCTGCGCGGAGGGCATAACAACTGCAGGCACAGACCGAGGAGGGGTCGATGGACGAGTCGAGGGATGGGCCTGTCCTTGGCGAGCTTCTTTGACCGATGTGGACTCTTCGGGGGCCTGCTTCCGCTTGCGAGATCGAGTCTCAAGAGTTGTACCGTTTGTTTTCGACATCGAGAGATCCGGCTGATCTGAGGACTGTGAGCTCCTAGCTACCACAGGCTCTTCCATCTGAACATCGCCGTCTAGGTCAACCACATCCTCAGTCATCGGAACAGGGTGATCAACCCGAGGAGTGATGAGCTCATCGTTGGGACCATTTTCTTCGCTGGCGTCGGACTCGGAATCAGATTCAGAGTCGTCAGAGTCGTCAGAACCAGCCTGATCTTCTGCTTCTCTTTTGTCCTGCTCGGCGTTCTTCTTCTCCGCTTCAACCTTGTCGTCCTCACTATCGCTTTCCTCTTCACTCTCCTCTTCGCTGGACCCCTCACTGGAGACCCCGATAACCGTTTCCGCTTGCTCTTTCTGCGGAGGCTTGGATACACTCTTAGCCACTGCCGCCAGATGTTTTTGTCCGTTGACTCCGTTAGTCATGCCAGGCTTGAATGGTAGTTTCACAATACGCTGCGAAGCAGACTCTGCTTCCACGTCACTTGAGCTCCCGGTAGTCTCCTCAGTGGACTGCGCCTGTTGGTGGGTATTGGGCGCAGACGAAATAGGTGGGGATTCAGCATCGTCAGGCATTTGGGTAATTGTCCGCTTCGCTGTACTGCTCGCAATGGGCCGCTTTGCGAGCTTTGGCGACTTGGGCTGCGGTTCCGGTGACCCAGCAGCTACAGATACAGGTGTAGGTTGGGATCTGGAACTGGATGCTCGTCGCTCGGCTGGTGATGGAGACTCTCCGAGCTCCTCGCTCTCGCGCCTGGGAGGCGGCGTGCCAGCAATTGTAGGGCCCATGGACTTGGCTGGAGGGGAAGTGATAACGGGATTAGGAATTTCAACAGAAGAAAGAGGTAAATCACGATGGCGGTGCTCAACCGGTGACCGAGCTGAGGCATGAGAGTCATTATTGGTACGTCGAGGCGATGCAGGCGAATGCTCCCATTGGATGTGAGATTGAGACAGAGATCGAGAGTGAGTGCGCAGCGATTCGGCATTGCCGTCCTCATCTTCTTCCTGGATAGCAGGGAACTGTGCCTCCATGGCCTCCTTTTTATCCTTCATGGCACGCTTGCGCTCGTAGGCAACAATAGCAGCATCCCAATCCTGGTCGACAGAAGGGAATCGCTCCGGGGCAGCCGTGGTAGGCCTTTGAATAACGCGAACGGAGCCACGCTGGTCAAGGCCATCGGTGCGAGCTTTTCCATAGTCAACCCAGACATCAGCAACGGTCAGGTCGGGATAAAGATCGAGGTCCTCCTTCGTATCATCGAGGATTTTCTTAATCGCAAGGGGTCTATCAACCAACAAAGTTAGCAATTGGAGTTCGACAAACCGGATATGTATATGAACACTTACTCCAGCTCTGGGTGCAGCTTGGCCCAATGTTCCTGGATCATGCCCGCCAGTCCGCCAAGCGAAACCTCCTCGGGGTGTTTGAGGACAAGCAAGAAAACACCAGGTTTCTTCAATGTCGTTGAAACTGCAGATCCTTGGCTGGAGTCATCGTTGGTAGTCTTTCGCGCGCCGAGGAAGGTCCGGCCCCAGCTGGAGCTCGAGCTCGAGCTCAGCTGCTCCCGCGGGAACACTTTAATTGAAAGTCGGAGAAACACCATTGCGTCAGATAATAGAATACGCAGTAGATGTACATGCAGGTGATGGTATTAATTGGAGCAATAGCGCGTGGGGAAGAAAGTTGAGATGACGGTAGTCGCTAGTAAAAACCAGTAGAGCTGGCGGGGGAACGGTAATTAATGGTAGGGAGAAAATTAAGATAAATGGTTTTATCAAACACACATGGCCTCTCAAAGAGACAAGGTGCCAAACACCAAGCGGGATGGTGCAGGGTGAGTGGGCGAGAAGACAAAAAAAAAGATGCGGAGGGAAATCAGAACGCGGAAGAAACTGGCGCGAACTAGTCACGTCCGCGATCCACTCATCTGCCACATCTACAGGCCAATTTAAGTGAGAAGGACAACCTCAGAAGAAAAGAGTCATTCATTCATGCTATTTTATTCTGTTTACTATCTTGTTCCTGACTGATATTCTAAAGTTACGGGTTCCTGGGCAGTTCCATACAATGCAGATGCACTACATTATGTATATCGCCCATTGCTAAAGGGTGTACAGACACGACAAATTGTTCAAGTATGTTCATATATAATTTCCAAAGATATCCCTGGACACAAATCTATTCTGGAGGCACAAAATACCTCCGGAAGCGATCATTGCGAGTCAAGTCCAGCTCAACAACGACCGCATGGCAGCTCATCAACAAGCTCGGGAATCTGTATGTCCAGAAATTGAGGTACCCTTCGGGCAAACCGCCAATATTATCCTTAAGGTGGTCAGGCATATCGTTGTAGTGATTGCGCTTGTTACGGAGAGCCCTCAAAAGATCCAACATCCGCGACCCGGTGTACTTGCGCTGCTTGCCAAGATTGTCTTTGAAGTCTCGCGGCAATGACCGAAGGAAATCCATTTCAGGACCCATTACCCGCCTGGCTACTGATTCCAGGCAAAGCAGTGCGTCTGAGGGAGGATCGCGGGGCTCAAACTCGAAGTGGTCAGATACATCGCAGAGGAAGGTGAGACGGTCTGATGGGGGCCAGAAGAACGGGTGCATCAATACAGCGCTTGCGTCAGGACTAGAAATTCATGTCAGTACGTTAAGTGGGTTTTTGCAAAGAGACATGCTTACCGCTGGCGAGGGTCTAGAGACAACATCGAGCGGATGAGATCATCCGCCTCGAAAGCGTAGTCGCCTAACCGGTTTAATTCCTCCAGATCGAATTGGCCCTTGACGATGTTTGCCTCGCGCATGAACTTGCCATTTTTGTCGAATGGGTGGCTGCCCCGGGTCAAGACATAGTAGAACACACAACCAAGTGAGAAGATGTCAATGGCCCTGGTGGCGCGGCGGTTTGTCTGTGGGTCCACCACAGCGGGCTCCGAGGACTCAGTGTGCTGGGATGCGAGGGACAAAGGACCATCATCGTCCACCAGGAGCTCAGGGGCACGCCAGCCGGAAGTTCCAGCGGCGTGGGCAGTGGTTGCCCGGAACGAGCTTTGATTGTCTTCAAGTTTCTTGCACAGGCCAAAATCCGAGATAAGGAGTCGCAATGCCCGCGAAACAGTACGGCCACGCGGCATAGCCACGAGAATGTTCTGCGGCTTCAAATCACGATGGACGATCTTCAAAGAGTGCAAGTAACGGACACCCTGTGTGATCTGCCGTAGTACGTCGGGCATGTCTAAGCCGGTCTGAACAAGCTCGGGGTAGTTATCAGGACGCTCAATCACATCCTGAAGAGATGCTGGACAAAGCTCGAGGCCAATATACAAGAACCCGGTGGCTTGCTCACGGCAAAAGTATCGGATCACGTTATGATGGTCATCGCTTTCCTGTAATAGGCCCACCTCATGGGATGCAATGTCGTAGAATTCCATCAACATACGCTTGACGGCGACGTCTCTTCCATCAAACGAACCGCGGTAAACCACAGTTCCATGGCTGCCATGTCCCAGCACAACATCAGTGAACACCTGAAGCCTGCCGATGCGAACAACGCCATCCATCTCAATAATCTCGTTCGAAACCGTCCGCACCATCTGGGTATCGGCCTCGAGTCGAGCCTGGGGGGCCAGGTTATTGACCTGCTCCACGCCCTGATCGGCTCCCTCGGGGCTGTCGCCCTCACTGCCAGGCTTCTTGCGGCGGCGGTGAGACTTTCCTCCTCGAGATCCACGAGCGCGGGGCTTTTTCTTTGGCTTTCCAGGTTCATCGGCGTCCTCGTCATCAGGCCCACGCGACGGTTCACGAATTTGCACCCGGGGGGTAGAATTTGGAGTGTCTTGCGAGGCACGGGGGGTTGATCCTCCCTCTGGTGATGTATCATCCAAATCCAAGTTCACAGTGACATTAGGAAGTTGCTGCGCTGGCGTAGATGAACGTTTGATATCCGGAGCACCGCCGACGACGGGGGTGGAAGGGGTCGAGAGAGAAGGCTTATCATTGGAGTTGATGATGTTCTTGATGTCCAATTTCTGCTTGGCCAGATCTCGAAGGTGATGCGAGTTGAAGTAAATGAAGGTGCAGATGAACAGTAAAATCAACGTCACAACGATATCCAAAGCATTGTCCCAGCTTTTGCGAATGATGGCGCTATTTCGTAAGGCGGGAGGCAAAGCCAGCTCAGAAGGACTGCGAATGATATCTCGTGGTGTGTCATTGGAGAGTTCAGAAGTAGACGACCCAGCGATTCTAGGAATATGTGGACGGATGGTACGAGGGCCAGTGAGAGAGTGAACACCGGCTAACGCATTCCGCTGCTGACGCGCAGTCAGACTCATGAGTGCTTGTCCATGGCGGAAGAAGTCTTTGTCATAGCATTGAGCCATGGGGGCGCGGCCCGTGGCCAGGGGATAGGTTTCCTCTGAAAAGGCATACCAGCCCCCTGCCTCAGTACAATCGATGAACACACGCATGTCCCGTTCATCGTCAAGGGATCCATAATCAGGATCCGGTGGCTGAAGAGGTTGTGAGAGCAGGACCAGCGGGGTAGAGGCACCTGGTCCATCTTTGTTGGCAGGACGAACCACATCAAAGACTCTCGCCACAGGAGATGAAAAGCGCTGGGTATAGCGAGGTCTATCCATGCGCGAGTGATCGAATCCCAGCACAACGCCATCATGCATACTGTAAATGTGGCTTTCATCCATTGTCCTATAGTACTGACTTTGCAGGTCCATATCACGGTTATTCGGTGCCCACTCGGAGTACTTCAAGGTGCAAATTGGATCTCCCGTCTCGGTGTTTTGTATGGCGACGGCATATTCAACCCGACCAAGAACCAAAGTGCCAGATGTCGATTCACACTCATCGGAGTCCAGATCTTCTCCGTTCACTTTCCGACATTCAGGTGCAGCGGTAATTGGACCACGGGAACTAAATACCCGCAAAATGCTGCCAGTCCGGGCATCAATGGTGTACAATGTAGTCTCTTTCCGGGCGGTATAGGTCACGGCAGGCTCGGTACCGGAATACGGGGTTTCATCGACAAGCTGCTTCACGGTTAAGCCGAGCTTTTGCAAGCCGGCGTCTGGGGCGGGGCTGTAGATATAAAGGCTACCGTCTTGGCTCGGTTCGACAATCCACAAAAAGTCGTCTTCGGGGGCTGTATCGTCAAAACTGGAACGATTCGCTCGGTGGTAGATACTCTCAACCAGAGGACTGCTCGGGACCTCCAGGGCCCAACGAGCAGCCCCGGTCTTGCGATCACGGGCGTGAATTGTTCCATCGACGGTCGCCAGCAGCACAAAATCCTCAACCTCCCAGTCCTGCAAGGACCGCGCGTGAAGCTGCGAAGCCAAGCCCGCAGAGGTGCTGCTGGCCTGGACAGGAGGGGCTCGAACGGCACGGCCGGAGCCTGCCAGAGCCAGAGTAGCAAGGGCGCTCGCATCGTTGGGTTTCACGATGGGTGGTGCGGCCACTGGGGCCGCATGATTTGATGACTCCTGTGCTAGTGGCACAGAGACACGAGAGATAGAGTCATGGGCTTCTGATTGCTGCAGCGGAGCGACCAGAGTTGGGAGAAGGAGGAGTGCGACACTGGCGGGCAGTGTCGAACGGACGCCCGGCAGCCGCCACCGCATTGTGGAGCTGTCAGCACGAAGGTTGAGTCGTAGGTGAACAATCGAGGGAACGAAGGAGGTAGCGGAGGGCGTCTCATGGGCCGATGTTGAAACGGAGAAGATCTTGTGGAGCGAGTCGAGAATCCGGGTAGCGGATCATCCCCCCAACCCACAAATGCTGGAAACGAAAAACGGTGGGAAATTCAGTCTAATAATGATGCACAATTCAAGAGATGATGAGAATGACAGGATGGCAGAAACATTGAGATGAAGGGAGATGAGCACATATGTTGCAGGCAGAGAGATTGTGTGTATTACACGTGTACATTACAGGCTGTGACGAGTCTTTTCCCGCGTCCACGGCTGTAACAGCGAGGTACGGGGTACTTTAGCCACGCACGCCTTCGATCTACACTGAATCCAGCATAGCCTAGAACAATAAGCCCTGGAGAACCTTCGAGAGTGTCTTATCCCTTATCCCCCTTAATATATGGTTACTCTAGGATATTCGTTAATAGACATGTACCTTTTTATACCTACATATGTATGTTGTCAATGTTATATACAGTCATATCATAGTCATCCTTGGACATGTGTTCTCTGGGTAAGATACATAGATTGATCATTTTGAACGAGCCTTCTACTGTGGATCTTCGAACGATTACTCCGTACTCCGTACGAAGATTGATCCCCCAGCCTTTCACGGTGGGTCAGGCACCCTGGCGTCAGGGGTGAAAACCAATCAAGGGCCAGAAAACACACTACTTTTATAAGGGCACATGAAGAAAGAATCAATCCATTATCACCAAGGATCTTTTAAAACTGACTATGTAGATCAAAACAGCACATCCAACGCCGCAACCCCGTCCTTGTGCAGTACACGGAAGTGCTAGTGAAGGGGAGGGGGAAAAAATTAAAAAGACAGAAAGAAAGGGAAAAGAAAAAGCAAAATAGATACAGGTGTAGAAGGATGTGGCCACAGAAGCATGTGGAGAGAAAGGGACTATAAAACAAAAGAAAAAGGGGATCATGTTATGATCCGAAGAAAGATAAGAGGTAGATATTAAACGGAAGATGATCTTAACCGCCGCGGATCATCCAGGTCACGGCAACAGCCCAACCGCTGACGAAGATGACGGTCAAGATGCCTGCACCTGCACGGTCACCGGTACCGATGCTGTTCAATATGGGGACATTACTGTCCGAGGAATTGGTGCCAGCGTTCGGGTTGCTCTTGGAGGTTCCACCCGATGATGCAGTCAATGGCGCCTTGCCCGAGAAGGGAATCAGATTGGCGGCCAGGACACCCAGTACAGCCATTTGTTGCTCCAGACCTTTGGTCCCATCCCAAGAGGCTTGCTTGTACCAGCGAATACCACAATGCGTGCCGTCGTCACCACCCGAGCATTGCTTTGCAGCGGCCTGGGCCGAGGTTTTCAGCTGAGGGTAGATCAGGTCATAAGTGCCGGGGACAATTGTAGTCAGCATTCCAAGCCAGTTGGTGAAATAGGCCTTGAAGGTGATCTGGTTCCGATCGCAATTACCGCTGCCTTCGCAGGTGATATCCGATAGAATTTGGCCGCCAGCTCCATTGAAGCCGGTGGTCGGGTAGAACTGCTGCGAGGTCTTGATGAGACCCTCAACACCTTCCTTCCATTTCGTTTCAGTGCCATTAGTCTAGTCCCGAAGTTAGTATCAATCGCTGTGCCGCATAGCAGGAGAACATACATAGTTGTGCATGTAAGCAGCACCACTGATATAGGTGGCATAGTTGTAGGTCCACTGGAAATCGCCATGATCCGTGCACTGCGTGCCGCAAGTCGTGGTATCAGCAATGTTCCAGTTCTCCTGCTTGAGCAGCGGAGTTGTAGCGCTCCAATCCCAAATGCGCTCGGCCCAGTCAGCATATGTCTTATTTCCGGTGTAGAGGGCGAGGCGGGCCGAAAGCTGTAAGAGTCCTCCGTTTGAAATCGCGTTCTTCGTGAGGTATCCGTCCTGGTACGGCCAAATCTGCCAGCGCATACCACCGTGGCAGCTGCTCGTGTCCCAGCGGGGGTACTGGGTGTTGAAGACACCCTGTGCGAGGGATACCCAGGAGGGTTCGCCCTCTCGTTCGGGGAAGTTGAATTCCGCGGCGGTGATAGCAGCGAGACCCCAAAAGACTTGATCGTCGTTGCCCAGGTACTGACTGTAGTTGCTGGGAAGAAATTGTCGTCGCCCTTCTGGAAATACATTCCTTCCTGGATGGCGTCGTTGAACTGGCTGTCACCGGTGACGTACCAGTACAGAATAAGGGTCATGAACATGGAACCGCCCTCCCACCAGGTGCCATCGAATTTACCGGGGATGTCTTTGGACTCGCGAGCGTCGTAGTATTCCATCATGGTGGTGGCGACCGTTTTGGCCGCGCTTTTGAGGGAGTCTGAGAGAAGCACTGAATTAGACAATGGATGCGATCAAAGGGGGAGGGGGACTTACTCTCATCGTCGACGTTCACCTCGATAGCGAGAGCACCCTGGACGGCGAACGCGCCGCCCAGCAGAGTGGCCAGCCACTTGGACAAAATCATGTGTGGAATCTCAAACGAGTGTAAGGGCCAGCGGCATAAGGGAGTTGGACTAGGGGGATAGAGAAGTTTGGAGAGAAAGTAAAAAGGTTAAGAAAAAGATGACGGGGTCTGGGGGTAACCGGCAACAGTACCGGGGGGGTTACAGTCCCTGGTACAGTGGGCTGCCTCCGTCTAAGAATGTTGGGCTATTTCACCGCATTAACGTTCTTATTACTATATTCTGTATTCCTGTAATTATTGAGTCTACATATTGTTCTTCTCCTTTTACAATGGGGGAGTATAGGTTTATTGCTGAATTATTGGTCTACTGCCCCTAAAAATAAAACGATGACGGTTAGACTCAGTTCCTGGCGGCAAATCTAGCCCTGCAGAAGGGAAATGAAACACTGGGCTTAACGCTGAGACACCCCTTGATATTTGCATTGATCTTAGTATAACTCTATCGAAGATACCTGCAAAGTACAGCATAAGTTGTCCAGACAATGCCGATCTGGTCTGTTGCCCACTTATGATCCACGGACTGGGAATGTGATCGTCCTGTCAAGATCTATGACCTTATGGAGTACTAGTATAGCTGTTGCTATATCTGCGTCGATGGACGAGAATGGGTTACTGTAAGACAGAATATCAATCAAAAACGACATCCCTCGCATACATCTATGTTGCTGCCTTGGCCCTCGCCTTGGCTACGCTAAGCTTTTCAAACTCAGACAGCGACCGCTTTAAGTCTTCCGCTTTTGGATAAATTGGTGCCTGATTGTTAAGGTATCAAGGTCTCACACCTGGCCTTGTGTCATAAACTATGTTGCGGAATCCCTATTGCGTTTAGGTAAATGGTTGGCAAAATTAGCAAAAAAACATTCACAGAGACGAGTTCTGCTATGCAAGTTATTTCGGTGAGCTATACGGACTAAACCAACCGGTCTTGGCATCCGATCCTTTTGCCTGAGGATCTACGCCAGAAGAAAGACTTAACTAGTTAGTTAACTAACTAGTTATATGCACCCAGTACATTCACCCGGGTATGAGCGCAGAGGGAGGACTATACAATAACTTCGAGGCTATAGGCCATATCTGGGGTAACCGATGCCAGAGGGCGTAGCTCATAGTGCATGGTATATCTACTTGGTAGACTACACAAAAGGCTAGATGGATAGATCATGTACTTAGTTGAACTTCTATTGCACATTTTTAGTCCCTTCATAGAAAGAGTACAGAGATGAATTCATCCATGTCATCACAATCGTGTCCATTACATCCGGTTGCGTTGGCGGGGAGCCGCACGGATGATGTTGTCCACCCGCAGGAGAAGCTAAAAAAAAGTCAGCAAATCGAGCAACAAGAATAAAAAAACAGTGCAGTGTGCTGTACATACCTCGGCTGCCTCTGAGGCAGACGAAACCACCGCCCTCTTCAACTTATAAGCCTCCACCACACCAAGCTCACGCATATCCGCAATACCACCACCGGGCGTCAACAGGTCAAGACCGGAGCTGGTCATACCGTTGTTGATGGCCGAGCGCAGGCGAGTCACCAGATCGCTGGAGTCCAGACCGGCGTTGTCGGCGAGGATGGTAGGCAGCTGCTTCAAAGCGCGAGAGAACGCGTCGACAGCAAGCTGCTTCTTGCCGGTCGTGTTCTGAGCGGCCTGCTCCACGGCCTTGGACATCACCATCTCGGCGGAGCCACCGCCAAGTGTCACACGGGGATCCTTGACAGTCTGAGAGAGGACGGCCAGAGCATCGTGGAGGGAACGCTCAGCCTCATCGAGGAGCTGCTCGGTGGCACCGCGCAGCACAATGGTGCAGGCCTGACCAGCGGCCACACCGGAGAACTTGATCAGGGTGTCCTCACCAATGATCACTTCCTCGATCAGATCACACCCACCCAGCTTGACCTGGTCGGGGTGCTCGAAGGTGGAGGCGATCTCACCGCCAGTAACGAGAGCCAGGCGCTCGATGCCATCGAAATCGGCGTGCTCGATGGACATAATACCAGCCTCGGTGAACAGCTGCTCGGGCCAGTTGTAGATGAGCTGACGGTTAACGAAGCAGTTAATACCGTGAGCCTTAATACGCTCGACCTTTTGGCGCATCTTCTCACGCTCTGCCTTCTCCAACTCAGCGAGCTTGCCGGTCGACTCGACCTTGACTCGTGCACCGAAAATCTTGACCTTATCTGTGTCCATGGCTGTGTTGGCAACCAGGATCTTGGCGTTCTCCAACCGCTTGGGCTGGTTGACACCGACCTTCTTGTCCATAATGAAGCCCTCATCGAGGTATGAATCGCTCAGCTTTCCACCGGCCTTCTTGATAACCTGGATGTGAGAAAGGTCGGTGGATCCCTTGAGACGGAGAACGGCCTCACAAGCTAACTTGGCGAATTGGTCCCGGTCTTGGGACAAAACCTTCGAGCTGAGTGTTGTGCGGGCAATGGCATGCAAGTCCTTGCGGAAAGCCTCGGGGTCCTGGCTGCGGTCGACGGCCGTAGCCTCGAGAGCGGTAAGGGCAGCCTTGCTAGCTATCCGGAAACCCTCGATGATAGTCTGGGGGTGAATCTTCTTGGCGACAAGCTGTTCGGCCTCACGCAGCAGCTCGGCGGCCAAAACGGTGACCGATGTGGTTCCATCACCCACCTCATCGTCCTGAACCTTGGAGATGTTGACCAAAACCTTAGCCGCAGCGTTATCCAAAGCGATAGACTTAAGAATCGTAGCACCGTCATTCGTCACCAGGATCTCTCCCGTTGATCTGCGAGAGCAACCATGTCAGTATTTCCGGGGTCATATCAGCAAATAGGATTATAGATAACTCCCCACGTACGCAGATTGCAGGATCTTGTCCATTCCCTTGGGGCCAAGGGTACTCTTCACGAGGTCTCCGACAGCGATAGCACCGACAAAGGCGGAGAGACGGGCATTCTCGCCCTTCTCTTCAGTGACATCGTCACCAAAGATCTGTGTGGGATTGCCGAAAGATGCCTAGGAGGGGTAGAGGTGAGCCAGTGCACACACATATTTTCCACGCCCTTGCGGGGTCGACTTGGGAATAGCATACCATGATGACCAGCTGAATAAGGCAATCGACCAAAGATCAAATGTCTTGCTGGAAAGGTTGAATCAACTTCTCCTGTCAACAGTGGGGTGGGAAAGGAGAAAAGTTGCCGCACGATTGGTCCGAGCTTGTGATTGGCTGCACTCCATCACCGCCCGCGATGTCTCTCGACGTTTCCTTTTTGTCGTGACGATCCCTTTCGCTGGAATTGACCTTGTTCCTGTCAATATCCACAATGGCTGACTCCGGAGAACTCTCTCAGGCTCCTGTGAGCAAGCGGCGTCACTCTGCTGTCGAGACCGAGAACAGTGAGTCCCCTGCATCATGGATACCGTCCAGACCGCTCCCTCGAACGGAACGTAATAGATACTAACTCTATGCGATTGCTAGGTGATGACTCTTCCGACGATGATTTCGGCCCTGCGTTGCCCTCAGAGGTTGCCCCTAAGAAGAAGCGTCGCAAGCTTCCTTTTGAGAAGGTCTACATCAATGCGCTACCAGTCTCCCCGCGGTACTCCAAGTCCCTTATGCACAAGGACCAATTGTCATTTGTGACTGTTGCGCCCTATACGGACTTTGTGATCACTTCCTCCGTCGATGGATTTGTCAAGTTCTGGAAGAAGATGGCGGAAGGCATCGAGTTCGTGAAGGAATTCCGTGCTCACCCAGGCGAGATTCGGGGCGTAACTGTCAGCGCCGACGGCCGTAGTTTCGCGACAGCGGGACTGGACAAGACGCTGAAGATATTTGACGTTATCACGTTTGGTAGGCTCATAATGCGTGGCTCGTGTGATTTAGGACTTATTAACATTAATAGATCTCTTGGCGATGTATACGCTGGACTTCGTGCCTCGATGTGTTTGCTGGGTACACCCGCGCGGCGCCTCACTGCCACTGCTGGCCGTGACAGACGAGTCAAGTAATACGATTCAAGTATTTGACGGACGTGGCGAAAATCCGCAGCCATTGCACACTTTGAAGTCGATCCACCGCAGCCCCGTGGTCTCACTAGCATTCAACAACGCCTTCAATTGCGTCCTCTCTGCCGACGAATCAGGAATGATCGAATACTGGAGAGCCGGAGACGGCTCTTTTGAGAAACCCGACAATGTCTTCGAGCTCAAATCCTCAACAAATCTCTTCGCATTTAAGAAAGCCAAATCCGTCCCCACAGCCATCACAATCTCCCCGTCCGGCGAACATTTCGCTACAGTTTCCTTCCCAGACCGACAAATCCGAGTATTCGACTTCGTAACCGGGAAGCTCTACCGCACATACGACGAATCAATAGCCACCATCACGGAGATGCAGCAAGCCGGGACAGCGCCATACGAGCTTGACGAAGTAGAGTTCGGGCGCCGCCTAGGTGTTGAGCGCGAACTCGAAAACGAAGCCACGCGCAACAAAGTAAACGTTTCTTTCGACGAATCGGGCCACTTCCTCCTCTACGGCTCTCTTTACGGCGTGAAATGTATCAACACCTACACAAACCGGGTAGTCCGCATCTACGGCCGTGACGAACCATTCCGAGCCCTCAACCTCGGATTGTACCAAGGACAACCGCAACGCAAAGGCGTCGTAACCGTCTCAATGGCAGCAAGTAGCAACCCGCTCCTGCAGGAAGCTGAAGAACGCGACCCAATCCTCCTCTGCACCGGCTTCGCCAAGGTGCGCTTCTACATGTTCACGAACGAAACAGAGATCTCGAAATCCACCCGCGATGTCCAAAATGAGAAACCAACCCAGGCAGCGGCCGGCACGGGTACGACAGCTACTAAAGCCGCTGAGACCGGCACTGCTGCAATCCTGCACACGACCTTCGGCGATATCCACCTGCGCCTGTATCCCTCGGCTGCGCCAAAGGCGGTGGAGAACTTCGTCACACACGCCCGGAATGGGTATTACAATAACACAATCTTCCACCGTGTGATCCGCAAATTCATGATCCAAGGTGGTGACCCGCAAGGTGATGGGACGGGTGGCGAGTCTATCTGGGGCGGGGAATTCGCCGACGAGTTCTCCGTTCTCAAGCACGATAAACCGTATACCCTGTCGATGGCCAACGCCGGACCAAATACAAATGCTAGTCAGTTCTTCATTACCACAGAGAAGACGCCGTGGCTGGATAATAAGCATACTATTTTTGGGCGTGCTGTGCAGGGCTTGGATATCGTCCATAAGATTGAGAATGTGCGGACGCACAAGGAGAAACCGGAAGTTGATATTAAGATTGTTAGTATCAGCGTCTCGTGATGTACAGCCCCGGGGGGTGGTCTAGACGATGTGTTACAAAATATGTGTACTATAAAGAATCATGGAATGCCCGCATGCGTTGTACTGTGTACCCTGTCTGTCACTTGATCAGACAGCTTTTTAAAAAGAAAAAAAAAAGGAAAAAGAAAAATGGCGAATATGACCGTAAAAGAGAATCGACGCAGTCGTCAGCATAAATCCACTCCGCCATATCCCAGGCCAAAAGCCCGATAGAACAAGGAAAGGAAAGAAAAGGAAAGAAAACCCTGGAATGAGAGAGAGGAGGCAAAAAACCAACAATAAGAAAAACACAGCATGAAGCCCATTATCCGTGCCAAACACCAATAAATGCAACCATAGCCGGGTAGTATGGTATAGAACTAGCACATTTTGCAAACAAGAAAAAAGGAAACATAAGAAACCCAATCCAAAAGTGAACCAAAACAAGCTCTAAACCTGCCGAATCTCCACATCCCCAGAGCCCTGCTCGATCTTCGTCAATCGGGTCCGAGCCCCGGGCACAGGAGTGCTCGTCTTTGCCATTGTGGAGCGCGAGCTACTAGCCAGGGAGTCAGTACCGAGGCCGGTAGTCTGGACAGGGAGGGGCGGCGCGCCCCAGGCGGCATCGCGCGGAGCGGGCGGAGAAGCCGTGCTCAGCAAGCCGCTGCTACCGCCATTGTAGAGATTTGGGCGTTTAGCGTCGTGGCGACGCTTGAGCCATACGCCGACTACGGCGATGATGCTGAATCCGACGACCAGCACGATGAGCATAATGACCCAGCGGTAGTGGGAACTCCACCTATTTGGGGAGTTTGTTAGCGATTGGATGGTACTTGGTTATTGATGCGGATGTTGCGGGTTTGATTCCCGATGTTGGGATCAAACATACCATGACTCCTTCTCCTCTGCGGCGGCGGCGGAATTATTCGAGTTTGCGCTGGCGCTGGAACCAGATGTAGAGGCTGCGTCGGCTGAGGACGCGGTTGCCGTGGTGTCGGTGTCGGTGTCGGATGTGTCCTTGCCGCCGGAGTTGCAGTAGTTATTGTACCAGGTCGAGAGGGTGGCTTGGTCGGCGGCGCTGCAGGAGGAGCAGACGCTACCGGAGGATTTGAGGCCGGTGAGCAGGGATGACTGGCAGAAGCATGAGGTCCAGGTTGAGGCCTCGCCTGATTCGCAGGATGTCTGCGCGCCTGTCAGGGCGGTGCAGGTCAGACCGCATTGCGGGAATTTACTGGAGGCAGATGTGGGGAGGATGCTGTCGGCGGCTAGGGCTGAGATTGCGAGGGCGATAAGGACGAGGAAGAGGAATGGGAGGCGCGTAGTGAGTGACATGGTGAGATTGGATGTTTTGTTTTAATGAGGGGTGAGTAGCGAATGTCGGGCAAGTGAGAGCCGTGCCTGGGGCTCGATTTGATATCTGAATAGGATCTCTCAGTCCATACTTGCATAGGTTAATGAAAGAAAGAAGATCAAAGTCCAAAAGACCAGAAACCAGGCGAAGATGGTTTTGGGTCTCAGTCGGGGCCGAACGATTCCGGATTCAGCTTTTCATTCTTTTTTTATTTCTTTTGCCCTATAAAGCAATTCCTATTTGATTCGACTATTAGATTTTTAATTTCTTTTAATTTACCTTATAACGTATAACGTAGTACTGCCCAGTAGTACTGTACCTGACTGTAGCACTGAGCGTCTTTTTAATCTCCGCAAGCGGATCAAGGGAATCTCAACATTTTGACATTCTGACACCTGCCAGATCTCGATTTCCTAAATTCCAAGCTCCAAGATCAATTTTTTATCTCGTTACATCGCTGGATGCAGAAATGATTGACCAAGGCCCACGTTTTAAGGGATTATCGCCTTGGCTGAAGATCATCCTTTTCTCATGCAAGGAGTTACATCCATATATGTACTGTTGTATATTGTACTCCGTACATGTACGATGTACGATGAAGGAACTGGGAACTGAGTTATCTTCTAATAGATTTCAACCTGTAACTCATCCTAGTCCTTCATTAAACAAGGGCCCACCACGATCGGCAGTCGAGACGGTTGAAGGCGATGAAGCCGTTTCAACGTCTCTGTTAAGTGGAGATTGTGAGACTTATAGACATCCTTGTATTGAGTACAACATATACAACCTTTGTTGATATTATATTATCTCATGTAGAGAGGAGAGGCTGTTATGCATATATGTTGTACATACATTAGCCCCCACTCTTTACAACGTAAATTCAGTGATCGCTTATTCTGTATGTTGTAAACACCCTTGAACCCCGTCGGATTCAATTTTACGCCGATTGGTCCGATGTTGCGACCAGGTCGCTAAAAAAAGGCGTGTCTTATATTATAGATCCGCCTTGAGACATAGAACCCGATATAGAACATACCAAATACCTAGGTATGTCAGAGAATACGCAATTTTCATTTGTGTATGAGCATGTGATAAAGCAGAGATCTTAGCCACATGGCTAACAAATTAAGTCGATGAATATGGTGATGTTCCAAGCCACTGAAGGCAAAAGGAAATTGTATGTCCGTTTTAGGTCATTCTCGGGTGTTGATACCCAGGTGGATTATCTACCCTATTTGTATATCTATCAATAATTCTAGATGTAAATAGATCTGTAAATATGTGTTGAATAGGTAAAACCGGCCAAATAAGAAAATACCAGCGATATAACATAGAAATCTACGAGAGGAGTCTTGGAATGCCCGGAGATGATTGGATGACAACTCCTATTATTCCTCCCCGCATTCCTTCCCTTCTCCAACAACCTTCATTATACCAACAATGCCAACAATGCCCTCCCGCCAACTCCTCTCAACCCTAATAACTTCCCTCAGCAACACCCGCTGGACCTTAACCCGAACTCTCCGAAGCGACAACCCCCTCGACCTAAACGGTGAGCTCCGCGGAACCGCAACCTTCACCGCCCAACCTCCCACCACAACAACCGACCGCGACTGGCTGTATTGCGAAGAAGGCGAGATACCTAGCAATGTCGGCACAGGCGCCTTACCACCAGGTCTACGCTGGACAAAGAAGTACATCTGGCGCCTGGGCAGCGACGGCGGACGTGTCAGCGTCTGGTTCGTGAAAGTCGCGCCAGGCCCGGAAGAAGCAGACTACCTATTCCACGACTTCGACTTCGATTCGGGTTCGGGCTTGCTAGAATCGGATTCCACATCTGCGCAGAAGGATCCTGGCGAATACGTCGCGCCGCCTGTGCCCCCTGCCGTCTCGACCGGCAATGACACTAAGACTACTGTCCTCAATGCCAGGGGTAACCATCTCTGTATCAATGATATGTATCGCACGGCATATGCATTCCGCATTGAGCCTGATACCGGGGAGGTGCTGAGCTGGGCTAGTCGACATGTTGTGCGTGGCCCGAAGAAGGGGCAGGACATTGTTAATCGGTATGAGAAGGCATGATATGGTATTTGAAGTATCCTACAATTGCAATGCTTCTTGCTTCTCGCACGAGGCTACGAGCGGATTCTGATACACGTCTTACATAAACCTGGAATCGTCTACTGAGATCACGATTGATGATATATGTTCATATATTCCCACTCATATCTCGGTCTGGCTCCGCTCCCTTCCACGCCCATCCGGCTATCCCACCGCTTCTCACAGCGTGTAAATGAAATCCGGTCTTTTGTCACCCAACAACTCGATCTGGCTATGCTCCAAACCCTCGATCCAGTGGTCGCGTTCACCGCGTCTGCGCTTGGCATTCTCACGTCGCAGTAGGAGGTACTGCACCACGGATCCGCCAAAGAGGAACAAGACCAGGTAGCCGAGCACTACTCCGTGGCCCGGATAGTATTTTGGCTTATCATCATCGCGGTAGATGTTGGATGCGACGATGCCATTGAGGTTTCCCCAGCCGATGATAAACCCGAGGGAGACACCTCGTTTGTAAACACCTAGACAGATATCGAGTTAGTCTTGGCTGTGGTCATATATGCAAGATAAGGAGGGTGAAAGTTACCTTCAGTGTTGTTACTTGTCCATGAAATCGTGTTCGAAATGGCTGGGTAGATGCCCATGGCCCCGAGGAAACATCCCGCGTAGCGGGCGCCGGCAGACTTACAGCCTAGTAGCATAGCGAATCCTACCATACCGAGGAAGGAGACGGCAATATTGCATAGACCACGCTGTCTTGTACGGTCTGCAATGAATCCAACCACCACCGTCAAGACGGCGGCAGCGGCATATGGCGGTACGCTCAGCAACTGAGCACGAATCGAGCTGTAGCCTGTAGAAGCAACCAGTTAGTAAACAGCCGCGATATACCGAACACAACAACCAAGGTCAATATTCACCCTGGGAAAAACAATGTTAGCTCCACACTCTCCAACGCAGCGATGTGCATAACTCACTAGTTCACTGATAATAGTAGGCACGAAAAGCGAAAACGCATAAAGCGACCCACAAGCTCCCATATAAATCACAGCCCCAGTATAAGTCTTCCAATCCTTCAAACTTGACCAGAAATACTCCATCTTAAACTCCTCATGCTCAGCACTAGACTGCTGATCCATAGCGAGTCGTCTAAGAACGCGCTTGCGATCGATATCCGACAAGAACCGCGCCTGGTCGGGGAAGTCATAAACACACCAAAACGACGCGACACCAATGAGAAATGTGAGAAGACCTTCCAGAATGAAAATCCATGCCCAGCCCTCCATATTGCCGATACCGTCCATCTTCGCAATCGCTGCTGCGAGCAGTCCACCGAAGGAACCCGCGAGCGCGGCCGCGGAGAAGAAAATCGCCATTCGCACGCCGAATTCTGAGCGCTTGTACCAGCATGAGAGGAAATAGCCCACGCCGGGGAATAGACCGGCTTCGGTTAGGCCTAGGAACCAGCGGACGGCCATTAGTCCGTGGTAGTTTTTTACGAAGCCCATGCAGGTCATGCAAATTCCCTGTCGCCAATTAGGAAAGATACCTGAGAGGAAGGGAATGTTTTACATACCCATGCCATCATAATAAGTGGGATAAAGACGCTCGGCCGCAACCGCTTGAGCAGGATATTAGTCGCGGGCTCGAAGACCGAGTACGAGACGAAGAATATAGTCAGGCATGCATTGTATTGGGCATTGGTCATGTTCAGGTCCTTTTGAAGACCGACGATCTTTGCGTTGCCGATGTTCGTCCTTGACAGGCGAGATTAGTTGATATTCCTCGGGAGACACAATTCCACGGTTGTTTTGGCTTACCGATCAAGGAACGAAACGAGATAAAGTAGACTGAGCCATGGCACGAGACGGAGATCGAGTTGCCATAGTAGCTTGCGATCCTATGGTGTTTGTGCTGTGGTTAGTTACTGTGACTTCGAGTGATATTAAACGCATTGAGTGGTAACACACAATTTCTGCCTTTTCCTCGTCACTCAATCCTGCATCGGGGTCCTCAAATCCAGCTGCAGCGAGCGGATCTTTGGAATCGAGAATTTTCTCGGGGTCAGAAGAGTGGGATTCAGTTCGTTTCTCGAAGGAGTCAACCATTATGCAAGAGCAGATCGGCAGGGGGGATGCTCCGAAATGTGCGGCTGCTTTTCGTCGACCTACGGCCTACTTAAGAACAACAGGAGAAAAGGGCCAAAGCAGAGAAATAAAGCCACCGAGCACTATGTAAGGAGGGGTAACAACACCGACGATTTCATTGGGCAGATAGTGCGAGATTTACAGGGTCCAGCTGCATGATGGTATGACGGCTACACACTGGCCCGTGTCTTCGCCCGCGTGCAGAAATTGTGGCATTAGCTTGGATCTTAATGTTGGGGCCCCAGGTTGATCGGCATAGATTTGAATGATTTGAGGCATGATCGGCATGAGATCGTCTACTGGAAGGTTCGAACAGAAAGAAACAAGCCAAAATCATTGAACGGCAGTTGATTTAGGTTGACGTTGAGTTTTGAAGTCCGGAGTTTAGTTTCCTGTGATAATTGCAGCCGAGCCTGGGCATCCGGGGAAAATTACCTTGGCCATCCCCAGACGGGCTCCATCCGGGGTCCCCGGGCTCCACCAAGCCAAGCTTTCCCGTCTGAATCGCATCATGTACCTACTTTAAGGTATTCGCCAAGTCCACGGCCCGCTACTTTAGATTAACAGTGACCTCGGTTTTGCTTAATTTCAAGTTTTCTATCATGTGCACTCGCCGAGAGCAAAATAGGTGGTGTCGGCCGACGTTATAATGGTTGATCGTCTAGTCCGAAGCTAGGCGAAGGTGGTTCGGTTAACGCCTCAATTGTCCAGCCATTGACCGTGTATCTTCATGTATCCACTAAGGATCATGGGGTTTTCCTCATGTGTTGATTGGACGGTACTGACTCGGCATAGTGAAAGGATTGTCTCGGCATTGGTCTCGTTAGTGGTCGGTTGCTCCGTAGGCCCGAAGAAATCGTGCCAATCAACACGCAGCCATCCAACAAAGTAAGCGGGTTCGAAGAATCCCGGGCGGTACTTGTCTCAGTCGCGCTAAGCCCCGCACTTAAGGTGCGCACGGCTTTGATGACCCCGCGTGGGGGTGATCATCGCACACATTCGAAGAATCCTGATTTTTCTGTGCTAAGTTGCGTCAGCAGCGCACCAGTAAACTGCTACGTACTGTAATTCGAGGCAATCCAGTATACCATGGTTCGCAACAGCGCTGGCCTGAAAGACTAAATTGATTGGCGCTGCGCCGAACATACCCCACGCACTGGAACTCTTGGCAGCGTGGTTATGTATCACGTTGAGAAGTTTTCGGCACGTAACTATTTTCTTATTGGGCTATGGTTTAAGTTGGCTCTCGATGGTATCATAGTCGTAGTTTGTATTTGCGATATTGTGAGATGTAAATGTACATAGTAATGATGGATGTACCCGGAAAAGGGACGACAAGCAAAACGCTTATGATCAATGCAATAAGCCCATTTTTCCTTCTTGTAGCTACCTCAACATCGAACACACCTTCCACATGAAACGGAAACAAAAGCCAATTGATCCCGATCAAGGTGTATCGTTGCGATCATCCCGGTCCATCGGTTTACAGACCGTGCTTTCGCTTGATATCACCTGGGCGGGATTCCGGCTTCATGGGGCTACCAAATCCATTGACGCGCCCATGGAGCCACTTGAGAGTAACGGTGCTTAGTGCCATGACAACGGCACTGAGAGTAAATAGGCCAATACGACCTGATGTGGGCAGTGCTTCAAAGATAGGATATGGGTACCTAAACTAATTAGCGAGTGGCGTCAAAGGCGCTGAATCATGTACGAACCATCCATTTTGGGAGAAGCATTGCTCAATCCAGAACCAGTAGCCGAAGGCAATAGTACCAGACAGCCCGAGTGCAGGGAGTACAGTGATCGTCCAGGGTGGGGATAGGAGCAGTAAGTCAGTCAACATCACCACCGATGGCGTTGCGTGGAAGCTGATGTCTGCAACTGTGTTAGTATGGTATCTTAAAATGTACCTTTACAGACATACCGGCGTGCATGGGGATAAAGAGGTCTTCGGGGATCACCAAACGCTCATCAATCTATACTTGGGTTAGATAAATGTCGAATTTAGCATCATATCACTTACCAAGCGAAGACCCCAGTACAAAACACTAATCACGACCTCAAGGGGGGCACTGCATATCGACAGGATGTTTTTGACCAGGAACAGTCGCCGGGACGAGGTAATATCCGCCAGTAGTGCAACCGCAAAAGTGAGTGTTGACAACGACAGGCCAATCACGGTCAGATATTGAAAATGCCAGCCATATGCTTGATTACTGTCAAATATAAAGTTTAGCGTTGTTTCCCATATCGAAACTAGATGGGCGCTTACGCATGGTTAGGGTTTTCGTGCATGCTTCAAGAATGTCAGCAAGCTCTCAAAGTATAGTTTGGTAGAGGACCCATACTATTTGAATGACCACAAAAAGCTCGAAAGTCCGACCAACTGGAAAACAACCCGTCAGTGTTGAACATAAATGACAAGTGAAAGGACCATACTTACATGAACCAAGGCTGACAAGCCCCGTGAAGGGCTCGGCATCCGCTGAAGCGGGTGCTTATCAACGAGAGATCTGGCCATATCGGGAAACAAGTCAGGACACAAGCGTCCTAAAGTCCTAGCCTAGTTAATATGTAGTTTAAAAGAAACTCCTCCGAATATGCTACCAAAGCGCAACTCAAGGAACCAATGTGCATCCAGGGAACTGGAACGTTGGTTCAAGGTACGACCACGTGACAGGCGGAACTTGTCGGGTTTCCGCGGAAACTTCCGGCTTCCCGCGGTATGCCGGTCCGGGGTATCGGATTATAACATAATCCGGCTGATTCATCGTTCCTTATCTCGGCTGGCCATGTGCTTCCCCACACTTTTGGTCAGCGCTCTGAAGGCAACCGTCTTTGTGACTTTTGTTGTGAACCTGTGCTTCTTAGCTACATAGTGAGGCCAGCCGGCTACTCAGTGGGTCAATTGGTCGTACTGAACAGAAACATATTCTGTTTGACATCTTGTTTCATATCCGAGATCGGCAAGATCCGACACTACCCTGGTTACTATCGGCTCCTCTTGCCTTCCCATTGCTGAAGGGCAGTGGGACTCGAACTGTTTCTGGCACCTCTCCCTCCCATACCTCGATGTGCTTGTATACTAGGTGTGGGTGTCTGGTCGATTATCGCTTTATCGCTACTTGGGGTCAACCAGGATCAAAACGCAGAAAGCGTGCTAACTGTGACGTGCTTTCCGCGTAAGGAGTCGCGATTGGACTGACACGGACTTGAAAATACCGAAAGTGTATGGCGGCGGAATAGTACATAGTGACTTTTGGCTATTTCGAGCCTCTGTTATCTTGAATTTGTTGCCGTGTCCTCTTTACAGGCATCGGTACTCGACCAGACGCCCTCTGACGTGCAATGCCTCGTCCTCGAAGACCTGGTGCACCAGAACCAAAGCGCCGAAGCCGTAAAGGATGTTGGTACGTTATCAAGATGTCAACCCAAGCTTTGCCAAGGCTAACAGTTGCACTAGGCCATGCAAAGCACGCAAGGTAAAATGGTGAGAAGCACAATCCCTGCATTATACCCGTGTAGCTAATGATTAATTATGCAGTGGCGAGGAGAAACCAGCATGCCTTAATTGCCAGCGACAAGGCGATCCTTGCGACTATAGTGTCCGTCTGAACTGGGGAGGAAGAACGAAACGCATGTCAATTGACTCGCCGAATTCACAATCTAGTGGGTATGGAGCTGTAATTGGTTTTTCTGACTCATTCGCTGTCAACGATCTGAGCCCGGTTTCGTTCTCCACTCCACCAAGCAACAACCCTACTGATGGATTTATCAACACTCATCCTGGGGGGTTGACTTCGCCGGGAGCAATATCTCCAAGTACACCCGCAGCAGTGGGCCTTTTCGAATCCCCCAGGCTCGGTTCAGAGTCTGAAGGAGTGACATCACCGGGTCAATTAGAGCCTCGGTTCTCCTCAACTTGGGCGGAACAATCTCCTCCATTGACGACATCAGTGTCCTCGGCGCCTTTGTTGCAATATCAATTTGGACAGCAGAGTTTTGATAACCCATATCTGGGTTCGGTGGATCAGACGTCCGGCATTGGATCACTCTCTGCCTTTGCGTTCCATACACACCCCGTGTCGCAACCAATCTCATATATGCGCCACCCCGTTGTCGCTTCCGATCACTGCTCAGATCCATCTATATCCCACTCTCGTGATGAAGGACACCTTTCTCGAGGGACGCATGATGACCAGGACATGCAACTTACCGCCGAGCATGGGACAGGGCAAGACGGATCCTCAAACAGCCCACACAATATTGGCGGCATGTCCTCCATGGTTTTCGATCAACACAGACCGTCGATTGCTGAAAATGATGCAACCTCATCTCCGAGGCTGCACGAGACAATCGGCAACATGGGCTCTATACATGAACATCAGAATAAATTGACTCCCGAGCGTCAGGTAACCGCAGGGACCAATCATGAAGCTGATCAAACATCGCACGAGTCTTCAATGGCCCGGAACAAATGGCAAACGTATCTGAACAGTGTAACCGACAATTATGGATTGGACTCTGGGCGTCCAGATCACGATCTGACTTTCAACAACGATCATGCCGCCATAGACATCAACTATGCGTTGGATTTGATCAGTTCTCGATGGCGCAACGAAGAACCCTCACAGTCGAAAGCTTCTCAACCCGAACCCGAACCACAGGTCCAGTTTTGTAGCGGTTACTATGCTTCTCCAGTACCCATCAATGTTCCCAGGTACTTGTCTCCGCTTCCGTCCTCGTTGCTGGAGAACCCTATCAATTTGATGTACTTCCATCATTTCCTGAACCACACTGCTCGCATGCTTGTCCCGCATAACTGCGATAATAATCCATTTATCTCGGTTTTGCCATCAAGTGAGTTGTACCTGCTCTATGTTGTATTATCTTTCACACAGCTGACCAAACAGTGGCAATTTGTGATTCCAATCTCCTCAACTTGTTGCTTGCGTACTCCGCTAGTCATCGTGCCCGATACCTAGGCCACCCAGAGCCCGCCAACCGAATTGCTCATTGGGTTAGCAAGGTTTTCCCAGCTTTGCGTATGGCATTGGAGTCACCCAATGAAGACATCACTGACAGCCACTTGGCCACAGCCATTATGCTGTTGTCATTGAAGATCGTTTCTCCAGGGACATTTGAAGTGCCAATTACCTGGAAGAGTCACCTGAAACTTGCTCGCGATCTATTCCTTGCACGGAGCGAGAGCATGGCGCAGCCTGGTAACAGGATTGGGGCGTTCTTCGCCCGCTGGCTGGGCTACCTCGACACGATGGGATCTTTGTCGTGTCGCCAAGCAGGTCCTCCACTAATGATATACCACTCCATCTTAACAGCCTGCTCCGCGCCTGACGGTCACGACGAGTTCGGTGTCGATTGCTTCACGGGGTTCACTCCCCGCACTGGAGTATTTCTGATCCGTCTTGCGCGGCTGGTGCAGGAATGTGACAATCAACGCTTCGATGAAATGGGTAACTTCCGACATGACTGGCATGCGTCTGCAGAAATGGTCCTGGAAGCGCAATCCATACTTGGTGATATGGATGGGATCAGTGAATGTACTCATACTATATCGGAACACCACCGTGGTATTGAGTCCGCGGACATGATGGCCATCGAGGAAGCCTTCCGGTTTGCCGGACTCCTGCACCTCCATCGACGTGTGCTTGGGTCCCCACCTGACTCGTTCCCCGTGAAGGAGGTCTTGTGCAAGCTCATTGATGCCCTTGGACGCATGCGCCCTGGCGCAGCCACCGAGGTGTGCTCCTTATTCCCGCTCTTCACGGCCGGCTGCGAATCCAGAGATTCAATTCAGAGGACTAAGCTTTTGGACCGGTTCTTCGTGTTGGAGAGCTCGGGCATGAAACAGGTGCGTCTATACGGGTCTGCGATCGCCTCAAGGGATTTACTGACACTGTATTAACTAGATTCAAAATGCACGTCAATTGATGCAACACTGCTGGGATAAGAATCTGCCTTGGATTGCCCTGGCTGGCGGTCAGTTCCTAGGTTAGCATCAGAGCTTCGCGGTTTGAAACCTCAAACTTGGGTGGTCCTTCCAGCCTGGATTCACAGACCCTAAGTCCATATGACGTCTGGCAATGATCTAAACTTACATAGTATGGAGATTAATGATGCCCATTGCCTTCTAAAAGGCGAGATATCATGCGATGACCCTTAAAAAGGTTTACCCTTTGGTGTGTCAGGTTCGTCCTTCTCTTCCTCTATTTATATCCTCTCGCCTATCTCCAATCTCTATCTTCCAGTCTTCCACTACATACTATCCTCTGCTTGTTTCTAAACTAAATCATCGAGTGCTCTCTATGACTAGCCTTGCATTTCAATAGGCCGAAATTCCTTGCACAGAACAATTCGTTCTAACCTATACATATATAGCTTCGTAGCTAATTCTCATGTCACTAAACATCGAATGGACTACAATCTTGCATATATGTCATAATCTACAACTCCGCAGCGGGGTGACGGTGATCCTCCGGCTTCTCCACGCCAAGCCAGTCCAGCCGAGGCCGAGGCTCCGGCATAGAAGCCTGTTGATGATTATTGAACTGTTGAAGCATATAACCGAGAGATGCTATATAGGGGTGTGCAGTTAAACACATATCTACTTGAATCAAAGCAATATACTTCCCAACATCCATCATGATCTTCGATCCCAGCCCCATTGAGCTTCCATCTTCTTACGAAAAGGTCGAAACAACCGGCCATGTCGTCGTCTCTCACTACCCTCCAGGCACATCGGCAGTCACCCCCGTCGTCATCGTAACACTGAATCGTCCTGCTAAGCATAATGCGTTCACTCCGCAAATGGTCATGGACTTCGAGAAGCTCTTCCCCATGTTCGATGTCGACGAACGTGTGAAAGTAGTCGTTTTGACCGGCGCAGGAAAGACATTCTGTGCTGGTGCAGACCTTGAGATTGGTTTCGGCGGTGGTAAAGGCAGGACGGCAGACCATCGTGATGGGTAAGGCGTCCATTCATTAGCCCGCTGCATATATACTTTATAGTCTCGCTAACAAACCCGACCCAGTGGTGGACGAGTCGCACTGGCCATTCACAGATGTCGCAAGCCAACAATTGTAGCAATGCAAGGCTCAGCCGTTGGAGTCGGGATGACCATGACTCTTCCAGCGATCATCCGGTATGTCAATCGCATCCAGATAATATAGTACAGCACACTCGCTAACGTGCATATCCCTTGTCTTTCTAGAATTGGCTATGAAAAGGGCAAATACGGCTTCGTCTTCGGCCGCCGCGGTATAGTTCTAGAATCTTGCTCCTCGTACTTCCTCCCCCGTCTTGTCGGTCACTCAAACGCCAGCTACCTCGTCAGCACGGGAGGGGTCTTCCCGCCTACATCTAAGCACTTTGGCGACCTTTTCAATGAAATCCTCCCGGACGCATCGCAGGTCCTGCCGCGCGCTCTCGAACTGGCTACTGAGATTGCCGAGAATGTGAGCCCGGCTTCGTCGTACCTCAATCGCGCCCTTATGTGGCGCGATACTGGTTCGGCGGAGGCTGCTCATCTCATCGAGTCGCGAGTCATTAACCATATGTTTGGATCGGAGTCAGTGAAATCTACACGAAGAGGCTGATTGCATATGCTTACTATCTGACAGGGACCAGAAGGAGGGCGTTGCGGCGTTCTTCGAGAAGCGAAAGCCGAACTTCAAGGCTAACCTTGATGATAACCCGCCGCCGAGTGTGCCGTGGTGGACGGAGGTTGATACTGGTCGGAATCCTAAAGCGAAGGGGCCTTCGAAGCTGTAAATTCAAAGCTTGATATTGGAAGTAGTAATGATGATTGAGGATAACAAAGACCGAAGATGAAAGTTTTAACAAATGTTAGGAAGAATATTTATGAATTGATCTTTATCAAAGGTCATTCCCAATACATTGCAATGCACCAGCTACCAAGACCGCTAATGATATTGTAACAAAATAAACACCGGCCCGGCCAAAAAAGAAAGTCACCAGATTTGGTTTTGGACAGAAGCTCCAAGAGCTTCAACCATATTGACATGAACAAAAGAGAAATGCTCCAATATCACAACATAGAAAAGAGAGAAATGGAAAGAAAAATTACGCAATGAAGTTGCGGCGCTTGCGGTTGTAGGCCCTCTGATCTTTCAGCCAGCTTCGGTAGCCGGCCACGCTGCCAATCTTCTCTCCGTAGTAATCGGGAACAGGGTTAGAGATGGAGTTGGTTGAGGGGTCGACACGGAACCGGCGAATGCGATCAAAGAACTCCTTCTCTTTCTATACAAAGGAAACAAAACACGTTAGCACAGACCAGGCATAAATCGCCCACTCATTTGTTTTGGAGTACTCACAGTATTGACAGAGGGCTTATACTTCCTGTACACAAGTCCCCAAACGCCATTTCCAAGAGCCGGTCCAAGAAGCCATCCGGCAGCACCGCATGCGGCGGTCGCCAATCCCAGGACAACAAACGGATCAAGACCCATAACCGTGGCGCCGAGATGCTCAAGGTCCTGACCGGACAGGACCTGCACACCGACCGTGGTGCTGACAGCGGAGCTCACAATTGAGGAGGCGAGGGAGTATCGACGGCGGGAAGCACGGAGCTTGAAGAAGGAGTCCCAGTCGAGCTTGACTTCGTTGGCAGGTGCGGAGGTCGAGTTTGCGCGCACAGCGATGGGTGATGGCGACGCAGCCTTGGCGCGTGGCCGGGAGTCTAGGTTCAGTGTTGCGGTGGCCGGGCGAGCTGCCGTGGAGCTAAGGCGTGTGAGCTGCTTAGATGCCATCCGGGGAGTGGTCTGGTGGATGGGACGGAGGGCGCCGGCGAGCGAGGGCGCGGCGGGGTTTAGTCGGCCAACAGACATGGCTGTGCGGACGGACATGCTGATGGGATTGGCGTTCATGTTGGAGAGGAGCTGGAATCGGTTTAATTGCAGATTCTAAGTCTTGCAGAAGTGAAGTGAGAATCGGAGCCTTAGAGCCCTGGAGGTGGAGCCGCGTTATGTAAGCGTAGCGGGCCGGGCGGAGAAGGACAACCGACATCATCACGATCTGATATGTCAGGGAATAAGTTGCACTTCGAATTACTTGAAGTAGATGGTGACTATAATGAGCCAATAGTACAAGAGAAGTGGAGGATGAAGAGAAAGGGGGTTTCAAAACACAACGAGTTATCCATACCCAGTTGAGGCATGCTATCCCAATTATTCTTAGGGGCAAATATCTAGCATTCGACAGACAGTGAAATGATCGCGATCATTGACCTGATGAGAGCAACGTTGCCGCAAATCAGTTCCTCCCATTCTATTATTAGTTCAAATACAGTAACTACATGTAGTTCCACCCTGGAGCTTTTCACAAATTTTCTGCATGTTCTGTGCTCAAAATTCGTCCAAGCCACATAGTTCGGATTCTATAATCAACAAGGGAGGATGGCCCCCAATACCTCCAGCCCAATCACTGTCGACAGGTGATTTACTCATACTTATGATCCTCCTCTAAACGCAGAAGGCTAGCTGTATTCCTCGGCAGCATGGTAAGCCACTAGAGAGGATTGCGATCATCTCACAAACAATACATTAATCGCGGGGAAGGAAAACTCACCAGTAGCAGAGCTCCCAGCCCATGCTGCATTACTTCTCCTAGGGGCCTTACAGGGCCTGCCCAAGAAGAGAGACATCCCCCTATGGATAGATTGTCCGGCACTCGGAAACCAGGCCATTGGCCCATTCAGTCAATCACCTGCGAGTACGTACATATACACTGGGATTTAGGCCGGGCTAGCCGGCTTTCCCTTTCCGTTTGGTCGTCGTAGTGCTCGAGAGCATACGAGCTCGACACCGAGCTAGTTCGAGATCAGGACTGCTGGTGGTTGGATCCAAGGCTTCGGGCGGCTTCCTGGTCGTTGTCGATGATGGATTGTCGATTATATCGATTTAAATCAGGTTACTAGTGACTACCAACCCGGAAAGAATATACAACGTACATGCAACATGGTAATTCCCAATCAATTCTGGTACGGGTGGTAATAATACATACATGTATCCCCGGCTATTCTTGAATGAAGCGACCCTACTCACCCAACTCATCCTCGTTGTCATCGTCGTCATCGTCGTCATAGTCATCAACCCCAGACACGTCTTCCTCCGAAGAACAAGCATTATCGAAAATCCCCGGGGCCAAAATAGATGGCCGGGCCTTGACGTTTTTCGAAAGTAAGGCTAGTAGAAGTTTATCGTCATTGGCCCGACTTCCAGCAGCCCCGTTCATGACGAATGAATATTCATGGCCCATCTCCTCTACGAGGGACAAGAGCATATTGTGCGGGAGATATCTTCCCGCAGTCCCCCAGAATGGCCTGCCCTTTTCTGCTTGTAGAAGTGCAGCGGCTTGGCTTGACTTGCCGCGGCTGCTATGTTGCCAGCACATCCGTAGTACCTGCACACAGTAATGGAAGTACAGATATCTAGCTGCTGGTCGGAAGCCTGAACGGAACTTCAGTGGACGGCCTTCTAGCTGTCTGAATGTCAGACTCGTCTGTCTAGAGACGGACTCGTCAAGTTTCTCCCAATCCGGGTCGATCAGCCTAACACGGTACTCCCGGGGCTCACACTCGAGCCAGTACTTGACCGCAGATACCAGGGCGTTGCCCTGAAAACTCGGAATATCAGGGACGATTACGAACTTCCCAGCATCCCAATAGCGCTCCAGCCTTGTATGCAGAAGGAGCCCGTTCCGGGGGGAGAAAAGTTCTTCTGGCCTCTTTTTCCCGAATATCGCATCCATCGTATCTTGGCCGTGCATATAGGGAAACAGATGAGATGCTTGGATGAACTCCTCCTCTGCATAATCCCCAATGATGGGATCCCACAGCCATGGTTGAGTTGGATGCTTGGCCCCGTACACTTCGATCATAGCGTGACGGAAATTGGCCTGCTGGCTTGTGTCACGTCTTCCTGCTCCTGTAGCCTTAATGGCCATTCCCATAGTGGAGGTGGTGAAGAGTTTCATAAAGGATGTCCTTAGGCTCCTACAAGGTGGGGCGTTCTTCAGCTGGGCAACCCTATCTTCGCAGATTTTCCTAGTCTGCTCTTGGGCTCGAATATTTTCGAATATGCTTTTGGCCTCGTCTGTCTTCTCCCATTCATCCTCTTGACCTTCAAAACTTGCAAGCGAAATTTTTCGATCGACTTCTGACCTTTCAAGATTGATTTTTTCAATCTTTGTAGCTTGGCTCCAGAACTTCAAGTCAAATGACTCATGTGCCCGCCAGGGTTTTCGGGCTGTGTTCAGATCAGCTGTCAGCTCGTGTTTTCTTTTTTTGAGAACTCGGATCGCTTCTGGTTCCGTTTGGAGGGATTTCATTGATTCATTTAGGGCATTCATGATGGAAGGAGTCAAGTTCAAAGTCTTGAGATTCGAAAAAGAACAGTGCGCCCGTCATTCTGAGAATCTTCGATTATCTACTAGCGTACGGAGTACATCATTATGATGCCTTCACAGCTATAGATATTACCTAGATAGGCTTAGTAGCTGTAAACCAAACTTTACGGGTAATACTACTAAAGTCGTGTGTACCTATTAGGACTTCCTTATATATCCCTACTAATTAACTAGATGCTAGAGCTAGGCTCGATATTCGCGGCATAAATCAGTTACCGCAGATGGGTTTCGTCTAGGGAGTACATCGTACCAGTCGACTATTACTATTGCCATACTGGAAGGAATGTGATGAGAGGAAACGAATGTATAATTGGACTCTTAAAGAGTAAAGAAGTTAAACTAGGAAACAAGTCCACGCGGAAAGTTCCTCTGCCTTCACACTATCCAAACAGATGCCCCGAAATCAGGGCTCCGGCTCTCCAAGAGACGGCACCATCTTAGTAGTTGCAAACGCAGACGCTAAAACCAATTAGTAAACCAATCAAGTGTGTTGACCCTAGAAGGGAAGAGCGCTCACCTCTCGTCGTTGCAGTGGCCACCGTGGAAGCCCTGGTCCTGGGCAATGCACTACAAAATTGTTAGAGACCGTGAAAATACAATGTGGTTGTCAAGCTAAAGAAGACATACAGAAGCGCTGCAAGCAGCATCACCGCCACCGAAGTAGTCGCCGACCTGGCAAGAGAGGCGGGCCTGGAGCTTCTCAGAGGGAGCAGCGAAGGCAATAGAGCCGAAGAGGGCAACGGCGCCGAGGAAGACGGTAGAGAACTGCATTTTGATGATTTGGGTTGGAAGACGGAGGTCTTGAAAAGTTAAGATTTGAGTAGATTTGGATTGGAATTGGATTGATTGTTGATGGAAAGAGCAGAGAACAGCGGGCAAGAAGAGGCTATTTATGCTCGAGATTTACAATATCTTCATCATAAGAAGTGTCCCTATTTTTAGAGTAGGTCCTCATCTTCTTGAGGTATTCTCGTGTTCACGAATACCTATCATTCCTCCGCTGTCTTAGCCGTTGCAGTGAAAAGTATAGATCGGCAGGAGTCGCGAGGTATACGATGTCGATCGGACATGGACATTCATTGTTGGGGAAGACCTCGTGTTCTTAAGTAAGCATTATCCTTCTCCTGCCTCAGTCTCTGCAGTAAAAAGTATTGATCGGCAGCATTCACCAAATATACGATGACGATCGGACAACTGCGTTCGTGTTCGGGTGGACGACGGGACATCGTTGCAGTTTGGGAGTGTCTCAGACGCATCTCCGCCCTTTGAATCGAGCTGGTGGAGATATCACTATCATAAGGAGTAGTGAGCTAGGGCGGGTCGTAACTTGCAACCAGAAAAGGAAACCACTAAGATCTGGGGTGGGTTAACTATACGCCCACACGGGGAGATAATAGAGGTGATTGGACGAGATTGAGGATCTGCATCGATCTACAGTGGCTTGGATGTACGAGCCTCCAATGTTTGAGCAACGGCGTAACTGCGAGCCTTGGCGCGCCAAGGGCCAAGATGATAACAAAACAATGCTTTGCAGTATATGTTGTATGAGCGATTCGATATTTGAGCACATAGGAGATGAGCTTTGGTTCCTAGATTACTTACTGACTTACACCCAACCAGAAACTGATTGTGGACGACAATTGCCCTCTCTCTCATGGTCTAACTCCTTTCTTTCGCAACATTCCATTCAGATTCTAAGTTTCGCTCGTATAACTTAGAAAGCGCCCGGCTAAATTGCGGGGGTCGGGCTGAGCCGCGTAAGGGGTAGAGATGGAGGCTCTTTCTATCTAGAGACATTGCTGCCAATACGCAAGTCAGCTTGAAAAGCGCTCAAGCCATTCTGGTCGTATTCTCAATGTTCGAATTTTTTCTATTTTTATGTTTCTTGCAGAATGATCAACGTTGGCTTTTGTCGAATACAGTTTGTCGCAGAAGCCAAACAACGCAAGGGCTGGGAATGTGGGATACAAGGACAAGTACCTTGGAGTCGGCGATATCATCTTCAATACGAGAAGGGTCCATAATCACCTAAGCGAAATTGACTTTTATGGAAGAGAATGGTCGATCAGGCTTCTGGCGGATGCGCCTCGAGACTTGACAGGGGAAGAGAGAGAATCCTTTATAAAAAGCATAGGAAATGTATACTATAAAGAAGGATAATATGAAATCCCTATACGGAGTACATAGTTATATGCTTCTTCTTCGTATCCTCTTAATATAGCAGGATAGAAAGGAACCAGTAGGAATCAATAATAAGGAGCAAAAACCAACTAAGTATAGTCTGGATTGAAACGTCGAGATGCCGATATAGTGTAGTCCATTTATATACTAAAGATAGTACGGAGTAAGTATTATCAAACTGCATTCAGCTGAGGACACTAGCCTTCCTTTAGCAGTAGGAGCCAAAATGTCAGGTTCTGCATACTCTAGATCTGCATCTGGACCCTTTAATTAGGGTTAGCGTCGATGAGAATCAAATTGGGATTTCCGACAGAAAAGAGTTGATGGCTACATAGAGCGGACACGTAGTGCATCATCCAGGCGTAACTAACAAAACATGCAGGATATATCCGGACAAGGTCTTAGAGCTATTACAATATACGCGAACTATTTTTACCGGGTTTGAAGGCAAACTAAAGAACGCATTCCCTCATGAATTCCGCATCCAGATTCCTATATCGAGCAGATGGTAGACAAATCCCCCTCGCAAGTGCTTTTGCATGATATATCCAACCGCCCCTTCTTCATCAAGTCTGGCCTTCCATTGATCCCAGTCTGCTTCATCATCATAGTATTCGCGAAAAATGCACAACGCAAAAATGAAAACCTTGAAATCATTCTCCGTATTCCTCACAATAAAATTCCTCGATCACAAATGAGATTGATAATTCGAATGGTGTCTTCACAGATACTCTGCCAGGATTCTCTTAGGGCGTGTATAGCAACCTCGGTCAAGGGAAACCTTCTAACGTACTATAAAATGGTACCAGGGATGTCGACATATTCTTCACTAACCGACGTTGTCTGCGAGGTAGAATTGGGCATTGTAAGGCATGCGAACAGTTGGGGTGTGTGATCCCCTTACATATGTATGTATCCTCTAGGGTGTCGTACACTTCAACTTCGGTCCCGTAGAGATCTGAGATGTAATCATGAAAATACGCTTCATTTTGGGAATCGTTCCATGTGTCCGATATCCTTGACATGCTTTTTCGTTGTCGTCGGTCTCGGCGATTAACTTTGACGCACCACCATCGAGAACGAACTGATGATATTCCTTGTCGATATCTGGTGTCTAGGGATATAATTTTTTGGTCTTTTCTGAGTTCTGTTGCGAAACATCCGTATCACCCTCCGCCGAAGAAGGGCATGCTAGTCGAACAACCATTACAGACGAAAGGGTGAATGGTCCAAAGACATGCATGATTTTGGCGGTCCGTTGTTTGTTCATATGGTGTCTCCAGCTGCAATTTCATTTATTCCCTGACCGATCTATATAATCAGTCCGTCTCTACCTATGTGCATAGGTAAAAAGGTGGGGGTACTCCCTTAATCCCTTGCTCCATCGTGATTAGGAGTATCTGGACTTGAGCTCATAAAAATATTGAATATAGAACCCTGGTATATGAGATAGAAGATAGACACGATATATTGAGTACATATGTAGAGACAAGAATGTATACCCGTAGTTACATTGGCCAAGAAAAAAAAGTCTGTCGTCATTTGGCGAATTTGCGAATTTCTCCCCACCACAGCTTCCTTTCCTAGTCCAACCGAGTTTCCCCAACTTACCAATCCTAACCTCTCACCGTCTACACAATGTCAAGAAACATCTCCTACGGCCGCGGAGGCGCAGGTAAACAGCGCCCCTATCTCTCAAGCGCCACAATCCACTAACTATACAGGCAACATAACCCGGCAACAGAGCGCGCCCACACCCAAAGACCTCGTCACACCAACAATCAAACAAGAAGTCTTCACAACAGGCCGCGGCGGCTCAGGAAATATGATGCACAACGATCCCGAGCGACCACAAATTGCGCGCGAGTCGCAAGACGTCGAGTCGCCGCCCCTGCGCGCCCAGCAGATCCCCCACCACACAGGCCGAGGTATGTTCTGGCCATAACTACGCGAATGGAATTGGCATGTTTGCGACGTTGTTGAAGCGGCCGCTAATGGGTGTGCTATTTTCCATAGGTGGCGCGGCGAACGCTTACATCCCTACGCCTGAAGAGGAAGAGCGCGAGAAGAAGATCCACGAGCAGGAGGCGGAGCTTATTCGTGTTCGCACGCAGTCTAAGGATCGTGTGAAGGAGATTGAACAGGAGAGGCAGGAGTTGCGGAAGGAGACGCCTTCTTCTTCTTAGGAGGGTTATTGGGTGTGGAGTTGGGGTTGCGATGTTCGTTCTTGTTGAGAGGGCTCGATGAGGCAGATTTTTCGTCTGCAATTGGCTGAGGATGTTTGCTTTTCTTCGGCTGCAGTGTCGATCCGGGGAGAGGTGATTGTCCGAGCAGAGACGAATCTGATATCACTGCGGGCAGTGCTGCTTCGATGCGAGGGTCTTCTTTTCCCTTCCCAGCTATTGGTCGGACTTATGGGTTTGTAGTATTTGCTTTTCTTTTATCTTTGCGGTTCTCCAATCGGCATTCCCAGTTCACATACTCGGGAATTGCTTCATACCTATTATGGAATATGGGAAAGGAACGGCGCTTAGGATACATTTGGGCGGGGTTGTGTTTTTCTATTGACATACGCTTTGATGTGTATTGCGATCATCTGTGTTTCCTGGAATTGTTTCCTAAACACGGAGAAATGATATACTCCCATGACAAGCGATCCTTGTCTCAATTGAAGAAACTATGATATGTACAATCCAATGTCTATGCTAATTACACGCTTCATGTCTCATTAGATGCATCGCTCACGCCGAAGCAACTGGAAAAGGGCAAGCAAATAAAAATGCAAACTCGCCATCAACAGACAAGCGGGGATACCACTCGCACTCGCGCCTGGGTCCTCGGAAGGAAACACCCCGTCGCATCAATCGGCCAGTTAATAAGATCTTGCCACTCCGGATCAAGAATTTCCCCAATCTCCTGCAGAATCCTATTCCCCCAATCGCCCATCCACCATGAATCCCTAAGATGGTGCAGAATAACCGCATAATGTGCCAGAACAACAAGCGCAAAGGGCCGGCGCGCCTCGAGCAGTTCTAAAAACTCCGCAGGGATACGGAAACTCCACGAAAATGCAAACACCTTCGGCTCGCCGCCCTTCATCAGCTGCTCGAGCGAGTGGCTGAGATGTTCAATAGCCGAGTCGTACAGATCCGTCTGGTGCGTCGGGTCCCGCATAGCCTCTATGTCATTCTGTCGCTGTAGCGAGAGAACCACCAGCCGCCACATGTCCGGCATTGTTGGGGCCGGGTCTTCGGGGTGAAAGAGCGGGTTCAGCTCGCTCGCCGTAATGCGTTCCATCGAGGTCACCAGGATACTGACTAGCCACCGGGTGAGTTGGAATACCTCGAAGAACTCGTCCAGCACGTCAGGCTGCTCTTCGTCCGAGTTGGTTTCGCTGTCGATTTGGCAGAAGCCGAAGGTGAATACGATCATTATGCAACACAGCGCGAAGGTGGCTTGGCTTTCTGCTTCCGGTGCGTCTTCGTCACTCTCGACACGGAGGCCTGCTAGCGCTTGTGCTTGGTACGAGCGTGCTGTTTCAAGATACCGCCATCGTCCGGAAGATGTGCTTGTTGAGGCGAGGTGCAGCGCTGAGAGGGCTAGGATGCCTTGGCGAAGGGCTGGGTAGCGGAGGGAGAGCTGGGGGATGGTTGTTTGCCATATCCGTTCGGAGGTAGGGTCCCCTGCCATAGATTTGTAGGTTGCTGTGCACCAGTGCATCATCAATTCGAGGTCTTTCAGGTGGAGGGTTTCTTCGATGTGGGTTGAGAGGCATGTTGATGGGCGCTCTTGTCGGGGTTGGGGATTTGACTGCGAGGGCGAGGACTCTGTCATGGCGGTTGGAGATGATGGCGAAGTGCTGATTGAGGGGATGAAAGAGCCGTGCTTGTTGTCTAGCCGGGTCAATCGGGGCCGAGGCGGATACTGGCTGAGCATATTGTAATCCAGGCAATGCACACAAGTTGAACTCTGCTCCTTGTACTGGGGGTTGCGTTAGTGGACATGTGTGAAGATGGTAGGATCCAAAGAGTAAGGTGCGAATGGGACTGAACCCTCCAACCTCACTATCAATGGAAAGCTCTGAAATTGGTAGGGCCCAGAAGCCCTAAGCAGGGGATTTCATACTCTAACGCGCCGATCACTTTGCATAGACGCCTGGCGTCGCTTATTTGACCAGGGAGATGTTTCGCATTGCATTGTAGAGGTGGAGAGACACAGAATGTTTATTTAATTCGGGGGTTGCAGTGAACTTGAAATCATCCCTCCAGGTATCACCCGAAGGAGAAGAAGGATTGATATCATGAAAAAGTCATCTCAGTCAAAGGCCCAAGCGGGGTGTTCATATTTTGATATGTCCATTTTCATTGAATCGGCATTCATAGCACCAAAGAGGTAAGAGTGGCGTTGTGTCCCAAATCGGTAAATGCAGGATGGCTCGTGCTTCAAATGACATAATCCAGTACCCACACGGGGCCCGGCGGGGCCGCCGTCTTCGCGATATGTAACTCCATTGATGGCATGTTTTCTGTCTTTCCATGGATCCTAGCTCGACTTAATGCTTGATTGAAGCAGCTCTTGAAATATTCATGGGAATGCCCGAATCCTTACGGTGAATCCAAACCCCAGACTTCCGATATTCTCGTATTCCAAACCGTATTAATAAAGCAAAACGGTAACTCGGATGTGTTATGCGGCGGATGAAAATACTTACCAAATTCGAACAGAACTAATGCGAGAGATGCGCGGCACTCTATCCAAGGAGAGTATAAGCACAAGCTAGATCCACTAGGAACATTCCAATACAGAAAACTAAACGAAAAAGCACTCCAGTTGTTGAGGACAACCCCCACCAGCCCCACCAGCCCCTATAGAAGAGTCCACGCTAGAGCCCCTTCAGGATTAGCGAGATGGGGCCAGCCAAGTCTATCCGAAATAAGTTTCAGTCGACGAGCGATGCTTTTTCCCGATCGGGGAAGACGCGCTTGCACCCCTGTTGCACTTATGCATGCCCAGGCGGACACATCTCGGATACATATCTTTATCCTCGCCCGTGATCTTTCCTTGCCCTAAGCTCCTTTTCGATTAGCACAGTTTCGCCTTAGCTCTCCAAGCCATGTGTTTTCTTATTTGGGAATGCCAGGATTGGTTATCGCAAGTCGCTTCCATCTTTTCACCCGTCAGCTCGGACTACTCCCGCCACAGCTCCGCAATGCCCGCCTCTAAGACTGTTTTAGGACTTTGAATTCCGAATGGAAGGAAACGTTAGAAGCCTAGATTATAGTAATCGGTCAGCTTTGCTTCCCTTTAACCAATTTCAGTCAATGGAGCCCTGGAATCCTTCCGAGACGTGTCAAAGAACTGAGCCTCTCATCCGCCCCCGGTTGTTAGCTCGCACGCAATCTATCCTGTCAGGCTGACTTGCGATCCACTCAACCGCAGGCATTCTCTTTGTCTGAGTCTTAGGGCCAACCCTTATTTGACTGGGGTTCGCTTTAGCGCTGTTTCGTACCTAGGTGAGCAAATGGCGTGCTTGGTACTCATGTTGACCACCTGGGCAAGCCCCGTGAACTCGGACATGCAGGGCAACGCATGACTTTATCGCTTAGACCGACTTTTGGGCCTGTTCAACTTCGGTGTACGGAGTACCGCCTCGGCTTTTGCGGGTGTGAAATTCCCCGGATTTAGGCTAATTGTGCGTGGTGGGTCTATTCTGAGCGGGTTTACTCCGTATAGAGGGCAGTTATTATGCCTTATTAAGGTTTAACAGATGAATCACACCAATTTATTTAACACTCGCCTTTCGCGAGGCTGATACCTTCACTTCACCGCTAAGCACATTATCACTGCCCTGGGTGGCGTCGATGCTAGGATGCGAAGCAGCGTCACCTCATTGATATTCTAGACCTGACCGAGGATACCACAGACGTAATGCCACGTCGAAGCTTATGTCATGTTGATCCTTCTCCTTCCGGGGAAATTGCGCGAGTCAGCACGGGGAGCAGCAAAATCAAGCTGCAATAGTACAGAGATAGCGCCTCGCCATGTGCTTTAGGTGGGAAGGATACCGTCCACCAAGCCAGATTTACTGATCGGCGATATGTTGAAGCTTTGGCTAGTTGGGTAGGTTAGACCCAAGCATTATTAATCTAGGCCGAGGAGAACAAAGATGTGAGGTGATGTGGTGTGTTTGGCGGGAATAGTAGCTGCATCAGAACAAAGGTCCAGTTGGCGACTCCGACGGACAGTTCGATATCTCCGTTTCAAGGGTTGGTTTTCTGATCGCTTACGCTTGCTGTGATGTGGACTGCCTCGGGATTCGGTGTGGTGCCAATGCCGAATTCCGCATGCAATCCGAGCCCCGGTGAAAATGCATATTTGTGGGGTTTTCGGTGTCTATGAGTCCGATGATTACGATTTGGTTATCTGTCAAAACAGGGGGTAGGGGGGTAGGTGGGGGGGTAAGGAGATCACACATATGCGTGCCTTTGCGTTGGTAGCGGGCACAGACATTGGCTTTGCTTCCCGCTCCGAGGTTTGAGAGATAACGATGCTGGTGATATTAACAGCGCCACTTGATACGTTTGGTGTTGCAGCCAAGAAGGCGTAATTCATGGCGTTCGGTGCACCCTCCCACGTTTGTACTAAATGGCATTGGTTTACACACCGAAGTTGAGCTGGAAACTGAGAGGTTGAAGTTTGTGGTGGTGGTCTGGCCAGCAGACACATTTTTGGTTCTTGAATTCCTTCGACACGCAAATGACTTTTGCGACGGTGCGTATATCTGTGCCATTTTTAGTAGTTTACATGCTGGGTCTTCATCACTGATAATGGCAATCCGGAGGTGTATTTTCTCATACCAGACAGAGATTGCTGTTGGTACCACCTTGGACCTTGACTCGAGAAGTGCAAAGTCATCTAGGGGCAGACAGGTGTAAGAGTAACCTAAGCGGGGATTAAACCGCCATTTCAACCTCTCCAGAGCTCTCCCAAATAAGTTATCTTACCACCATCGACCAAATCATCTGAAGCGTACAGTATGAAGTCTGGTTTTGTGGCTGATATCATGATATAGAGAGCAACGTCGATGCGAGACCTGTTGAAATACTGTATACAGTTCAGCCAGTCGCCGAAACCATAGTTCCACGCTGTTTGTCAGAGGAATCAGAGAAAACATAAAACGTAGTGTAGCCCGACCAGTTCGTGCCATAGTAGCTGCTGGTGTGCGATTGGCCGTGTAACACAATTGGGCTGACACCTCCCGCGCCGGCGCGATGGGCCGAAAAAGGTACCTCTGAACTCGTATGACTGACTGGACTCCAGCATCATGGTGTTAATCTCATGAGGTGACTCAACGGTGGCCCTTCCTGGCGCCTCAATCGGGGGCCGAGGGCGTCGGGTTGAACTTGACATCGGTAGATCATACATCCCAGATAATGTGTAAGATTAAAGACGCTGTTGCCAACGCAAAATGCAAAGAGCAATACAACGTCCTCACGAAGCTCAAAGCCGCAAAGGCAGAATGATTCCGAAGCATAGGTCTATTACGGAAAGAGTACGACTGCCCAGCAACATACGCACCGCTCCGCTTAACCCAATACCGATTGGAGATGGGCACCGAGTTAAGCCGTGAACAACGCAAGTATGCAATTCACCGATGCAAATCCACACGCAGCGCCATCTACCACCACAAAGGATCATCAATTTGTCTAATCCCAACCAAGGTCACCATTGAGCGCCACAGCTACTTCTTTGCGAACAGTTGGTTAGAATCCAGACGTGGTGCTATAGGTATAGACTAGGACGAGTATGTTGCCGCTCTCTTCTACGGGCAATTCTTTGTCGAGCAAAGGTGGCCGGTGGCTGTTAGGGTAGCTTGTGCCAATTTCGTGTATGGTGTACTTCTTGGTGTAGGTGCCGTTGCTATTGTACCTGAGGACGGGTTCGAGGAGTAGTTTGATACACTGCGAGGGCTCGTAAAATGGGGAGGTTGCGAAAATAGCGCCCACCGTTGTTGGACTCATTGAGGAAGTGTGGATGTTGTTAGTTTCAATCGATTGGATTAGGATCATTACCTCAGTTCCTCCATAAACCTAGCAGTCATTCCTTTTGACTAGTCCAGACTATCCAGATTGTTGGATTCTTCGCACATTTGACTGACCGCCAAGATTACTGTGAGCATTTTAGTGGTTGGTTGTCCGAAATCATGCGCGTATCCAACCAGCCAAGTCAAAGACCACTTGGCGTGCGAACCGGTCAGATTGCCATTCGCGATTGAAGCTCTGAGACACCGACGGGTCGGCAGGTGTGGAGAGTGAACCCCTAGCTGGGAGCGGGTGGCGTAGACGGCGCCGCCCCACAACACTCAGCCATTTGTATTTTTCAAGTATTTGTGCGCATCGACCCCTCTGATCTGGAAAAAGCCTGTCGCGTTTTTCGAGGAGCCTCAGCCGATATCGATCACATAATCGATATCGGTGTACATCTGAACTGAGCTCGAGCCGCCTACAGCAACTGTCACGGCGAGGTAGGGGAATGGCAACGATTGACGCAGGTATATTTTTGGGGCGAGAACGGAGAAGGAATCGAGGGTGAAAGTCCGGGACTTGGCTCCGACCGTAAAGTTGGAGGTGGAGGTGGAGATGGGGGAACACTTGGAAGCTTTGGTGGACATGACTCAGGGGTAGCAGATTATATTGTGTACGCGACATCCACGCGAGCAGTGACAGATCGAATCAGATTATTGCCTGCTCAAAATTGGGCTTTGGTGGTAAGTTATTCGAGTGTCGATTGGTCAATAGATTCTGGGGACGATCAGCAGAGAGATACGGGCCCGACATTGCGGGCTTGGGGATTAAGCGAGAGCTTCACCAAGAGATACCTAGATAGTAAGGAGTTAACATTACTCCGTATGTTGTACGAGGTTCGATCGGGGGTTGGAGAGTCGAGATAATCAGACATGTTTACATACGTACTCCGTAGAATGCCATCTGGTTTCCGGGGCAAACCTTGGAATACCTCATATCGCACTCACTAACATACCCCAGACTGGGGACTAATAATGTCATTATATTAATGAAATATGTACTCCGTACACTTCTCTAATAGAGATTCTACGCTTTTTCCCTGTTCTATCTTTTTGCGGTAATACTTCCGATAGACCTACAGTAATTCACCCTTAAGTTCTACCTAGGTAGTTTCTGTATCACACCTGGACAGTGATACATCCCATACAAATGATAGATCAGCCCTGGTTCCAGGGGGTAACCAAACAACCGGGACCTGTCATCCTCATGGGAGCCCAAGCGCTGTAAGGGTACATCCAGCCCTCCAGGGCTGGTCCCAGGTGCGAATAAGGGGCTAATTATAATTTCCTGTTCTGTACTCAATACGGAGTACTAGTAGTTCTGGAGTGATACTGCATGTGTATTTATGTACTCCGTACTTTATTATAGTTATATTATACAATTGAAGAGGTGATTAAGAATAGAATCTCTATATACCAGAACACAGCAACATTTTATTTTATCATACTTTCTTACCTAGTAAATAAGTGTATATGTAATCTCGTCCAAATCGGGTGATGAAAATTTCATGATCGTTTGCGGAAATGAACGAATGCGGACTCCCAAGACATCGGACTCTCAGAGCTCCAATTTCATTTTCATCATTTAATCATTTCATTCGTCGACAGTCCAAAACCCAATGGTCTGGGTCCAGGTCCCTGCAGAGTAACACTCTTGTATCCTCATTTTACTTTTCCTTTTCCTTTTTACTTCTCTCTCTCTCTCTCTTAACTCATTTTTTCTCGGGTAAGGTGATCTCCTCTGTGATCCGTGGAAGCCCCAGCCAATCTCCCGCACTTTGACAGCGTCATCGTGCGGTTGACCCAAGAAAAGTCTTCAAGGACTTAAAGGGTTGGAGTACTGAAGAGAAGATGATGCTAATATATTCTTAAGAAAGTACCTAGTATTCAACAACTCTGATATCGCCACCCGAGCTCATTCTACGGTTCACAAATAAAACTCTCCGACCCCTTCGATTCACTTTTCTGCCATACCGCATCGAATCGGATTCTTGAAAGTCGTTTTAGACTGGTCGGCTCAGACCAGTTTCGATACATTCAAAGGGGCCTGCTGCTTGTTCGCTGTGTACCCCGTTTCTCTCGTCAGCTGCGAAAAGTCGATGCTCCAAGTGTGACGTCTGAACATCCCGCGGGGTCGCATGTCGCATCTCCAAAAACCCCCCACCTCTCTTCTCGAACAACCAGGTAGTTAAGATCTATCAAATAGATCTTTAAAAAAATCAGGAACCCGTTTTATCTATCAGTCATCCTCGGTTCCTTACAATCCGGTACCATGTACGCCGTCGAGGATAGACATCATCCCGTCCCACCTCCGCTCTCAATGGATCGCATCTCTGCTCCGTCCGTCCAGTACCCGTCGGGGACCAACTCACTACGGCAATCCGACCATTTGGCACCCGTGACAAACTACCAAGACGGTCGCTCCTGGTCATTACAAGTGGTGCAGCAGCCCATCCGGGCTCGTATGTGTGGATTTGGTGACAAGGTGGGTGATTTTTCCGCAGTTATTGTTGTGCCACCTCTTAACACATCCACAGGACCGGAGACCTATCACTCCCCCACCATGCATCCGTCTCATTGTACGCGATGCGCAAACCGATAAGGAAATCGATATCAAGTATGTCCAGCCAGCGACTCTATTCCTCTCAGCTTTCTAACCATCTCTTCCTCTCTAGTGAGATCGATACCTCATTCTACGTGCTCACCGTCGACCTGTGGAATGCCGACGGTACCAGCGAAGTCAACCTCGTCAAGCATTCCGCCACCTCCCCCTCCATCTCTACCGCGATGTCCTCCTCATACCCTCCCCCGCCTCAGAGCGTCTCTCCGACCTACCCGGGCTACAACCAGAATCAGTACCCCGTTGGGTACCCTCCGCAGATGAACAACTACTACGGTGGTCAGCAGGTGGCATACCAAAACCAATACGGCCAACCAGTGACGTACCCACAATACTACTCCGGTGGTCAAATGCCAGCGTCTATGTCGCCCGCTGCGCAACCTGTCACTGGTGGACCCGGTGGCATGTTCACTCGCAATCTCATCGGAAGTCTCAGCGCCAGTGCTTTCCGGTTGACAGACCCAGACAACAAAATTGGTGTGTGGTTTATCCTGCAAGATCTGAGTGTACGGACAGAGGGCACTTTCCGGTAAGTTCAATCGGACGATAGGAATCACTCGAGATAATCGCTAATGGGAATCCAGTTTGAAAATGAGCTTCGTTGACGTGGGCACGTCTACCGAAACCTCCAACGGCGCCCCGGTCATCAATCACGGAACCGCACCAGTTCTGGCCTCGGTTTTCTCGGAACCCTTCCAGGTCTTCTCCGCCAAAAAGTTCCCCGGTGTTATTGAGAGCACCCAGCTCAGCAAGTGCTTTGCGCTACAGGGTATCAAGATCCCCATTCGCAAGGACGGAGTAAAGGGCCCGCGCCGAGGCGGAGATGGAGACGACGATGATGAAGGCGACTATTAAAAGAGCAATTCTTTGATCCATAGTGCATTACCCGATACGCGGGCGGGGCACTTGGCTCAGCGTATTGTCTCATCTTTCCTGATCTTTGTTTTCTTTTTCCCTTGCTATGAATCAAGACGTGAGGAAAAATGGCGGCGCGTGGCTTATGGTGTTCTGGGCAAAACTCGGGCTTGCGGGTTTCAATATTGCTACACGGACCGGTGCTGGAGGGGTTTCTGTCTGGTTTTTGTTTCATGGCTTCTCTTCTGTGTTTTCCCTTATCCTTTTGTTGGCCTCTGGCTGTGTCTATTCATATCCTCCGCGGTTGATTGCCCGCACGTACATACACTTTTCTTTCGGCGAATCGAGGTCCGGTTTGAATTGCTGAGTGCCGAGGCTGATCGCCCGGCATAGAAAAAGTCGTTTGATATCCAAATCCACTGTTGCTGAGTTATCTATCCGGATATTGTGCTCTCAGTAAATGTACTCGCTGTGATATCCACAGGTGTCGAGTGGGTCCTGTAGATCGTAGCTTTGTCTCAGATGGCTTTGTATGAGAGCATGGTGTATTCCATGTCCAATAGACAATATGCAATATAGTCGTAGTCGGAAATACCTTGGCCATTTAAGTCTCACAATGCTCCACTTATTCAAGGTACACACTATGTCCATTTCTCTGCTAATATTAGAAATATCTACTAGCCAACCAGTATTGCAATATCGGGACCTACCATATCTCCCATGCCAGACCATCCATTCGACCAAATGCCCAAAAATAGCACCAATATCCAACCCAAACATCATCCTAACCTTCCATCTTCCAGTTCTAGAAAGCAGCCAGGAAGCCACTAATCCCTACACAGCACATGACCCATAAAGGATAGTACATACCATCCCACACCCAGCGTAGTACAACAAACCTCAACAAATCCCAACCATCATCATACCCTCGCCACACAAACCAGCTCACAGACGTCACACCGTCCCTGACAGAAATCCGAAAACACCGGACCTGACCCTGACAGAAACCCGACAACACCGGGTTGTCCAACACGAATCTCCCAACTCATGGCCCAACATGAACTTCAACGAACTCCCCACGTCGGACAATGTACAACACCCGTGGAACGGACTGACCTCACCTCTCTGCCTGGTTCCAATCGCCCAGGCGCGCCAGGAAATCTTTGGATGATCTTTCAGCAGGAACCGGCCTGGATAATCACCCAACAGGCTCTGCCATCCTCGCCACATCCTGAACCAGGGCAGCACCGTCTTCTAGACGGAAACTTCGCCAGTGCGGTAGGGTGGTATTTCCCTCTGCATTACCGATATGGGTATTTGTAAGGCATAACAGTAGACGAGGTCGATTTTTTCCGGGTATGCGTGCTGCTGCATCGCCTGCAGGACATTATTATTCCGTCGCAGCTGGAAACCCCGACGCAGTCGCAAAACTGGACTTCTTCGGCGTCTTCGGCATAGCCAGGTTAGCCGGCACCGGGCGTGGCATGCATGTCGTGAGACATTGCATGTTGCTGCATGTTCGCCGGTTTAGATAGAGCGTCAGTGGCGTTGTTTCCTCGGAAACGACGTTTCCTGATGAAATTTTTGGGTAATGGATGCGTTCATGTCTCGGGCCGTTGGTGGGTCGGTGTTTTCTGGGGAAAGTAGGAGGCGAGGTGTTATGGGGGCGTGGGGGGGTTGGTATGTTGTAGAGTGGAAGTCCTACCTACGCCGTATGTTAAGAGGGTTTTGAGTAACGAAATAACGTATAACGTACTCCGTCGATGTCATTTGGATGGAATAAAGTGGATACTTGCGGGTTAAGCCGACTGTTACCAAGATCTTTGGAGCATTAGAGACGTGATGTGGTTGATGTTCCAATTATAAAACTGAGACAAGCGCAGAGATCTTCATCCGAACCCCCCGAATCCTCCAAGGTCGACGGATATACCAATCCACTTCTAATCACCTTCAATCCACTATGTTATGTATGTATCAGCCACTCGGATTAGCGTAGAGGCCTTTCCCTCATCTTGGCAGACGAACGGTTCTCCATGTCTCACATCTCTTCCTCTAAGCGACGAAAACTAACATCCTCGGTAGTAACCCAACCTCACACCGTTGCATAAACGATGCAGAAAGTAATTAGATTCGGAATATTGAGTGTATAGAGTACAATGCTGTCTCAAACTCGCCCCATCCACCATTCACCATCCAATGAGACCCTCGCCACCTCAGCCATCGTAGCGGCCAAATCCGTCCATGACGGTCCCTTTGATGTTTTGGTCCATTCTTCTCGGAACATGTGCAGCTTCTATTTATATTGTTCTCCTGATCGGTCTATATAAAGAGGTCCAGCAACCGCCCTGTCTTGGTCCCATTCAAACCAAACATCTCTATTCAACTTCACAAAAAATACCTTCAACCCTCAACACCACCCAAAATCCACAATGAAGTTCACACTCACCTCCCTCGCCCTCCCCCTCCTCGCCGCCTCGGCGCCAGTTAGCGAGCCAGCCCCAAACCCAGCCTTCAGCGTCATGGCCATCCGCTCCGCCTCGCCCATCCACTACCTGCAGCTGAACGCCGCCGGCCAGAAGTTCTACCTCGGCGGAAACACCGCCTCCTACTGCCCAACCCAGGTCAAGAACTGCCCACCAGGCAACCAAACCGTCTTCGCTCCTGGCGGCAGCTCTCTGGTAAGTCACGATTCACACTATACACCATTCCCATCCTACAATTTACCTACGAAGTACAACCCCTAACAATCAACAGGACACAATGGTCCCCGGCGGCCAGCAGGTCTACATCGACCCTACTGGTGCCCTCAGCTTCACCCAGGCCCACTCCGCCAATATCCCGCAGGGTTCCTCACTCGGCCCGTTCCACTACGCCGCCGATGAACCCTGGGCTCACTACTCCTTCGCTGGTTGGGGCGCTAGTGGTTTCATGGCTTGTCCCGCGGATGATAACCGCTGGCAGGTGTTTGCCGCTATTCAAAATGCTACTGTGCCCCAGGGTAATGTTGATGAGTGTCTCGGTTTCTCTGCTGTCGCTTTGGATTACACTGGAGATGTTCCTGCCTGGCAGTATATCTAGATTAATGTGATTGATGACCTGATGGCTTTCTGGTCGATGTTGTTTTTCTAGCTTTTCATTTTGAATATATCATAATTACGCTCCTTAATATCTGGATCCAAGTTCTTTCAATGTTGGATTTAATACAGTGATAATCTGTCTCATGACTTTTCAATGTCCTGGTTGTATGAATTGTACGAACCGTAGATACCTGGCTGTACCTCGACCTGCGGTACCGGGCCGAGAAGCTTCAAGAACACCGGTGTGGTCAAAGTCTACAGTCAGACTCGAAGTAGGTTGAAGTTAGATTCTGTCGGTGGCTGCAGGGGTTGTGGAAGAAGGGTAACACCTGTCTCACTCTACGCTATCTAAAATAATACAAAGGAGACATCATAAAATAATAGGAAAAGTATATCTAGTAGATGTATTCCGTGGGACCGCCAATGGCTATGGAGTATTCGTGCGCACAAATACTCAGCCATGACTTTATTCAAGAGCTCGCACGAGAACTGGGGTTTGATCAGGGTGCGTACCGGCATACGGCAGACCTCAACAATGGTAATGATGTTGACATCTCCGTGGATATAAGCACCAAGTGCCGGCACCCTCCGCCTACGCTGTCTCATGGGCCCTACCGGTGAGACATTGTGGTCGAGAGGGTTGGGGAGAAGAAGAAGAGAAGAGGAAGAAAGGTGGGAGGGGTCCTTTTATATCTCCAACAACACGCGCGCCTTCCCAAAATCAACAACACACGTACACACGCAACTTCCCAAAACAGACACGAGACTTGCTCTGCCCTACACACGTGCAAGGCTATTCAGGCAGTCAGCTATATTTTGTCTGTATAGTACCTAGCAACTTCCCAAAACAGACACGAGACTTGCTCTTGCCCTACACACGTGCAAGGCTATTCAGGCAGTCAGCTATATTTTGTCTGTATAGTACCTAGCTAGAGCTCTACGGTGAGACACTGCTGTCAATACGCAGAAATGATATTCGTGAAGTGCGACTAAGTAACATAAAGGGCGTCATATGGTATCCTATGCCCCAGGCAGTAGACAGGTCATCAATCAATCCACACACTTAAACCACCATCTAACTTCCATGCATCTATATGCAAGATCTAGTCCGAAACGGGAACACCTCTCGGAGTCCCTGTGATTCGCTTGTTTATCCAGGCCACTGAAGTGGCATGCAGTAAGGCAGCCTTGCGGGTCTCTGCCACTGAATAGATAAGCCTATCGGCTTATAATGTGGATCAAACCCACGGGGGGTTGACTTGGGGTTGAGACACCCATAATTCCCCCTAGAGAGCATATACAAGGTGCTACTGCCAACATCCGCGCGTTGGACATTGTGCTCGTCTTGGATGCATGCAACACCAGACGGCAAAGACCTATACCAGACTACCTGTCTGTCAAGAACATATTTTGAGCAAGTTGATGTCAAGTGCGACTGGATCTAGTTCCGCCAGATCTTAATCGCCTTGTCCTTGCCTCCACTGCCGATCTTTTGTCCATCGGGACTCCAATCAACGGCAAACACCTCGTCCTTGTGTCCTGGAAGGTCCATCTTGAGCTTGCCGGTGCGCAGGTCCCAGATCTTGAGAGTAGTGTCCTTAGACGAGGATACCAGCATACGCGAGTCTGCCGAGAAACAGCACTGGTAGACTGCGCCCACGTGGCCGCGGAAGGTGGTGATGAACCTGGAGCGATGTTAGCTACAAATCACAATAATCAAAGACGACAAACACTCACTTTCCATCACGGCCGTTCCACAGCTTGACGTGGTTGTCGAATCCAGCTGAGGCGATATAGGCCATGTCGGGAGAGAACGTGACATGGTTCACCTCCTTTTGGTGGCCCAGCATCCGTGCGACGGGCTTGCTCGAAGTGGACGGCTCCCACAGATACATTGTGAAATCGTCACTGGCCGATACTAACCGCTCAACGATGTTGTTGTTCACCGTCGCCGCCTCCTCGAACTTCTTGCGCGCAGCGGCAACCTTCTCAGCCTCGGTCGCAGGGACCTTGCCAGTGTGGTCGTGGTAAGAGGTGCGAAGAGCAAAGTCTGTTGATAGCGCAAGGTGATTGACACGGTGCGCATGCGCCGCCAGGGTCTGGAGCAGGGTGCCGTCTTTCGGGTTCCAGATCTTAATGGTCTTGTCGTGGGATGCAGTATAGATCTTGCCAGTACCACCCCATTTCACACAAGTAACCGACGACTTGTGACCGGTGAGCACATGATCAGTTACTCTCGAGACAACGTCCCACACGCGCACCGTCGAGTCCTTGGAGGCGGACGCCAGACGCGGCCGCCCGGACTCCTGCACGTGGTATGGCTCCCAGGCCAGATTCGTGATCCACTTTGAGTGGCCCTTGAGCCCCGTGCCTAGCGCTGTGCCCTGCTTTGCATCCCAGAATCTCACGGTGTTGTCCATGCTGCCGGTCGCGATCATGGCGCCGTTTGGTGAGTATGCGACTGCCAGCACCCAGCTAGTGTGACCCTTGAGCGTATGCTTCGGGGTTCCAGTGTCACAGTCCCAAACACGGGCAGTTGAGTCTCCGCTTCCGGAGACCATGGTGGAGGATGAGACTGGGGAGAAGGATGTTGCTAGAATTGCTTCGCCGTGGCCCGCGATGGAGGCCGCGCATCGTGAAACGGCTTTCACTCGGAAAACCGCCTGCGGTGTGTAGAAGAGCGATACCGTATCTTCAGTGGTCTTGATCCCGGGCTGGAGTAGGGAGTGGTACACATCACGGAGAATGTCGATCGTTTGTTCCTCTTTTTCAGAATGGTAGGCAAATCGGTATGGTACTCGCCCATCATCCTCCTGGAAAGAAATCGCCGTCAATACAACACTCAATTCTCAAGTAGTCACGAGTCTCAGATCTTACATTTCCTTGTAATGTGTTTAGCAGAGTCTCAAGGTTTTTCACATTGGCATCGGCGACTGGGACGGAGACCGCAGGCCCGGTGGGCTGCCCCGTTGCCTGGTCGAAGAATTGAACTCGAACACTACCCAAATCGGACGGGATACTCTCAATTTCCTGCTGCTCACGAGCCTTATCAGCCTGAACGAGCTTTTGGCGCTTGCTAGGGGAGGATAGAGGGTCGCCATGGTTATTGATTTTGAGGTCGATGGGGGAAGAAGAGAAATTTTGACAAGCAAAAATATCCCGACGCTTATCTTATCGGCCCTATCGATTCATCCATCTACACCACCTCGGTCATGAGAGTTGGGCTTAACAATGTCGGTTTATTCGTTGAATTCATTGAATTCACTGGATTCTTTTTCACCATCGGTCTCCAGGGGTACAAGTAGACGTCCAACAGCAAGACCAACCACAACAGCCACCAGTGTTGCAGCGCAGGACATCATCTGCGCCGTCAGTGAATCGCGAGGCGTCTCATCCACCGTTGGCCTCGCATTTGTCAACCTTGCAACAGCTGAAGCAGTGCTCTGTCAGATATGTGACAGCCAGACTTATGTCAAGACAATCATCAAGATTGGTGTTTTTGAACCCAGCGAAATTCTGTTCATGAACACTGCCAAAGAGTCGAAGCTCCGTTATATCATTCAAGAAAATCTGCCAGATCCTATCTTCACCTTCCTGGACCGCAGATGGTGGTCTGAAAAGACAGGTCACGAGTATGTGGATCGGCTGGCTTTTCCAGAGGAAGTCGACTCGCTCAAGGTAACTCTGGGCGGGAACTATTTCGCCGCGTGTTGCTTCGCTGCAGTATGAACACCATTCATGTTGCCAAAAATAACTGCTCACACAGGAATTAGGTTCTCAAGTATGTTGAGGTCGAACTCCAGCGGTCTTTTACCACGCACTCTCTTCGGATACGCTTCGAACCGTCCCAGGGGTCCATGACAATTGACTTGGCGACTATTGTATCCCTCGAACTTATCCAGAATCTGCAAAATGCGAAGTCTAAAGAAAGTTTGTTTGGCCTATTGAACGAGACATTGACGCCTATGGGAGCCAGACTACTCCGAGCTAGCATCTTGCAGCCTTCAACAGAACGAGTCAAGTTGACAGCCAGATACGATGCTGTGGAAGATCTGGCCACCAAAGAGGATATGTTTGTCTCTGTGAGGCAGGCTCTCAAGGGTTTTATTGATGCAGATAAAGTGTTAACTGCGGTAGAGTCTCCAAGGCTAGCCAGTATTGAAGGCTCGTGCTAACGGATTATCAAGATCGTCTTGGTCCCCACCAAGCGAACAATTCAATATGTCGAGCAGTCCGTTAACAATGTCATCATGCTGAAGGCTTATGTGTCTGCGATCAAAAACATCTTCCAAGCGCTTGGAGCAGCACAAAGCGATTTGCTGCTTACCATACGCGAAGTAGACTCTACATCCCTTTGGTGTTTACCCAAACTAATGCACTTTAGTTATGCGCCCCTGAGGGGCATCGTTCAATTGAGGAGCTGATTGACGCAACTTTGAATGAGCATGTAGCCTACCAGTCAAAGCCGCTTGATCTGAGGAACCAGCGCATTTACTGTGTCAAGGTCAGGAGTCGTGTACTTCTGCACTGGCTACAGATTGCTAACATGAATTAGGCCGGCGTCAACAGTCTATTGGATGTTGCGAGGCAGACCTACAAAGAGGCAAATGCAGACGCCTTGGAACTGATTGAAAAATTATCAGGCATGTCTGAAATCATGGCAGTTCATGAATGATACTGACCTATCTCAGAGAGTTGCGATATGGTCTTGGACTTGAAGTATGACACAGCTCGGCAATACTACATCTGTATACCTGCTACAGAATCAGGTCCACTTCCCGACATTTTCATCAATGTTTACCGCAAGCGAAACCGCATTGAGTGCCAGACATTGGATTTGGTCAAGCTCAATCAAAAGATCACAGATGCCCACAGCGAGGTGATCAATATGAGCGACCAGACAATCCAGGGCCTGCTCCGAGACGTGTGCACTGAAGTATCCGGGCTCTTTCGTGTCAGTGAAGCGATCGCAATGCTAGACATGCTCGCAGCATTCGCTCAGCTGGCAACGAACAATGAGTACATCAGACCAGAGCTGACCGACACTCTCGCCATCAAGGCGGGACGTCATCCGATTCGAGAACAGATTCATAGCAGCAAGTTCATCCCAAACGACGCATATGCAACACCGCAAACAAGGTTCCAGATCATCACAGGCTGCAACATGAGCGGCAAATCGACCTACATCCGCTCACTAGCCCTGATTACAGTCATGGCGCAGATAGGCTGCTTTGTCCCAGCTCAGTATGCCTCCTTCCCTATCTCCCACCAGCTCTTCGCCCGCGTCGCGACGTCAGATGATCTAGACGCCAACGTTTCGACCTTCGCAGCAGAAATGCGGGAGATGGCATTCATCCTTCGTAACATCCAGCCACGCAGTATGGTCATCATTGACGAGCTAGGTCGCGGCACTAGCACAACCGACGGCCTTGCTATTGCCGTCGCGCTAGCAGAAGCACTAATCTCCAGTAATGCCCTCGTCTGGTTTGTCACGCACTTCCACGACCTGGCGCAGATTCTCGCCGAGCGCAGCGGTGTGATCAATCTCCACTTAGCAGCAGACATCGCTCCCGACGCATCCAAGATGACCATGCAGTACCGCATTGCAGAAGGTCCTGTTCCAGATCGTCGGTATGGGCTCGTCCTCGCAAAGCTCGCTGATCTTCCACCTGCTGTCTTGGATAAAGCGCGCTCCGTCTCAGAGGCAATGGACCAGCTGGCTAAGCATAGGAACAGCCCATCGCGTGCTGTCGCTATTGCCCAGAAGCGGAAGTTGCTTTTGTCTCTGCGTGAACAGTTGTTCCTTGCCCGTGACGGCACGATGGATAACGCTAGTCTTCGGGCTTTGTTGATTAAACTGCAGGATGACTTTGTGCTGCGCATGGCTGCTATCAACAGAGAAATGGCACTGTACCCCGATGATGAAAGTGAGACAAAGGCTCCTACTGAACCTGTTTCCAACTTGTCGGTTCATACACCTGAAACCCAAGCGTTGGGTTCAAGTGAGAGTACCGAGGGAATGGACAACACACGGGTGCCTGAGCCTATTCTGATCGAATCCGATTTGGATTCTGCATCCGAGAATATCTCTGACAACGATAGTGTGGTGTTGATCTGATGGGCTTGAAGTTGATTATGATGGTAAGTGAACTGGCCTTTGTATCCCTCTATTCCTGTATATCATATTTATGTACTTGTATGGCGACGGTCAACGGTTTCTCAAGGCCACATCATTCCTCAATATGACATCAAACACAAAAATAACACGGATTACCTCCATACAATACATTGTATCTGCATTCGCTAGTAGGTACAGCAAAAAAATAACAAGAAATTTACCCCAACACATGATATACCTTTTAATGGCGCTCCCGGTCATGCTGTCAATCAAACATAGGCCAAAGCAATACCCAATCAACATAAGAAACGTAAATCTATCAAGATGTGACAGTGAATCAGCCAAAGTGGAACAAGGTTTGCTTTCCCTTATTCTTCTTTCCTTTCTTGCCATTACTTGAGTCATCATTGGCGGGTTCAGCTGGAGAGGCGGTTCCACTACTCGGGGCTGAGCTCCATGCGTTGGGCGCAGGGCCGCGGTTATCGTTCCAACGGACGGTGCCACGCGTCTTGCCAGCCATGAGGACATTGGGCTTGGGTGCTGCAGGGAGCGCTGGGAATGAATCAGCGCCGCTGGAGGCTGGGGCGGCGGGAGAACGACTGGAAGATGGTGCTGCAGATGATGGGCGGCTGACCGGGCTAGGCATTGCGGGACGTGAGAAAGATGTCGGCGGGGCTGCTGCTGCCCAAGGGGTAGCAGCAGGAGCTTTTCCGCGGCGAGAGGAGGGACCAGCTGCGGCAGAGAGGGGAGGGAAGGGGTTGGAGGGGGCGGCTGGGAGGGCGCCGCTTCTGCCCACGGCGGAGCGGGAGGATTTAGCAGTTGATGATTTCAAACGCAGGACGCGGTTGCCGCCAGTGTTGACACCTGTTGACATGCCAGGTAAGAGACCACCGGCTGGAAGGGCTGGGTAATCCTCGTTGATGGCACGCCAGTCATTCCAGGCTTGCAGGAGACCGGAGCGTTTGGACTCGTCCTCGTAGATATCAGCGAGCTCCTTGATGAGCTTGCCCAGCTCGGTGCTGGATGTGTCAAATAACGAGAAGAAGGCATCGATGAGCTCAGTTGCCGAGATGGAAGAAATGCGGTAGCTTGATACTCTACTACGGAATTCGGCGAGTCTGGTGGCATCGTTGCGGAGGAGGTTCGAAGCACGTTCAATCACGGCCTCATGGCGCATTCGGCGGGCCTGGTCTTGTGGGGTGGCTGGCACGGAGTTGGCAGAAATGTTCATGCCTTCAAATGCTGCGGTAGGAAGAGGCTGAGAGCGTGGTGCGGGGGCAGATTGCACAGGAGTGGCAGCAGCGGATCGCTCTGGAGCGCGCACGGGTTGGACGTCATCTCGAGTCAGCTGGCCGCCAAAGTTTCGCGTCGAGACAGACTGAGAACTCTGTATAGCCATCTGTCGCTGGTATGCAACTTCCGCACGGGTCATTGGCTGTGCACTGGATACTGGTAGAGGCTCGGCGTTGGGGTCACGGCCTCGACCGGCACCGCGACGCTGTCGTTGCTGCTGGTAAGGAGTGCGCATATTATCGAATTCGGCCAGATCAACCAATCTCGCGTCTCGGCGAATGTCTTTAGAAAGGCCTTCAGGGTGTGCCTCGATTTGGTGAGCCTTCAAGTCCATTTGCGACTCAAAAACGACGAACTTTTTTTTCCAAGCACTCTTTATCCAGACAAGCGAAATGATCTTTATGGAAGTGGTTCTCCAATGCGTTGTAGTCAATATAGTATTGTTGTTGACGGTGGGAGGAGCGTCGGTCACAGATGTGGCACCGTTCGTGTTTATCGCGGCAGTGGGCGTACAGCTCATCGTCACCATAGAACCGTTGGCGACAGAAACCACATTCGGGGTGCCCCTTGAAGCCACTTTGGTCTATAGCTCCAGGCTTGTCATCTCCGGACCGTTCGTGCTTACGCAATTCCGCCATGGTAAATAGTTCATGCTCATGGGTAAAGACCTTCTTGTTACGAGTACAAAGGTCACTATTCGGACGGTACAGTCAGTTTCCCGTTCAATAATTGCGTAGGGTATGATATCGACATACCACATAACTTTGCTGTGCTTGCTCTTTACATGGCGATGCAAGTCTGGCCACCCCAAACATGCCACATCGCAGTCCTCATCCGGACAGTTGTATCGCAGCAACAGCACTGTGTCTCCGAAGATCTCATCGCTTTCATATTCGATTCCAAGGTTTTCGTCCGTCCGAGCAAAGTCCTTCTTGTTGAACTCCTCATATCGCCGTGCTGGATCATCTGTGAAAATGACGTAGTTCGATTCAGTCTTATACAAGTCAGCCTGTGAAACAAAATTCTAATGAAAAGCACCTCAGCTCGTCGAGGAACAGTCGCAAGATGACCATACCCTGCAATGAGCACAAGCCTTGTTCTTGTACAGTGCCCGCAACCGAAGCGCACAAATGTGACACGTCCTATGGTTACAGGGGAGACCGAGGTATGTTCAACGGCAGAAGCGCAGATAAAGCAGACTTCTCCATCATCTGCATCGTCGGTGGCCGCTTCTACCGGTTTCGTTGTTGCTGGCGTGGCTTTCGAAGGCTGGGTATCGAGTTTGTTGGTCTGATCGGTATTGCGAGTTTGTCGGCCTACATCGCCAGCGCCGGCGCCACGACCGCCGCCGCGTGTGCGAGGCCTAGGACGTTTTTCTCCGTCACCGGTATTGTGTTGCGAATCTGCACGGCCGGAGGCAGCTGCCCCTCCGCGGCCGCGACGACGCCCGCCGCGACCCTGGCTAGAAGAGACTGGGTTTGAGGCCTGGTTGTCGGCCATTGCGGAGACGGAAAGGAATGTCACGATACAAGCTGCGGCTTGGCGTCAATATAGGGTGTGCTGAGGCTGTAGAGTCCTAGGGTTTGTGGATTGTGGTGGGGGAGTGGTTCTGGGGAAAAAGTGAGATGCCGCTGACTGATCCCGCATGCCGCATTAGATGAGGATATGAGGTCTTCAACCGATTACTCGCCTTGTCTCTTTGATTACGCGAAAAAGAAGCTGCGCTGAGTGACTGGGTAACCCATAGATTATCTATTCAAAGAGTAGTGCTGTGTTTGCCCATTGCCTTATACAAACACCGCCCCTGTGAGCACACATATTGGGCAAATTCATAGGCTTGTTAGCGCCGGCCTGAATTATCAAGCCAAAATCGGATGAGCTGAGAGCGAATAAAAGACTTTTTGATGCATGCTGATGGAAATGCCACTGGCCACAGTCATCTATAGACCATAGGAGGTCTAACAAAGGAGCATCAGGAGCTGTGCAGCGAGCAAACGCCGAGGTCCATGATGTCCAATGATATAATCCAACCAGGAGCCCATATTGTAAGGCTGTAATCTACTGTCCACGTGGAAAGGATCTGCACATATGTATATCATGTAGGTACTAGATTCGAGGACCTTTGAGAATCACCAATGGAGGGCTACACTAACTCCCGCTGGAGAGCATAAGCAAGTCAAGTCAAAAACAAATAAGAATGGCGAGCGGAAATTGCTCAAGTTCACGCCAGCATCCCCATGCATCGCAAAAAGAGGAAATAACAAATAAAAAGAACCATGAAAGACGAAGGAGAATCGTTAAGAAACAGGGCTTGGTTTGGAGCCTGCTCTTCCATAATGATCAAAGCAAATCTGTCACCCCCGAACTATTCATCGGGACTATACAAATTCTGATTGAGAATTTTAGTCATGGTGAACATGTGAACTCGATCTTGCTTGAAGACAGCCCGCATAGCATCGTCGCACAGGATTTGGCGGCGATCACTGGGGTCCTGAAGTTCGTTCTCGCGAATGTATTGCCAAACCTTTTTGACAGTTTGGGGTCGTGAAAGCTGTGTGGAATTTAGCAAAGGCCCAATGACCAAGAATCGGGGAAGGTTCTCACGGTGTGTTCTCCCAGAAGTGCAGACAGAGGTTCAGAAAGGTTCATAGGTTTCTATGGTCGTGTTAAAATTGCTGGGAGATTTTGGGAGGATGATATAGAAAAACATACGTGGAAACCTGTATTTCGGTTGACCTCCTTCTTGGGCTCTTCGCCTGAGTCAACATCTGAATCATCTTCTGCCTTGACCCTCTTCGAGGTCTTGGCTTTGCTCTTCTTCTTCACGGGAGCTGCACGCCGGGTGTTGCCCCCACGGGTAGGTCGCGCGCGCGAATTCTCTTCAGCTTGCAGCTTGGCCGCGAACGCCGCATCCGCGTCGGTATCAGTATCGGGCTTGTGTTTTTTGGCGGGAGGCGATGCGCTCGCAGGCTCGGAAGTGGCATCGCTGGAGGCCTGGCGCTTCACTGGAGATGTGGAGGGGGGCGGGGAGGGCACAGCTGATGCTGAATCACCATCGCGCTGATCATTGCTTGGGGCAGTTTCATCGGGCGATCCGCCCACGCCGTTTTGTTCGGCGTAGCGATCAAACCGCTCCATAATCAGCTGCTTGATGGTAGACTTTGCGAACATCAGCCACAGTACATCGCTAGTCATCCTGGATAGCTTCAAATAATAATGCGCCATCATTCGACGTAACTTGACTGACCTTCATCGGGGTGAGATCATAGCCTACAGCATCCTGGAGACCCTTGCGAATTCGCTTCTCGGAGATGGTAGTGAGGTCGCTTTTGGCCAGAATGTCGTCAATAATGTCGATATATTTTTTGCGCACGTCAGAAGTCACTATTGCGCAAGATCACCGATTAGTTGGGAGGCTTTTTGGAGAACGGTAAATTGGCACTGGGGCAACACCGAGGTAGCTTACACGACATCTTGTTACTAGTAGATCACGTAGATTGGCTGCTTATGTTGAGACGTATGAGCTGAGTCGAGCTTTGCAGTTCGCGATTGAGGATATCGCGGTGTTTGTAGAGGAGTATGGTGGTCGAGCGAGAGCTCGGAGTTGTCAGGTGGGCTATACTCAAGTCGCACTGGCGCTTAGGACCGGCGGGGCATTGAAGATAGAGAAAGGCCAGGCGAAATAAATGCAGAAACGGGGGGTTATGAATGAAATAATAGACAAAGACTTGGTGTGGTAAAGAGCTCGGTGCAAGATATGCAGTCTAAAAGAAATGTGTATCCAAATTGAAGAGCCTCTAGAAACGTCTGAGATGATTGACGGGCCCGACCTCAAGCTGGGGAAATCCTGACTAAGCATGTGCAGCTCAGTCACGTGTAGTTATACACCTGAGGCGTTAATCGATAGTGCTGACTCAGTGCTGAGTCAGTCCACACAAAGAACCCGCTTGGCCGCCGCGATTTGTTTCTGCCCGAAAATCCATCAGCGGATTGCACCGATCTATCTTTGCTCCGAAGCCTCTAGACGCCTTCGGTATACCCATCATGGCGCCCAGTTTCGACACCCTGTCTGAGCAGGATCTGCACGAGGAAGAGGAGGAGGAGATTGATTTCTCCGGTGAGTGCAAGATTTCTCGTGATCTGTGTGCCCCTCTCTCTAACACGTTAGTCCACAGATCTCAAGGAGCAATATGAAGTGAAGGTTGAGGAGGGACTGGATACATTTATCGTCATCGATGGCCTCCCCGTTGTGCCCGAAGATAGCCGACAAAAACTCGTCAAGTTCTTATTGAGAAAACTCAACTCCGTCGGCAGCACCTCCGAAGATGCGGTTTTCATGCCCGTTAACGACAAGAAGATGACCGAAGGGTGCGTATTGGATATCCAATGAGATGTGGAGGAATGTTGGATGATCTCTAACTTTAATTGGGGGATATAGGTTCGCCTTTGTGGAATATGAAACCCCGGAAATGGCAGTTGCCGCCGTCAAGCAGTTGCACGGCGTCCCTCTCGATAAGAAGCACATTATGGCTGTCAACAAGTTGATGGATATCGAGCGTTATGGTCGCGAAGGTCGGGTCGAGGAAGAATACAAGGCAATCACCCCGGAACCGTTCAAGGAGAAGGAGCACCTGCGCTCGTGGATGGGAGATGCCAACGCCCGTGATCAATTCGCCCTTTACCGCAACGACAAGGTCGGTGTGTTCTGGAACAACAAGACAAACCCACCTGAGAATGTCGTGGATCGCGCTCACTGGACACAACTGTTCGTTCAATGGTCCCCCAAGGGTACATTCCTTGCCTCCGTCCACCCCCAGGGTGTTCAGCTCTGGGGCGGCGAGTCCTTCTCCAAGCAAAAGCAGTTCCCTCACCCCTTCGTGCAGTTGATCGAGTTCTCCCCGCTTGAGGGTTACTTGACAACTTGGTCAGCACGACCCATCCAGGTCGAGGAAGGCCAACCCATATTGACTTACGAGGAGGACGGTAAGAACATTATTGTCTGGGATATTGAGACTGGCAAGCCTCTCCGTTCGTTCGTGTCGCACGACTTGGCTGCCCCTACCGAGATCGAGGGCGAGGTTGCACCTAAGAAGAAGGTGCAGTGGCCTGCCTTCAAGTGGTCCGCGGACGAGAAGTACGTTGCTCGCATGCTCCAGGGCCAATCCCTCTCTATCTACGAACTTCCCAACATGAACCTTCTTGGTCGCACTTCGGTGAAGATTGAGGGTGCTATGGACTTCGAGTGGTCCCCTGCCACCGTCGCCCGCGAAGGTGTCAAGCAGTACGAGCAATTGCTCTGCTTCTGGACTCCTGAAATCGGCAGCAACCCTGCCCGTGTCGGTATGATGAGCGTGCCCTCAAAGGAGATTGTCCGAACCCGTAACCTGTTCAACGTTTCCGATGTCAAGCTGCACTGGCAATCACAGGGTGCCTACGTCTGCGTCAAGGTCGACCGTCACTCCAAGTCGAAGAAGTCCATGGCCACTAACTTGGAGATCTTCCGCGTTCGCGAGAAGGGTGTGCCCGTTGAGGTTGTTGACAGCCTCAAGGATACTGTGATTAACTTTGCCTGGGAGCCCAATGGATCCCGATTCGTCGTTATCGCCAACGGCGAGACACCAACTGGTGCCGCCGTCCTCCCTCAAGACTTCCGTCTCATTCTTCGCGCCTGAGAAGAAGGGCCACACTGCCGGTAACTTCAAGCTGGTGCGCACTATTGAGAAGAAGACCAGCAACGGCATCTACTGGTCGCCCAAGGGCCGATTCGTTGTTGTCGCGACGGTTCACTCCCAGACCAACTTCGATCTGGACTTCTGGGATATGGACTTCGAGGGCGAGAAGATCGAGGCTGAGAAGGATCTTGCAGCCAACCTCCAGCTGATGAAGACCGTCGAGCACTACGGTGTCACTGATGTTGACTGGGATTCCACCGGTCGTTACGTTGTCAGCAGCGCCAGTGTGTGGACTCACTCGGTAAGACTTAACCTAGTTCTATCTTTGATTATGATTCATGATATTGACCGCATTGTAGATGGAGAATGGCTGGAACATGCACACCTTCTCCGGTACTACCCTCTCCGAGAACCCCACCGAAAAGTTCAAGCAGTTCCTTTGGCGCCCACGTCCTGCCACTCTTCTCAGCAAGGAGGAGCAGAAGCAAGTTCGCAAGAACCTCCGCGAGTACTCAAAGGAGTTCGAGGAGGAAGACAAGTACGCTGTCGATATCGCCAACACCGCCGTTGTCGAGACCCGCAAGCGTGTACTCAGCGAGTGGCTCGCCTGGCTCCGTCGGGAGAAGGAGCTCTTGGCCGAAGAGAAGGAGGCTTTCACCCTCCCCGAGAACGCAGATACACCCGCGGCCGCCGGCGACGCGCGCCCGGTTGTCGAAGACCAGGGCGACTCCGTGGTCGAGGAGATTGTGGAGGAGATTATCGAGGAGACCGAGGAGGTCATTGGCTGATGAATCTGTCTGTTCTATTTTCGCAAATAATGTGTTTCCTTTTGTTCCTCTTTTCCCCCTGTTTCTCTGCTGGCGTTTCGCGCTTGTGCCTGAACCCAGCCTTCTGTCCCTTTGTGTTTCTTTTAGGTCCCCTGGGCAAGCCCAGTGAGGATCGGGACATTCCAAAAATCAATAGATCGAGCGGTACGCCTCCCGACCAAATGTGCAATGTGGATAAGCATGAGAGATGGCTACGAAACCAGTTCCTAGCAAAGTTCAACCTTGTATTTCCCTTATTTAAATCGTCTAAAGTAAGCCATCTCAAGTATAAAGCCCCCTTCCCACGCCCACAGTTCCCAATCCTACCAGCATTATCCCCAATGTCGAGTCCAACGCGAACCTCATAGCACCTCCCGTTGGCTGACTCTGACTCCCAACGGTAGTGGATGTCGCAGCATTCGGCGACGGCTCAGCCATAGACGTGGGAGAAGACTCAGAAGTTGTGGAAGAAGAAGAAGACTCGGTTGAAGACGAGGACGAGTCAACCGCAGACGCCTTCTTTGGCAAGACGTTCTTCCGGAAGTAGGAGTTATGCGAACCCACAACATTTCCAGGAGGTGTATACTCGCAAACAACATACCACCCCTGAGCCCGTGGCTCACTTCGCGTGGCCTTCAACCCTTCCAGCCCATCTCCTTCCGCTTCATCCCCGCTAGAACGAGGCGCCATCATCACTCCTTCGAAGACATCCTCTCCAAAGGCCTCCTCTTCGAAAACATCTTTTTGAACTTCGGCCCCGTCATCTCGTTTAGACTTGTCGTTCTTCGAATACCCACAGTTGAAAGCAGCACACCCAACCTGCGTAGTCGATTTCCAGACCAACTGAGTGAAATGCCCCGTCTCCTCGGTGAAGCCCGTCGGCTTGCCGAAATTATACATATTCCTTTCCTCACCCCAGGCAATGACAGCAGCAGAGACATTCCCGTATCCGTATGCGAGGTTCTCGCCGTAGCTACTTTTCTGCGGTGATATTAGCACTAATACCTCGTGGTATGGGGATAGCGATACACACCGAATGTTTCCAGATACAGGCTTCTGCCCACTCGCGCGAGTAATCGGCCAGCGTATCGTTCCATTCCAGCGGATTGGCGTCGTGATTGGCGCGGTACTCGTTCGTGACTTCCAACATATCGTTCTTGAACTCGTCGAGGGATGTGTAGGATGGATGTAGCGGCGCTGTTGGTGTTGGCGCGGGCAATTTTATCGTAGTCCAGACGGTTACTACGTCGGCGGCGTTTGCGTTGAGTATTTGCATGGTGAGGAGCATAAGGATGGCCAGCCATCGGGTGGTTTTGGTGTGATTGTTTCGAGTCATTTTGATGGATCGGTGTTCTTCTTTTTGACTTGAAGCTGTAAGCAGATGGTGGTCTTAGCTGTAGTTTGCTAATGCATGGCCTCAGATGTTTCTTTGCTTATGGGCGTTGGGTCAATAGTCGTAGCGCCTGGCTCCGATCCGGTTTAGGACGCGGTCCTAAACTGTGACGACGTCCCTTGGACAGAATGTCCGGTGATGCAATAGTCGTGTATTGTCTATTGTCTTAGGCAGCCGCGGCGTTTTATTGTGTGTATTGTGTTCTCATAGACGCCGACACAATGCAGGTATCTAGAAAGCCAGTCAGGATTATTCTTCTTCACGGGGCTCGAGAGACGTACTTTGTACTCAACTGAAAGATGAAGGTTCCTGGGTAACTAGAAATAAAATAAAAGTTCAAAGACATTTTGAAATTTTTAGAATGCAACCAGGCAAAACTGTTGGATTGGACAGTCACTTTCCTTCATGTCCGTTTCAGACGCTGCAGTCGTGTTCCAGCAGCCGCCGTTGACGTCAGACTCTTAGGGCTGGGTTGCATCGTATCCAATTCGATATTCGACGTTCGATATTTCATATTCAGATGTGGTTTTATCTTTAGATTTGTCTTTATTTTCTTTGTGCAGTTGGTCTAACGGGTTTCGTCTCATGTCGCTTGCTTTTGTCTTGCTGAAACTATGACTTGGGGACATGAACGTTCAATGTATTTGCCTCAAGGGGTCATATTCTTGGATCTAGAAGCTAGAAGCAAATATCTAGCATATATTTGTACATCAAGCGCTGTTTATATACTCAGTCCACCCTCCCTAGGAGAATATTCCGTGCCGACATGCACGTCCGCGTTGTAGGTCCCTACCTAGCTATACGCCACTCGCTATGCAATTCCCGGGGTATCGGTATCCATTTACATCACATTGCAACCAATTCCATACATAGCTCGTTCCACGTCCCGCTTGACGTGGTACCAGTCAGCCCGGCGCTCAGCAAATTCATAGACCTCCTCCACACGCCAGATCCCATGGAACCGATCTGCATCCGCGATGACTGTCGCCAGTTCCTTGGCGTGGCCAGGATCGATCAGATAAATCTGCACGAGCTCACGGAACGCCGTGAAATAGAGAAGGAGCTCATTGTTTCGCAGGGTTTGAATATACTTGAAATAGTGGTTCATGTCACTAGGAACTCTTGTCAGCTTGCCGTTTCGCGCGGCTGAAGACCGAGATACATACCTGATCAACTTCAGTGACCCCTCCACGCTGATGCGCTGTCGCTTGAGGTGTTTACACAGAGCCGTAAATAGCCGGAGCCCGACTTCTTGATTGAACACATCTAGGGTGCTCTTGTCTGTGCTCCCGACTAGCATCTGCGTGTGCGATGAGACCACGTCGACGACGGCGATGGCGACTTCGCTGACGCCTACGTCCATGGTCTGTCGGTGTGGATCTGAGGAAACGCCGGGGTTGAAATCGGTGGCTAGTTGTCGCGTTGCGAGAATATAGTCCACTTCTTCCATGAGAACGTCAATTCCTTTATTCAGGCCAGCTGCGACACGTTCATCGAGCATCTGTTCGAACTTTTTCTTTTCTTTATTGGCGGGGTCCACAAAATCGTTTCTATCAGTCAATCCCATGCCGATCAACTCCTGCTCATAGAATACATCCATCATTTGCAGAATCAAATCCCCGACATTGACCAGTTCCAAAAAGGTGACCAGGGGCTCGACCCCAGATTGGTCACGGTCTCCTTGTTCGCGGGGCCGGTAGTTGGATAGATGACTGACAGCCTTATCAAATCCAACAATAACGTGCTGGTGTCCCAATATACGTAGCAGGGCGACGAAGATTGCCTCGCATTGTTGCTTCGCGGCATGGCCATATTCGCCGCCAAGTCGCACAAATTGAGCGGCTCTTTCCAAGCTGGACTTGGCGGAATGAACTAGATCAAGTGCAATTTCGATGCTGAACAATGAGCGGATACCCTCCATCTTCGTCTTCATTATGGCCGCTTTTGCTGCCAGCTCTGTAGTTGGAACTTCCTCGACGGCCACAGGGGCAGGTGACGATAGTGTCGAAAATCGATTGGTATTTTTGGATGGTTGGAGCGGATTCGGACTGCTTGATTCCGTTTCTGATTTCGAATCCTCGTTTGATTTGGCACTTGAAAAGCTCGGTAGGATGTTTACCGGCATCATGATCACTTTCTTGAAAGAAGTAAGGAAGTCTCGTTTGTCGGCTTGGCGATTAACGTTTGACATCAAAAAAGACTCTGTCGAGGCCGCTTGTTCGGAGAGATGTCGGTCCCACTCATTCACGGTAGATTCACAGGCCTTCTTGAAAAAATCAAGCTCTTCTGCTAAATACAGATCGAGGTGTGGCTCGTAAATCTTGATCACGACATTATCAAGATACTCGTCGAATTTAGCATCAGAGCCTCGTATGGGAAGCAGAGCCTCCGAGAGATTCATGCATTGGACAAAAGTCGTCGAGATTGCAGTGAGATATGACTTGATGTTGGCGCGATGCAGCTCATCAAATATTGCCGTGAGGAAAGGATATAACACATCTTGGCCAACTTTCGACATAAAGGTTGATGAGACGTCCAAGGCCGGGGGAAAGACGCGGTTCATAATGGATATTTCATCGTTGAAGGCGACACTGAGACGCGTGAAAAAAGCCTGTGTTTGCTCCATTTTGACCTGGCCGGTCGATCCGTCAATGCAGGAAGGGACGCTTCCTAGGTCAGACTTCCGAGTCATCAGGTGATTGTGATGGATAAAGAGGTCCACGGCAGCTTGCCCACCGTTGAGTGTCCATAGAATGTGTGCGTATTTCCGCATGGTCCCGTCGATATCGTCGGCTTCATACCCCTGGCGGAACTCCTTCAGCGCAGCAGTCTCAAACATCGAGACTGTACGCTCTAAACGGTCCACCCGCTCGTCCCATCCTTGCGTCATATCAGACTTGGAGAACATTACCAACTGTGCCAGTATTTGCGCTTGGGCCAGCGGATCTTTGTATTTCGTGAAAACTAAGTTCTCAGACGATGGTCCAGATCGCGCGATATCCTCATAAAACGGTGCTAGTGCAGCATGTATCTTGCCGTATTCCTGACGCGCCTCGCCCCGGATTGACCTGACCTGTTTCAACACCGTCAGGACGGGTTCATCCAGGATATCCTGGAACATATCTGGCTGCGACGCCCTATTCACTAACTCAATCTTATCGAATCCGTCGGATATTCCTTTCAGGTCACTGGAAGGGTCATCGCCAACAGTGATCGCAGGGACTGGTCCATCGCCCAGCTCAGCCTCCTCTTGTTTCTCGACGGCTTCCATGTTGGCGACTGTCCCAAATACCACTTCGGCATGCTTTCTAGCATCCGCTTCGTCCCAGCACCCGATTCGTTTCAGCTTGTGTACCCATCGAGTGTCATCGTACGCCATCTCGTGCATAAGCTTGCAGGACCGTGCCGCTCGGATCAGATCAACGGGGCCGACGTAGTCGAGAATAGAGGATACGATCTCTGTTTACCCTTCCGTCAGCATGTATTTCCCTCGCCACTGTATGTCTTCACATTGCGTACCTGCCGGAAGAGCAGCTCTGGAGATGTCTTCCATTGATGCCATGCGCAGCGAGGCCAGCACATCTCTGCGTGGCCGAGCTGCGGCCGTAGGCCCTTTTTTGCACCTGGCATATTGTGTTCCTGGACTCTTCATCGGTAGAGCGAGCAGTCGTGGGGTGCTCGGGATTTGGGGCGGCCTCGGACTCTCTCCAAGCTGTCCCGCGGGGTTGTAGTGGTCCGGTCTCAATATCGAGCAGACACGGCGTCTTGGTGGTAGCTTTGGTATCAAATGCTCATGCAGACATATTCACATCTAACCACTTGTTCCTCAACTGCAAATCAAGAACCACATTCCAATGGCTGCACGATCACCACGCACGGACAGGGTCCAACGCCGCCGCCGCCTCCCCGGTTGGCAAAATGTACACCGCTCTCTCATATGCAGGAGTTTTGTACGATGTAGATGAATTAGTCTTTCTTCAATTGGAAGAAAATAAGTGGATCGAATGACATTTAAGTTCTAATGCTGTTGAAAGCTCAACCAGGGCGACTGGGTAAACATGAGGAGAGTGATTTACACAAATTGGAGATGTTGGAACAATTTGCCCAGGTGGTGGCTAAATATATACATCGGGAGTAGGGTCGAGACTTGACACAGAACATAACTTCTCAATCTCAACACCTTTTTCCTGGACCAATGGGAGCTTCCATAGTCACATAGATTAATGGGATTCTCCTGATATGATGCAATCTGCAATACAAGCTGATATAGGTAGCTAAACATCCATGGATAGCTGTAGTAATACTTAGCTATGTATGGAAGTATAGGGAATCTTGCGATACCCCGACGTTTGAGGAAGATAGTGAATAATGGGGAAAATATAGACTAGTTGAGATACGTAGCTAGCAATTAGCAACCTGGTTTGAAGATCTTCTAGCTATATTGGAATAGCACACACTGTTCCGGCGAGGCGTGTTTTTCTCGGTGAATCCCGGGACACGCACAACCGGAGCAAAAAAAAAGCGAGAACACAGGACCACAAGAAGAACAAGAAGCTATAGACAGAATAGAATGAATCATTATAATCAATTAGTCTATTTTATATAGATCAATTCCATTGTAAGTCCACAGAATTGTGATGTTCCGAGAGTCGGTTTTCTAGCGTGGCCGGGAGCCAATCAGAGCAAGGGGGTAATCATCAATGTCAAGTTTCTTCGACTTCGACCTCAACCTCCAGCACCTCTCTCCTGTACCATCCCCCCTCCTCTCCCCACCCACCCCCCTCTCGCTTTGGCGATACAGCACCCATTCCCGATCAAATTCAATTGCTTGGGTTAAACTTCGTCATGCTGGGACGTTCCATTTTGCGCGCGTCCAACCGGGCCGTCGCCCGCCAGTCCCTCGGGAAGTCCACGGTACGCCTTCACCCCATTGATCTTCACGGAAGAGGACAATCGACTCCTTGAGCCTGCATTGGATTAAAGAAGGGCTCCGTTGCTAATATTCAACAGCGTGCCTCTTCCACCGCCGCCGGCGCCGAGGCCGCCAGCTCCCCCTTCTACCTCACACTCACTGCTGCGCTTGCAACTGCCGCCGCCGCCGGTTCCACCGCATGGTACTACCACCTCTACGGCCAGGAGGCCTTCGCCATGACACCTGCTGAGGAGGGGTGAGTGAAATGTCCCAGGAAGATCGTCGGTTCTGGCTTCGACCCAGCCGAGCATTGTGCGACCCAGGTTGAGAACAATGGTGGAAGCTAACAGGTGATTTTCTCCAGACTCCACGCTACTCAGTACCCTTGGGTGCACGAGCGGTTTAACAAGACTTTCGATCACGCCGCGTGAGTGCTCTTTCCCCAAAGTCACATTTTTGCTCTTACCGGCATACATTGTACTGACCCCGTCCAAGTCTCCGCCGTGGTTTCCAGGTCTACCGTGAGGTTTGCGCCTCCTGCCACTCCCTCACTCGTGTCCCATGGCGCTCAATGGTCGGCACCATGCACACCGTCGATGAGATGAAGGCCTTCGCCGAGGAGCACGAGTACGACACCGAGCCCAACAACGAGGGCGAGATCGAGAAGCGCCCCGGCAAGCTTTCCGACTACATTCCCGCTCCCTACCCCAACGAGGAGGCCGCTCGTGCCGCCAACGGCGGTGCTCTTCCTCCCGATCTCAGCTTGATCACCAAGGGCCGTCACGGTGGCTGCAACTACATCTTCAGCTTGCTGACCGGTTACCCCGATGAGCCTCCCGCTGGTGCTGCCGTCGCCGAGGGCATGAACTTCAACCCTTACTTCCCCGGTACCGGTACGTAACGACAAGCCCATAATATATATATATATTTTTTTTTTAGCGTTTCTGACTCAGTGATAGGTATTGCTATGGCCCGTGTCCTGTTCGACGGTGTTGTTGAGTACGAGGACGGTACCCCCGCCACCACCTCCCAGATGGCCAAGGATGTCGTTGAGTTCCTGAACTGGTCCGCCGAGCCCGAGATGGACGAGCGCAAGAAGATGGGTGTCAAGGCCGTTGCCCTCCTGACCGGTCTGTTCGCCGTCTCCGTCTGGGTCAAGCGCTACAAGTGGGCCCCTCTCAAGACCCGCAAGATCGTGTACAGCCCCCCGATCGGCCCCCGCCGTTAAATGTTGCAGCAAGGCCTTTTTTTGAGTGGGAAAATGTGAGAGGCTGAAGGGACCGGTACGACTTGGGGAACCCATACCACATCCCCGGTTTTGATACAGGTGCTTCAAAGAGGCCTCTCTGTTCCGTCATTTTTGTGTCTATCTATTGGTCGCTGTGTCTGTGTTTTGTTAGAACGCTCCCCGAACACCTGTATCTGTATCCTAGATATATTCTTTTTTTCATTTCCTTTCGAAAACTGTGTGCTTCGAGGAGTCATCTGAATTTAATTTCCTTTGTGATTATGACAGATGAGACTATTACATATGTAATAAGTCTCTAGAGTTGCAGTGTGTATGTGCATGTCTGTATCATATTCCTATGATATGGTATGTTACGCGACTTGGCAACGGCATGAGTGGTGTACAAACGATTGTTCTCTAATTGTTGTATTATGTATGTAAGAATCTACCTAGGTACATAGCTATAAACTCCATCAAAAAAGGCCCAGAAGTAGTTTCAGGCCCGGGTATCATCTAGAGTCCGCTCGCCATCCCCAAAGACAGGAGCGAAGAAACAGTCATAGCTATTCCACACACACGAAAACACGATATTGGCTAAAGCCACCAGCCACGGCGGCATACGCCCATCAGGACCCGCAAACACCCTGGATAACATCAAAGTCAAAATCAACAAAGGCGCCCACATAGCCAGGAAGATCACCTTCCCGATCTTCTGGCGCGTGGTTGTGATATGATAAGTTTTGATCTGCGCAAGATATTCTCGATATGAAACAGGCAGATCATGTTCCGCAGCGCCAGCCTTGATCAATCCAAGGTAGCGGGCCGAGGGCTGAGCGTAGTGAGGATCCGGCCGGAAATGCAAGCAAATTGTATACCACCACGACAGCTGTGGACCACTGGCCAGCAGCGCATCGCCTTTCTGGGATTGCGATTCAAACCGGGCATCGTCTGCAGCTGGAGAGAGCAGGGTGCGTGCCTTGAAGGCTGGTGTTGTGGGGTAATCCGGGACGGGGTCGGAGGGATCGTAGGATTGGTGGAAGGGATGACAATCGATGACACAGTCGCGGTATCCACGACCACCGCCCTCTGTGGCGATAATCTTCGCGTAGTCGGCTAGTGTGACTTCGTAGACGACTCCGACTAGAGGCTTGTGCCATTGACGCTTGTCACAATCCGGCACTTTCTCCACCTGCCGTGTCCGACTTGTGAGCGCAGCCTTCTCTGACAGATATTCACTGCCCGACACATCTCTCTCGTCGTCTCGGAGTCCGGAGTCGTTGTCTGGAGGAGAAACATCCCTGTATTGTGTGCCTGCGAAACAAGGCTCTGCGTACGGTACTCCGGGAAGATCGAAGGTGAGACGGAGTTCGGGGACAAGTACACAGATCTGCGAGAGTGGTTTGATGCCGCGCACTCCGCGAAATGTCTTGGAAGCTAGGTTTGACCCGTATGCGAGGTAGAGAACCGTCTCATCCCTGGCGACAGTTTCCGACACACCAATCCCGTGTTCCTGTTGCTTGGAGATCTTCTCTGGGAGAGTCTTGTCTTGCTCGAGGAAGCGGCAACACTTGAGGCTCGACGGCGTGCAACATTCGTTCTGGGAATAGGATCGGTCTCGAGTTCGACTTTCGCAGGCTTAGCAAGGGCAGCTTGAAGCCGGTCTAGAGGCTGAGTTGCATTGAACCGGAATCGAGAAGTTGGCGCATCTTCGGCGTGTGGCGCTTGTTGTGTCATTGTGCGGAGTTATAACGCAATATTGGGCGTATGAACATGACACCTGGCAGCTACCAGGGTTATTAGGCGTGAGTTAACCTGCATTGCTTATAAAGCTTCTCAGCCGCATGAATTGATGTATTGTCAGCGAACCATATCGAATGCCGACGATTATTAATCGCGGATCACGGATCGCGGAGCTTGTACGGGCCGACGGATGAGGATTGAACCTTCCAAGGTTGGATGTATCAGTTCTCAAGGGGTCATTGATTCTGAGGGTTAGTAGGGAAAGTTGAGGATGGTATGGAGTACTTAGTACATATGTAGTTAAGTTACCTAGGTAGAACTAGTCTGAGGAATATGGAGAATATTATGGGGAAAGGTGCTTTTTAAGAAGCACGCAACTTGAGATAAAAATAGAACACTTTATCCCCAGAAAATCTAGATTTATCAATCTCGGCATTTGTAGATCTATTCAAGGGCAAGTAGACTATAATAATATACTTAGTATACATTCTTCAACATACATTTATATACTCGTTATATACTCGTCCACAGTCACCTACCTGTAAGAGGATCAATAAAAATTAACTAAAAAAGACCTATCTTGATCATATCTGCAAATCAACTTTTATCATCCCCAAGTTATACTTCATTATGTGTATATGGATAATAGTAGGACATTCGAAGTTATAGTTGAGGTATCATGTGATTCATGCTACTGGAGCTGGGCTTAGTTCAGCACCCTCATTAGCTGGGAAGCTCTGGAGAGCTCCCTCTCTTTTACATCCCTCTTCATGTTCTGATTTCAAGTGTACGACGATAGCAACTATGAAGACAGCTCGGGTCTCACCTGCACCAGTTAATCCAGACACCGGGAGTAAGGCGACTGTCAAAGACGCAGCGAGTTCGGGACGTCTCACAGGCCCAAGTCGCCAACAACCCAAAGCCCCTCCATCCCAGCCTTCAGAGTCGAAGATTGTTCGACTGAAGCTCACAAAACCAAGACCGCCCAGACCCAATCCTCAAGAAGTGGACTGGGATGAAGATCTTCGCCCTACACCCAATGAGATAGTTGAGAAGAAAGGAACCCGTGGAGGAACCTCCGTAGTCGATACAGACCCGAACCGACCGAAGACAGTTGCCAAAAACACAGGAAGCAAGCGAACAATACCATCAAAGCCACAAACAACCTCGGCCAAACGCAGGAAGTCAAACACGAAGAAGAGTACTACTACCAAAGAGGGTAGCACCAGAGGGCCACAATTGCCATTGTTAACGCTTACTGCAGGCACTTTGCCTCCTGCAGCCCCTCTGGGTAATAGTGGGCCTCCTGACACGGGCCCTTTGGACGGGCAAAGCAAAGACCATGCCGCGAAGCGCAATACGAATGCGCCCGAAGCTCCGCACCGACCTTCGCCACTGACAGAGGGCCACAACAAGCGTGGAAATACCGGCACGGGGGGTGTCATAGTCGAGATAAGAAGTTGCACATCGGTGACGACCAGTTCATCCTCAGATTTCGAAGATTATGGCCAACGACCGTCCCGTACTTCTAAAGTCAGCATCCTAGAGCATCGGGCACAGTCCAATGGACAAACAAGTAAAGACAAAGCTGTTCATATGATGCCCGGTGTATCCTCAAGTTCTGACGCCGATCTCAAAGGACCGTCTCACACAACTACTTCAAAGGTCACCATCCTGGAGTCAAGAGCACTTTCGAAGAAACAAAACAGCCAGATGAAGACAGCTCATGAGAAGAGTCATCGCAAATATCGTGGTAGAGCAGAGAGTGTTGGCAACAAGCTGATGCTTGCACTCCACGGAACAGAACCTTCTCAAAATGAACCAGTCAATAAACAAGCTGCACCACTCGTCATATCATCTGATCCAGTACAATCTGAGGAATCTCCCCAAAAGCAGCAGTCCGAGAAAATGCCGACCGACACAGTGTTGGAGCCTCCGAAGATCGAAAGCGTACTGGACGGAACAATTCCAGTTGAGATGCACCAAAACCAAAATGAGCCTGAGACTGTTAATCCAGCATTGATTGCCAAGACACTTCCGCCCAAGGAGGAGGAGATAGAACAGGCAGATGACACAGGCTTCTGGAGGCTTCTGGGTGATGACAGGATGTCTACAGCGAGCTCCACAGACTTTGAAACCGGCAGAGGCTTGCTAGGTGATGGCCCTTCAATCCTTGATTACCATATGGGAATGGAACATATCCCCGGATTTGCAACCTTGCAACCCATAAGATCCGCACCAACCACCTCTTCACACGGCACTAACATCTGCGAAAGCCAGGCGGATAGCTCGTTGGAGACTTCAAATGTGGGCAAGTTCGATGAGTTCACAGCAGGACGGATTGAGGGACGTGGGAGCCATACTCCGGAGTCTCAAAAGCCTCTTCTCACCAATGAATCCCTAATGGAACTGAATTCCGCTTCTCCCCAGCTCCCAAAATCAGTCCCAAAGACTAGTATTGTCGACAGCAACGGTAGTCCTCGACTCATACCCCAGTCAGCCAAGAGTATGGTTGCGCCTCAGTTTGACCTGGATGACGAAAAGGGTCACGAAGAGACAACCAGTGACTCTGACGCCAGTCCAAGTGAATACTATCGAAAATCGTCCAGTATCTCCACCGAGAGCAAATACGAGAGACTCATGTGGACCAAGTTCCAGAGAGACATGTTCCTGGAATATGGAATCCAAACGGAAAAACTGGCGAGATCTCACCCATGGCCGCCGCCTAAAAAGCACCGCCCATCATTTTCTCAGGAAGATACTGCTGAGGTGGCCAAGTCGGAGAAAGCACCGACGATTGAAGCGAGTTCTTCACAGAGAACAATCGACGAGAGAGCATTAGGTGGTGCTCCTTCAAAGAATCACGAGTACCTTGACCAATCATTCTGCACAGATATATCGGCGTCAACGCAACCCGCTGCTAAATCGCACCAAGCCTCTACGATGGGCGATCATGACGATATGGAATGGATATCAACTTTGCAAGTGGCGCAGAAGGACGCACATCACCTGCTTCAACAAACTAATTCGGTTAGTCAAAATTGTCTATGCGCACGTAACCATGTTAACTGGGAATTAGCATTTGTCCACTCAGCTGGCAGCAGAAAAGGCCACTGTCAGTCGAGTCCTGGAGATCTACCGAGAGGGGTGTAGTCGGATCCTTGATGACCTGTTCCAGGCGCAAGAAGAACGAAATGCAGCTATACCGGCAGCAAATGCAATCCGTCAAGGAACAACATGCAGATATATGTCAAGACCTGGTTCGTGGACTGCAGGAGCTCGACCGTCGGGTGCAACAAGGGCCAATCTGAAGGACGCGGAAGGCTAGAGGGTGACACTAGGCTCAGCAGTATTGCATGCAAGGAGGTTCTCATATCAATATTAATATAACATTAATATAACATTAATATAACATATTAATATATTTATGTCCACATTTTCCCACAATTTTTTTATAATGCGCTCGCCGTGATTGGAACTCCAGCGCCGGGCGAGATTCACCGAGGATCACGTGGAAATTCTTATACTCTGAGCTTTTGACTCATTCACGAGCCGTTTCTTTTTTATTTTTTTATTTTTAAAAGGAATTGATATCCTTCTGTTCACTGCAATTACTCTCCATTTCTCCCAATTGCCCTCTTAAGACCTGCCCTCTTCATCTTCTCCCCCCTCCTCTGCCTCCGATGTCGGTGAGTCGAGCCCCTCATTGATCGTAAATTTCACATTGCTGACGTCGCCAATTCCACAGTTCTTCATTGATAACCCTAATGTGGGCAACCACGATCATTTGGAAGACTCTCGCAGTAAGTCTGGCAGTATTTTACTCGTAATTGGTCTCTAACAGCTTTAGTTCTCGGCTACAACCCTCTCACCCCTCCCAATCTCCTCCAACATGAGATCGCATTGACCGAGAAGTCACGACAGACCGTACTCCAGGGACGTAAAGAAGCCGTCGAGATTGTCCATGGCACAGATACCCAGCGCCAGCGTCTGATGGTAGTGATCGGACCATGCTCCATCCACGACCCAGAAATGGCCCTCGAATACTGCGATCGCCTACTGAAGATGAAGGAGAAGTACGCCGACGATCTGCTGATCGTGATGCGCTCGTACCTCGAGAAGCCACGCACAACCGTCGGCTGGAAGGGTCTGATCAACGATCCCGATATCGACAACAGCTTCCAGATCAACAAGGGTCTCCGCGTATCGCGCCAGCTCTTCGTCGACCTGACCAACAAGGGCATGCCCATCGCCAGCGAGATGCTCGACACAATCTCCCCCCAGTTCTTGGCCGACTGTCTGTCGGTCGGTGCTGTCGGTGCACGCACCACCGAGTCCCAGGTCCATCGCGAGCTTTCCTCCGGTCTGTCCTTCCCCGTCGGATTCAAGAACGGCACCGACGGCTCGCTCGATGTCGCTGTTGATGCTATTGGCTCCGTCAAGCACCCCCACCACTTCCTGTCCGTCACTAAGCCCGGTGTTGTCTCCATTGTCGGAACCGTCGGTAACCCTGATTGCTTCGTTATCCTTCGCGGTGGCAAGAAGGGCCCCAACTACGATGCTGCCAGCATCGCGGATGCTAAGTCCAAGCTCTCTGCTAAGGGCATGCGTCCCCGTCTTATGGTTGACTGCAGCCACGGTAACTCCGAGAAGAACCACAAGAACCAGCCTAAGGTCGCTGCTGTGCTTGCTGAGCAGCTTTCTGCCGGTGAGGATGCTATTATGGGTGTTATGATTGAGAGTAACATCAACGAGGGTGAGTCTTTCGCGGATTTTGCTATCTATAGAGAGCTGTTTGTACTGACTTGCGCTAGGCAACCAGAAGGTCCCCGCGGAGGGCAAGGCCGGTCTCAAGTACGGTGTCAGTATCACGGATGCTTGCATCAACTGGGAGGATACCGAGTCAGTACTGGAGACTCTGGCTCAAGGTGTTCGCGCTCGTCGCGAGAAATCGGAAACGAAATAAGCTGTGTTGAGATAATCAAGTTAATTATGACATTTCTTAAGCGTGTCAAAGTGGATAAAAAGTTCAATGATATTACTTCTTTCGGCCTTGAAACTCAACATTCCATAGTAATTTTCCCACTACAGCTTCTATCAGCATAGCGAAATATTCCTACTTTGTACGCATTCTCTCTATAGTGGAGATATGGGGCCAAAGTTAGCCCTATGCCGTCATCAGGGTCCACGGCTATCTCGTTAAAGCCGACCTCGGGCCCTGGCCTAAAATGCTTATATATCTTGGAAGATCTTCAGGGGAGCTAAAAAGAGGAGACAAATCATATTCGCTACGTAATTTTTCCTTTTTCGAAAATATTAGCTATTCGTACATAAAGTTACATGTTGACCGTCAGTTGGATATGCGTCGAGTTGGCATCAGTTCAGTTGGCATCAGTTCAGTTGGCATCAGTTCAGTTGGCATCAGTTCAGTGGGCATCAGTTCAGTTGGCCTCGGTTTGGTTGACATCAGTTGGATTTGCGTCAGTTGGGTTCAAATTAGCAGAGGCCGCATTCGATGGTCTGGCCGGTTTGAAGATAGAATATCGAGGCATGCTTGCGGGGAGCTCATCGACCCTTACGAACGGCCAAGGGAGCCAGTAAGCGACATTGTTTATCAATGTCACACTCTTCGCCATGAAACCATTTGCACAGTCAGAATATCGAGGAAATAGATTGTACCTTAACCGGCAACAGAGTAGATTCAACGCTTCCCGCTTAATCAAGTAGCGGAAGTAGAATCCGTCAATGGAGCCCAGAGAACCGCGTTCAGCATCAGACACATGCACTCCATGGTAGGAGAAGGTTTGAAGAGAAGGGTGAGAGCCTCTTTCTTTGTGTCTCATTAATGTCTCCAATGCCTTGAGTGTTTCATATTCGAATAGCATCCAATCTGACTCTAGCCAGAGGTCGGAGCTTATATGAAGGGCTTCAAGAGTTGGTGGCAGTACATCCCGAAGCTTGAAGGGGCGTCTACCCAACCGACGAGCAAGTAGAGCGGTAAAGAGACCGATTTCAGTTTGGGAAACTCGTTCAAAAAGCCACGAAAAGCCTTCCCACCTTCATGCGCCGGACTCAGAAGGAAGGTTTCGCGACAACATGGGAGAATCTCCACGTTGAGAGAGAGATGCTTGATCGATTGTCCTCGAATTTGTATGGCATGAAGGAGGCACTCGGGATCCCAGAGAAACTCGCCTGTTGCCCGGCATTTGTAGGCCAAGCCCACATGCAAGGACTCCAGATATGGCAGTTGAAACAGTAGTGTAGCGATGTCCTCGGGCGTTGCACGTGTCTTGGCAATAACAAGACTGCGTAAGTTTGGCAAATTCAAGGATCTTCGCGGCGTCTGCGGAGGGAAAACACAGAGTCCCACCACATTATGGAGCCATATCTCGAGAGTGTTCAAGGAAGGAAGGTGGAACCAGGGGATGAATTGACAGGTATTGATGAGGCTGACACCGTCACGGAACTCCGAGAGAGGCAAATTGCTTCCATAGTCGGCCATTTCCAATTTCGAAAACCGACTAAGTGCGCCAGGGGGTGCGTCGCCGAAGAGAGAATGATGCAACATTTCCCCAGGGAAGCCACCCTCCAGCACGAATGAATAGTCCAGTCGAAGGCTGCGAAGGTTGTGCAGTTGCGAGATCAGCACTGTGGCGTAGACGTGCGGGTCTCCATCAAACAGTCTTGCCTGCCATCTGGTAACAGACTTTGACGGGTATTTCGCCTTTCGAACAGCCCTCCGTGACCAGCTGAGAGTGGGCCGAAATTGTAGCATCAACTTAGCCCAGCCAGCCACCCCTCCTTTGGGGAGGAAATCCTCTGTTCGCTCGGGCCCCACGTCCCACCATACAAAGCTGACATGCCAGATGTAGTCAGCCAACTCTGGTCGCTCGGAGATAGTCCGCAAGAGGGCCATTATTTTGTTGGTCGGGGGATTCCTCCAGTCCCAATGAATGTTTCGATACAGGAAGAGTTCAGTTGAGTTACGAATGTCGTGGGAAACTCGTGACAGGTTATTCAAATCCTGTTTTGGTAGATACCCTAGTATCTGTACCCAGCAGTCGCAAGGGAGACGGGTGAGGGGAGTTGAGCCCATCGTTAATGGCTGTCACGTCTGTACGAATAGAACCAGATAAAGATTGAGACTGATTGATTCAAAACATAATTTGTGAATGTCAACTTACTGGTGCACCGTGTAAAACTGGCCAGGGAACTATTGAGAACCCTGAAAGGTGAAGCGACAGTGAAAGGTACAAGGGAAGATGGAAGAGACAGATGGATAGAAAAGAGAGATGAGAGATGCGAAAAAGAAGGATGGATGGTGACGGAAGAGAAGAGAAGAGGAAGAGACAAGAGACAACGAGACAAGATTGAACGAAAGAGGAAGGAAGAGCAAATTTGCTAAAACGGACACCTCGAAACCTGATATATTCAGTAAGTATATGTATATTAATACAAGGGAATCTTAAAATCTATAATGCAAGCTGCAAAAGACGAACGCCGAACAGACGGATCCTGATGTATCCCATGAACACCAGCAGCACAAGGCTTGACATCTTCCGAATAGCGACCAGCACCATATCGACCCGCGAACCCAGACTTCACCTCCTCGAACTTCCGCTTCCTCGAGCCCTGCAATCCACCCAAACCAGTCCTCTGAACGATACCAAGATCCTTCACTCCACCATCAGAACCAACACCAAGAGACCGAGTAGGAACATCACCAGTATCAATATCCAAAACCGTGCCTTTGCCATCATCCCCAAAAGCCCAAACCCTAACACCACCCTCGGAAGACTGCAAAGCAAGCTCCACAGTCCCCTTAACAGAGCCAATCTCCTTGCCATACATCTTAAACGGCCACATCATAGCTGTGGGCCGATAGGAGACAGACAAAAGGAACTCCCAATCCCCATTCTGGTTCTGCACCAGACTCTCACCACGCTTGCGGGACCGCTCCAAGTCAACGTACCAGTCGAGCGCGAGATCGCTGGTACCCATTACCCCGTCGCATTGGCGCTCACGCTCTTTGCGGATCACGTTGAATACGTCCAAGGGAATGGAGTACAGCACGAGGCGGTCGCCGTAGGCAGCGACAACGCGGAGACCCCAGCGGAGGTCGGAGCCCGCGGTGAAGGTTGTTGGGACTGGGAGGTCTGCTGGTGGCGGTGTTGTGTTTGAGGGAGATGGGGATGGGGGTGGTGTCTTGGTCTGTCGGTTTTGGGCGCTTGAGAAGGCGGAATACAGACGAATGCACGGGTTAGGCTTGTTGGCCCGCCGATTGGAGAGTCGGTACCTATACATAGTAGGCTTGTGCGTGGCTCGATGAACATGATGTGGAAGCCGTCATTAATGGGGACGGCGCGATAGTGGTGGCAGTGTGTTGCGCGGACGAAGCTGCGGGATGGGGTATGTGGAATGCGGCGGTTGTTGAAGGTCTGGATATCGGCGAGGAAATGGAATTGGCTGCTTTTTGGGTCGAGTTTTGGTGATGTTGAGAAGGATGAAGATGAAGGGGAGGGCGAAGGGGGGGCATTTGCATTCGTACAAGCCTGGTCCTGATAGCGAGGAAATGAGACGTAGCTCGTTGGGTGTTTCAGGACTACTTGGGAGGAAATGAAGGATTTCGGAGGGTTGGGGGAGGGTGAAGTGTTTGCGTTGTTCATTGCGTTTTGTCTCGTTCACACTGTGGATTTCGATGCCCGCAGCGCAGCCGAAGGCGACTATCGGCCTGCCGGGACATAGAGCAACCGTTCGGGGTGGGTTGTCCACAGTGCAGATGTTGTAGAAGAAGTGGCGGGATGAGGTGGCTCTGCTATTAGAATGAGACCCCTTGGTAGCTGACTCCTTGACCCAAGCCATATCCATGTTGCAGACCATGCCAACGCGGTTGCAAAGCAATGCAGCGATGGTGAATTGGGGCTTGCTGGTATCGATGGCTGCTGAGAGAACATCGAATGGACACGAGATGCGCGAGACTAGCGCCAAGTCATCATTGCCGAAGTCTGTTGATGTTGGCCTAGACTTTCGACCCAGAAGAGTATAAATATAGATCATGCAGCCTGTCGTCACGAGCAGGTAGTTGCTGCAACTGCTGATGCTGAAAGTTGACACCCCCGACCCTTTCCCTTCGGCCATCTGCCAAACCGGTTGAAGTTGAGCGTGGGATTTTCTTCTGGTAGAATCAGACAGACTTGAAAAGTCTACCACAGCGGTAGCCAAAAAGCCCGGCTTCTCGATATTCAACTTCCGCCCCGAAAGGAGACATTCTGTCGCAAAGCGACGACTCATTCTCCAAACCTCACTCTCATCTAACCGGGAGATGCGTGGCGTTTGGCGGTCTTGTAGCCATGCATCCCACCACCCTGCTCTTTTCAACATATTCTCAAGTAGCTTGTGATTTAAGCTAACCCGCATCCACTGTGAGCATGTCCGCCGGGCGTTGTCAAAGTCCCGCGGTGTCAGCATGGTAAAAATCTCCAGTAGAATCTCTGCTGGTGCAATATTTGCAGCGGAGGGGGATGAGCTGCTTGGTGAATTGCATTTTGAAAGATGTCGATTCCGTGACATATATCGTGTTTCATATTTCTTCAAAACTGAGGGTATTGACCTCGTTGATCTTTGCTTGGTGTGCGTTGAGGCATTCGTTGATACTTGACGGGCATAGTCTTGACTTGAAGACCGCAGCGCAGGCATGTTGATATACCCATCCACCAAAGAGAGCGACTTAATATCCACCAGTGACGCTTAGTCTCTTTGTTCAGTTCCAGAACATTGCTTGGAAATCAAACGTCGGGATTGAATCAATGTGAATTTGACGGCAATTAATTGATTGGTGTCCAGAACAGAAGTGCCTTCAGTCGAAAATAGTACACCAAGTAGCAAAATCCAAGATTGCAACTGAGTGACGCAAAGACCGGGCGGAAAAGAGATCTTCACACCAAGTTATACAACCAACACCTAAGTGTTCACCCGCGGATAAATCGTCTAGAGCAGTAGTAAGCCCACTGTCTGCAATTTCTCGAACCCGAACTGCGAGTAATTTTAATTCGAGAAGATTGTTCACTCACTTTTAAGAAAAGTTCACACACAACTTGTGATACTAAGGTTTGAATGAAGAACGTGCCAAGTGCAAGGTTGTATCGGCCTCACGTCTGAAAGCGGTGCAGCGACGGGAAATTGATATGATAAAATGAAACCTAACAGATTCGAGGGCGAGGCAAGGGCTGACTTGTTTAATTAAATACTGCACCTCACCATTTCCAGAGATAACAAAGTTAACTAAGTTTGCCATCTAGTTAATTTTCAATTACAATTTACCGTTCTGACGTCGACACTTACCAAGTAGAACGAGTCTAGGGCGCCTGAGATGTCACGGAAGTCCGACGAAAAAGTGGAGCACGTCAAGCGACATGTAAGAAACGAATATACCATTTTAGGTAGGTGGTTAATACTAGTGCTTGTATGATGATGCAGTCATGCAGTCGATGCAGTCAATGCAGCTACTGTCATTCCACTATGGAATGGACATCTGGACATTTGGAGGCAACGGGGGGTGGTTTAGGGTTTAGTGATCCATGGGCCTAACTACCAAGCTTAACTTTATGCATCCAAGTTTGTTCCATTTCCATGGTTCAATTCAATAACTTACTAAGGCACCGTAGCAGCATTGAAGCTCCGTTACAACCCAGGAAAAAGAATCCTCGTTCAAAAGGAAGAAAATCCACTATCAATCTGCAACACTGACATTCCAGAGGATCTCGGGAAAGGAATTAAGGAATGCGCCCCGGATGCAGCGCATGGCTTGGCACTTAGTCGAACCTCACCGCTTACATGCATGTGTCTCTAATCGTATGATGATGATCATAACAATAACACAATATTAAGATCATTGGATTAGTATTTAGTTCACCATATCCCACATTCCTTAACGCCCAAGGATAGTTTGTTTTGTCTCTGTTCTTTTCTTACTGTTTCATCTCCTCACCGCAAGAGAGACAACTGTGCCACCCCCCACTGCTCAGGAATGTGCCCCGACCATGTGGACCCAAGGGATTCCAGAAGACGGCGATTCCGTAAGTGTTCGAGGTATGTCCGCGACGAAGGTTAGATCGAATGATCGAATCGATTTGCAGATTCAACCTTCGGATGCAAAGAAGGGTGATATTGTATTGTTTTCATTATCGATGTCTAACTATAGGTCACAATGCTGATGTGACCCCTAGCAGAATGATGTCTCAGACCACACCATTGAAGTCAAATCTTTAGACACCCTTTTTCTTGGGATGACTGCACTAATTACATACATAATACGGGCTGCATTGGCCAGAGAGGAAACATGGGAGCTTTCTCGCTCTTTCTTCGGTTAGACTTTGTATTGACTTCGTGCTCAGACACTGCCACGTTTCCCGCGGGCTTATTTTGGAACTGAGGAATGCAAGAAAAGAGTAAACCTAAGCGAACCCGATATCTTTACCGAGGAATCCGACGAGATGTGCCTCAGTGGAGCCTGCATTATGTGTCCGAAAAGGCAGCCGCTCACGCCTGACGGGTAAATAGCCCACATTATTACAAAGCACGAAATCCAGAGAGCAACAGTACTGTACAGACTCTATATTCGACTCTGACATGAACACTGAAACATACAAACAGAACGATTGGAAAATCAAATAACAAAATTCAGCTACTGCGCGGGAGGGGAATAGCGAGGGACAGGCGAGACGAGCCCGACAGAAGGAAAGCGAACATGTCACGCAAGGATATCATAACCATGAAAATATACCAGAACAGGATAGTGAAATGCGAACGAGGTATCAATATCGTAAAACATGACGGGTCAAAAACATATGCAGGGAAAAAGAGTGTATTAACAAACAACACAAGGATAGATCATGCACATCTGGGAATCCACGCAACCCGGGGAATCAAACATTCTGTGTCTGATGAACCTCGAACTCGGATGCGCCATTCCCATTGCCTCGAGCCGGGTTGCGACCAGGAAGCCAGGCAGCATGCAGCGGGACAATCAAGCTCGGGTTGACGTACTTCTTTAGCCGCAATTCGAGGTCCTGTCCGCCAATATGGATGGGAAGGCTATCGCGATCCAGGCCTGATGGCGGTGAGAGGGTCGAAGAAGGCGAGGGGAGATGTCGCCACCACCCGGCTGGTCCCGATTGATACTCTTGAGGGCAATAAATTTCATCAAGGGCTCGTATGTACGCCCGAACCAGTATGAAAACCAAACGGTGAAGCCTAGAAGTGGCACCAGGAGTAGTGACCGGGTGATGGCTCGGCGCAGAGCCAGAACGCCAATCATGGCCAGCTGATGGACCAATAGCCCCACGAATACGCGATTGCAAATCATTGGCCACGCGCGGCCAGTGGAATGTTGCTGGTGATCCATGGCATACAGCAGTTGGTATTTGTAGATAAATTTGCCGACTGTGAAGTAGATCAGGCCGAACAGGCAGATCAGCCACGAGCTCGGGAACACACTGTAAACCACGCAGATCACCAATATCAAGATGGTTTGCGGGATGGAGAACCCGTAGCTGAACTTGGGAGGAGTTGACAGCTCCGCATATTCCCGTGGCGTGCGTGCCGACAGGAATTGGAAAGGGTATAGTGCGACACTTCCGAATTCGAGGAGTCGGAAGGGGAAAAGGCCCAACCCTGAAGAATCAACAGGTTGATGTAGAACGGAGCCAGGCCTTCGAGGGAATTGGCTAATGCGAGGGCAATTGTTGTAGAATCTTTGAATGCATCCCGAAGACTTTCCCAGAACCCATAGAAACCACTCGCTGTTCCAAACACCGTGAACAGAAGGAACAAATTGAAGAACGAGAAGAAGAAATTCTTGGAGATAACGGACAGCTCGACATCACCACGTGAAACCATTCCTTGGTTGTTTGACAGCCCTGCCAAGAGAATCAGTGATTTGAACAACTACATGAGGGGGATTATTCGATGGAAAACTTACACTCGTACAGATAAGGCACAGCCACCGTCAACAGCGAGAATGCGAGGGTAGGCAATCCCGTTTGAACCAACGATTTGATGATCGGATGTTCCTGGAGGAATTCTGCCAGCCGGGGGACAATCGTCTCAAGGGTCTTCAGCTCCAGCAATGAGGCGATAGGGACCAAGAGGACAGACCAAAACACGGTGAGGAATCCAATGACGAAGGTGATGGACCACGACTGAACCATTCGTCGAGTACGAGACAAGTAAGTATTTTTCCAAATAACATCTGCCGGCGCCGGCGCAAGCCGAGCAAACATTTGCATCGGGTGTGGATCAAGGATCGCTTGGACAAGCATTTGAGATGCGGCGATTGACTCCATCGTCACGAAAGCAATCTCAGTAGTACGGTATTCTTTCTCTCGGGCGTTTTGGATATATTCATCAATCTTCCGTAGTTGTTCTTCATAGTAATCGATTGCATCGATCATCCGGAAACGAAGCTTGAATGGACCATACCAGACACGAACTTTGGGTCTTTCATTCGAATAAACCGAAACATGGTCGTTATCATGTTCGGACAAGAGCCCGGATCGCTCATCGTCTGCATCACGGGGTTGTTGCTCGGTCAGCGGCAATGCATTTCCATCGCTCTTTGGTCGCTTGTATCCTATATGTTTTGTCCATGCTCTCTCAAGTTCACGGATGACTTTCATTCTTTCGTCGATCAATTCGTCCAGCTCGCGCCACTTCCGGCATACGGTGATGCTCTCAACTTTGCCGACTCGCAGGCCTTCCACAAATTCTTTGATCTTATCTTCGGTTCCCAAGTCGTGCGGGATACCGGACAAGCGAATGGTGCGGTCAGTGGTGCTGGTCTGATTCCCGAGATAGGTTTGCCGAGTGCGGATGATTACTTTCGTCTCGTCAAGAAGCATATAGATGGCCAAGCCACTGAAAACATATGCGAACAAAACATAAATCCACAGATATGCAGGGTCTGTAACCGGCTTTTCCTTTTCGTTTCCATCAATTGGACTCGTGGTCTTGTTGCCAGGGGGGTTATCCCAGCCAGGAACTCCATATTGACCGGTGTATTTGTAGTGCATAGGGAGGATGATGGCAACAGCGAAGATAAAGACAGCCAAGAGAAACCGGATCGCAAACTTGAAGAAAGACAAGAACTACCCAGAGATGCAAGTTAGCAAGTGTCCATACATTGTGGTAGAGAAGCCAAAGCATTCGAACATACGACATATGCATCTAGGCCCGCAGACTGGAGCACTTCTTCTTCTGTAATCTGATGGAGAACGGGTATCCAACCGAAAAGGGTATCTGGAAGCTCAGGTAACCGCGAAGCAGCATTTCTTTGTCGTCGTCGCGCGGCATACAACTCGGTCCATTTTGGTCGTAAGATCTAGAAGCAGTCAGCGATCAAAACCTACACCCTATAGCAATGGAGCACGTACACAGAACGCCAAAAAGGCACTGAGACCCAACGCGGTGCTAATCACGAATTGCGTGTACAGATCGCGCTGTTCCTTCACCGGATCGTTGGGACGCCACGGCCTCTTACTTCCGTCATCGGGCCCGTCGGCAAGTAACGTCAGCGCAGCGGAGGCCGCTGATGCCGTGAGAGACATGAATCTGTTTTATAAGGAACCTCTGCACTCCGGGTTTCTGTGGTGACTTCGACGAGCGAGGGGCTGTCGGAGCTAGTAGTTCGTCAAGGGCATGCGGGAGGATTCCGTTGATCGCTGAAATGGCTGACGTCAGGGAGATGGGATGGTCAACTGTCGGGGATGATTCGATTGCTGCTTGGGCTGCAAGAGTTGTTCAAGTACTTTGGTATGGTTTTCGAGAAGAGATCGTGAACAATCGGTGAGTTTCCCCTTTGTTGTCTCCTGTTCACCAAACCTTCAATGACGGCTTCCGGAGCCGGCTGCATATAGCTGAGTCATCGTTTATGCGCATAACACCAGGACTTCATCCAACTACATATAAGAGAGACGCTTAAAAAAAGATTGAAAACAAGAAATACGTATAAACAAGCACAAGCGTTTAAATGAGAACATTTAAATAAGGACCTATAAGTCTTTAATTAACGACCATTTATTAGAATATTTCTTTTAGTGCTAAACTAGGATTTGGTCACTGACCAAGATTCGAGGGTAACCAAGCCTTTTGGGCTCGAAAAGTGCGATCAAATCTGGCCTCGGGGGTATAGAAATAGGTATCTAATTTAAATTACAATAAAAGATTACATGGTGCAACCGTGAATCTAGTTAAAGCGCTAAAAAAAAATCTCTCAATGCATGATATCTAATATGTGTTTAGATGAATATCCAATTGATCGTGTATCCAAAAGTCAAAAGCAAATCTAGGAATGCTTCGATGCGTCATAGTAAAGGTCGAGCAGACATCCAGCGGACCAGGATTGGGTGGGTGACTATATGTTTGGTTAGCACTGTACAAAACGAGAAATATATCAGAACGAAAGTAGCTCACCGAATCATTACAATGCTCCCCAGCCTTGTTCGTCAATTCTGTTAGCCCTTTCCACGGGCTCTCTCGCAATGCCTTCTTGCAACCATCAAGTCGTCGGGTGACTTGCTGGAAGCATTCAGTCCGTTCCTCAGGCGTCTTTCGGCGCAGGAGATCGAAATGCAGCAGAGCACGGAGGAAATAACCGCGTTGCCAGACCCACTCTGGACCCTGATGGTAATTGCGACCCTTGGCAGTCGCAAAGTCATCGGAGTCATCGGAGTTAACGTAGTATGGACGGTAGTTGAGGTCATATGGGTCCAGTGTCGCCATTCCCACAGGGCCCACAATTGCGGAGTCGGCAATTGACAGAGCGACTAGTGCCTTTGCAGGCGTGAATAACTCCGGAGCGACCGACATTGCGATGGGGAAGTTGGCGCGGAGCTGGTAGTCTTCGTAGGGCTTGCCAGACTTATATAAATCCTTGTAGATTCCTCGGCGGTTGACAACTTTTGCGTCCACGTCGTACTGACTATCTTCGCTGGGATCAAGGGGGACAAAGTAGCACCGCTCGAAGTTGTCCTTGATTTTGCGGGCCCATTCGGCAAAAGTAATGTTCTTGCCATCGCCGATATCGACGCCCTCATGGGGATAGACCTTGGATTCGTGGAGACGTGCAACCCATGCTAGAGCGCTGTAGGCGAGGCCGGTAATCTCGATAGCAGCACCATCACGGGGAGTACCAGGGAAACCCTTATTCCCAGCCTTAGTGCTTTCTCCCATCTTGTCTTGCCAAGTGCCACAGTTATTCTGGTTGCCACCGAAAATTAGACCCGTTGACCAGTCAACCTTAACGTCGATCTGGAAGCCTTCGGGCTTCATCTGGCAGTCAAGGTCGGGACCAGCATTGTATTCCCTGAAAGACATGCCAGAAGCGTGTCTTTGGAAGACCTCCTGGACGCACTCGAGAAGAGTTGGGGACTGAGAGTATGCCCGAGAATCATCGAAGGGCAACCAAGTGTCGTCATAAGGCAAGAAGCGTCTTGGGACTTTTTCTTGCAAGATATCAATGCCGTTTGGCGCCATTCCAATGTAATCCTGGATAGCTTGCATGAAGAACCAGACGGAGTCCCGAGAATTGTATCTCGGCAATTTTCCGCTACTCAGCAGATTGGGGATCATGCCGTGCTTCAGCACACTTGCAAAAGCGATAATATGCTCCTTAGCGTCATCAAAGCGTTGAGTGCAAAGGAATAAGCCACGGATGGAGATAAAAATATCTCTTCCCCAGCATCTTGTCCAGTCAACTGCAAAATGAGGCAGTCCGGCTGCAAGACTGGGGACCATCTTAGTGGGCCACAAGGATGCGGATTTCACGTAGCCAGTTTGTTGAACGCTGACCATAGCCAGTTGATGGATGAATTCCTGGCCGTGCCGCACATTGTCACCAAGGAGATGGATACCTCTCTTCCACGCAGCATTGTATGCAACCTGCACAATGATCGCGAAATACCTTGGGAAAAGGAAGTTGGGCAAGTTGCGGACAGCGTCGAACTTTCCTCGAAGCCATGCAGCAGGCTTTTTCAAGGCAAGATATCCTTCCTTGGAAGCTGCCTTCTCCATGCGACCAATAATGTAATCCAAAGCCCACTGACCTTCTCGCAAGTGATCGCAGAGTGGGTGGCCAAGTTGGTTGTACTTGATGATATCCTCAAGGACACTCCACCAGCCCTGAAGACCAGCATAGACCATAGGATCTTGCTTTGGAATGCTGTAAATACCATCCTGACCGTCGCTATAGTCTCTCTCTTCAGCTTCGCACCGGTATAGCACAAAGTTCAGATCAACCAAGCTGAGCTCAGAGAATGCGTCATCCGCGCCATTGGCGAGGTTGTTTTCAAATCCATCAGTATGATCTGCGCCAGGAATCCATGTCTCAAAAAGAGCAATAGACCCCGGAACAAGGGACTCCAGTGCGGAGATTTTGACGTCTTTGTCGTTTTGCTCGATCTTGGTGCCTTGTATGTCGCGGGTATGGCTGGGAAGGCCCTTCAAGTACTTGTCATCGGCTAGAACCTTTTCCTTTGTTTCTCCGCTGGCATCAACCTCAAGTTGCCACGATCCGATATGCTTGGCACTAGTACCGGCAATATGAGTGGGAGCGAGAATCGCGCCACTTTCATGGCCAGGAAACGCCGTATGTGCGATCAGGAAGATACCTTTTCTGGTCTTAGGGTGGACTCTGTGGACAGTGATAAATTCACCATCGTGATGGATGTGAGTTTCGTCATAGCCTTCAACACCCATCATAGTGTGGAGTTCATTTAGAAGCTTCTTGATACCACCAATCCCACCGTCTCCAGACCCGACGACAAGACTCCCAGAATCGGAGGAGGGAGAGACGTATTGTCGTGTCTCATGGACAAGATCGATGAGTTTGGGATAGACCTCGTCGTAGCCCATCACACTTCCAGTTGCAGAGGCACACATCGCCACAAGGGCAGCATTTGGGAGAGTGTCCCTGGCGTCGCGCTTCTGAGCAGGTAGCTCATTGTCATGGGTACAGTCCATGAACAAGGCTGGCACTGGACAGGGTCGAATATGAGTGATGTTTTCATTAGCCTTGCCAGACCTAGCTGACGCAATGGCATGACTACTGCCGGCAGAAGGTAAATCCATCTCAAAGCTACCGATCGGCTGACCACCATGACGGTGAACAAGGCGACTCAACTCTTCTGTGCTCCAAGCCTGCATGGCCTCGCGAATCAGAGCATTAATGCCCAAGCGTTTGACGAATACATAGTCGGCCTCCTCTGAGCCCGTGAACAGTTCCGCAAACACGGTCAAATCAGGCCGGACTTTGCGAGCTTCGTCCAGCAAATATTCTGCAACTACCAGCGGCGTCGAATGGCAATTATCGATTCGGAAACCGCCGAAGTACTTGGCCATAAGGCGGGTATACCGCGTCATAAAGTCCCAGAGGAAAGGACTATCTGCGGGAGAGGAGCCGTATCGAAGTTTAACGCAATCACCCCAGACAATGACTTCGCGGCGTAGGTAGGCCCTGGAATCAGGCCCGGCATTATCTTTCATGGCGTCGGCATTCCAGATCCAACCATTATTGACCAAGGCTAGGGCTTTGGGGCCGTGCTTCTTCGTGACATCATTGAGGGGAAGGTGGGTAAAGTAAGTCTCAATCAATGGATTTTCCTTGGTGACAGCACCCATCTTGGGACCATGATCCTCAATTCTGAGATACTTGATGCGATTGAACAGTTGGTCCATGATAACATCAACGTCTGCGTCATACTCCTTGTAGAATGGCAAGTTAGCCTCATCGAGGAGCTGGGACAAGTACTCTTCAACCTCAGCGAGGTTGGTCTGTCCCTCATTGTAATCCCCAAATAGAATATTCAAAGCAACTGCTCCAAACTTCGGATCGACAGCGCGGCCAAAACGTCCGAGAACCTGCTTGACGGATGGAATACCAATCTCGCGGAGAACGTTGGCTTGTTGCATGAGCGACCAGTTTTTGAACTGCTGCATTTCGTCCCGTTCGACGAGCGCAGGATCGACGGTTACATTGATCCATTCGTTCAAGATCTTCTTAAAGTCGCTCTTGACGTCGAGAACATAAAATTCCCATAGCCGAATTCCATCAATGGCTTCCTTGCGCGCCGCGTTCATGACTGTCACTAGATCTTCCTCCGTCTTGAACTCAGTTGGAAGACCGATGTCCTGGAGGTTATCGCTGAATTTCAAAAGCGCTGAGTCCAGGTCGAGGGCTGCCTCCAGCCATGGCGCGGTCTCCACGCTGTATCCAGACTCGGGATGCTCCTCCAGCCACTTGCTATTATTAGCTGTGTGGTTCCAGACCACATCAGTCAATGTGAGAAGACCATAATCTTTCTCCATCTTCGCAACCAAAGAAGAGACGTCATCTTCTCCATTAGGGAAAAAGGTGCTGTCGAATGCCAATTGATCAAAAATACTATAGGGCGAGTTGGACGAGCCACGCTGCATGAGCGGTGTGAAATGAACCATGTTATAGTTCCGCTGAGAAATTCCACGAAGGTGCCTGTCCCAGTCCGACGGGTTTTGACCCATGAACTTCGAGATCACTGAGAAGATGGAGAGTGCATTGAGCGGCACGTCTTTC